TCAATTTCAATCTCACAATCCCTAAATAATTTCGGTTCCCAATCCAATCCCTAAATATTTCGTATCTCAATCGGTACTTCGGTATCCCAATCGGTATTATCGAATATTAAACTAATTACCTTTGTAATTAATAATTAAATATATAAATTAGATTTGATTGTTTAATTTAGGACAATTTTTTTGGATAATCTGATTCGATCGTCATGATTCGTATAAATTTTTTTTTGTCAGACCCAAATGCAATAGTATTGAAGTTAGGTTGGATTCAATTTGGGTCAACTTATTTGGGTCAATAATCAAATAAGTCTACTTGGATTCAAATGATTGTACACATAACGACAATCTAATTAACCGCCTTCAACCCAATTACACATTTAATATTGGCGATTCCCCCTTATCGTTTGTTTCGTAACAAAAACAATATAAAAAAGTACAATAGAGTCTAATATTCGTTTTCTTTGGAGTATCCAATGATATGAGTCCAATTTAGAGTGAAATTTAAAAAAAAAAAATCGGATATGAATCTATCCAAAAGTAAAATTATCAAAACTTGATTTGACTCCTAATAAATCGGATTTGAAAAATACCCAAATGTTGGATTTTTTACCATCTCTACTCTCAGCGGCTAGCAAACTATCCGGAGGTTTAAGCAAACACAAGAAATGGAGGTTCCCCAATAAGCAAAGTAGCGAACACAAATGACTCCATCACACTCACAGTGGAGAGCAAGAGCCAAAGAATGTGGATGAGTTGACGAGGAATTGTTCTTTAGAAGTTCCCCAACAAGCGAACACAAATGGTCCAATCGATCACAGTCGAGAAACGAGAGCCAAGAATACATAAATACAACAGTGTCCTGGCTAATTGAATTCATGAAAACCAATTATCTTCCTCTTCTTCAAACATAAACAAGAAGTCTTGGATACATAAATACAAAAGCAAACACTACCAAGAATCACAGACTATGTTTAGGTACATTTTGTACAACAACAGTGCACACATAGGAGTGGGGAAGAAATGAAGAGAGTAAGTTGTGTGAAGCTACGAATTGCCTCCCAGAAGGATTCTAATAATGCAGACTATGGCCTTTCTTTCTTTCACCTTTTGGATGGTTCATGAGTTCACCATGATTCATTCTTTGAACTGCTGTAGTTAGTATATGTTAGTGTTGTGGGAAATGATCCACGATTGAACCTCTCCCAACAACTCGAGTTATTGGTACCAACTGGTTCATGACATGTATCAGAGCCTTCTGTGACCGAGAGGTCTTGTGTTCGATTTTCGGTGACCCCATTTGTTAAGCACATGGTATTCTTGTCTTCAAACCTGTGCAAATTTCAAGCCCTAAGCTCAAAATTGATACAAGCAAAGCCCAAATTATCTGGATTATATTGATCCTTAGTACCTGCCAATTGCCAACCATTTATTTGTGTCCACCTTTGGGTGCAAGCCCAAATTCTCCTCTCTTTTTTTGTGCTAATAATGTACTTTGGTGTCGCAATTTTTATTTTATAATTGAGGAAACTATTTAAAAGGAATTAAAGGAAATAAGACCAAAAAACCAACCAACAGTTAGAAAAGGAGCAGGGCAGAAACAAAACTAAAAACAACAATGAAAACACACTGAAAAAAACTCTAAACATGAGACTGAAACTAAAACCAAGAACGACACAAAATAAGAAGTTTAAAGAAATCACAGAAAAAATTGCTCATCACTGGTACTGCATTACAACAAAAACACACTCAAGAACAAACACTATGTAACTAGTGGATAATATCCGGAACCATTCCAGGCAAACGTCATCTATAATAAACTTTCAAGCGAACATCCATTTCCAACCGAATAAATGATCCTATAGCAAAAGCTTCGTGGTGGTGATTCTGGTGTCGTTGTTTATAACTAGTCCAAGTTCTAGCCTATCAAGTGGCCAAACCTTGCAACCACCCTACTAACCTAGAAATCTTTATTCTTATTAATACTTTTTCTCTTGATTCCCTTTTCTCGGCTAGACTGTTTTGCCACGACATCTTATGCCTCGTTCACTTGTTATTTCATTTCTATAGCTGATGCAAGAGAGAACAAATTAAAATGAAAATGAAACTGCCGTTTCTTGCGGCCACTAGTATTTTTTGTAATTATAAGTTCATTGTGGACTCTAATAATAATATTTATATTAATATTATGATAAAGATTTATTCATCTTGAGTAAAGAACAAAAATATTTAGCTTAGCCTAATTCATATTTTCTTGTTTTGATTATTTGTGATGACATTATTCAAAATCATAAAAAGATCCATACAGTCCATATGTATGATTTCTTGTGTAATTTGTGGTTACATATATTTTTTATAAGTTGCAATAAAAATAATCCAAATTTTATTGGTATCCGGTCCGAATTTTGCAGCTGTGGGCAAAACTACCGATCACATCGTACTCTTCCTCTCCCTGCAACCAAAACCAACCAAAGTCAGCAGGTGACTAAGATGAAAACTTAAAACAAAATCACACGCACCTTCAGCCCCTCCTCCTCAAGGATACTTGGCTGGATGAACTCTTTTACCGTCGTATTCATGTCGCTTCGTCCGCTGCACAATGCAGACCAGATAGTAATTCAATTAAGTAGTTCAAACATGGGATACCAAATTCAATCCGAATTCAAACCTTACCTTCCTGTTGCTCACTATGGAACAAATCTCAGACCGACTTAGCAACAGCCGCCTTCACCCACGACGACCATGGTGGCAACCAGCTTGGACCGTTGTAGTCGTAGGCCCTCAACAACCCTTTCACCACGGCATTCAGTTTGCTTTCGTCTAACTGCACCCACAATGACACACCTTCAACCTCTTCGCCGACGCACTTTAGCTTGTCGTCCAAATACCACCAGTGTGTTTTTCCCACCCTCTTCCCCAAAAGTATCCAACTGGAAACCGAACCCGAATTCCGCCGGAACAAAACTCCGATACGACGGGTCTGGCACAGTCGCCTTATTAAGGGCGAGGAAATCAGGAGCCAGTATAACAACTTTTGGCAACCCTCTCATCATCTCTCATGATTTCGGCGAAGAAGGAAGTGGCAATTTTGAATTTGGTGAAATCAGATGCGAGGTCGTCTTTTATAGGCTAGGTCGTAATATCAAAGCTTATTTTTTGAACGACGCTCAAAAAGAAAATAAATGAATAGCCAAACGACACCCGGTCCACTTATTTATTCCCCCCTCCCTCCCCCAAAAAAAAAATTTGGTGAGGAATTTTGAAAATTTTGAAATTTCATGCCTAACCGAATGAGCGCCTAGCCGCTGATTATTGATCGAGTGACCTCGCTGAGATTTCTATTCTTACCAAAATTCAAAACTTGAACTTTCGTTGTCATGTTTATTCTTCGACGAAATCTGTCGAACTCTGTTCGTGAGAGATGATGAGAGGGATATCAAAGGCATTCATCATGGCCGACAATAAGGCCATAACTCGGGAGCCCGGTTGACCGTTGAATACTTTTCCTCCATCGTATCTGAGGTAGGTTCGCAAGAAATTTTGGGGTTCCCTGAGATTGGTTTTGACTTTGAATATTTGAAGTAGTGTTTCAATAAAATTGTATTCAAGCGGTATTATGCAAGCAATGCAATTTCAAGTAGTATTCTTGAGTCTCATAATGATTTTCTTATTATCGGGTTTCACAAATGAAATTGTATATCATGTATCTGTAATAGAATGATATAAAATCCATTCATGCATTTGCTCGAGATATTTAGTTGACCTAGGACTAGGAGGGCTCAAATTCTTATCTTTATTGATACTAATAGTCGATTTAAGGATATGGTTGGCGAGCCTAGGTAAATTAAATTTCAAACTCATGACCTGTTTTTCATTTGAAGATACGTGTAAGTCAATGCTATGGTATCTATTATTGTCCTTCTTCTAAAAAAAGCTTAACATAATATTGAAACCAACTGCCAAACATATGAAAGTCATTGTTTGTGTATTTGTGTCTTTAAATATTTAAACATAAAGATTTTCGGACAATAAACTACCAATAGAATATGTTAATATGAACTCATTTCAACGACTCAAGGTTACTCTTAGATATTGCAATTCATGGAAATGAAATATCTTCAACTAATCAATTCGATTAATTAGTTGATGTTAATTTAATAATTGATGGAAGGGAAATAGGTGGATGTTGAATAACCATCATATTCAGACGTATCTGATTTGAAAAAACAAGTGAAATCATTAATTAGAATGCAACTAATACATATATGATGGAAATAATTTCATCCTTCGACATTAACATGTAGAGATGGGTACTCTGTGTGGAAAGCTCCTAGCAATATCTGACCACAAGTCAGTCAACAACATAATCATCCTACTGTGTTACTTATTGCCAAAGAAAGTTTTAAATGTTGTAATAATTAAATTACACTCTTTTTCCCTCTACTAATTACAACAAGGAAAGAAGAACCACATATTATTCTTATGTTATAATCTTTTGGATTAGAATAGTAATAGTAAGATGTGTATTAATATTCTTTGTTGTGTAGACCGATTGTTTGATTTTTGTTATAGACAAATAAAACTAAAGCATGTAGGTGATCATTATATTACAAAAGAAAGAGAATTACATAACCATAAATATAGTAAATTTATATGAACTTTGTTTGCAGTTAGTCATATAGCTACATACAAAAGAAGTAAGGTATGTGTTAGAAGTAAAAAGTATATATAGTAGCACTACTAGAAACGCACGAATAAGTTGATGGTTGAGATATTACGTACATTACTAAACAAACCAGACAGTAAAGAAGGAAGAAAATTATGTGTCTTGTCATCCATGCTTCTTGAATTAGATATGTAAAGTGTTAGCATTAGCAGTCAAAAGCTATGGAGAAACTGGTGATTGGGAGGAAAACTGGTTGGAGAATATGATGAGGAAGAATGAATTGGAGTCGTAGCTGTCTTCAGTTCAGGGAAGGCATTGTTGGAATAATTTAGTTGTGTTGTTCCATTTTTAGTCATTATTGCTTAGTGTTTTTGTTGTTTTGATGAATAGGATTAATTAGCTAAGTTGTTTGCCGTGGGTGTGGGCTACGGTCTAGTAGTTGAGTAGAAGTAGGTAATCATAGATAGTGCGTTGTTGTTTTATAGGAAGTGGGTTGGTTGTTAGAGGTATGAGTCTGAAACTGCAGCTTAGCAGAAGCTTGGCTCCGTGTATATATTTGTTCCTTTGATCATTCAATAAAAGTAGTCAGTTTGCGTCATTGAGTTTTATCATTGCGGTATCAGAGCTCTTTGCAAGCTGGTAACAAAACTAAGTTAAGTGTGCGTTGCTGTGTGAGTGAATTTGCATAACAGAGTTAGATCTTTGGGTGGGAAACACGAGTGTACTAGAAAGGATCTGCAAGAAGGGGAAAACACAACGGGTGAGTGCAAACAGAGAATTGTGAGTGTGAGAAATAAAATGAGTGAGTCTAGCAGCTTTGCAAAAATGTGCATACCAAAATTTGATGGAGACTTTGAGCATTGGAGTCTTGTCATGGAGAACCTTCTTCAGTCAAAGGAGTATTGGCAAGTGGCGAGTGATGGATTCAGGGAACAAAGAGAAGGAGAGGAGATGTCAGCAGTTGAAACAAAGGAGCTAAATGATTTGAAGGCCAAAAACTATCTATTCAACTCTATTGATAAGGTAATTCTGAAAAATATTTCCAAGAAGGGCACATCTAAGGAATTGTGGGATTCTATGAGATTAAATATCAAGGAAGTGTTAGAGTTCAAAAAGTTAAATTGCAGGCTTTGAGAAGAAATTTTGAGCTTCTTGAAATGAAAGAAAGTGAAACCGTGACCGAGTATTTTGGAAGGATTATGGTTGTGGTTAATTCCATGAGGAATTATGGTGAAGTTATGCAGATCTTTGCCTTTCATTCGGATTTTTGTGTTCGATTTGTAGGTCGGCGTAGTAATAGGGTAGTTCATTTGGTGGCTTAAAAGGCCATTTTTTTGTACCCGACTGCGTGTCGTTTCTTTGATTTTTAGGCCTCGCAGAATTCCAAGGTGTAACTGTCTCTTTGTCTATCAATATATGATTATCTTTTGTATAAAAAAAAACACTTCATTTGCACAAAGGGATAACTTATAATCTTATATACGTTTATGCCATCTATATGCCCTAAATTGTCAATAGTGGAGTTGACTGGGTCATCGTTTAATTATCACAACTCTTTTTTCCAATTTCTACATGTAAAATAGTTTTTACATTTCAATAATTCAATCAAGTATAATGTAAAAGTGGGTTTTCTCCAACAGCACACCCGTTTTTCTAACATTTTACTTATAAAGTCTAGGAACTAATAATTCTTCATAATTTAAGGAATATAGATATCTATGATTTGTCCATATAACTACAAGGGTATCTCTTATTTTTCTCGCCGGTCACTTTCTCGTATAAATTCCACCTAAAATGGGTAGTAAAGCCTGCAGCAATCAGTCTGATGGAAAATAAAGCAAATTGGTTTTGCTTGCTAAGAATAAGATGCTTTTGTCTAGTGCCTTATACAAAGAGAAAAAAAAAAAAAAACATAAAACCAAATTCAGTTCATCAGTCAAACTCATTTTGATCCCCTCAATGAGGTTGATATACATTATATAGCCAGCCTTCTATCTCATGATACAGAAACAAGATAACCCTAGTTGGTAATGGGGAAAAAAATAAAGGGTTTTTTTTTATGAATGTGTTAGACATTTTGATTTGTCAACACATGGATGATCGTCGTCTCTTTACTTGTAAAAACCTTTGTGTTTATTGATAAACATGATGCGATCGATCGTTGACATTTGATATGGTATCTACGAAAACAATGATGACAAAAATATTATCAAACTCAATTCCTCGATTAACTAACGACCCACTCGCTTACAGATTCATCGATCGATACACTATTTATGGTTGACAGAGAACAAAGCTCATGCTAATAGAATACGAATATGAGAGAGAAACCCAATCGATTCGATAATATAAAAGAAAACTCATCAAAAATACAATTTGAAGTACAAATTAAGCTAGCTGTGAGGGGGCATGATGATTACGTTCTTCATCGAACTAATTAGCATACAAAATGATGATGAAACGATAATTAATTATTTCACCAGAACCAACTACCTATAGCTACCTGTTAATTAATACCCACCCCCAATATTGATATGCAGCCGCCGTATAGTATTACTATTTATATATAACGTTACAATTTCTAATGTATATGTAATTAATTACTGTCATCCTGCAGCAATGTATGGTGCATACAATAGACTCGCCGTAGCCTCTTGCAGCCATTGATCTTCTTCTTCTTCTTCTTCCGATAGCCGCTGCGGCGGCGGCGGCGTAATTACGTCTTCTTCGGATAACTCGCTGCTGCTATTCCTTGCAAACCTCCCTCGCACACGTACTCTTCTGTCGGCCAACGTTTTCCGGCAAGCATACTGCATGTTTATGCACATGTTTTTAATTAACAATAATAATGAAAACCCATCAAAAGTTATTAATTAATTGCATCGAGATATGAATTATAAAAAGTAAATTATTACCTTGATGGTTTTGTTGAAGTTTCTTTGGTTTCTCTTCTTCAAATACCTTAGGATCCTGTCCTTCCTCTCCTCCGCCGTGTATTGCCCAACCTTCACGTCGGCATTAATATTATTGTTATTGCATAATTGCGTCGTCGTCGTCGTCGTCCCCTGGAAAGCAACATATATAAGCACATCCACTAATCATAATTAACAACGTGATCAAGAATATAATCCATCAACCGTGACAAAAGCTATATATGTATGCATGCTGCTTACGTAATAATTGTCCATGTCAGCAGCTACTGCCGCAGCCGATGGAGCACGTACGTAATTAGCCGCCGCCGGCTGCTGGCCATGGTAGCAATTAGTAGCCGCGCCAAACGACGCCGTTATTGATCCACCATCAACATTGTCAGTCATCCCGCTTCCGATATTATTGAACAATATCGCCTCGGGATCACGATCAAGAGAAAACGATGAAACGGGATCAGACTCGAACGAAGACGATGTCGTATTGAGAAGTTCATGAAGTGATGATGATATGGGCATGGCGGCGTAATGGTTGGGAGTCGTCGCCAATAAAGAGTTCTCCTCCTGATGATGATGATTGGCGACGAGGGATAGCATGATCTCCGACAGCTCTTCCTCGGAGAATTTGTTGATGATGAGCTGATCGTCGCCGTCCACGTTGAAGTTGGAGCAGAAGGAATAGTGCTGAGAATCCATTGGAGCAAAAAAGAAAGGACGACGAAAGAAAGTAGAGGTAGGAGAAAGAAAGGGGAATTTTTGGGAAGTGGTGGCTTGGTTTTTTTTTTTTTTTTTACACTACAAGAAGGTTGTATATATAGTGGTTAATTCTTATTATTATTATTATATATATAATTAATTAGTTAATATTGATTGTAAAAAGTGGGGTTTCATCTGTCAAAGCAAAACATATGCAAGTTGGTTTTTACTTTTTAGCCGCCGCGTCTCGTTCGTTATATTTTTCCTATTACAAGAAGCTTTCTTTTTCTTTTTGGTTATTGAGGAACCGATTAATTAGCTAGATGAACAGGATTTTGGTTACTAAAAAGTTTACCTACTACGATACCTGAGTGAATATGATCTCCACCAGACATACGTAACGCTTTAGCTAGTACACGAAAGTGTATACCGTGATTCTTTTGTCTATCAATAACTGCATGCATTGCGCGGTGGATGTAAAGAAGTAAACCATTATCTTGGCAATAATGAGCCAAGCTAGTATTAGCGGTGAATCCCCCTATTAAGTAGTCGTGCATTACAATAGGAACTCCCAATTCTCTGGCAAATACAGCCCTTTTGATCATTTCTTCACATGTACCCGCGGTAGCATTGAAATAATGCCCTTTGATTTCCCCTGTTTCAGCCTGTGATTTATAAATAGCTTCGGCACAAAATAAGAAACGGTCTCTCCAACGCATAAATGGTTGGGAGTTCACGTTTTCATCATCTTTGGTAAATTCAAGTCCACCACGGAGACATTCATAAACAGCTCTACCATAATTCTTAGCGAATAAGCCCAGTTTCGGTTTAATAGTACAGCCCAATAGGGGGCGACCATACTTGTTCAATTTATCTCTCTCAACTTGAATCCCGTGAGGAGGGCCTTGGAAAGTTTTAGTATAAGCAGGAGGAATTCGCAAATCCTCCAGGCGTAGGGCGCGCAGAGCTTTGAACCCAAATACATTACCTACAATGGAAGTAAACTACTGATCACAATATATACACATGTGCCCCAGAAACTAAACCCCACCCACATATGATCCATATAGATTTCAAAGAGATCTGAGTGCTGTTTTCCATTGACCACAAAAGCAAAGGGAGGAGGAACTTATGAAGAATAAATAAAGTGTGAGTTTGGAGGAACCATGGCCAAGGAAAACTAGAACTAACATATGTGGCCCAATTTTGCTAAAAGGGAAATTAGAAAAACATTGAATTAATACTATTCCCTCCAACTCTAAGTCCAGCCATTAAGGTAGGTAGTGCCCCCAAAATATAAGGGTATGTAGCTAGTTATAGGCTAGAATAAAAATCCACATGGCTGTGCAAGATTTGCATCCACATTCAAGTACAAACATATATCCCCCAAAGATTTAGGTTTTCTTTCTTTCTTTCTTTCTTCCTCTCCCTCTTTTATTTGTCTAGTTTTGCTTGGCTTGGCCTGTAGCAGCATTTGGACACTGTTATACCTCCCACTTGAGTACAAGCTCCCTTATAAAGCTAGCTAGCTTTTGGTTTGGCATCCACATTCAAGTAACAAGACTAAGGTATTACTTATTAGACTTACATGGTTTATTATTTGTGTGCCTACATGTCCACCTAAGAGGAGGGTGAGAGATGGATGCATTACTTTTCAGAAACTATTTTTTTTTTATAAAGGTGATATAGGTTTTTTTTTGTGATTAAGGTACTACTTAAGGGATTCGAACCTGGGACCTTCAGGTTTAGGCTAGTGGTAATGATAGAATCGTTGTAATAGTCCGTAATGATAGAATCGTCGTATTTCTCATGTTAATTATTTATCTGCCTACTATAAATAATTGTAATTGCCTCAAAATAAGTCAATTTGAAATTCCTCATGCATTAATTCATGTAAATTTTGTGTTGCGGCCAAACAGATCAAATAAATCTGTTAGAATTCCCCATTTAAATAACCCCTTGGTAATTTCAAGGAAAAATAAAGCCCTTCACGGATAAGTGCTTTGGTCAATGGTCAGAGATCGATATATACCCAAATTCCCCTTTACTGAGAATTCCCTGCTTGTACTGGAATTTGTGGAAGCTCAGTAGGGCTAGCTCTCTATACCTTTAGAAGGAGAGGGCAAGGGGCAAGGGGGCATAATTGGTTCAAAATTATTTCTTGAAAGAGGTATCTAATATCTCTATGCACAAAGTACAAATCTCTTTTGTTATCCTTGAGGTAAAAAAATTTGATTCCTCAGCTTCACATTTATCCCTTGCTTTTCTTGTTATTGGTACTTCAATTTATATATATATATATATCTTTTTACTCAAACATATCCATAAGACACAGCCTCTCATCAACAAATAGAAAGCAAAAAGATCCAGATACAATATTAGAGAAGATGGGAGACTAGGGTAGGGGTGATCAATAAAAGGAATTTTCTTTGTTTTAATTAGGGGCAGTAGCAGTACAATAGTATCAGGTGCCTCTCTATAGTACTCAAACTTAGCCATCAAGCTAGGTAAAAGCTCCCCATGCATGCAAATCAAAGACTGGCAGCTGGTGATCTCTCCTTGATCAATTCAGTAGAACAAATCAAATGATTGTTCACCACTTCTTACAGAGCAAAAAAGGATCAACACACTGAATCAATCCAGCACTTTGCTTATGTAGTTGAAATCTTTTTGATGAGAAGTGTGTCAGTAGGGAACCTCATCACCAATTTTCAGTTTATTTCATTTCAGAAACTAAAAAAAAAAACACTTGAAGAGAAGGGGGAACCCTGTTCTTTGCTATAGCTCTGCAATCCTTATGAACTGACAGAATTCCTTAGAATCTTTCGTTTTTTGTGCATGTATATGTGCCCTAGTGATTTGTTTGGTTTGTTTGATGGCCCCAACAAATTAAAGGCATGTTGCCTGGAAGTGAATCTTTTTTTCTTGGAGCATATATATAAGATCAGTACTATACATATACAACACTTTTTCAGTTTCTTCCCCTTCTTTTTTTTTTTTTTTTATATCAGTCTCCAACACTCTTTAAAGGTCAATTTCATGAATGGTCATTCAGCTTTATTTTGTAACCGACTGCTCATGATTGGTGAAACTTGAAAAGATAAACATTTTGGAGATTATTTATCATCACAAGATCAAGTTAGTCCAACTTGTCCGAGTTAGTGTGCTACTTCATCAAAATAGATAATATGTATTTCACACGACATTTTTATTGGCTCATATATAACCCATTACGCTAAAAAATAACCTAAAGAAACTGATTACTCAATCCAATAATTATTGAGCCTACTTCTCTAACCCTCTACCAAATAGCTAATAGGAGGGCTACTATGAACTTTTTCATTATTATTTTTAGTGAGTTAACACTCCAAATCTAGATAACTTATGCTAAAAAATTGTTAACTATTATAAATCTTAGTGAATTATTTGTTACCAACCCAAAAGTTCGGTGACCATTTCTGCAATGGACCCAACTTGGTCCTTTCTAGTTTCCAAGTATCCTACTTTTGTGTTTTTTGCTGGTTCTCTTAACAAAATTTTGGAAGTCCTTTCTTCCAAGATTTTTTGTCCAGCTTTTCCTCAACATGTTCACCTCAAATTTATGCAAACAGGGGTGGCAATGTCCCCCCATCTCTTGTATGGTAAGGAGAGATTTGACCAAATAAGTCACAAAAAAATCGAGATTGATATATTTTTCAAATTATAATGACCCATTTTAAGGTCAGATTAATGATTAAGATGAAAGAACTAACATGAGACGATATGTTTTAATAAAATTGATAATCTTTATTTTCAAATCTGTTTTCTAATAATTTGATTGTTGATATATTATTACAAATTTAAATTATCTCATTATTTTGTTATGTATGTTATGATAATCTTTGGAAAAGGAAATCAATATATTGATGTAAACGTACATATTTAGACTGATACATGTTCATAAACTAATTTCGGTTTCAGACCAACGTTAATAGTTCGATTTATTATGAGGAAAGTTGTTTGTTACTGCAGCATCCTTCTTCCTTGCGATTAAGAGGAGGGCCAACGGCCGTCCGCAGGCCAGCTGCATCAACGATAGCCATTCTCTCTTTCGTTTCGTTTTGATTACCTCGGAAAATGGATAAATAATTAATAACGAATCAAGTTAATCGAATTCCGCAGCAAGAAACTGCTTAGTTACCTTTTTTGGGTCTCGGTGTGAAGCTCGGAGACAGAAATGGCCGTCCGTCGCTGTCACACACCGCCGGCGGTCGGGAAAGAGAGCTCCGGAACGGCCAGATTTCCTCCCGGTCAATATATCGCAAAATAGTCAACATATCGCGTAAATATCGCGATATATAGATATATCGTGAGATATCGCCAATTTCACTTTCTCGTCAATTTCTCGCGTTTCGATTTTGGTTTTGAGAACTCGAAACGTTCCGCGTTTCTACGTTTTTTTGCTCCCGTTTCTCGCTCCGCGTGGGTTTGGCCGCACCGTTTTGCTTTGGATGGGCTATTTCCGCCTGACGAGGGGGTATTTGGCGGGTTCCTTATGGGCCCTCTCGGAAAGGCATATTGGACTTCACCCGCTGAATTTCATGGGCCTGCGGCTGATATTCCTGCGGCCCGCGTTGGTTTTCCCGGTTTTAAAAAAACACCAACTATATAAATACGACCTATCGGAATCGGAACCCCACCACCGCAGCGATCTCCCGCCTTTCCTAGATCGTCTGAAATGAAATCCCTAAAATCTCTTAGATTCCGGCGCTACAAGCATTTTTCGCGATGGCGGTGGATGGTCGAAAAGAGCTCACGGCGAAACTAGAGGGGCTCTTGGCGAAAGTAAAGGAGTTGGAAGAGCTCGAACGCGAAGAGGTCGAAGGAGAAGGAGAAGGAGGAGAAGAAGAAGAACTCCCGGCTTATGGTCCACTCGGTCGCGAAGCCACACTGACGCTGGAGAGGACTTGCGCGCTCGACGATCACCTGGCTCGTTTGCAGGAAAAGCTGCGATCTGGAATCGATCTCAACGAATTGAGGCAGCACGTCGAGCAGGTTAGCGAGATGGTGGAAGCTCTGCGTGAAGCATATTTCAGCCATGTAACGGCAATCGAAAAAGGACTCTGTTCTTATTAGATTTGCTGGTTCTGTCTTTCTTTTCTAGTTCATATCAATGTAGGATCTTTTTGAGCTAGCCTGATTAATACAGTAAGTTTGTTAGTATTTGCTGAGTTTATTGTTCTTAGTAGCCAAAAGATTGGAGGGCAAATGCAAGATATTCCACTGCCCTTTTTCATGGCGGATGATAAGGGGAAACAGACGCTGAAAGCAAAAGATCATGTAAAATGGAAGTTTCCAATGGACCAAAAATCATTCATCGACAACGACAATGTTGACTGCATAAAGATTATCTATCTACAGTATTTGCATGATGTCAATGAAGCCCTAACAACATTCTACTTCTACTTGCTGCTGAAAATACATGTCACTGTGATTTGTCGATGATTGTGCATCCTCGAATGATTCGTCAGAAGGAACTGACTGGTGCGGAAGTAGTTGAATCAGTTTTGATGTACCACCTGTCATGTAAATGCAATAACTTACGTTAGATTCAGTGTTTCAGAATAGCCTTAGCATACCAATCTTGGAACGTTATGAAGTTCTTATGGATGGATAAGCTTTGAAGATAGTGGCGGATGAACAGCATACCTAGTTAGGTCTGGATGCCTTGAGCATTTGGCAATTTCAGTGAGCACTACTACGGTTGAGCAACCCTTGAAATGATGAGAAGAGATCTTTGTTCTCTGTCCCAAAGATCTCTTCTGCTTTCCTCAAAGTTTCCTAGAAGACAGAAGAGCATTTGAATAAGCAAAGCAGACCAAACACTGTAACAATGACCAAGATGTCAGTCTTCAAGCCAATAATAGCTTACCTCCCGGGTTTGCTTCTGGGCATTTAGTTCCTTGATGTTAGCCAGAAATGCACTGAATTGCTCGTATGATAGGCGACTCCTGAGTTGCAATACACACGTGAGTGACAGGACTGAAGTGCAAGTACTGTTAACCATGAGATTTTATATGAAAGCCCATGTGGGAAAAACAGTTGAACTCACCTGGCCTGACGAAAGAACTCCTTCCCGTCAATTCGTGGAGTCCGTGCTACAGAGATTTCACAAATACAATGTTTAACGTTAAGAGGTGGAATAAAAAACCATCTTTATCAGATTTGCACCTGAAAGTACTGATGTAAGGATGGACCGAGAGTATCACAGAAGACTTCCACTGAGATTTGCAGTCACAAACCTGGCATTGAGCGTCCACGAGGAGGGGAGTTTGCTGCCGAAGACTGTTGACTGGATGGATACCATGGAGAAAAGCTAGTTTGATGTCCTTCGTATTGGGATTTCGTTGGCGATGTCAGAGCAGAGGCCCTCCGAGGTGACACGGCAGTAGAATAACTCCTAGGTGACACACTTGTAGATGTAATTTTTGGGGTTGCAGTTGGAGTAAGCCGTGGTGTGATGTACGGGGTTATGGAGAATCTTTGTCCAGCAGACTTTGCAGCTGTTACATCAGCATATCAGCATAAGAATCATGAAATGAACTCAAACTTTAGCATACAGTAACGAAAAATCGACATTTCTAAGATAACTGGTGAAACCCATTTAGCTTTTGTCATTCGGTTTAAGAGGGTAACAAATGTTAGGTGCCCTGGGTAATTGGTATGTCTGACTGAGGCATGTCATCCAAAGGTTACAATTCAGATGCAGACGCTATTTGACTACAGCTTTCAGTTGCCAAAGTACGGAAGAAACAGAGAGGAGGAAACATTGTTACATTATTCATCCTAAGAGAAGTCTACTCTAGGCCTAGCCACTCCAATTAAAGATCTTCTTTTCATAAAACAATATAAAGACCATCAATCGTCTAGAAAAAAAGTACACAGGCAAGAGCAGTTGAATACCTTGATCAGCTGTACTCATGTCGGTAGAGCCACTGTAAGAATAGTCCCTGGCATATCCATTTGACACTTCATCTGTCAAGAAAGAAGCAGGATGGTAACAGAAAATAAGTAGACATCAAAACATCAAAGTTGATCTAACTGATAAACAAAAAGAGCAGTAATATCATCAGCCAAAGGGAAATTCCCGGAGCACCAGAAGCTCTTCGACACACTACCTTTATCAGGATATGCCTTTGGTGCACGTTGATCATATGCTTTAATATCAACAGTTTGTGTTGGCTGCAAAACATAGAAAGTGAAGTCAATTACTCTATATAATACAGGGAAGGAAGAGGATAAATTAGAAGAAAACTAATAACAACAAGTGAACAGCACATCTTACCGATGGAGTGTCATCACTAAGTGACTGCATCAGCTGCCTCTTGAAGTTCTCCAACTGCAATGAAACAAGTCATCCTAGTCATTTCTCTAGGCATGCACGGAGAACACTAAACCGAAGAGAAGTCATTTCTCAAGCCAAACACACCGGCCCACACTAAACATGCAGAAATCTATGTACAAGAACACTAAGCAAGTGCATATAGGTAGACCATGGCTGAACTGAGTCATCAAACATACTTCATGCCAACCTAATTCTCAACAACTGCAGAGTAAGCAAGAAACTCAATTGCATTTCTGAATAATGGCAATGCAGCATACCTTTGCCAAATCACGGCCAAGCTTCTTCACGTTGGCAGCCAACGAATCCCTTTCCTTAGCAAGTTTAACCTTCATCATGAAAACAACAGTAAGAGAACCAAGCAAGAGTGAATTCCCAAAAATCAACCTCAATATCCAAAATTTCGCAGAAACCCTAACACCCATTGATCAAATTGCAGACTCAAATGTTTGTTCTTTCCGATAACGATACTAAAAATCGGAAAGGGAAGAGTTCCCCCTCTACTTACATTCTCATCAAGGGTGATCTTCAGCCTCGACTCGGCCTCCCGGTACGCCCGCTGCATTCGAGACGCTTTCTCTTCGAGCTCGTAAGCAATTCGATCCTTCTCGTACATCTGCTGCTTCATTCTTCCCACTTCCGCTTCCAGGTTCGACACACGGGAAGCGATTGCCATGGAAGTGATCTTTCGCGCCAGATCCAGCTGGTCATACGGGTCGGCCGGTATAACAGCCAGAATTTCGTCCGGCAAGTCGAAGTCCGGGCCCCCGCCCCCGCCGCGGCCGGCGACAACTATGCTGCCTTCTCCGCTTCCCAGCTGCGACATGGCCGAATCTTCCTTTTCTACCTCGAAAAATCAGAAGAATCTGCCGGTAGAAATCGGTCGCTCTTCCACGGGGTTTTTGGTTTAGGAAGTGAAAGAGGTAAACGATAGACTAGAGAGAAGATGGTCGCTGGTCGTCCTGTGAGAGTCTGAGACAGGGCTGGCTGGTGACGTACTGGAAAATTCCCCAATTGACAACCATCTTTTTTTCCCCACCTAATCTTTATTCTCCCAATTTTACCCATACTAATAATTCCATTCTTTATTTCTTTTGCTCTAATTATATAATTATGCAAAATTTTACATTTTTTACTATGATTTTTCATACTACCTGTTCTTTTTATTTCAAATTCAAGCGTTTTAGTTATTATTAGATGTGAGACAAATTGAATCCGTAGAATATTGTATGTAAAAGGGGGAAAAAAATAAAAGATATATAACGGAACATACAATTTTTAATGAAAGTGACTACAAAACGTAATTGGCAATGGGTAATTAATTATTGTTGGTGTTTGAATTAACGAATATATAAGAAGGTGTGGGCTGTTTCTTACTTTCTTTGCTCGATTATTGACTTGTTTAAAGATTTGAAAGTTTGTTTTATTAGAGTGGGATCAGTTAGTAGGAAAAGAGAGGGAATATTATATGTTTGGTGGGGACTGCGTACGAAAATTTGAAATTTTTGGAGGGCTTTCCCCTCAAGATGGCTGCGGGTGGACCGAGACCTTGCTCACCTCTTACGCAATTATGGGCCTCCAAAGTTAGTGGATCATGCATTGTCGGCCTTTGAATCTGTTTACCGCCATATGATTTGGGCCCTAATCCGCGGGCCCAATTATTCTCCTTCGCGCTCCTTTCGTTCTACTCCTGCTTTTCCGTTTCATTCCGGAATAGAGAATATCCAATCACTGTCCAAATCTCCATCGGCATTCCTTCGCGTTTCCCCGGGATCGCCCATTGCCATAGTCGGTGCGGCATCTTGCTTCGTTCATTACTAATAGTCGGCTGCGCTACCGGACCGAATTTCAGCCGGCGGGGGACGGAAAGAGGAAGCAGAAGAAGACAGAGATGTCGGTGATGATGGTGACGAGCTTAGGGGATTTAGTGGTCGACTTGTTCACCAACGAGTGCCCTCTCACTTGCAAGAACTTCTTGAAGCTCTGCAAGTAATGCTTATGATTCCGTACCTTATTTGTTTGATTTGTTTGCTTATCATGCGTATGAGTGATTGCACTGGATAGCTGTGTTTTTTCTAGGTGAATGATGGATGGCGATTCTCGTTTGAATTTGCATTAGGTTTTTTTTCTCTCTCTTGCAAAATTGCTGTCAGTTGAGAGTTTGTATGCATCTTGATGACTTTGTGCGTTGTTTTTTGGTTTGTTTGGTTGAACTGATGAAGGATGAAGTATTTCAATGGGTGCCTGTTCCACACGGTTCAGAAGGATTTTACTGCGCAGACTGGTGATCCTACTGGTACAGGTGCTGGTGGTGACTCAGTCTACAAGTAAGACTCGATGAATAATGGGATTGTATAAGCTTGAATGTGTTTGAAAATGCTGTTTGGGGTGTACTAGTAGTTTGGTGCTTTTCCTTGATATTCGGTTTTGCCTCATGTAGCATATATGGTTAGCTAGTGCTCATTACCTATTGTCGCACTCTGCTCGATTTCCAGATTTCTTTACGGAGACCAAGCCCGCTTCTTCAACGATGAAATTCATCCTAATCTAAAACATACAAAGATGGGAACTTTTGCAATGGCTAGCGCTGGAGAAAATATGAATGCTTCACAGGTTTGATGTTCTCTTGCTTGGTAAATAGCCACTGTGACGTCATATTTTTTAGTTCTAATGTGTTGTGTTCTTTCTCTTTTTCAGTTCTACATCACGTTGCGTGACGACCTGGACTATCTGGATGGGAAGCTTACTGTAAGTATCTTCCACTACTTCTCTCTGGGGATAGTTCTGTTATTATTCAACAGTATTAGGGAGTTATATGGTATAATGCAACTATATTTCTGTTGTTTTAGGTTTTTGGAGAGGTAGCAGAAGGACTGGAAACTACTTTGACTAGAATCAACGAAGCTTATGTAGATGAAAAGAACAGGCCATATAAAGATATAAGGTTCGATATCCTTACTTTACGCAGCTCCAATCTATATACACACACATATCAAAATATTACTACTTCATGCAGACAATCTTTATATGATTGCTGATAGATTATTTTGACTTTCAACAGGATAAAGCACACATATATACTGGAGGATCCTTTTGAAGATCCCAATGAGTTACCTGGGTTGATCCCTGATGCTTCCCCAGAAGGAAAGCCAAAGGAAGAGGTATTAATGATCTATAGTTATTTTTATATATTAATAAACCATCTTGAAGTAACATATCAGGTATTAGTTTTTTATTCTTATTATGTCTACATGTTTTTCAGGCTCTTGACGTGGTTCGGCTTGAAGATGATTGGGTTCCCTTGGATGAGAAATTACGTCCAGAAGAACTTGAAGAGATTATTAGAGAAAAGGATGCACATTCTAGGGCTGTTGTGCTCGAGAGTGTAAGCATCTATTTTTGTAAGTTGATCATATTAATGGTTTAATGTTCTGCCTATAGGGATTGACCCTGTTTTGCTTCTTTTCTATTGTAGATTGGGGATATCCCTGATGCTGATGTGAAGCCTCCTGAGAATGTATTGTTTGTGTGCAAACTAAATCCTGTCACTGAAGTAGGTTGCATAACTTGTACTTCCAGTAGTTCGTATCAGGACCATTTCATTTCTCTCTTTTCTTCAGGAAGTCTACTAATATATGATTTGTCATGCAGGATGAGGACTTGCATACAATTTTTTCACGTTTTGGGAATGTGGTATCGTAAGTAATCAATTATAAATCTTCAACACAAATTTATCTATCTATGATGTTAGCAAGCCTATTGACTGAACACAGATTGCATCCTGTGTGATTGGTTACAGGGCTGATATAATTCGAGAGTTCAAAACTGGAAACAGCTTGTGCTATGCATTTGTAGGTATGTAGCTTCCTTTCTTCACAAATTTCATAGCAGAACAGCTAAGTCTCCTATTGTCTCCAACTTGTTAATCTCTTTAAGTTATAGACCTCCCTTCTATCTTCACAACTGCATGTCCTTATTCCTCTTCGCATCTCAATATTTATCCAGATTTTGAGACCAGAGAAGCATGTGAACGAGCATATTTTAAGGTATGGTGAAGACTAATAAAATGGCATTTTGATTCATTCCACTCATTCCTAACAATGTGAGTCGAATACACTGATTATCTCTTTGTTGTATACCGTAGATGGATAACGCTTTGATAGATGACAGAAGGATAAAAGTTGATTTCAGCCAGAGTGTTGCAAGACTATGGGGTCAGTATAGGCGCAGAGGCAAAGATTCAGGTAAGATAAGCAAAGACGTTCTGATAAGTGACAGACATAAATTATGCCATTTATCATGTATAATCCATGGGATGGGTGTGGACCGAATTAGAGGGGAATTGGCATTATTTTATTCAGTTTTGATGCGCAAATCCATGCGTTTGGATAAATGCATGTTGAGATTTACTAATTATGGCATTATCATGTATAATCCAAGGGGTGGGTGTGGACCAAATTGGAGGGGACTTAGGATAATTTGATTCAGTTTTGATGCTCGAATCCAAGACTTCTTGGCTTTGATCCCATTGGCTGACTAAATCAAATTTGGAAAAGACCACTACTATGTTGTTCTATTGGCTACCTCACTTAAAGAAAACCTTTCCAATTGAATGTGTTTGTGTTTGATTCTGCCTCCCTTTCTTTTATTCTCGATATGAACCTGTGACAGTTCTGGACCGGACCGGTCCAATGTTGCCTAGGAGGCATGGCCGAATTTGGACTTCTGTTTCTTGATTTTCAATGTTGTTTCTTACTTTCTCGTTATTCCAACATCTGGAGCGCAGGTGGAGGTTGCTTCAAGTGTGGTGCTGTCGATCATCTTGCAAGGGACTGTACTGAAGGTCCTGGTTCTAAAAGTCGGGGTCCAAAGTACATCCTGAAGGATGATAACACACAGCGTGGTAGTGATAATTCAAGGTTCGTCGTCATCTCCCTCTCTCTTTAGCCTGATTGTCTCTGCATGGCATTGGAATCCGACTTATATCTGATGTTCAATTATAGGTATGCCATGGTGTTTGATGGGGAAGCTCCTGGAAGCCCAATAGAAGAAGAGAGTCGCAGAAGCCTGGGGGAACCAGATGAGCAACTTGACAAGGAAAGGAGGAGGCATAGAAAAACCTCAGATGGTCGAGACGAAGAGAAGGATTCATCAAAGAGTAGGATACGTCAGAGTGACAGAAGGCGGGTCGATGAAGATGATAGTGATAGACGACGTGACAGCAAAGCAACTCGGTATCAACATGACAGCAGAATCAAAAACCACGATGGTGATAAGGGAGATGGTAAAAAGACAAGCATTGATCATCACGGTCGTGGAGAAAGAATAGACAGCGACAGAGACAAAGATCATTACCAGAGGAGGAGTGGGGAAGGCGATTACTGGAGAAGAAGCGACGATGGCGAGGATAGAATTCGCCGGAAAGAGTTGGATGATGACAGTAAAGAGCGTAAACGAAGACACGGAGAGAGTGACCGGCGAGAAACGAGGGACAGAGAAGAACGAGATGAGGGTAGAGAACATAAGAGAAAAGACCCCGATGGTGACCACAGGCGAGAAACTAGGGACAGAGAACGAGAATTTAGGCACAAGAGTGACAAAAGGAGATGAACCATCAGACGTTTTATCTTTGGCTTTCTTCGGGGTTTTAAGCCTGCACTATATTGTGATATGTTGTTTATAGCCTCAACACATCAATGGTGTTTCGAAAGGATGCCATCTATTGATGGTTCCCCGGTTCCATGATACTAGACAGGAAAGAGTATGAGAGTGTTTTCTTTGCATTATTTCATCTGCTTTAATTATACAGGAGACTACAGCTGTGACCAAACTATCAGCCTATTTCTCTGATCGTGCGGTGACATTGCCGGGGCAGATTCTTTCGCCAAAATGTACACATTTTAAGGGGTTGTTTGGATGGAAAACTTGGTAGTGAAATGTGGTCTGGAAATGTCGCCCCTTTTCACTTCTGCAAACGACCACTATGTATGAACAAGATGATGAACACAGCCTATAAGAACATGTTATTTACAGCCTTGCTTGCAATCTTTGCTACCTATAAAACGAACCTACTCTGTTATAACTAAAACATTCAGCTTTGAGGTAATGCATTGGTGAGGATATGGAATTCATTTGCATCAACGATCCCAACTCAAACTCTTTCTCATTCATTGTCCCAGCTATGGATCATTCAGCATCAAAATTTCGGCAGTCCCCCCACCTCGAAAGAATCCCATCGTTTTTCTGCTGTCGAAGTTCACCATTCACTATAACTGGTGCCTCTTACGTTTACTCAACGCAAGCATCCAGCAGTTGCACCTCTCATGTCCGTGTTTCTTTGCCTACGGATGTGCATTGTCTTGTTGTTTGTTTCACTTTACAGGTTGAACGCCAACAGTTCTGACACGGAATCTGTACTGTGGTCGTGGCTCCTCTTCATCATCATCATCGTCGTCATCATCATCCTCATCGCTTGAGTCGTCCTCGACCACTCTATCCCAACGTGCATAATCCAGTGCCGAGTGTCCCTTTGGTTTCGGAATTGCCTGCCAACCATTGGACTGTTGCTCGGTTGATACTTTACTTGTCCTCTGTGCTTGTGCAATAACTTCAGATGCAATGGTTCTCCTAGGCTCAGGCTTCCTCTGTGCTTGCGCAATAACTTCCGCAGTGATGCTTTTTCTTGCTTCAGATTTCTGATCTCCTCCGCCTCCATCAGAAGACTTCTTAATGCCTTCTTCCATAGAGACAGTAGTCCGATCTTGTTCAAGCATACTGGTTTGCAATATGCCAACATCTTGGTCTTCAACTTCTTCATCTTCTTGTCCCTCTTCTGAGTCATCATCTTTCTCATCCTCTTCTTCTTCCTCCAACTCAGCTTCGGATTCCGGTATTGGAGCTAGGGACTTCCTTCACCAAAAGAAAAACAATTTCAGCAATCAACATTAAAAAAAAAAAAAAGATAATTGAGTAGTTCTCAATCTGAATGTAGCAACCAATAAACAAGACAAGATAAGATAAGTCATCCACAAACTTCAAAGTTGTTTATCAGGATCAGAATCCCAACTGAAGCATTGCAGCAGGATCAAATCACCTAGCCAAACTTCGGGGGTCGACAGCTACTAAAGTTCATCGAAACAGATCCATACAAGATCAAAGAAAGTACATATCTTTGTCAACGATATCAAAGTAAAGCAGATTACTTTACCAGCATTCCGAAATTCTACACACACTAATACACATTGCCTCAATGCAAGCCTAAATACAGGCAACTGAGTCCTGAATATATCGAAACCATTTTAAACTGACTGATGTCGCAATAAATGCATCAATTGAAGAGGAGAAATTACAAGGCAACGAAAGCACACATCCAAAGCGGGCGCCTAAAATGTATCAAATTACCAATTGAGTCCTCAATCGAGTTTCCAGGTTCTGGTAAACTTCGGAAGATGGATTCAACTCCATCAGCCGATTGACATCGAACAACGCCGAGTGATAGTCTTTCAGCGTCACCAACGTCTGCGCCCGCAGCATCAAAGCTCCTGTGTGGTCGTAATCCAGCTCCAGCACGGAAGTACACTCTTCAGCTGCCTGCAACACAAACGAAGTCGCAAAGTTAAATCGAATTCCCAAAAACCAAACATTTGAATCCTTCACTTCTCCCATTCAAAATCCATCCGAACTAGGCATAGCACAAGAAAACAGCAAACAATAAGAATAAGAACAAGCAAGGCTTTTTTTTTTTTTTTTTTACTTCGTACCTTCTTGAAATCATGCAACTTGAGGTAGCAAGCAGCTCGGTTGCTATGGAGGGCGATCCTCTGCGGCTTGGTCTTGGCGGCGGCGAGCGCTTCGGTGTAGAATCCCAGCGCGGCGTCGTGCTTCCCGTCCCGGTAGAGCTGGTGCGCCGCCTCGATCTTGCTCGCCGGAGACGACTCCATGGCTCGGAATATCCGACGGTAAGTCTCGGCTTCCAATCTGAAACTCTCTGTAAATAACTATAGAGCAGTAGTGGCGGACGGAGCAATTATAGGCCGATTGATCAAAACAATACAACCCGGGTAATTTGCCTCCGTGGGTTTCTGTCTTTCTTTATAGGATTGTCCAATTTATAGGCAAGATTGGATTTTTCATTGGAATTGTCTGTGAAATGAAATGACTTGCCTTGTGCGCGTCATTCCCCATTTTTAAAGGTTTGAACTTTCAAATGCCAATAAAGTGATAAACACAAAGTTAAGTAGAGAAATTAATTATCAAAGAGTTGATTAGTGATAATTGTATACAAAATATATATCTTTTGGGTTAAAGTCGCAATCTTTCGCAAGCTCGCGTGAAACATTTTTGAAAACAAGCAGAAAAAGATGGTTCGTGGATCCTAATTGGGTCCATCAGGGCCCAACAAAAGGCAAATGAAGACAGATTATTTATACTTTGAGAAGCTTTCTTGTTTGATTTTGCCTCAATTATTACCACCGAAAAGGGTCGACAAGAGATTATGCTCATGTTGATGTTGGCAGTTTATTAGCTGTTCCATGCAAGCAAAGACTAATGTGGGATCGGGTATGAAATCAGATGGAAGAGGAGCTTACACATCATCATCTCCGCCTAGTTCTACAAATGTTGTAATTCAATATGACGACACCAAATCATTTAGATCTCTCACGTTTCATGTTTATAAAAAAGTGACCTTTTTGTCAAATAATTTGAAGCAGTTGTGCTTTACACAACTTGGAAAGAGAACACACTTGACTCAACTTGAACAAGTTCTGTTTAGATCTTGCCAAGTTGCCCTGTCGAAGCTCCCAAACCAAGCAGCACGAGAAAAACGAAGGACAGCTCGAAGCTTCTCATCTTTGCTCAAAACAAGCTTATCGTAACTCCAAATTTAGTTTATACAAATTACAATATACTCCTCAAAGACCTGAATCCAAATCCCACTACTCAAAGTAAATATAAGAATAGACAACAGTAGTCAATATTTTGCCTACATACTACTTAGGAATCACTTCCATCAAGAGCCAGCAAAGCATTTGCCAATATCTCAGCAGCCTGGCTGAGTTCCTCCTGAGTGATAACCAATGGAGGCACGAGCCTGACCACATTGCCCTTCCCAGCAGTCAGCACCAGGAGCCCTGAATTTCGACATGCATCAACCACGGGTGAAGCTGATACGTCCAGTTCTATTCCGATGATGAGCCCGAGTCCTCGAATTTCCTTAACGTGGGAGTTTGAGCCAAGCTTCTGGGTTAAGAGGTTCTTGAAGTACTGTCCCTTCTCGGAGACGCTGGATAAGAAGCCGGGTTTTGAGATCTTGTCCATGACGGAGATGGCAGCGCTGCAGACGAGAGGGCCTCCTGCAAATGTGCTTCCATGGTCGCCATAGTTGATGGCTGAGGCGACTCGTTCGGTTAGCAGGACAGCTCCGATGGGTAGTCCACCGGCGAGTGGTTTGGCGAGGGTCATTAGGTCAGGGAAGATACCGTATGGTTCGTGTGCCCAGAGCTGGCCAGTCCTACCTAAACCACATTGCACCTGCACAAAGCATGAACAAAGGAGTATGTAAGGATTCATCATGAAGTCACTCACACACCAGACGTAAAGTAATAGTTCTAATCGTCAACCATGGCCTATTTCAACAGGCGCCATGATTCCTTCATTCATCATCGTTCATATTTGCCTATTTCATCATTGAGATGCATTGAGGAAACCATGACACTAGCAAGAAGATTAGCCAGGAAAACAGGATCAAAAGCTCAAAAATTATGATTCTATATATGCAGTCTAGTAGCAGAGAACATCATGAGAAATCCCGCTGGAATCAAACCCAAGTTCGATATTCTTACAATCCAGAAGTTAGTGAATGTATTTCTATATGTGCAGTCTAGTAGCGGAGAACATCATGGGATATCCTGCCGGAATCAAACCCAAGTTCTTAATGAAATCTAGCTTTTAAGTCTTTATCTAATTGGTCAGGTACTAAACGATACCAGTGCCTTATTACCTCATCAAAGACCAGAAGAGCTCCAGCTTCATCACACGCATCACGCAGAAACTGCAGGAACTCCTTCCTCGCGCTGTATATCCCTCCTTCACCTTGAACCGGCTCAACGAAAACCGCAGCAGTCTTCCCTCGTTGAATCAACTTCTTCGAGGCTTCTATATCTCCAAACTCCACAAAGCTAACTCCAGGCATAACGGGTTCAAAGGGGGTTCTGTACTGTTCTTTGCTCGTCAGAGCAAGTGCACCCATCGTCCTACCATGGAAACTATGACTGAAAGACACAAATTCAGTCGCCGGCTCTTTGGCATCAGGGTTCGAGTGCCTCTGGAACTTCCTCGCAAACTTAATCGCAGCCTCATTGGCTTCGGTCCCAGAGTTCGAGAAGAACACCCGATCAGCAAACGAACTAGCCACCAGACGCTTGGCTAGCTCAACCTGTCATAATGACATGCAGCTATAAGCTGTCTTAACCAGGTGGAGATCATAAATTCCGAAACTTTCCCAGCAAAACAAACACCCTAAGAAGAAACTAACCTGTTTAACCAAAGACATAAATCACAAATTCTGAAACTTTCCTCGGCAAATAAACTCCCCATAAACTATTTCAACTAGACAAGGATAAACATTGAGGGGGGTAAAATGAAGAATTGAATTGGGGCAAAAACCTGAGGGACAGAGTAGTAGACATTGCTGACATGAGTCAACAGATTAGCCTGCTCGATCACAGCCTTAAGCCAGTCGGAATCGCAGTGACCCAAAGCATTCACTGCAATCCCGGAGGTCAAGTCCAAGTACTCCCGTCCTTCTAGGTCGTACAATTTACACCCTTTGCCGCTGGCGAGCACCAGAGGAGCTCTGGCGTAAGTCCCCACAATCAATTTCGCTTCCGCCTCCATTATCTCCTTGCTCAGATTACCCTCCATTTTTTTGGCGGCAATCTCCGGCGAAGGCTTGACGTCCACGTTGACACATGATACGATTGCTGCTTTTCTCCCTTGCAATCTGATTCCTCGCGACCGTAATCGCTCCGGATTGAGTGCCAATCGGCGGGGATTGAATGCCTGAGACACCGCGACGCCGGAAGTCATCTGGAGGGAACTCATTTTTGCTCGAATGAGAACGAAAAAAGCTGGGTAAGAATGGAGAAGCTTGAGATTTGAGACGCCTCCTTCGAATGAAACTTCCAGAGCCAGCGCCGGTGCTGGACGATGCGTTGCCGCTGCTTCTGCTTTCTCCCGCCGCCGCCGCCAACTGAATGTGAAGAAGTAGTTGGCGACTTGGCGTACGTGTAAGATATTGGGATTTCGTATTTAGGAAAGTTAGTGGCCTACACAACGGGCTGTCTTTGGGCTTTATTTTGGGCCTTTGGGAAATTGGACCCCGTGAATTACGAATGGTTGCCCAGCGGCCCGCGAGCTGGTTTTTGGTGTTGCTGTAGGGTTACATGCAAAATTCACGTGAGAGGTCAAAAGGCCAAGCCATGCATTCAATTTTCATAACGTAAAAAAAAAAAAAAAAAAAAAAACTGAAGGACATGAGTTTTACACCACCATCAGTGAGGCTCTCACTTTACATTTAGTAAAAATCCCTTTAGTATTCCTCACAGAATTACCGTGCCACACAATCAACATTAGAGCCAATCACCGAAAGAGAGAGACGACAATCTTCGTTTTTACCATTCCATGAAAAGTTAAGTCCTCGAAGCACAATCAATCACCAGACAAAAAGAACAACCCTCGGTCTTTTGTCGCCCATCTCCCTAGTAAACACGCCACATTAATTAACTATGTTGCTGACGGTAAAAGCTACTAATTAAGAATGATGATTAATTGAACCATATAGCCAGCCAATCAGCCAAATGCTAGAGCCGGTCGACTATTCGCAGGAACGCCTCAGAGAGCGCGTCGTTCATCCGCATATCATACATCTGCGTCGGCATTTCACCCACACGCCCACGCGCCAGCCCGAGGCACGTGGCCTGACTGCCGACGGCTCTCGCAACGCCGTGATTGGCCCCGTCGTAATCTCCCCGCTTCAAACAGGCTCCGGCAGTTGAAAGCCTCTGGCCCATATCGTCGAACTGCCGGCTGCAGGCCTCGAAGATGGGCTGGGCCTCCGTGTTGTTGGCCAGTCGGGCCAGCCCGGTCATGTTGACGGCGAGGTTGGACGAGTGGGCTGCGAGACACTTGAGGAGGATGGCCGCCACGTCGACGGGTCGGCTGACTGATTCGGATTCCGGGTCGGATTCGATGCAGCGGCGGCAGGCCAGCGGGGTCTCGGAGTGGTGGCATTGCTGGTTGATCAGGGTGTTCTCGGTGGTGGCTAAGGAGAGAGATAGAGAGAAGAGAAGGCAAAAGATGAGCATGGTTGAAGAAGCCATCAATTGGTTTGCTCTTTTCAGTTTTTGGTTTGGAGATTCTAGATAGCTATTGGGTAATGTGGGTATATATAAGAAGAGGGTCGAAGATGAAAACGTGAGAAACGCCGTAGAGATTCATCATTTCTATCGTGACCATATCTTAATAAGGCTTCATTCTGGCAATCCGCCAACGGATCTTTGTTGTGGGGTCAAAGAGTGTGTTTCAGAAGTCTTGCTCGTGCCTTGACAATGACAACCGCCTAGAATATTCTAGGTTCAAACATATGCAATTGAACTTAGAAAATGTAAGAATTGAACCAATTTCGTTAGTCTATCAGGGATGCTATAACGAGGAATTCTTTTCATTCCAGTTGGAGCTATTTTTTACAAAATTTCTTCTCTTTTTCTCCTTCGTGCTAATTTCGTGTCACTTTACTACTTAGAGTTTTAACATAGCTATACACCTTATAACAAGACAAACTCTTTCATCTAAAGTGTGGGTGCACATGAATTACTGCTCTTGTTTATACAAAGGAAGCGCGCACGTACTAGAAAATGGTTAGAAGTGAGCGTTCGAGAGGGCAATGAATATGGTGTCCTGCCAGGTGAGTCCTACTGTGATATAATGCCCCTGCTCTAGCTATGACTGTTTAATTAACTATTTTTCCATCAATTGGAACTGTTTTGTGCCTAACCATACTTGGTTGCACAGTTATCAGCTGGTTGTGGAGTTCTTTTGTGCCTAATCTCTTCGTTTAGTTAGAGTCTTCAAATATTGATACGTATATAACTGAAGTCTAAAAGTGACGAGAAATATAGATTATTTTAGTTTTTTCATTGGAATGCTCTATTTATGGGCTCTTTTCCTCCTAAAATTAAGTTACCCTTTTCAGCCGAAGAAAATATTGTGATGAAATGCATGCAAGTAGGGCTGGGAAAATAGACCAGACCGTTAGAAAAATCGTGGTCCAAACTGTACCGCACAGTTTTTCCGGACTGTAGATCGTTAAGTATGGTCTGGTCTGTATTATTTTATGTTTTGATCTCTTGGTCTGGTCTAGTCTAGACCGCGGTTTACCAGACCAAACCGTGGACCCAACTGACTTGTCAATACGTGTTAACAGCCCATTCGACCACTCTCCCAACTCCCACAATGACACCCAAGTCTCAACCTTAGTTTTGTGAATCGTCCCTCCTTCATTCACAACCACATTTAACCAGTGAGTAGAGATAATCGTGTCTCCATATGACATTATGTTAATGTTTATGACATTATGGTGCAAGTTGGGATGTTTTTACTTTGTATCTTTGTTATGTACTAATATTTAGAGTATCAAAATTATTCATGCATGTTAGGATTAATGATTTAAGGCAAATAACAATTATTTTTCCTGGTTATTTGTTCAATTTTTTCTGTGGTTGACTAAACAAATTATTCATTTTTCGTTAAGTGTGGTCTATCTAAACCAAACCAGACCGAACCAATCCGCACAGGCATGGTCTGAACCGGACCGTATAGTCTATGGTCTAGTCTGTGGTCTATACTTTAACATCTCGGTCTGGACCATAGATCATATATATGGTCTGGTCTGGACCAGACCGTACCGTTTCCCAGCCCTACATGCAGGTAGAAGAAGAGAAGAAAACAAAGTGTAATAAATAATTTTGGGAATCATCACCAACCAAGAAAAAGGACTAGAGAATAAATGCAATCCTTATCGAGGTGGGACAAAGAAAGCCAGCCAGCCAACCAGCCAACCAACTATCAACTATGCCTTCATTGCATTTGTCACAAATACCCCACGTATAACAAACAAGTGTACTTCCATCCTTAAGACCTTAACCTTAAAACTTGTACACATTCATCTCATACTCTACGCCTTTAGCACGTATGTATAATATGGTTAGCTGCACTGTGGCCATTAATGAGCCGATTTCCACTCATCTCCCTTTCCCCGAGTAATGTCCATCCATATATAATATAATTAAGTTTTTTTTTTTTTTTGTCAAATCTCTATTATTGAGATTATGATATCCTTTTTGACAAACATAAAAATTATTGACTATGTACTTAACTTCCATTCGTGATGCTTAAATTGAATAATTGCAACTTGCACAACTCCAACCAACCCGAATCCGGTTCAATACCTCACTTAACCCCCTCTTCTCCTTCTTTCAGATATAATATATTCCTCAATCCTCCTGTTGCTATATAATCATGCCCCATGCATCTCCTTTCATTTCACAACATCCCCATTACTCAAGAGTCACAGTATCCAGCTTGTGCTCCACAATCTCTTCCTCTTTTCCTTCCTTCCTTAAATTCTTGTAATTAGTTTATATCCAAATTCGACATGACATACTATCTAAGCTTGGTCGCTTACTATATCTACTTCAACTCCGCCAAAGTTGCCTACCTTGCCTCCTTGCTCGCCCTCTCCCTCTTTTACGTCGTCTTGGGAAGCGCCGGCGATCGCCATGCACCAGCGCCGCCGCCAATCGCCGCCGGCGGTTGGCGTTTTGTCGACCAGCAACAGCTTAGAAATCTGGCCGCCCTTTACTTGCAACTCGACGACGGCTTCAACCCATCTCAACTCAACCACCAGAACTCCAACCACACATATTACGGCCAGCTGCCGTCCACCGCCGCCGCCGCCGGAGGAGTCGCCGGTTATTGATACTTTAAGTTACCCTATTTTGCTGTTGGCTGGCGCTACGTGCTCTGCCTTTCCTTCTTTTGTTGTGGCTCCAAATTTTCATGTAATTAACGAGTTATTTTAACAACCAATAGTTATAAATGACAATTAAATAAGTTGAAAAAGATATCAATCAAACTACAATAAATTCATAATTGTAAAATAATACCAAATAAGTCACTGACAGAAATATTTTGTATTTAAATCGTGATTCAACCATTTTATAATGGTAAAATCCTATATCTATATGTGTTTGGTATGCGTTTTTATCTATGAGACCTAGGTTTAGCAAATAATAAACCAAACCTTTCTTTTTTTTCCTCCTAATTTTTTTTTGCACCGAGGCCTGACAAAAATTTCAACGGGACAGTTGTTAGGCGAGCCAAACAAGTGGGCTTTGAACTAAAACCAGCACTGACGTCCATCTGGCCTACCACTGCAGAAAACATATGGACTCCAATCCAATGGGCCTTCCCCCCATTAAATTCTCCTTTACCGAAAGAAGACCGTTACGGTTGGAAGCCAACCAAATGACGTGGCTCCGCAGAAACGCTCCCGGCTTCTCTCTACCTTTTTTTAATGAATTAATCTCCCAACCAATCAAAACAAAATAAACAATTTAAATTTCCCCCCAATATGACCGTTGGGAAACAAATCTCAAAACCCGCCTAAAACGTTCAAAACCACCCACACAGAAAGCGGAACCTTTCACTCTCTCCATCTCTGTTTCTATCTCTCTTTTCTGCCCTCCCAATCCCCCACAAAAAGTCCAATCTTTCCATGGCGGAAAACAGTGAAAACCCACCGTCTTCATCGTCGATCATGGTCCCCAAGCCGCGGCACCCGCTCCACCAAATAGCGGAAACCCCCACCCACAAGCTCTTACTGAAGCAGTGGCTGAAGGAGGAAGAACTGATCCTGAACAGAGTGTCTTTCAAGGAGTCACAGATCGACTCAGTCCGCCGGGAAATCACGCAGCTCTACGTCTTCTTCTTCCTTTTCCACTCCATTTCCTTGCTTCTCCTCTTCAACCACGCTTCTTCTGTTTCCTCTGCTGCTGCTGCGGCTTCTTCTGCCTCGTGCAAGCGATCCTGGATCCCGTTGCTCTCTTCGCTGCTCTGCTCTATGGGGATCGTGTGGGCGGTTCGGTACAAGACGGATGTGGAATCCCACATGGAGAAGCTTCTGGAGAGGGAGAAGGAAGACGGGAAGCTGCTGGCGAAGTGCGTCGAGGAGTTGAAGAAGAAAGGTCTGGAGTTTGATCTGTTGAAGGAAGTGGATGCGCTGAGGAGGGCGAAGAGCTTGAGGGTGGAATCCAAGGCGGTGAAGAAGTGGTCTGCGAGGGATTTCGCGACCCTGTTCTTCTTTACCGTTGCCTGCCTCGTTCTGGGTTTAACTAGAGTAATATTGTGCAGCTAGATAATTGGCTAAGGGATTTCTCCCCGGTTTCTCTCTTGTTCTGGAGAATGCTCCGGTTTCGTCTTTTGTTTTATTGGGATGATCTGTTTCAATTTTGGGAAGGAAGATTCGAGGAATTTATGGGTAAATGGGGGATTGGTTGCAGCAGAATGCTCTGTTCTGCGTATTATTTTGTGTAATGGCTGGGAAGGATCCTGTAATAAGATAATCAGATAACCTGACAAAGAATTGTTGAAGCTCCTGGCCTATTGGTTGATGATAGGGTTCTTCTTGGTCCTTACATTACCAGCTATCCAACTTATAATACAGTGATTCAAATGACAGGAGCAAAGCATGCTATTATTCACAATTCTAATATTTCCAATTGCAGCAAGGGATACATTTTGAATCGACATCCGAGACAATTTGTAACTGTGCTCACTTCAATGTCCCCTGATACCGTCGCTGCAACTGGGGACATCAATGGCCGAAGCGTTTCGGTTCTTCTTGGTTGAATTCAGAGAGCCTGGAATTAGCCAGCTAGCTCCCCTTCCCCATTGTTTTCCTGTAGGTACCAGGCCTGAAATTAGGGACAAGTCGAACGAAGTGTCCAAACAAAACACACCAAATCTTAATATGCCATACTCATTCAAGAAGATACATCTGTTCTTCATCCAATGTTTGGGAATTCGACGAAGGCTCAAGCAGAAGATGAAAGACAAACAAGGAGAAGGAAAGAGTGACAACACTTCAACGATTTCTGCACACGTTCAGTTTATGTTCGATTATGATCAGTTTGTTCAATTTGGTTTTCAGTTTGCAAAATGGAGGACAAAAACCATTCTCCTCTGTAGAACATAATCTTGAGACTAGCAAGGACATGCTTTCAGAAATAGAATACAATATTGATCGATCATGGTAAAATCTTCTTCTCTATCTGTAACTTGTATACAAGTATGCAAATGCTGCTAACCTGCAAGATGGACTTTTCCCCCCAATGTTCTGCTGATTTAAGCTAGCATTCTCTTGACTGACTTAGGCTTGATGGGTTGGGTTTGTTAGTCACTATAGTTTTGGAACATGTCCACAGTCCACAGAAATCTCCCATCACAGCCAATACATATTTTAACAGAGACTCAAGCCTACTACATATATTAACAGACTAATGCCTACCAAGTGTGATGGTCAGTCAGAGGGGGATGGTGTCAACGTGTGCGACGGCGAAGAATGGATGGTAAATTGGTAAGTGGTCGCAACCTAAAATCTCGCTGGCTGCCGCCCTCGTTGATTACTGCTTTGCCTCGACCGTGACCTCCAAGAAGGGGTTGATCAGGGGTACCGGTCCAGTCTTCGTTGCCAGAATCAACGTTAGAGGGCCGTCCAAGCACTGCTTCTTGTGATCGGTGTTGCACTGTAAGAGAACTGAACCCACCCGTCCCCTGGAAATGGGTAGAACCAAACTGAGAAAATTCAGAGCCACCATGTCCACCTCCAAGAAGGGGCTGATCAGGGGTACCGGTCGAGACTTCATTGACAGAATCAACGTTAGAGGGCCGTCCAAGCACTGGTTCTTGTGATCGGTGTCGCACTATACGAGAACTGAACCCACCCGTTTCCTGGGAATGAGTAGAAACAACCTGAGAAAATCCAGATCCACCATGTCCACCTCCTGGCAGCGAACAAAGTTGAGAAGTTGGAGAGGGAGTCACATGCTGACTTTGACTTCCAAATCCACCATGATATTCTGGAATGCTTGTTGCATGATGAGCATATGGTTGAGTTCGCTCGCAGTTTCCCCTACTAGATCCATGACCAGAAGATGAAACTTGCAGAGGCTCCGGTATTTGTAGTTGTTGTTCATGTTCCTCGTTAGCTCGACCACAAGCTCTCCTCTTTTGTTGTCTTCTTTCTTGTTGTGCAGGTGGCACATAATCTGGGTAAACTAGATACCCCTGTCGATGTGGTGCTTCGTCTAGTAATATGCCCCTGAGTTCCCGTACATCTCCATCACCAACCAACATGCAATTCTTCAGGAGTTGATCCAGACTTTGGACAGTAGCTGCATTTAAAGGATCTCCCGACCTTGTAAACTGGCGTGCATGTTCAAGTATATCATTCTACAATGCACAAGCTTTTCAAATGTTAGTAAATATTGGTTTAGAAGTAACTAGTATATAATGAGACAAGCAAAGACATCTGCAGGTGTTTGGGATCAAAGCTTTAAGAGGATTTCAAACTTCTTGACAAGTTGACTGAGTTGGTTCAATTGCCTAACATTGAAGTGCATCTCAATTTGACAAGTGAAAATCACTTCTCCAGCGACGACTCTACCTAGCTAACTGAGCACCCGAAAGAAGATGAGTGGCTTATCCAGAATTCAGCATCAGAGTTTCAGTTTTTGCATACACAGTAATATTCGAAGGAAAAAATAGATCCATTCTACGATAGCTTGTTTACTTATTACGTAAAACCAAAAAGTTTCATGAACACGAAATAGATTTATGAGAACTCAATGAGATTGTGGCTTACCATGGTTTCAAGTTGGCCAGCATCGTATGTGATGAACCGTCGTGTAATATGCCTATACCACTCCATGTAAGCGGCATGATAATGCATACTGTGTCTAGGGATTGGATCACCACAAATTCTATGTTCTTCACTCTCTTCCCAATACTGGACATACAAGGAATGGTGCTCCGGCCAATCATTCTCTTGTGCACGGTTATCTTTTTTCAATAGCGTCTCTACTTCATTCTTCGTCTCCACCATAGTTGGGATGTGTTGCAAAAGGTTGAATTGACGCATTACACGATCTGGATGGTGCCATGCGACGCTGTGGAAGCATATCAGTGGAGTGACACATACCCAAATGGTTCTGAACTGATGCTCTTCTAACATATATGGATTCCACTGAAACAACATAATTGAAAATCAATGAAATTAAATGTAAGGATTTATCAAATTACAAATAATAACCAAATCTGAAATGCTCACCACAAAATCATCAGTTGTGTCAAGGAATCTTCGATGATCCCTTACATGCATTTTTGGTGCAGCTTTCTTCGGATTGGTCCATCTACGTTGTGTACATGACATATAATAGCAGTGAGTTACCATGAGAAGAAATAGCGAAGCGAAAGGGGAAAAAATGCAATTACCTTAGTCCGAACGGTGAGGCGGGACTATAGGGCAGAACAGGAATAGGAGCAATACTTGGTAATCTTTGCCACGCCCATAACTGAATCAGGATGTAACATCCAGCCAAATCCCCACAAGTATTACCACCCGTTGATCCATAGCCAAGGACGGTTCTGCCCATCTCGTGGTACGTATTAGAAAGGACTGCGGACCCCCATGAGCACCTACATGCCAAATCCCAGTTCCGCAAGATCCACAAGTAGTTGCAAGTCACATTTGCTCCAGAACGATTGGGAAATAAAACCCCCCCGATTAGTGATAACATGTAAGCAAGAGCATATCTATCCACATCAGCTTTTCCAGCATCTTCAGGAAGAGAGTCAAACGCATGACGTAACCACTTCATGTTTAGTCTAGTGCCCTCAAGATTACTGCCCCCAGGATTCACTCCCAAACACACTTCACACATCTTCTGCACTGAATTTGCTTGAGATTTGTCTGTTTTCGTGGTTACTGGCAACCCCTCAACTCTCAGCCCTAGAATCATCTCTACATCTTGAAGAGTGATAGTACACTCTCCCGTACGAAAGTGGAACGTGGACGTTTCTGGACGCCAGCTCTCAACAACTGCAGTGATCAAAGCAGCATCGAGATGAATCTTCGAGATCGGTTTAATACTAGCAAACCCGATGCTTTCTAAAGCATCTTGGTATCGATCATCATACTTCACTATCGCCTGATCCCGTAATTTGAAACTTCCTAGCATCTATAATGAGCACAGATAAAAACAAAGAAACAATGTAAGATCTTAAATCTGCACAAAACACATCTTCAAACTCAAAGTTCAGAGGAATTACAGCAAGCAAGGGTGGGCAAACTCAAAACTGTTCTCAATGTTAGAAGTCTTAACTTCTCTTCTCTACAAACTACAAATAGACCACCTCCTTTTACATTCATATGGACAGGTTAATTTCATCACCTTCATATAAGTTAGAAAGGAAACATACCTGGTTAAGCCAAACACGTTCACAACGATGGTCTCCTGCCCAAAGTACAGATTTATCGATTGGCCCGGGATTCACTCCTCGTGGTGGAGTGAAACTCGTAGGATCCATCTCTGAGAACAATAAAATGAATACTGATCAGTGAAATTGTTTGATGATATCAAGTAGAACTAGAGCATCATTTCCGAAAGGATAATAATCTAATGTGAACTAAAACTCTCTGTTTCTGTCTCAGAGGGAGTTGGGAACATTCTAATTGATTAATCAAATAATTGTTAACACGCATAAACACGAAGCCGAAGCATAAGTGAAATTAGAAAAGCTAAGAGCTCTAGCTGAAGATTGTGTTCTGTTAGTTGGATTGCTCAGGAGAAGTGATTTGCTGCAGATGTTTTCGCCCTAGTTTCTTCATTGAGATCAATTGCTGTTTCAATTGTGCGAATTTCACCCTACATTGTTATTGCTAACTACGCATCGAAATTCAACCTTTCTTTTCTTTCACACTTTCCTTCTGAGTTCTGAGACAAAGGAAGCAGCTGCCATTAGTTGTGTTACTGGTTTTTAACTACCCATCAAACGCAGGGTTCAATTGATCACCTTCCTCTATATATACATGCACTGAGAGAGATCAACAAGATCTAGAAATGTTAAGTCATCATTATCTTATCAGGCTATCACTGACACTATACACAACTGCATCCATATAGGCAGCTTCAGGCTTCAATATCCCTAAATCTTGCATCCCAACCATGGTACATTAACTCCTGTCATTGCCAAGATAACCCTAAACCCTACTGAAATTAAGCTTAACCCACTGTAATTTTGGTAAAACTGAGGGCCGGTGAGCTCCACCGTCCTCGCCCACCACTGGCGACATCGAGTTTCGAAAAGACTCTGAAAACATTACCTGGTTCCTGGCTACAGGGAAGAAGGTCAAGGGACAGCCGATGAACTGCCCGAGAAGACGGAGCCTCGGGACGGGAACTGCCGGAGAATGGTCGGAGCGGCACGCGGGACGGTGGGGGAGCCGCCCGGAGGTTTCTCGCGCGCGTTTGAGTCAGTGACTACGGAGAGCAGGTTTGAGAAAGGGAAGAGGAGTCGAATTACGTGCTATGCATAAACGACGTCGTTATACCGCGCGTCCATTGGTTTAAACCCACCTTAAACCGGCCGAACCAGTGAAACAAATGATAGTTGCAATGAAATCATGGTATATTGCTATATTCAGTCTTCTAAGTTCTAATCTTTCTAATTACAGCAAGGGATACAATCACACAATCCTCCCTTTTTAAGGCTTTAACATAGCAATCCCTCATTTTCCCTCCTATGTGACTTTTGGCAAGTTGTAAACTATCTATCGACCTTCTCTGATCCCATGAAGCATGGGCTTCGAGGCATTGTGTGGAGAAACCTCGGGATCGGCCACCATGGATGTGCTCGTGGATGAAGTGTAATGGCTGGTATCTGTAGTGCCTTTGGTCGCAATGTCGCTCATGAAGCTGCCAGTCGTATCGTCGTACCTCCAATCGGTTAGATATCCGGGCCTAGATGTAACAGTGCTCACTTCGATGTCGCCTGATAGCATTGCCACAACCCGGGACATCGATGGCCTCAGCGAAGGGGAAGCTTGCGTGCAGAGGAGAGCGATTCCTACGAAGCGTTTCAGTTCTTCTTCGTCGAATTCGGAGAGCCTGGAGTCTGCAAGCTCTACTTCCCGGTTGTTTTCGTGTAGGTACCAGGCCTGCAAAATAGGGACAAGTCAGACTAATAGGTCCAACACAAACACTAGTAAAGTCTATGGCTCTACAGAAGAAAGAAAAATGAGACCGAACATTAACACACCAAATCTTAACGAATAAGCCATACCCATTCAAGAAGGTACATCTTTTCGTCATTCAAAGTTGGGTCTGAATTAGGCCTCCCGCTTACAACCTCCAGAGCTACCACTCCAAAGGCAAAGACATCAGCTTTCTCCGTAAGGTGTCCACGCATGGCGTATTCAGGAGCTAGATATCCTCTGTAATCAATCAATCATGGAAGTTTAGTGACAGATATAACAAATAACGGATTATGAAACAAAGAACAGATATTTTTTCAGGGCAACTTCCTACATTGTTCCTGCGACACGGGTGCTGATGTGAGTCTTCTTATCATCATAGAGTTTAGCCAACCCAAAATCAGAGATCTTGGGGACCAGCTCTGAATCAAGCAAGATATTGCTGGCTTTCACGTCTCTATGCACGATTCTCAACCTTGACTCTTCATGAAGATATGCTAGACCCCTCGCGACTCCCAAGCAGACATCGTAACGAGTCGGCCAGTCGAGGTACAGGCTGCTTTCACCTGCATCATACAAACCACATAAGTATGCAAGAGGGTTTGAGCACTGAATAGTATATAAAGTAAAAGGGTAATGAGTTATGTGTTCCATACCAAAGAGTGCTTTGTCGAGACTTTTGTTCTCGAGATATTCATAGACGAGAAGCCTGTTTTCTCCCTCAATGCAGCATCCATACAGCTTCACGAGGTTGCGATGCTGCACGGAAGATATAGTGGCAATCTCTGTGATAAACTGGCTCTTTCCTTGGTGAGATTGAACTGACAACTGCTTCACTGCAATTACTCTACCATCATCAAGCTTTCCCTGTTGGTTTACAAGAAATTAGTCAATGGCAACATGTATGAATAGCTGATTTGCTTGTGATATACAATTGTGTACCATGTAAACGGGTCCAAATCCTCCTTCTCCAAGCTTGTTTGAAGGACTGAAGTCATGTGTGGCCCCCCTCAGCTCGGCGTAACTGAAAGTGTAAGGTCTGTTATCTATCCCTTGGAGCTCTGCAAATACAAACAGAAACAAAAACACAATTCAAACACCTCCGCTAGACTCTTTGAAGTGAAAAAAGTACCCAATTTGATGTGCATGGCTACTGGGTAGCTGGATATGTTTCGGGGTTTGATTACCTTCATCTTCGAAGGCTCTTTGCCTTCTCTTTCTCCGAATGATAACGATCATTATAATAGCTAAAATCGAGCATGGAACCAAGACACCTATGATAATCCCAACGATCATCCCCGTCTTGTTATCATTTCCACCACTGTCTGTGCTTGGAGGATTGTCAGTAACAGTTGGTACGAAATCTGCATTTAGAATTTATAACTCATGATTTAGCAACCTGCTATATCCTTCTGTTGAGCAAAGAGATAAGCTTTCAACATATATTTACCTGGGAGAGCACTGATTGCTGAAATAGAAGGGCCATATACACCTTGTGCAGGAATGCAACAAGTACCTTTTCCAGCCCAGTACAAATGGATGTCCATATAATTCTCTGAAACCCGGACTGTAAACTGCCTCTGAACAGCACGGGTTGAGACTCCTCCTGCTGCACTTCTTATGTCGAAATCCCTCAAAACACGAGTTCCCTGGGATCGAAAAACAATACGTTGTTCGTATCAGAAAGGTGGTAGCCAGCCATTTCCTTTAGTAGATTCAGAAGAAAAAGTCACCTGGATATAGACATCAAACATCCTTCTTCCGAGACTCCTCCAAGTGTTACCATTTTCAATGGTGGTCTCAGCAAACTGAAGTGTGACGTTGTAGTTACCATTCTCCAGCCCCATGCCATAGTATCTCAGAGATGAAGCAGAGAGACGTGCCGTCTGAAACAGCTCTGGGTCTAGAGTGTTGGTGAACTGAGAGGATGAAAATCTTGTGTACTGAGGATTGTTGTTTCCTGCAAACAAGCCCACGTTACTGACTCCCCATCTGTTTGTTCCTGTCACGAAATATGTTGCAGGACCAAGAGTCTCATTGTCCCTTTCGTAGGTCAGCCGTGGACTAGCGGTTGTAATGGCTGGACCACCACACTTCACTGAAAATTGGGAATCTGTATGTAGCAAATCGAAAGCGAAAAGTATTAAACACCTAACTTCAAAACAAGGAGTTTCTGTTTAAAGCCACTTACAGATTGGATTATTTCTGTTGCAGGGGAACCCTTGTTGAAGGCAATGAATCCCAGAAGGCAGACCATTAGTGTTTGAAGGATCTATTGTGAAGTTGTTGAATACTATATTCCTGCAAATATATCATAAAGATGCCAACTTGAGAAGTCGTTAATAGTACACATTCAAAACCGCATGCAATGCATTGAATTGGTAATAAGGATCTGATGACCGTCGAATCTAAACAACTTACAGCTGAAGATTTGTTCCATTTGTCCAAGAAGGTAATGGCCCTCCCAAGTTATTGTATGAAACATCTCTGCCACCACAAAATTACCAAAGTTCAATCAATACCATGGACAACTGAAAAACAAAATCAAGCATCGCAGGAGGGTTCAAAAGTATCAGCTACAAAGGTTGAGGTCAAAAGTTGGAAGCTTTCCAGTTCATTATGGCACTAAATGTTAGTGTAATGCCTTGCCGTAGGGCATTGTTCAAGTTACTTACATATTGACAAGTGACAGACTTTTCTGAGCAGGAAGAGTACCGTTCAGGCTGTTATTCCCAAGAAACCTACACATGAAAGTAGCAAAATATATTTCCGTCTGAAAGTTAATGTCGATAAACGGGATACAAACTATAAAGAGTCTAAAGTAATAGTTGTTACAAGAAAGTGAGCGAGCTCATATTGAAAATTGCTGCTGGAATTGCTCCAGTGAGACGGTTGAAGCTCAAGTCCCTACAAACCCAATCAATGGAAGCACGTGTTAAGTATGGTGCAACTTTCTTTGCTCTTTCAGTAAGGAGATAGATTTGCCAACGAGAACAACTCACAGAAATCCCAAATTCGGATAGTCACCCCAAATGTCAGATGGAATTGTACCAGATATACTGCTATCTCTCAAGACCCTGCAGGAGACATGATAACAGATCGCTTCATTGTAAAATAGGAAAACTGAAGAAAGACAAGACTTGTGATGAGAAAAAGATTCAGGCTTACAAGGTGGACAGGGAAGTCAAACCCCCAATGAATCCCAGAGAAGAGGTTCCATTAGTAATACCACCTATCCTCCTGCATTCGTGAAAATGTGAAACCATTGGTGCTATTGGTGAAAACAGAAACTAACCTAGGTCGAGATAGGGAGGCAGAGGCAAACTTACAACTCTGTCAAATTAGTTAAGTTTGAGAAGGATGATGGCATTGGTCCGCTAAACGAGTTTCCCTCAAGCCGTCTGCAATCATGGAAAAATGATTTCAAGAGAAATTGAGTATTGTAGAAATGTTGATGATGGTAATAATAAGGGTAACTCACAAAGTTGTAAGGCTTCTCCAATTCCCTATGAAACTAGGAATAGTGCCTGTAAGAGCATTATCTGATCCCCACCTGAAGAGAACAAATAAATGATATGATACCATCAGCAAAACTGAGATGAAATAGAGAATTTGACGAATTGTAAGAAAAGGAATCACCATCCACAGCAATGCACTTACACAGTCTCCATCCTAGTCAAATTAGCAAACGTGGAAGGAATTGGGCCACTAACTCCAGCACTATCAAAATACCTTTGAATGTAGTAACAAGTAGTTTTAGTTCCAAGGCCATATCATAATCATTCATTTTCAATCGTTAAACAATTCTATCAATGAGGTAGCATGACTCACATTTGTTGGAGCCTCGACAAAGTCCCCAGCTCAGATGGCAGGGAACCTGTGAAGTTGTTTGATCCAAACCCACTTTACCACATAACCAAATCAGTAAGCAAATGACAGCATTTATTCCAACTTAATCCATCCCCGAAATCGGGTCGTGGAAGAAGAAGCAGAAGAGCAAAACTTACAATGATCTTAAATCGGTAAGCAACCCAATCTCTCTAGGCACTGGCCCGGTGAATTGATTAGTGGCCAAATTCCTAGAGCACACAACCATTTCAGAGTTAGCAAAACTAAAACCATGCCTTTTCAAGTCTACAGCCAACGAAGTGAAGATCAACAAACTTACAACCACTGCATCCGCGTCAAATTTCCAATTGATGGAGACAAGGTTCCAGAAAGGAAATTCAGACCCAAGTTCCTGTTTTCATTTCATCACAACAAAACCAACCCAGTGAACCCACCACATTCAGAAAAAAAAAAAAAAAAAAAAAAAAAAAAGAGCCACCAACTGAACTGGGTATAAGAAGATGAAGAATTGGATCATTTAAGGTAATGATTGGTATGAGAGCTTTACAGATTGGTGAGCAAGGTGAGACTCCACAGCTCGTCAGGTATTGGACCAGCAATATCCATAGACGATACTTTCCTGCAAATTGCGAACACAAATCAACAACAAAGATGATTACTTTATAGAGCAACCGCACAAAATCGGTCAAAAGACAGAACAAAGAAGTGGGTACAAACAGGGCGGTGATGCGGCAAACGGTGGAGGAATTGAAAGTGCAGTCGCACTTGATGAAAGGGTTGAAAGCTTGCTCGTCGATGGTGGGACTTGAGCCCAGCGCCGATCCACTGCAGAGCTCGCCGCTTATGTTCCATTGCCCCGGTTGCGCTTCGATTCCCCATCTCTCGAAAATGGCGTTCAATGCTCTTGCTGCATTACAATTACAAAACCCCAAATGAATGAGAAACGAAATTTCTTTCTCTAGCAAGATGTCAATCGACTCCATAGTTCCCGCGGAAAACCTTCAACTACACGAATGGTCACTTAAACTAACAGTCGTTAGGGCCCATTACGAATGGCCCACAATGACAATGGCCCAATCGCTCAGGAGACCGAGGCTTCAGCGGGAACGAGAAAGCGACGAGCCGCCACGTGTCCATGACTCAGCAATTGCGTTTAATTTAATATCGACCACCGTCTCTCCGACCAAGGCAGCAGCCGCCGCCACAAAGAATAATCATCCACTTGTTAACGGAATTATGTTAACGTCGGTGATTTCAGATCTCAGACGACCGGCAAAGGCTTGATCGGAAGACTGAGAACCAATATCTTAGGGGGAGAAGGGCGCCTACCTTCGTCGGGATCAGTGGTAGCACGAGTCTGATTCTGTGCAAGTGCTAATTGGACGACGCCGGCGATGGAAACGGCATAAACAACGGCGACGAGTAGCGCTGCAGCTGAATACGGAGATCCAATCGACATGAGTTTATCCGGTGACAAACTCAGAGATAATTTGATGGCAGAGTGAGAGGAGGAGGCTGGAAAACAGGGGATTCAATGTTAGCCAAAATTGAAGGAGGGCTATTTGACTTGCTTATATTCAACTGTGACAGAGAAAATTATAAGGCAATAAACTTAACCAATACAGTGCTTTTGAAAAGTCGTGACTACAGTGTCAACTTGGCGAAGGTTCAAAATAAAGAGCTCTCCGGACAACAAAAACCTTTGGTCTCTCATTATCTTAATTCAGACGAGGTGGGAAGGAACCTAGAAAAGGACACGTGGGTTTGACTCTTTTCGGTCCTTCTGGTAAATTCAGGGAGGGAGAGAGAGAGAGGGAGAGAGCCATTGGTGTTTGCAGAAACAGGGGATCTGTAAATTGCGATAATTTCCATCCTCTGTTCCATTAATTGAGAAATCTTAGCTAGCTACTGTGAGCATTGGAGAATATGTACATCCAGGACCAGGAGTATTGAATACCGGGTACGTTCTTTCTTTACTTGGAGGATTGTAGCCAGGGATGGAAACAGCAAGGCCCGAAGGAAAAACTTGGATTGATTTTGTCAAATCCTCTGTTTCTGCCTCTGTCCTTGCAACGTGAAATGGTTGGTTGGACCGATGGATCAATTCAGGTTAATTTTAAGCCTTTACTATCGTGACCGATTCAGGCCCATCTCCTACGTATCCCTATTGCCCAATTCTTACAAAGTTGGGCCTCCTTTTCTAGTCAATGAACTGGAACCCAGCCCAAATGAAACTGTGGATATACGTTACATAACACCGTATCCTTTTTTTCATCTTTCTTTGGGCCATATCGCTTCATGAAATGTTGGGCTTGCCAACAGATCCAGCAACAAAAATACAACTCCGAGATTGGGCTCTGAAGTCCCGGGTCCATGAGAGTACAAAATTGGTTGCAGTTTGGCCCATCAAAAGTCTTTACCTTTGCGGTCGTCATTGCCAAACTCAATGCTCGTTTGTGGATTTTTCTTTTGCTTAAAAAAACTCCAAACTCCATGTGTTCCCATTTTTGCTCCAGTTTACTATTCAACAATAATTTTCCATAACAAGATGAAGAGATAAAAAAAGGTTTGCTGCTTCCGTATGCATTGCATTGGAAAGCAACGATAACAAAAGATGGGGAGATTGATTGGTTATATCTACAAACAAATCCTGACGAGGAGATATAAAGCGAACACAAAAGGACCACGATGGTGGTAGTGATGATGATAACGATAATAATAATAATAGGAATAATGAAGTATAATCCTTTAAGTAATTCGCTTTACCTTTCCACTTCATTCCAGCATATAACAGACACACTACTAGTGTAGTAGTAGTCTACAAGATAGAAAAGTCAAAAGTCGCCAATTTCTGCTCGAGAGGCTCCACCATTGTTGACTCTCTGTGTAAAGCTAAGAGATGGTCGGTTGAGGTGTTAATCTGACTTGAATCAGATGATTTATCGTCAAGTGAAAGTTATGGGGATCTCGTTGTGTTGATGAATCATATGAATATGCTTCTTTAAGTGCCTATGAACTAATCAACACATGTTCTATTGATGAATTATGTAAATTTATGTATTATTTAAAAAAAATTAATAGTTGTCTTTCTTATTTTTTTTCTATTTACCACAGTAGCCAATGGGCCGCCTTTCCACTTCATGCACACATGTAATATATTTTTTACTTCCTCTGATATTTATCTGCTTACCCTATCCTTTCCACCTCCCAAAATGCATATTCAAATGTCGTTTCGTGGCCATGGCGATGGCGGGCTGGCAGGTTCCAAGGCAGTGGGGTCGCCGGCAGCAGAGAGGCCAAATTTGGCCGGCGGGATAGTGGAGGATCGATATCTATATAAAAAAGAAAAGACAAAGCGTGGGTCTCGCATGCTTTGTACTCAGTACGGAGAGTTGGACGGATAGCTCATTGTTTCCACCCAAAATTCCACTCTGACTAGGGATGGCAATGGGTCGGGTTGGGGCGGGTTTTGTCAAACCCAAATCCAAACCCATGGGTTTATCCTCCAAAAAAATCGGGGTAAAACCCGTTGGGTTTGAAAAACTCAAACCCAACCCAACCCGCTGGGTATCCGCGGGTTCATGGGTACCCGTGGGTTTTTGTGGTAAAAAATTTACAATAACAATTTTCTTTCAAAATAAAAGTTTAACATCAATTTTCTCATACAAATTAATCATACAAAAAAACACCAATCTAGAGCATACAAGCAAATCGCAAATGATCAATACAAATTGTTCAAAATTAAAGATAAACATCTATAAACAAAAGATTAATTGAAAACTTCTTCCTCGTCAACTAAGTTTCTTCACTCTCCACTTCATAATATCAACTTCATTCTAAACAATTAGAAAGAACAAATTATACATGTCTCCACAAACATAAAGAATATTAATTATTTAAGGAAAATATATTATTTAGAATATTAAATATACCGGGAAAGTAATTATACATGTGTGGGCGGGTACCCATGGGTCGGGTTTACCTAAACCCAAACCCAACCCGACCCGATGAATAGTGTAGCGGGTTTAAACCCAAACCCGGCCCAAAACCCGTCAACACGAATTTTACCCGCATTGACCGGGTTGGGTCGGGTGGGTACCCGTGGGTTTGGGTTTTGTTGCCATCCCTAACTCTGACTCATCCATCGGAGTCTATTATATATATATAGGGAGTTCTACGGTACCTGGGTGAAATCCGGGGTACCGGATACCTTGAGTAAGAAAGCGCTATTCAGAACTTGAATTGACTGATCTTTCGGACATGATACTATACTCTAATCCTTAAAGATCAAAATCTAGGTCTTAATTCTCTAAATCTTATACCCCGATATCAATTTAATTAGAAGCAATAATTGACGGTTATGATTCGTTCAAATATAGGCAAAAAAATCAATGCATCATCTTAGGGTTTATAGTTTATGATTTAGATAATTAGGACCTAGGGTTCACTCATTAAGGGTTAGGGTATACTATCACGCCCAAAAATTCTGCTAATTCGAGGTATAGATAGCGTTTTCATACTCAAGGTATGCGGTACCCCAGATTTCACCCGTGGTACCGTAGAAGGCACTATATATATAAATATATATATATTACCGGTAGTATCGTGACGTTTACTCACACACCAAAACAATAATTCAACTAGTGTTTGTTTATAATATTGTTAAGTTGCAAGTCCTGCCTTAGAGGTAGTGAAACCATTCATCATCCATACTCTTGTGACTTTCCAAGTGTTGAAGCCGACATGAAGATGACTTGCACACACACAAAAAAAAAGGAATTTTCTGATTTGTATGAAATTAATATTCTCCACGATATATATTTGAAGTGGTGATTGGTCGTGTTGCATTGCACGGATACAAATAGTCATACTCGTTCATGACTTTTTGTGACCACCCTCTGAAAGGCCTAGCTAGTTAATATTGACGCGAGGCGGAAGATGTAAAACAATATTCATGATATATTATCACTCGAAATCATTGACCTTACATGATCACGTATTACAACGAGATATTCGTATTTTTTTTTATCTATATATATATATGGTTCAGGCTAGCGTACACCTAGCGTATGCTATACACCTGTGTTCACACTCATTAATAATATTAATTATGATTAATTTAATTATTAATAAAAATTATAATTACAATAAGATCCTTTAGTTTATATTTTATATACTACGACCGACAAACACTTAATTGCCAGAAACCTTCCTAATTTATTAATTTAGCATCCTCAAATTGGATCACCCAGCGTCGGTCTCCCCTACCTACAACGTATGGAATAAGAACTTCAAAAGAAAGATCAAGATTTGTATTCCAGCCTTGCAATAAATAGATTAGTGTTCCCGGTCTTCTCTAATGCTTCACTCTTCTCACGGCAAAATCGTTGCCGAGCACCGCCTTTTGGCTCTTGACAATGGTTGGGTGGAAGACGTCGACCCAATTGAGGCAACATGCATCTGAATCCCCATTCTGGGTCACCGTCATGCTCTGTGTATTCTTCTTTGTCGATTTCTAGCGAAGTAGAGAGTTTGTTTCGGTTCTACAAAGCTCGATCAGGAAGTAGGAATGCATACACCTTTGCTATGGATTCCCGTTGGCAATATGAGAATAACTTTAAGCTAGCTTTGAAGAAAATAGCTTTGAGGTCTCATAACTTCCTATTGGAGTATAGAAATGTCATAGAGATGGAAGAGGCTAGTGGGATATGAGTAACTCTAGCAAGCAGAATTCCATTCGGAAGCCACCACAAATGGGTGGAATGAAAGTGAATAAGGATGTGTGATGTCTGGGTATCGAATGAACAAGGTCGGGGATAGTCGTGCGTGACTAGGAAGGGGGCTTTACTTTAAAGCAACTGGAAAACATTCCAAACTACTAGACTTACAAAAAACAATTTTCAACATACCATACTTATAGAAAAAAATTCTCAAAATCCCAAAGTTTGGAGCAATTCGTTACATTTGAGATCGCGGAAAACAAGAGCGATCTACCCTAAATTACAGAAGAATAAAGCGGCAGGCCTCAAAGGTTTCTCCTGTTCTGGGCTTGTGAGGCAGAACTCTGCTTTTCTCTCTCGTTCCGGGTTCAGCAAGATCATTAGGCATTAGCCGATAAGGCCCCTCGTGCTATTAATAGACGTTTGGGAAGTGGTCGATCCATAACCCTCCCAGTCATCCTATTTCAGGGTAGCTCAAAGAACTCTTCCCCATGCTACGAACTTTGTCCAGAAGCGTGCTCAGCATCCCATGATTGATCGCCTACATGCGAGTGACAAGATTCTAATTACCCTCCTCTGTTATCAATTATGAATGAACTTTTTTTTTGACAAAGGTTTCCAACTTTTATTCCACCAAATAACTGAAAGACGAGAAACTCGGTTACACATCTTAAAGAAGATCAGAAATGAGGTCAAGAATATTAATCCAATCATCAGGGAGAGTAGCTCGAGCTTTTGATCGTGCCACCCAATCAGCTCTGACATTTAGTGCTCGGGGCACTTCTTTGATTTTGATGAGAGGGTTTGTCCGAAGGATTGCGACAATCGACCCGATCCATGCTGCACATCTCCATGGCCAACGGGAGTGATCGTAATCCAAGACTTTCACCAGCACCTGGCAATCGGACTGGACCGTACATTCGGATCCATATTCTTGAGCTAATTTTACTCCTTCAAGAAGGGCCTTAGCTTCAGCTTCAATCGGGGTGGAACAAAGAAGAACCTCAGCTCGCCCATCACATACTTGTCCATGGTGGTTAACAACCACAACACCATATGCCGCCGGCTGGGAGTCGTTAATGAACGACCCATCACAGTGAATCACCAAAGAATGATTACTTGGCGGTGGATTTGTATGAGACTGGGATCCCCTGAGCTGAGTGGGCAAGGAAGGCAGGGGAGGAGGGTACCTCGGGCATGAATTCCATTCAGAAAGCTCTTTATAAGTAAGTTGGCACACCTGCGGGGGCCACGGTTTTCTATTCTTGAAAGAGCATTCATTTCTCGCCTTCCAGATATTCCAGCACAGGAACACCAAATGGATCAAGGAGCTATGCTGAATAACATCTTTAAGGGAGCAGAACCAGTCAAGGAACAGGGTTCCTTGAGGGGCGAGGGGGAGAGACGGAAACAGGGCATTCCATGCCGCCTTGGCATGAGGGCATTGGAACAGACAATGATTGATGGATTCGATGGGGTTCTGGCACACCTGACACGTAGAGTTGGGAGCGCATTTTCTCTAGAGCAGTCTCTCTTTCGTAGCAAGCCCATTCCTGCAGCACCTCCAAACAAAGAATTTCAGCTTCGGGGGGAGGTGGAGGCTCCAAATCCACTTCCATTTTTCGGTGTTCCCGCTAGGTTGCGCATTGGTATTGGCTCTATGAATCGAATGGTACGCCGATTTCACTGTGAACTTTCCATCATTGTTGTAGTTCCATGCCCAAAAATCATTGGCTCCTTCTTCCCCAATGGGGATCCTGAGGATAGCATCTAGTTCTGAGCCTGACACATTCCCCTGGATAACATCCGACTTCCACTTCCTATCTTCCGGATCAATCCACTCGCTGACCTTCTAATGATTCTGGGGTCTGCTCCAAAGAGTATTATTTTCCAGAAAGGGGATCCAAGGGTCTTGATCAACCCACGTGTCTTCTCCTGATCCAATCACCCTAACTGCTCCCATCCCAATCACCTTTTTTTGCCTCCCAGATACTGGCCCAGATCCACGATGCTTTGCTTCCCTTTTTCGCATTAAGAAAATCACCTCTTGGGAAGTACAGACCTTTAAGGAGACGGCTCCATAAAGAGTCAGGGATCGTAAGAAGGCGCCAGGCCTGCTTTGCGAGCAGGGCTAGGTTAAAATCGTTGAAGCTCCTGAAGCCTAAACCCCCCTCTGCCTTCGGTAGACACAGAATCTCCTTTTTGCACCAATGTAGACTACTCTTCTGCATAGATCCTGACCAAAAGAAGTTACTGAGAAGAGAGTCCATTCTCTTTGTGAGAGCCTTCGGGAGATGGAACAGGCACATGATGTAAGAAGGAATAGCTTGTATGACCGCTTTCAGAAGGACTTCCTTACCACCATGAGAGAGAAGGAGGCTTTTCCACGCCTCCCCCATTTTTTCCATCCTTTGTATGAGAAAATTAAAGGTTTCTTTCTTCGAATTTCCCCACTCAGTCGGGACTCCAAGGTACTTTGAGTGGTAGTTCGATGGAGCAAAGCCAATGCTTGCGATGATATGATCCTTGACGTCCCCAGGGACATTTGCACTGAAGAAAATCGAAGATTTGTTGATATTAACCTCTTGCCCTGTTATGGCTCCATAGTCCCCAATAAGATCTATAATTTTCTGTGCTTCCAGGTACTCGGCCTTTCCGAATATGACTGTGTCATCAGCAAACAGGCAATGAGTGAGCACAGGGCATCTGGCATTCAATTTAATCCCCTTCAGACTCTCATTAGCCACCGCCTTATCAATCAAGAAAGTGAGGGCATTTGACATGAGAATGAAGAGGAAAGGTGAGAGAGGGTCCCCCTGTCTTATGCCTCTGGAAGGCTTGAAAGAATCAGTTGCTTATCCATTGAAGAGAATAGAGAAACTGACTGTTCTAATGCAAGCACTGACCCACCCACACCAACGACTGTCAAACCCATACTTCTTGAGAAGCTCCTCCAGACACTCCCAGTCAACCATATCATAAGCCTTCTTCATGTCCAACTTCAGCATCATATCTCTTCTCCTACCCAACTTATGGTTCTTGAAATGGTGTAGGGCTTCATGGACAATAATGATATTATCTTGAATAAGCCTACCCCCCGTGAATGTTGTTTGCAGTTCAGAAACCAGATCGGGGGTCCACCTCTTAAGTCGTGTTGCCATAACTTTTGATATGATCTTATATCTAAAATTACAACAGCTAATAGGCCGGAATTGGCTTATCAATTCTGGGTTGTCGACCTTGGGGATCATAGTGATGTGGGTTTCATTCCATCCCGCTGGCATACTGGCTGTTTCAAAGAAACCTCTAACTTCTCGACACAAAATATCCCAGTATCTCCTGTAAAATCTTCCAGAGAAACCATCCGGGCCAGGAGCCTTACGAGCTCCCAAGGAGAAAACAGCTTTCCTAATTTCCCCATCCGTCACCATAGCACAGAGATCCTCATTCATCTCCGGAGTCACTTTCTCCGGGAATCCATCTAACAGATGGTTAAAGGGCAGATAGTCCCTAGCCTTAAAAAGGTCCTTATAAAAATCTTCGGCTAGTCTTTTGAGGCAACTTTCATCCTCAATCCAATTCCCTTCTCCATCTTGGAGTTTCAGAATTTTGTTTCTATGCTTCCTATGAATAGTGCTTGAGTGAAAGAAAGAAGTATTCTGGTCACCTTTTTTTAGCCAGTTAACTCTCGAGCATTGGCTCCAGAAAGCTTCTTCATCCCTCCAAAGCTTTGTTAATTTGGTTATGAGTCCCTTCTCCTCTTCCACATTCTCCACCGATCTTGGCGGTTGTTGGAGAAATTCGAGCCTAGACAAAATTTCCTTCTCCCTTCGAATACTGTTCATATGGAAGTCTTTCGCCCATTCCTTTAATTCTCTTTCACATTTGTTCAGCTGGTCAGTTGACTGGCCTCCCGGGTCCCAAGCTCGGGCCACAATTTCCTTGCATTCTTCTTTCTCCAGCCATCTTTCATCGATCCTGAAGGGTGTCTTCTTCCTCCTGTTTCCTCGATAATGAAGATCAAGTCTGATCGGGCAGTGATCCGACTCCACCATCTTCTCATGGAAGACCACTACTTCCCCAAATTGGGCACGCCAGGACGTTGAGCAGAGAACACGATCCAACCTCACTCTTGTCAGGTTTTGGCCCGTTCTCTTGTTGGTCCAAGTGAAAGGTTCCCCTTTGTACCCTAGGTCAATCAGAGCATTCTGGAATATGAACCTCTTAAAGGGTTCGACATTCTCGTACCTAAGGGGGCATCTCCCTTCCTTTTCATTATCATAAATCGCCGCATTGAAATCTCCTACGACTACCCAGTTATCATCCCTACTACTCCGCAGAGAGCTCAGGTGCTCCCAAAATTCCCTTCTACTAACAGCTGTAGAGGGTGCATGGACAAAAGTACAGAAAAAATTTCTACCCATATCTATACTAACATCCATGTAGTAGCTATCACTACTTAAAACCGTAATATTAATACCCACTTTCCACCATAAAGCAAACCCCCTAGACGAGTTAACCGGTTCAACATACTCTCTATTGGGGAAAATTTTGAGATTTCTTCTTTGTTCTTCCATGAAAACCTCATTCTTACTAGTTTCCATAAGAAAGACAATAGAAGGGCCGAGGCGTCTGCAGAAACGCTTCGCATAACTTCTTGTAAGGGGAGGGCCAAACCCCCTACAGTTCCAACTTACTATGCTCATTCCGGATGAGGTGGCTTATGGCGAACCACCGCTGCCCTTGATTCCTCTACCTGATTTCCCACAACCTCCTCTGATCTTCTCTCCCTCTGACCGCTCTTTTTTCCTCTTTGGCCTTTCTTCTTCCTATTCTCCCCTTCTTGACCACCCATGTAGACAGCCCCATCAGACCTAAAGGAGCCCACCGTGATGGGCCTGCTGGTCCCCTTCCTCTTCTTACTGGGCCGACCCACTTCTTCCTCTAATTCATCTTCAATATGCTGGTAAAGGCCCACTCCTAAGCCTTGACTGCCCTGGGCCTTCTTCTTTCCTTCCTGGATCATGGGCCCAAGGGAGAGATCGGTCTGAACTCCCCTGGCCTGGCTAGCAGAGCCCGACCCGCTTCCCTCTTCGCGTCCCACCTCTTCTCCTCTACCCTGGCCTCCAACCTCCCTTCCTCCGCCTCCGTCTCCCAACCTCAGCCCCCATTCAAGCTCCTCCGCCGCCTTCTCCAGATCAATGGATATGTTCCTGGATCCCATTACATCCCTATACCTTCCCCTCTGTCTTCCCATCTGCCCCTGTTCCTCCAAACCGACATGAGCTTCCTCTGCCCTCTGAATAGTGAAACCAGGGGGAATTTTTTGGTTCCCCCCTGATGCTCCTCCCCTCTCCTCATCCCAGCTGCTTCCCACCTCTTCACTCCTCCTATACAACCCTCTTCCCTCTCCCCTGTTTCTTGATTGAGAAGCAGAGCTTCGACGAGGCGAGTCAACCCCCGCCTTGAGAGCCGCCGTGTATATCTCCGACAAGTAGGCAACACCGTTCTTCTTTCTCTCCTCATTCATCCTCCTACAGGTCTGCCAGTTGTGCCCGATTCTGCCGCAATAGTAGCACAGCTCCACCAATCTCTCGTATTTGAAGTCGATAACCTCGCAGTGCTCCACTCCTGAGAATTCATCAATAAAAGGAAAATCGAACCCTGTTGGTACAGGCTCCCTGATGTCCACCTCGACCAGAATGCGAAGGAACCTCCTGTATCCAGTGTAGTCCAAGCTTGCTCTGTCCAGGTCCAGCAACTCCAAGAAGTAGCTCGAGCCAATAGTCACCATATTTTCCTCGTTCCTTTGATTTTGATGTAGCCCGTGGATTTGAACCCACATTGCCATCTTCTCAATCGGGACATCTTCAGGCCTTCCTCTTCCATTGTACCTTTCAATCGCTGTCAGAGTGTTAGACAAGCTCCAGGGTCTGTCCCTCCAGATCTTGTCTCTGATTTCGGTGTTGCTGAAGGTGAATAGGAACAAATTCTGGGTTTCAGTGGGATGTATGTTGACTTCTCCATAGCAGCCCCACGCGTACCGAGCTGCTCCAGCCGCCTTTGCCAGTGCCACTTTGCTTTCTGTTAACATCTTGCCCAGCAGCATGGACATTCCTCTTCCTCCAGTCGAGGACAGGACGAGACGCCCACCTCTGCCCCTGGAAGCCGACGGAACCAAGCTCTCCTTCCTTTGGTTGTTGGTTGCTTCATTCGTGATGGATTCCATTGGTAAGTACAGAAGTTTTTTTTTGAGTTTGAGTGTTTTTCTTCTTGCGAAAAGGGGGATTTGGGGTCTGAAGGAAACAGAGGGAAAAGGCAGCAGACAGAGAGTTGTGCACACAGCCTTCTCTTCCCCAGTCTCTCCTCCCTTTATTTCTTCTTCCATTCCTGTTCGCCTCTCTTTCCTCTTGATTGCGGTAGCTATCCTTCTTGTCAATCCCTTCATACTTTCCTTGGAGACTAACCAGAGTTTTCCCCTGTTTTTCCGCTGCCAGAACAGGGGCTCTTGGCTCGATACTGCCTTCAGTTTGAGCGAAGTGGATTGTGTTGTCACTGGTCACCGATCTTGCAATTAATTTTGGCCCTTTCCATTTACTCCTCCTTCCTCTGCTTTGGCTGGTGTGGAATTTATTGCCGCCGTCTGGGGGTTTCCACTCTGCCCTCTTCTTAATGGTCTCTTTACTTTCTTTTCCAGGCAGTCTCTGCAGAAGAACCTTCCCTGCCCCTGGAATAATGGCTCTCCCACCACCAACTTGGGAAACAGAGGTTCTGTGATGAGTAATGGTGATAGGAATTGGCCTTTGAATGCTCTTTGCTAGAGCTAGAGAAGTCCCAGTTTGGGGGACGGGAAAAGAACCGTTGTTTGGTTCAGAGAAGGTGACCGTCAGAGAAGGTGAACTAGTGATTGATTTAAGTCATATGGCTAATTAATAATTAAGAGTGAGCTTTGATTAAATGTTGAATGGAATGGTTGCCTGAAAATGCACTGGTGTGTTAGGGTGTATTTTATTTAAATCCATTGTGAGGGTTAGTGTTTTGGGTATTGCAGACGACTACTGCAGAGATGTAGAGTTTCATTGTGAAAGTGGGCTCTCATGGAAAGAAGAATGGTAAGAATCCGGACCAAAGCGTAAACAATAATTAATTAATGGCGGTGGTTGTAATTAGAATTATTAATAAAAATTAATTTAATAAATGATTAATAAGTGTGAACGCAGGCGTATGTCATATACCAGGTGTACGCTAGCCTTTGCCATACATGTTGTGAATCGATTTTATAAATTAAGAACCACAAAGCGTACTGATGTAATTTTTGCTCGTGCTCTATAACCGATCGCCCGTTTATCGCTTTTTCTTCAACCACCCAAACCTCTCACAATCAAAGTACTAGCTAGTCACTTAATTATGAGGCAAGAACGTCCGAATATCACCCTCTACATACACTCAATGTTGATATGACTTGAATCGGATTATCAGCCGCTACGACTGGTAATCGGGGTCTCGCTGGGCTCAATGTTATTTGGGTTCGGGTTCTGGGCCTGGTCTGTAACCATTTCCTTTGCCAGATTGGATTAGGTTTAGACCCACATGGAGAAGTACTATAAATACTTCTCATACTCCTCTGTAATCTGTATCTCCTTGATATAGTGAAACTGGCTCTCTCTCGCCCGTGGACGTAGCTAACACACATCGTGTTAGTGAACCACGTAAATCGTGTGTCGTATTTTCGATTCTCGCTTTTCGTATTCTTGCTTTGTCGATTCCTGCGATTTCTCGATCCGTAGCAGCGCGTTTATAACACTCAAACTGCCCAAAAATTGCAAGGTACGTTTACAGCCAGTACATCAAGCTAAGCACTCTCCCATCCCATTCCCATGTGGTAATTTAGTACTGAGAGACCAGACCACACCGTACGTACCCAAAAGAAACGGGTCCAAAATCACACAAGGGAAAGGAAAGAGACAGCAAATAGTGGGAAAGGAAATCATCATCGTCGTCATAAATGTCTCTAGCTAGTTGTTAAACTCCACAACCGCCGCTTGTCCTCTCTCTCTTAAGAGTTAAGATCTTTTTTTCTTTGTGCCTCGACGACTCCGCATATAACGACGGATCGGACCGCATGGCGCCATTGTTAGATTAGATTAGATTGAGCACGGCAGTACCGTAGTGTAGGTACGGTTGACCCGTACGTACGGCATTACGTACACACAGCTCTCAATCTGACAAAACAATGTGCTTCTGCTTGTGCTTGTGCTGCATCCATCGCCATTAATGCAATGATCCGCCCCACCCACTAGAGAGCCAGCCATTAATTCCCTTATTATTATTACAGAAAAGAAAAGTCTGGGTTGGATCTAGCTAGCTACTGGTCCAGTTCCAATTCGTCTCCCGCATTAACTACGGTCCGACCCCACTATGGGCCCGGCGGACATGGACATGACCGGCCCGACCCCGTCGGCCCATTTTGTTTTCGTGGAAAGAACAGCAAGAGAGCTGGAGGATGAACGGTCAGGTAAGGTATCAAGTGGGCAGCGGTGGCGGGTCAGAGCAGAGGAAGTTGCTGCCTATGCTTCTTCTTCTTCTTGGGAGTGGAGGGAACATATCTATCTATCTGGCCTTGCTGCAGTGATGTCTTTGGTTGGGTAGCCAACTACTATTCAATCGGGTCTCGTACGTTCTTGAAATTGTGTGGTGATTAAATTTACTGGTCTCAACTAATTAATTATCAAGTATATATAGTGCAAAACATCAACACGTCATGAACGGACATAACAATTTCGTCGATGGCCACCATTAGGACAAGGTAGGGGGCGACGGTTACTACGACTCGATCATAATATCTCTTAAATTCAAGCATACATTTTTTTATCTCCACATAAATTCTTACCGTTCATAGACAACCTAAAGATCGAGAAAACACGATATTTCATACTACAACCCAAAAACTCACATCAAATTACCTAACCTGCCGCATGCATTCATGCACCGAGAGAACAACTCTTTCCATCAAATTCATTCTTCCGTCCTCTGGATGTGACATTTTCCTCTTCCCTAGAGTAAATATCTCACCAAATCCACTTCCATTCGACTTCAAATCAGTTACTTAAAGCCCCAACCAAACCACCACCTAACCTTGCAGCCCACTGCCCAATTTCCCCTCTCTATTTTCTAGCCCCTTAGCTTGTGTTATTTCCTCATTGATGTGTATTCGTAGCCGTCCATCATATATCTCATGTCGACCCCATTTACGTGCAAAATTTTCAACGCTACGTACTACGACTACTAGTCCCCCATTCTTTCCAACGAGACGCCCCATTCCGCCCGCAACCCCTTTCCTTTTTTTTTTAATCTTCTTCTCTACTAAAAGTCGCTACCATACACTGTTTTCAGTCCAACTTCCATGCACGACGACAAAACAGAGGTTTAATTTTTACACCGTTCTATCCATACGTACTCCGGAAACTTCTGTCCAGATTTTACTTTTTCCGGCCTAACCTCTCCCACGGCCACCTACTACAATAAGTGGTGTTACAAAAGGGCAGGCATATTACAAAACAACACAAGTGCAACCCTAGCTAAAGCTCAATAATCAACCTTTTGATGTATACCATCGGTTGCTTTCTCAATATCATGGTATGGGAACGTCACTTGGCTGGCTAGCTAGCTGGGCTGGTGCCTCGTTGCATACTATAGCTTTACAGCAAAACCAAAAGGTGCGTACGTACGTAGTGTATTAGTTGTTTGCAGTCGCTTGCTGATTGCTGTATCGATCTGTGCGGTGTGACGTTACATTGTTGGCTCTGAGACTGAGAGTAGTTAATTATAGTATTTGCTGAACCGTACACTGGCTTTTGTCATACCGTATGGGTAGTGACATGGCGCCCAGCCCATCTTGCCGTTTAAAGCCAAGTGCTTTTTTTTTTCTACCACTGCGAAAGGAAAAGCAGCTGTACGTGGGACGAGATAAAGAGATCCGCTGACTCGTATTCACTAGTCACGACCCACCATACCCAAGACCCAACGTTCTTTTTTATTATGTACAATAATTAGTGTTTGTTTCAATCCTTTATTTTCTTATTTAAGATTCTATAATATTAGTATAGCAAAAATGACGTGTTAGCTTTTTTTTTTTTTTTAAGATTACAGATCACGGATTCGGTATGAGTCTATTATTCAACGATGATTAACTCAATTAAGCATCGATTTAGTCGAATTTATACCGGGTCAATTTTCGACAGATTTTAAAGGTATACCATTACAAATTTCATGCAATTTTTCGGGAATGCCATTTTCTTTCGACTCTGGAGGCTACAGATCACGAAATCAAGTCAAGGCTATTCTCCACCGATAATGAAGTCATTTGATCCTATTCTCCACAGATGATAAGTCAATTAAGCACCAATTTGGGCAAATTTATTTTCGGATGACATTTTCGTAATTTTTTTGGCGACGAAAGGCCATTTTCTTTGTATTTTTAAGGTTACAGATCATGGGTTCGCCCTGAGGTTATTCTTCAACGATGATTAAGTTCATGAAGCACCCATTTGAGCGGATTTATTTTGGGTCAATTTTTGGCAGATTCAAATGGGGTACCATCACATATTTCGGGCAATTTTTTTGAAATGTCATTTTGTTTCGATTCTATAGGCTACAGATCACAGAATCAGGCCGAGGCTATTCTCCACCGATGATGAAGTATATTGATCAAATTCTCCACAAATGATAAGTCAATTAGGCACCGATTTGGGTCAATTGATTTTTGGATGACATTTTCATAATTTTTTAAGCTTCGAAATGCCATTTTCTATAGATTTTGAAGGATACAGATCACAGATTTGCCTTGAGGCTATTATTCAACAATAATTATGTCCATTAAGCACCGATTTGGGCGTATTTATTCCATGTCAATTTTTGGCAGATTCCAAAGGGGTACCATCACAGATTTCGGGAGATTTTTTCGAAATGTCATTTTCTTTTGATTCTGGAGGCTGCATAGCACGGAATCAAGCCGAGGCTATTCTCCATCGATAATGAAGTCTAATGATCCTATTCTCCACGGATGATAAGTCCATTAAGAACATATTTGTGTCAATCTATTTTTGGATGACATTTTCGTCATTTTTTAAGTTTCGAAAAGCCATTTCTTTAGATTTTGAAGGCTACAGATCACAGATTCGCCTTAAGGCTATTCTTTAACGATGATTGAGTCCATTAAGCACCGATTTGGGCGGATTTATCCCTGGTCAATTTTTGGCAGATTCCAAAGGGGTACCATCACAGATTTTGGGAGTTTTTTTCGAAATGTCGTTTTCTTTTGATTCTGGAGGCTACATATCAAGGAATCAGGCCGAGGCTATTCTCTACCGATGATGAAGCTATTGATCCTATTTTCCACAAATGATAAGTCCATTAAGCACCGATTTGTGTCAATTGATTTTTGGATGACATTTTTCGTAATTTTTTAAGCTTCAGAAAGCCATTATCTTTAGATTTTGAAGGCTACAGATCACAGATTTGGCTTGATGCTATTCTTCAACGATGAATAAGTCCATTAAGCACTGATTTGGGCGGATTTATCCCTGGTCAATTTTTGGCAGGTTCCAAAGGGGTACCATCACAGATTTCGGAAGATTTTTTTGAAATGCCATTTTCTTTTGATTTTGAGGCTACATATCATGGAATCAACCCGAGGCTATTCTCCATCAATAATGAAGTCTAATGATCCTATTATCCACGGATGATAAGTCCATTAAGAACATATTTGAGCCAATTTATTTTTGGATGACATTTTCGTAATTTTTTAAGCTTCGAAAGGCCATTTTCTTTAGATTTTGAAGGCTACAAATCACGTATTCGACCTGAGACTATTCTTCAACGATGATTAAGTCCATTAAGCAGCGATTTGGGCGGATTTATCCCTGGTCAATTTTTGGAAGATTCCAAAGGGGTACCATCACAGATTTCGGGAGATTTTTTCGAAATGTCATTTCCTTTTGATTCTGGAGGCTACACATATCACGAAATCTAGCCGAGATTATTCTCCACCGATAATGAAGTCTAATGATCCTATTCTGCACGGATGATAAGTCCAGTAAGAACCGATTTGGGCATTTTTATTTTCGGATGGCATTTTCGTAATTTTTTGGGCGAAGAAATGCCATTTTCTTTGTATTTTGAAGACTACAAATCACGGATTCGACCTGAGACTATTCTTCAACAATGATTGAGTCCATTAAGCACCGATTTGGGTATATTTATTCCTTGTTAATTTTTGGCAGATTTCAAAGGGGTACCATCACAGATATCGGGAGATTTTTTCGAAATGCCATTTTCTTTTTGATTCTGGAGGCTACATATCACTGAATCAGGCAGAGGCTATTGTCCACCGATGATGAAGCTATTGATCCTATTCTCCACAAATGATAAGTCCACTAAGCACCGATTCGGGTCTATTATTTTTGGATGACATTTTCGTAATTTTTTAAGCTTCGAAAGGCCATTTTCTTTAGATTTTGAAGGCTACAGATCACAGATTTGGCTTGGGGCTATTCTTCAACGATGTTTAAGTCCATTAAGAACTTATTTGGGAGGATTTATCCCTGGTCAATTTTTGGCATATTCCAAAGGGGTAACATCACAGATTTTTGGAGATTTTTTCAAAATGTCATTTTCTTTTGATTCTGGAGGCTACATATCACGGAATCAAGCCGAGGCTATTCTCCATCGATAATGAAGTCTAATGATCCTATTCTCCACAGATGATAAGTCCATTAAGAACATATTTGGGTCAAATTATTTTTTGATGACATTTTCGTAATTTATTAAGCTTCGAAAGACCATTTTCTAAAGGCTACAGATCACAGATTCGACTTAATGCTATTATTCTACGATGATTAAGTATATTAAGCACCGATTTGCGCGGATTTATCCCTTTTCAATTTTTGGCAGATTTTAAAGTTACCATCACAGATTTCGGGAGATTTTTTCAAAATGTCATTTTCTTTTAATTCTGGAGGCTACATATTACATAATCAGGCCGAGGCTATTCTCCACCGATGATGAAGCTATTGATCCTATTCTCCAAAAATGATAAGTCCATTAAGTACCGATTTGGGTCAAATGACCTTTGGATGACATATTCGTAATTTTTTATGCTTCGAAATGTCATTTTCTTTAGATTTTGAAGGCTACAGATCACAGATTTGGCTTGAGGCTATTCTTCAACGATGATTTAGTCCATTAAGCACTGATTTAGGCGGATTTATCCCTGGTCAATTTTTGGCAGATTCCAAAGGGGTACCATCACAGATTTCGGGAGATTTTTTCGAAATGTCATTTTCTTTTTTTTCTGGAGGCTACATATCCCGGAATCAAGCCGAGGCTACTCTCCATTGATAATGAAGTCTAATGATCCTATTCTCCACGGATGATAAGTCCATTAAGAACATATTTGGCCAATTTATTTTTGGATGACATTTTCGTAATTTTTTAAACTTCGAAAGGCCATTTTCTTTAGATTTTGAAGGCTAAAGATCGCAGATTCGGTTTGATGCTATTCTTCAACGATGATTAATTCTATTAAACACTTATTTGAGCGGATTTATCCCTGGTCATTTTTTGGCAGATTCCAAAGGGGTACCATCACAGATTTCGGGAGATTTTTTCGAAATGCCATTTTCTTTTTATTTGGAGTCTACATATCACAGAATCAAGACGAGTCTATTCTCCATCGATAATGAAGTCTAATGATCCTATTCTCCATGGATGATAAGTCCATTAAGAACATATTTGTGCCAATTTATTTTTGGATGACATTTTCGTAATTTTTTTTAACTTCGGTAGATTTTTTCGAAATGCCATTTTCTTTTTATTTGGAGTCTACATATCACGGAATCAAAACGAGTCTATTCTCTACCGATAATGAAGTCTAATGATCCTATTCTCCATGGATGATAAGTCCATTAAGAACATATTTGTTACAATTTATTTTTAGATGACATTTTCGTAATTTTTTTTAACTTCGAAAGGCCATTTTCTTTAGATTTTGAAGGCTACAGATCACAGATTCGGCTTGAGGCTATTCTTCAACGATGATTAAGTCCTTTAAGCACCGATTTGGGCGGATTTATCACTGGTTAATTTTTGGCAGATTCCAAAGGGGTACCATCATATATTTTTAGAGATTTTTCGAAATGCCATTTTCTTTTGATTCTGTAGGCTACATATCAAGGAATAAAGCCGAGTCTATTCTCCACCGATAATGAAGTATAATGATCCTATTCTCCACGAATGATAAGTCCATTAAGAACCGATTTGGGCCAATTTATTTTTGGATGGCATTTTGGTAATTATTGTGCTAAGAAAGACAATTTTCTTTGTATTTTGAAGGCTACAATCACTGATTCGGCTAAGACTATTATTCAACGATGATTAAGTCCATTAAGCACCGATTTGGACATATTTATATCTTGTCAATTTTTTGGAAGAATTCAAAGGGGTACCATCACAGATTTCGGGAAATTTTTCGAAATGTCATTTTCTTTTGATTCTGGAGGCTACATATCGCGGAATCAGGCCGAGGCTATTCTCTACCGATGATGAAGCTATTGATCCTATTTTCCACAAATGATAAGTCTATTAAGCACCGATTTTTGTCAATTGATTTTTGGATGCCATTTTCGTAAATTTTTAAGCTTCAAAAGTCCATTATCATTAGATTTTGAAGGCTACAGATCATAGATTTGGCTTGAGGCTATTCTTCAACGATGAATAAGTCCATTAAGCACCGATTTGGGCGGATTTATCCCTGGTCAATTTTAGGCAGGTTCCAAAGGGGTATCATCCCAGATTTCAGGAGATTTTTTTCGAAATGCCATTTTCTTTAGATTCTGGAGGCTACATATCATGGAATCAAGCCGAGGCTATTCTCCATCAATAATGAAGTCTAATGATCTTATTCTCCACGGATGATAAGTCCATTAAGAAGAAATTTGAGCAAATTTATTTTTGGATGACAATTTCGTAAATTTTTAAACTTCGAAAGGCCATTTTCTTTAGATTTTGAAAGCTACAGATTACAGATTCGGCTCGAGGCTATTCTTCAACGTTGATTAATTCCATTAAGCACTTATTTGGGCGGATTTATTCCTGGTTAATTTTTGGCAGATTCCAAATGGGTACCATCACAGATTTTTAGAGATTTTTCAAAATGCCATTTTCTTTTGATTGTGGAGGCTACATATCAAGGAATCAAGCCGAGTCTATTCTCCACCGATAATGAAGTCTAATGATCCTATTCTCCATGGATGATAAGTCCATTAAGAACCGATTTGGGGCAATTTATTTTCAGATTACATTTTTGTAACTTTTTGGTCGAAGAAAGGTCATTTTCTTTAGATTTTGAAGGCTACAAATCACGGATTCTACCTGAGACTATTCTTCAATGATGATTAAGTCCATTAAGCACCGATTTGGGCATATTTATTTCTTGTCAATGTTTGGCAGAATTCAAAGGGGTAGCATCACAGATTTAGGGAAATTTTTCGAAATGTCATTTTCTTTTGATTCTGGAGGCTAGATATCACGGATCAGGCCGAGGCTATTATCCACCGATGATGAAGCTATTGATCCTATTCTCCATAAATGATAAGTCCATTAACCACCGATTTGGGTCAATTGATTTTTTGATGACATTTTCGTAATTTTTTAAGCTTCAAAAGGCCATTATCTTTAGATTTTGAAGGCTACAGACCACATATTTGGCTTGAGGATATTATTCAACGATGATTAAGTCCAGTAAGCACCGATTTAGGCGGATTTATCAAAGGTCAATTATTGGCAGATTTCAAAGGGGTACCATCACAGATTTCGGGAGATTTTTTCGAAATGCCATTTTCTTTTGATTCTGGAGGCTACATATCAAAGAATCAAGCCGAGTCTACTCTCCACCGATAATGAAGTCTAATGATCTTATTCTCCACGGATGATAAGTCCATTAAGAACCGATTTGGGGCAATTTATTTTCGGATGGCATTTTCGTAATTTTTTGGGCAAAGAATGGTCATTTTCTTTGTATTTTGAAGGCTACAAATCACAGATTCGACCTGAGACTATTCTTCAACGATGATTAAGTCCATTAAGCATCAATTTGGGAAAATCTATTCCTTGTCTATTTTTGGCAGATTTTAATGGGGTACCATCAAATATTTCATGAGATTTTTTCGAAATGTCATTTTCTTTTTACTCAGGAGGCTACATATTGCGGAATCATGCCGAGGATATTCTCCTACGATGATGAAGCTATTGATCCCATTCTCCATAAATGATAAGCCCATTAAGCACTTATTTGGGTCAATTGATTTTTGGATGACATTTTCGTAATTTTTTAAGCTTCGAAAGGCCATTTTCTTTAGATTTTGAAGTCTACAGATCACAAATTTGGCTTGAGGCAATTATTCAACAATGATTAAGTCCATTAAGCACCGATTTGGGCGGATTTATCCATTGTCAATATTTTGCAATTTTCTTTGTATTCTGAAGGCAACAAATCACGGATTTGGCCTGAGACTATTCATCAACGATGGTAAAGTCCATTAAGCACCGATTTGGGCATATTTATTTCTTGTCAATTTTTGGCAGAATTCAAAGGGGTACCATCACATATTTTTGAAATTTTTTCGAAATGTCATTTTCTTTTGATTCTGGAGGCTACATATCACGGATCAAGCCGAGGCTATTCTCCACCGATGATGAAGCTATTGATCCTATTCTCCACAAATGATATGCCCATTAAGCACCGATTTGTTTCAATTGATTTTTTGATGACATTTTCGTAATTTTTTAAGCTTCAAAAGGCCATTATCTTTAGATTTTGAAGGCTACAGATCACAAATTTGGCTTGAGGCTATTATTCAACGATGATTAAGTCCATTAAGCACAGATTTGAGCGGATTTATCCCTGGTCAATTTTTAGCAGATTCCAAAGGGGTACCATCACAGATTTTGCAAGAATTTTTTGAAATGTCATTTTCTTTTGATTTGGAGTCTACATATCACGGAATCAAGCCGAGTCTATTCTCCACCGATAATGAAGTCTAATGATCCTATTCTCCACGGATGATAAGTCCATTAAGAACATATTTGTGTCAATTTATTTTTGGATGACATTTTCGTAATTTTTTAAACTTCGAAAGGCCATTTTCTTTAGATTTTGAAGGCTACAGATCACAGATTCGGCTTGAGACTATTCTTCAACGATGATTAATTTATTAAGCACCGATTTGGGTGGTTTTATCCCTGGTTAATTTTTGGCAGATTCCAAAGGGGTACCATCACAGATTTTTAGAGATTTTTCGAAATGCATTTTCTTTTGATTCTGGAGGCTACATATCAGAAAATCAAGCCGAGTCTATTTTCCGCCAATAATGAAGTCTAATGATCCTATTCTCCACGGATGATAAGTCCATTAAGAACCAATTTGGGCAAATTTATTTTCCGATGGCATTTTGGTAATTTTTGGGGAAGAACGACCATTTTCTTTGTATTCTGAAGGCTACAAATCCCGGATTCGGCCTGAGACTATTATTCAACGATGATTAAGTCCATTAAGCTCCGATTTGGGCATATTTATTTCTTGTCAATTTTTGGCAGAATTCAAAGGGGGTACCATCACAGATTTCGGGAAATTTTTCGAAATGTCATTTTCTTTTTAATTCTGGAGGCTACATATCACGGATCAGGCCGAGGCTATTCTCCACCGATGATGAAGTTATTGATCCTATTCTCCACAAATGATAAGTCCATTAACCACCGATTTGGGTCAATTGATTTTTGGATGACATTTTCGTAAATTTTTAAGCTTCAAAAGGCCATTATCTTTAGATTTTTAAGTCTATAGATCACATATTTGGCTTGAGGCTATTCTTCAACGATGATGAAGTCCATTAACCACCAATCTGGGCGGATTTATCCCTGGTTAATTATTGGAAAATTCCAAAGGGGTACAATCACAGATTTTTAGAGATTTTGCGAAATTCAATTTTCTTTTGATTCTCGAGGCTACATATCACGGAATCAAGCCGAGTCTATTCTCCACCGATAATGAAGTCTAATGATCCTATTCTCCACGGATGATAAGTCCACTAAGAACCGAATTGGGACGATTTATTTTCGGATGACATGTTTATAATTTTTGGTCGAAGAAAGACCATTTTCTTTGTATTTTGAAGGCGACAAATCACGGATTCGACCTGAGACTATTCTTCAATGATGATTAAGTCAATTAAGCCCCAATTTGGGCAAATCTATTCCTTGTCTAGTTTTGGCAGGTTTTAAAGGAGTACCATCACAGATTTCGGGAGATTTTTTTGATATGTCATTTTCTTTTGACTCCGGAGGCTACATATTGCGGAATCATGCCGAGGATATTCTCCAACGACGATGAAGCTATTGATACCATTCTCCACAAATGATAAGTCCATTAAGCACCGATTTGGGTCAATTGATTTTTGGATGACATTTTCATAATTTTTTAAGCTTCAAAAGGCCATTATGTTTAGATTTTGAAGGCTACAGATCACAGATTTGACTTGAGGCTATTCTTCAACGATGATTAAGTCCATTAAGCACCAATTTGGGCGGATTTATCCCTGGTCAATTTTTGGCAGGTTCTAAAGGGGTACCATCACAGATTTCTGGAGATTTTTTCGAAATGCCATTTTCTTATGATTCTGGAGGCTACATATAATGGAATCAAGCCGAGACTATTCTCCATCAATAATGAAGTCTAATGATCCTATTCTCCACAGATGATAAGTCCATTAAGAACATATTTGAGCCAATTTATTTTTGGATGACATTTTCGTAATATTTTAAGCTTTGAAAGGCCATTTTCTTTAGATTTTGAATGCTACATATCACAGATTCGGCTTGACGCTATTCTTCAACGATGATTAAGTCCATTAAGCACCAATTTAGGCATATTAATTTTTGCCAATTTTTGGCAGAATTCAAATGGGTACCATAACAGATTTCGTGAAATTTTTCGAAATGTCATTTTCTTTTGATTATGGAGGCTACATATAAGGGAATCAAGCCGAGTCTATTCTCCACCGATAATGAAGTATAATAGTCCTATTCTCCATGCATAATAAGTCCATTAAGAACCGATTTGGGCCAATTTATTTTCGGATGGCATTTTGGTAATTTTTTGGCGAAGAAAGACCATTTTCTTTGTATTTTGAAGGCTATAAATCATGGATTCGACCTGAGACTATCCTTCAACGATGATTAAGTCCATTAAGCACCGATTTGAGCATATTTATTTCTTGTCAATTTTTGGCAGAATTCAAAAGGGTACCATCACAAATTTCGATAAAATTTTCGAAATGTCATTTTCTTTTTATTCTGGAGGCTACATATCACGGAATCAGGTTGAGGCTATTCTCCACCGATGATGAAGCTATTCATCCTATACTCCGCAAATGATAAGTCCATTAAGCACCGATTTGGGTCAATTGATTTTTGGATGACATTTTCGTAATTTTTTAAGCTTCAAAAGGCCATTATCTTTAGATTTTGAAAGCTACAGATCACAGATTTGACTTGAGGCTATTCTTCAACGATGATTAAGTCCATTAAGCACCGATTGGGGCAGATTTATTCCTGGTCAATTTTTGGCATATTCCAAAGGGGTACCATCACATATTTCGGGAGATTTATTCGAAATGCCATTTTCTTTTCATTTTGGAGGCTACATATCACGGAATCAAGCCGAATCTATCCTCCACCGATAATGAAGTCTAATGATCTTATTCTCCACGGATGATAAGTCCATTAAGAACTTATTTGGGCCAATTTATTTTCGGATGACATTTTCGTAATTTTTTGGGCGAAGAAAGACCATTTTCTTTGTATTTTGAAGGCTACAAACGGATTCGGCCTGAGACTATTCTTCAACGATGATTAAGTCCATTAAGCACCGATTTGGGCATATTTATTTCTTGTCAATTTTTGGCAGATTTCAAAGAGATCACAAATTTCTAGAGATTTTTTCGAAATGCCATTTTCTTTTGATTCTAGAGCCTACATATCATGGAATCAAGCCGAGGTTATTCTCCATCGATATTGAAGTCTAATGATCCTATTCTCCAAGGATGATAACTCCATTAAGAACCGATTTGGGCCAATTTATTTTCAGATGACATTTTGGTAATTTTTGGGCGAAGAAAGATCATTTTCTTTGTATTTTGAAGACTACAAATTACGGATTCGGCCTGAGACTATTCTTCAACGATGATTAAGTCCATTAAGCACCGATTTGGGTATATTTATCCCCAGTCAATTTTTGCCAGATTCCAAAGGGCTACCATCACAGATTTTGGGAGATTTTTTCGAAATGCAATTTTCTTTTGATTCTGGAGACTACATATCACGAAATCAAGCCGAGTCTATTCTCCACCGATAATGAAGTCTAATGTTCCTATTCTCCACGGATGATAAGTCCATTCAGAAAAGATTTGGGCCAATTTATTTTCGGATGACATTTTCGTAATTTTTTAGGGCGAAGAAAGGCCATTTTCTTTGTATTTTGAAGGCTACAAATCACGGATTCGACGTGAGGCTATTCTTCAACGATGATTATGTCCATTAAGCACCGATTTGGGCATAATTATTCCTTGTCAATTTTTGGCAGATTTTAAAGTGGTACCATCACAGATTTCGTGAGATTTTTTAAAAATGTCATTTTCTTTTGACTATGGATGCTACATATTACGAAATCATGCCGAGGCTATTCTCCAACGATGATGAAGCTATTGATCCTATTCTCCTCAAATGATAAGTCCATTAAGCACCGATTTGGGTCAATTGATTTTTGGATGACATTTTCATAATTTTTTAAGCTTGAAAAGGCCATTATCTTTAGATTTTGGCTACAGATCACAGATTTTGCTTGAGGCTATTCTTCAACGATGATTAAGTCCAATAAGCACCGATTTGGGTGGATTTGTCCCTGGGGAATTTTTGGCAGGTTCCAAAGGGGTACCATCGCAGATATCGGGAGATTTTTTCGAAATGCCATTTTCTTTTGATTCTGGAGGCTACATATCATGGAACCAAGCCGATGCTATTCTCCATCTATAATGAAGTCTAATGATCCTATTCTCCACGGATGATAAGTCGATTAAGAACATATTTGGGCTAATTTATTTTGATTACATTTTCATAATTTTTTAAGCTTCAAAAGGCCATTATCTTTAGATTTTGAAGGCTACAGATCACATATTTGGCTTGAGGCTATTCTTCAATGATGATTAAGTTCATTAAGCATCGATTTGGGCGGATTTATCACTAGTCAATTTTTGGCAGGTTCCAAAGGGGTACCATCACAGATTTCGGGAGATTTTTTCGAAATGCCATTTTCTTTTGATTCTCAAGGCTACATATCATGGAATCAAGCTGAGGTTATTCTCCATCGATAATGTATTCTAATGATCCTATTATCCACGGATGATAAGTCCATTAAGAGCATATTTGGGCAAATTTATTTTTGGATTACATTTTCATAATTTTTTATGCTTCGAAATGCCATTTTCTTTAGATTTTGAAGCCTACAGATCACAGATTTGGCTTGAGGCTATTCTTCAACGATGATTAAGTTCATTAAGCACCGATTTGAGCGAATTTATCCTTGGTAAATTTTTGGCAGATTCCAAAGGGGTACCATCACAGATTTTGCGAGAATTTTTTGAAATGCCATTTTTATTTTGATTCTGGAGGCTACATATCACGGAATTAAGTCAAGGCTATTCTTCATCGATAATGAAGTCTAATGATCATATTCTCCACGGATGATAAGTCCATTAAGAACATATTTGGGCCAATTTATTTTTGGATGATATTTTAGTAATTTTCAAGCTTCGAAAGGCCATTTTATTTAGAATTTGAAGGCTACCGATGATAGATTCGGCTTGAGGCTATTCTTCAACGATGATAAAGTCTATTAAGCACTGATTTGGGCGGATTTATACCTGGTCAATTTATGGCAGATTCCAAAGGGGTAACCATCACAGGTTTCCGGAGATTTTTTCGAAATGCAATTTTCATTTGATTTTGGAGGGTACATATCACGGAATCAAGGCGAGTCTATTCTCCACCGATAATGAAGTCTAATGATCCTATTCTCCACGGATGATAAGTGCATTAAGAACCGATTAGGCCAATTTATTTTCTAATGGCATTTTCGTAATTTTTTGGGCGAAGAAATGCCATTTTCTTTGTATTTTGAAGGCTACAAATCACGGATTCGGCCTGAGACTATTTTTCAACGATGATTAAGTCCATTAAGCACCGATTTGGGCATATTTATTTCTTGTCAATTTTTGGGAGATTTCAAAGGGGTACCATCACAGATTTCGGGAGATTTTTTCGAAATGTCATTTTCTTTTGATTCTAGAGGGTACATATCACGAAATCATGCAAGGTTATTCTCCACCTATGATGAAGCTATTGATCCTATTCTCCATAAATGATAAGTCCATTAAGCATTGATTTAGGTCAATTGATTTTTGGATGACATTTTCGTAATTTTTTAAGCTTCGAAAGGCCATTTTGTTTAGATTTTGAAGGCTACAGATCACAGATTTCGCTTGAGGCAATTCTTCAACGATGATTAAGTCGATTATGCACCGATTTGGGCGGATTTATTCGTGGTCAATTTTTGGCAGATTCCAAAGGGGTATCATCACAGATTTCTGGAGATTTTTTCAAAATGCCATTTTCTTTTGATTCTGGAGGCTACATATCACGGAATCAAGCCGAGGCTATTCTCCATCGATAATGAAGTCTAATGATCCTATTCTCCTCGGATGATAAGTCCATTAAGAACATATTCGGGGCCAATTTATTTTTGGATGACATTTTCGTAATTTTTAAAGCTTCGAAAGGCCATTTTCTTTAGATTTTGAAGGCTACAAATCACAGATTTGGCTTAACGCTATTCTTCAACGATGATTAAGTCCATTAAGCATCGATTTGGGGGGATTTATCCCTGGTCAATTTTTGGCAGATTTCAAAGGGGTACCATCACAGATTTCGGGAGATTTTTTTGAAATGCCATTTTCTTTTGATTCTGGAGGCTACATATCACGTAATCAAGCATAGTCTATTCTCCACCGAAAATGAAGTCTAATGATCCTATTCTCCACAGATGATAAGTCCATTAAGAACCGATTTGGGCCATTTTATTTTCGGATGGCATTTTCGTAATTTTTTGCGCGAAGAAATGCCATTTTTTGTATTTTGAAGGCTACAAATCACAGATTCGACCTGAGACTATTCTTCAACGATGATTAAGTCCATTAAGCGTCGATTTGGGAAAATTTATTATTTTCAATTTTTGGCAGATTTCAAAGGGGTACCATCAAAGATTTCGGGAGATTTTTTCGAAATGTCATTTTCTTTTGTTTCTGGAGGCTACATATCACGGAATCATTCCAAGGCTATTCTCCACCGATGATGAAGCTATTGATCCTATTCTCCTCAAATGATAAGTCCATTAAGCACAAATTTGGGTCAATGATTTTGGATGACATTTTCTTAAATTTTTAAGCTTCGAAAGACTATTTTTTTAGATTTTGAAGGCTACAGATCACATATTTGGTTGAGACTTTCAGGAAGGAAGAAGCCAAGCAAAAAGAAACAAAAGAAAGAAAGAAAGAAAGGAAACAATGCGAGGGAGTAGAAGTTAATAACCATTAAAGTATTGATAGGTAAGGTGGGGGACTGCTAGTGACCTGTCGTTTCTGTACGATTGACTGTACGGCACCGTCGTCGTCGTCGTCTTTATGTGTTTGTTTTAGGAGAAGAATAGGATCGATTTGCCGTTTGCCAGCTCTCCCACCCAAAGCTTAGCTGACTCATTAAAATTCCCTGATGAGTACGTCCTCCACTACAAACAACTTTTCTTTCCACTTGTCTAGTGTCTCCCACTCTTCTCCATATATGATGATATATGGCTCCCAAAATTTGGTGAAACTATGAATGATTTCGTTCGAATTACCACTTGCTTTAGTATAGAAATTTTGAGTCAGAATAAACGTTGTATATTTTCTTTCTTTTTTTGTAACGTAACATGAGTATTCGATTTATTTGATTTCATCTTCGGCTTCCGTTATGTCACACAGCTACTCTACAGTTTGGACTAGATGCAACTGCATCATTCATACCCATTACAATTTCTGGACGTAAGTCTCGAATAAGTTCATTTCTGTACAAACTTTCCACAAACTCTTTCGGAATCGTAACCATCACCACTCTGTCCAACTGTCCGCTTTGATAGCCTCCACCGGTGGAAGCAGGCAATGCAGGGAGAATCAGAACTTGCCATTTCACACCGACTGGTTCGACATAGGTTGAAACCCTGATCGGCTCCAACCCATCCTCGAACCTAGCAGAGTATGGGTCTACTCCATCCAACCCGATACAAACAATCTCACAATCGCCATGGTTGATGGGGGAAGGGGAGTACTTCTTTTGATCTTCATCGTCATCATCATTATCAAGATCTTTGCATCTTAACCACTCGATCAAGCCCATTACCGAGTTCGAGTCCATTATCTCCCCTGCAGCTTCTCTTATAGACGCAACCGCACTAGCCAATGATGATATTGAGGGAGGTTCATGATTTGAACATCGAACTCGATTGTGTACCATGCAGTTCCCAAAAAATCCACTATCCAACCCCAAAGCCTTTCTAGCATCCAAGCATATCGACATGTCCATTAACCCATCGGTCTCCTTCTTTACTTTACTTAGACACACCCAAAAGAGACCTGATAACGCTTCAAACGGTGATGCCTGCACCTGGCTCGACGACCCTGTCTGAGCCATCGCCATGCATGATTGCACCATGGAGCTCGTGAACGAAAAGGAAAGAGTGGTCAGGTGGCTCGCCAGCTCGACATCTTGATCAACGGTTGCAACAGATTTATCAATGGTAGCCTTGTAGTGTTCAATCAAGTCATTGGTTTTACTAATGTGAGGGAGGCTAGGGTTGTGAATGAGCTTTGGGGCAGGCAAAGCGTGGAAAAATGGTGGGTGTTGCATTTTCCCTAGGAAAGCTATGTCAGCCCATGCCTTGATGAACATAGTAGCGCAAACCGGATCGGCCAAGAGGTGATAGCAACTCAACCCTATTGCCACACCTCCACCTTCAAACTCTGTTAGCTGAAAGCCAAAAAACAAGAACAAGTTATGTAGTAGATAGGGTTCAAATTGAAAAAGTCTTGAGTCGAAATCAGAACGACAATCGATCTATATGAGTTTGTTTACAACAATAACAAACTTTTTTTTTTTTACCTGAACGTAGAAAGTGGACCAAAAGTAAGGTTTATGGAACACCTCCTCCCAATGGACAAGCTTCATCTCCCTTTCCCTATCAACATTACTAAGCCATTCATCGACACTCCCTTGTGCTCGAGCCTCCACCATTCTCACCCCTGCATCGTTGCACTTTATCATCCAAGTCCTCCCGTCTTCCTCCTTCACCAGCCTCCCCGTTATGACGGGGAAAAATGTGAGTGTCTCAGATATTGACTCCCTCAACATTTTGGTGATCTCGCCCGGCTCGTAATACTTGTCAGGAGTAGTAGTGGCCTTAAGATAGTACACCATTTTCAGGTGGTTTTCTCCCATGGCCCGGTCCAGGACGGACAACGAGTGGCGTTTCCCCGGTTGGACCGGTTTCGTGCTCACCACGGTTCGCTTGCATATGTATGTGACCATTGGGTTGGCAGCCATTGGCTTGTTTAATTTGTGACACAATATAATGTTAACTATGTGTTTTATGCTTGTTGTTTTTTGTGTTTTGCGGTTTGGAGCATCATTATATACATGAACAAAACATTGAGTTGGGTGAATATTTTTCCATTAGTAGGTTGGAGAATCAGGGAAATGTGATTTTCGTGATGCGATGAGGTCATGAGATTTGTGAGGATGCCTTGGTTTAAGGTTCTGGAAATGCCATTCCAGAGAAATTGGAGGTCTCTCCAACTAACCATAATCAAGTGATGATTAATTTATTTTTTCTCATGTATATGTTGTTTGATTGGGAAAAAAAATCTGGTTTTATAGTCAATTTAACAAACAAATCTATATATGCGCTATATCTTTTATCGGTTTTGAATCTCAATATCATAAATCTTGTTCAAATTTGTTGCTAATTAGGTCGACTCCTGCTTATACGTGATTAAGAACGTCCATAGATAAGACAGATGATACCAAGCATTATGCCAGCTATTATAGTTCACATGACGATCGAATACCGAATATTAAACATATCAAAATATGTCGATTTTGAAAGTCGAATTAAATGGCATATTTGATGAACTTGTTTTTTTAGCATCATTGTGTATATACATTCACTTGATGATTTCTTAAAAATTGGAACTCACCATTTGAGAGTTGGCTCCAAAATGGCTATTATCAATGCATGTTTCTCTTATTCTGTTTCATGACCACCGTCGTCAAGCATGGAATTGTGGCAGAAAACAAAAAGAAGAACAGCCTGTCGAATGGTATTAATTATGGAAACAAGATAATTTTTTTAGGGAGCAAAAATAGTTATCATCTTTTTTCCATGTACCACCTAACCAACTGCCTCTCCTTTTATCTCTATTAATATCAGAATACAAAGGGGGAAACAGAAACTAAAGATTATTGGGGAGATCAGTTATTAATTTATTTTCTCTTCGTCATCATCATATCTTTTCTTTCTAAGTAAAGCACAACCGGATCACATGGCCGTTTAGGAAGGTTCATCTTCGATAGGGATAGATGGATAAAACTTATAAATATTATTTTTTTTCCAAATATCATATCACAAGTGACGGTTGACATCGTTTTTATATGTTTTTTTTTCCAAGGCAAGCCCAAAGGGCATGGGACAAAGACTCGACACAATTACAAGACCAACTCAAATACTGGACGTTAGTCCGTATGCAACCAGACTACCGATGAAAGAGCCTGTTAAGCCACTACTTGGGCAGCTCTGAAGAAGCTCCGAGGAGCAAAGACACGACACTGACGGGGAAAAAAACAAAAATACAACATCTCCAAGATAGTCCCGCCAACGAGTGTAGTTTCCTTCGACGGAGTATGTCGGATGACCGGTAACGAGTTATCACAAAAGCCACAACAAAGAAAAGAAAATTACATTAACAATCTTCGACAAAACATTACTTAATTACTCTCGTAAATTTATAAAAGAGAATGAAATCGAACTATCACCTGATATATTGATGAACTTTATTTCATTTACTTCATTACTTTCATATCATATGAGCATCTGCATAATGGCCAACCAAAAATACACGACTATTGTGCTACAAGATATTAAATTCAAGAAAGTCGTTTAAATTCAAGAAATATATTGAAACCCTAAACTAGTGAAAATAAACGTAAATCTACAAGAAAATCAATGATGTCATTGAAATTGAGAAATAAATAAATTAATTTAGAATAATTAATGCATACCTCCCTGTATATGCGTTGCCAGTAAATGGAATTAAACAAATAATTAACACCATTAATCACAATTTATGTATATAATATAGAATTCAAATCAAAAGTGAAAGAAAAAAAACTACCGTATTCGGGGTAGTTACTGCAAATAATAAGAGTAATGACAATTGGCAAGTTACACAACTAGCAAAGGAATGATTACCAATAAATTTAGTTAGAGACAAAAGGAAATTAAGACTCTAATCTGTCCCAAAACCATAAAGTAATAAGATTTCATTGGAGCATAAAAGGTAACCAAAACCGATGCTTAATCAGTCAGCTTTGAGAACAGCGGAATCCAAAAACTCAATTAATGATGGATGGAATCAAAAATGTTGCCGGAGTTAAGATAGGAGAAACCTTACCTTCGCCGACCAATGAAGGGACGGATCCGGCAAAGACCCCAAGGAGCTCCGGCCAAGAAGCAACACAAGTATCAAAAGCACAATATATCTCCAGTGATCCTTCTCGGTCGAGATATGAATTTGATAGAGAACACCAAAATAAGCAGGCTCCACAAGGAGAGCAAATTGACGACTAGCGTCTTGCCATATCCGAAGAAGATATAGATGTCAGCTGAATCGCTTATTATTTCACAATGATCATATCGATCCAAAACCATCGTATCATTCGGAAAAGTAAAAAATCCAGGCTTTACCGAGATAAATTCGCAAATACCCAAACGCCAACGAACCCAGGAAGATGGTTATATGTTGGTTACCTTTGGTAGTTGCGTAACCCGATAGAAAGGAAGAGCCACCAGCCCGGCAATGGAAGAAATAAACACAATGCTTCCATTTCCAGATGCTTTCAACATAGGATATGCCAACTGCGACAAATAGAAAGGTGACTCCAAATTTGTCGCCATCACAAGGGTCTTGCTTCCTTACCTTGAGCAGATTCTCAAAGAACTTGATGTCCTTCTTCTTGTTGGCACCAGCGATATCGACAGCCTCGTCGTCTGACGACTCGGAGTCTGATTCCGAATCGTCGTCGTCGACTCGGAGTCTTTATCCTTTAGGTTTGCGCCGATGGCCTTGGAGTCGTCAGGTTTTTCTTCCGGTGGAGGAGTGGCCGGAATTACGGATTTCTCCTCGGCGACGTCCTTTGGAGGTTCGTTGGCAGGCGCAGCAGCAGCCGCCGGAGGATCGGCGGCGGGCATCGTTTTTATATGTTGTCTGCTTATAATGACGATTATGTAACGAGTGCATTGAATTCACAAAAAGAAGTGAGTACACCGAAGACAAAACCATATATTAAGTCACTGCTAACTAATGAGACTTATATCTAATCATGATCGATTTGAGATTTGATGTTAATTTTATCAATTCGATCAAACATCAATGAAACATGATTGATTTAATCAAACATTAATCAAATTTGATTAACTTCCGAACTTATCTTATAATTTTGAGTAGCCCCAGCTAAGCTATAGCTAAGTGTGATTACTGGGATTCTGAGAATGTGTACACCTCTGCTCTCAATCATGTGCTGCCTTAATTTCCAGCATAGAATTATTTTATTTTTTCCCGAGTTCACTGTTTTAAATAACAAATAACCAGTTTGCTTGTCATATATATATGACGAACCAATGTTTGACACATAATAAGATGAGAATGTCATTATAATTATTATATGTATATGAAACAAACAAACAAAAAAAGACGATTAGATTAATGGGATTCGGTAGTGGGAATATTCATTACAGGTTGTACAGTTAGCTCTCTTTGCTGTGTTGTTTCTGAATAGTTTTTGTAAGGACGCGTACTTCATTTATTCTTCGTAATGCACATTACGCTTCTCCCACTACCTCAGTCAGGAGCCACTTAGTTATTTCATTATATTCTAATTCTACTATATGTTTGTGTGATTTGTTAAAGAAATTCTGAGCTAGAAAATAAAATATATTCTCTTCTACTAAGTCATGTCGGTTGTGAATTCCTGAAGGCCCAGCTGTTTGAGCTCATCACTAAATACAACATTCGATTTGAACTTGATTCACATTCGAACGACTTATAGAAAGACGCTCAATTTGAAATTTTATGATATTTATTGTCATTATAACTAATTCAATTTTTTGCACGGGTTAAAATTTATAGAATCCTTTTTCCTAAGCATAGGCTCGAGACGGAACATTCACATAATGTCATTAATCCTACAGAAAGTAGCGGAATACTTTATAGATAAAAAAAAAACATATGATAGATGTCTCACCTTACGGTCCATGTATATTCCTAATACCAAACAGGCTTCAACAGGTCTTACTCAACATTGACATTGTGTTACGTAGGTAGTGTTTATGGATCTATTAGCTAATTAAGGCATTTATCAACTATTCTCAAATTAAAGGAGATCCAAATGAAATATATATATATATATATATTCTGAATATGACTGTTTGCATATACCCTTTTATCAATGATGACTACGATAACTAGAAACCAATTCCTTGAACAAGGTTGGGATGGGATTAGGTGCTAACCCTTATAGGAGTTAGCACCGTGATAACTAGCAAAAATCACTACGGATTATTATAAAATCAATACAACATCTAAGCTAAATCACTACTAATTCAAACTAGTAGTAGTTTTTCCCTTGATTAGGACGGTGCTAACTATTGTACAATTAGCACCGTAACCCCTCCCAACAAGGTTTCATCAAGGTGTTGTCGTCCTGTCGTGCTTGTTCTTATGCAAAGGAAACAAAGCAAAACTCGACTAAGTGCCATATGCATGCCTTAGAAAAGGCTTGAAGAAGTCAAGTTTGCAACTCATCACTTGCGTACATAACCGAGAATATGAGCCTTTACGTTAATTCGTTTGTTGCAACTTGCAAGTCCAAAAGACTCCAATTACAAGGTTCGTATCCGAAACGGTAAGAGATAAAAACTCATACAAACACTTTTTTTAACGGGTTAAGTTATTGATATTTAGTGATTTATTCATTAACATGGCATTAAAGTCTTTGATCGAGAAAATATGTTTCTGAATTTTGTAACTACCCCAATGTAAACAATAATTCAATACAAGAGATAATATTTTCAACCTGTACAAACTGCTAAATGGTTTAGCAAATGATGATATGTTTAACATGTGCAAACTGAAAAATCCATATATAAACTTTCGTTTGAGGGGATGTGTAAAAGATATAAAAAAAAATTCACACAAATATTTTTCCAACAACTCGAACTATTCGGACTAAGTGATTTTTCGTTAACAGAAACGATGTGAAGCGGATTATAATTGTCTAGCTATTTTATCACATGATTATGACAACATAACTAAATCGACCATATGTAACTATAATATTGCATTTTCAGACACTTCACAATATGTATACATCGAACGGCCCATGTTCCACATGAAACACGAACGAACGAACCAAACTTGAGGACCATTTGTTTCCTTTGGATGAAGAAACATGCATATGTATATCCGGATAATATTTTGCGTTGTGATGCTCTTTTATTTCCATCGTGGAAAGCTAGCTAACTACCTAACCTTTGATTAAATTAAATTAAATTATTATATATAAATTTATGTGATTTACTAATATTGTGTGTTAGACAATCTGTAGCAGGGAGGACCGATTTTTAAGCCCAAAATGAAAAGATCAAACACCTTCGCTAAATCAGAAACGAAAAAGGAAATTAGAATTGCAAAACCCAATCATGATTTGAGTTCAATACAGAGACCTCCACTGACTCTTATTTATACGCCAAGTAAACAGATTTGACCGATATAAAAAAAAAGTTACAATATTTACTAACCATTTGAATTTAGTAATTTAATAGAACACGATGGCTGTTCTGGTAATGGTCCAGAAGTTTAGAGACCGTTTGTGCAATTAACCAACGGAAAAGTGGAGATGACGGAGTTAGGAGCGTGGGGGTTGGTGGGAGATCAATGCCCGCCATGCCGCGCGTTAATAACAGCGCGCCAAAATGGTTGACACGTGGAGTGGAGTGGGGTCCAGAAGAGAAAATGAGGAGACAAATGAAAACCGAACAAAAGAAGAGAAGAGGGACCAACAAGTAACGGGAATTGGAATGGAATCATCAGACAGTCACGGAATAGTACTGGCCGGACATACGGAACAAAAGGGAGAAAAAGAAATTAACCCCTTCCCGCTAATTCCGCTCCTCTCTCTTTCTCCTCACCCACACTCACACTTTCACTTTCACACTCTCACTCCTCAATTGGCATGCTACCGAATCGCGACGATCATATGTATCATCAATGACGGCATGAGATTTTGATATATTAAAAATATCATTCATGTGGTGATATTAGAATCACATCAGAAGATTATATCGATCAATATGGTATGCTTCAAGTACTATGAACCAACCAAGATTAATGAATAAATAAGGAGTGTTTCAGATCACTACGAATCAGTTCGAAATAAGCAATAATCATTAACGAATCAATGCCTCCATGTTCAAACGATATATTGATTGCAATGCCATATAAAAGCCAAAAATTACTCCATGATTAGGGTGGAAATGAAGCACAATTTCATTGTTCAATTTAAAGCTTTCTTTCACAAGATTAGCTAGATTGTAATAACTTTCACATGGAGAACACACGCAAAATTCATTCTTACACTTCAAAAACAATCCTTTATTCGAAAATCATAAAGGCAGAATTTTAATGCTGCACCTAATCCCAAAAATAATTCCTTCGCATAGGGAAATATAGGAAAATAATAACTAAAAATAAAAAAACGTTTTTGGACTTTGGCTACATTTTCCACCCCCTCCGTCCGTCCGTCTCCCAACTCCCAAACCTATTATCTCCTCCCAAGAAAACAAAATAATAAAAATAAAAAATATTGTACCTGCCAAGTACTCTTACCCGTACCATCTTTCTCCTCCTTCCTTCCGTCTTTTTTATATATATTCCCTTCCTTCCCCTTCCCTTCACGCCTCTCCCTCTTCTCTCTCTGAAACGGTTACACAAAGTAAAGCAACTCTCTCTCTCTCTCTCTCTCCTCCTTCCTCCACCTCCGCCGCTGATCTCCGGTCAGATTCAGTTCCAAAAAAATCAAACTCATCCGATTATGAAGCAATTAATCCGCCGCCTCTCCCGCGTGGCCGACTCCTCCACCTACAGCCTCCTCCGCTCCGACTCCCACCACAACCGCCGCCGCGCCGCCGCCTCCGCCGCCGGGAGAGCGGAATCGTTCCGGTCGCTGGTGAAGGCGGCGAGGAGATCCAGCTGCGGGAAGGCCGTCCCGCACGGGTACGTCCCCGTCTACGTCGGCGACGAGATGGAGCGGTTCGTGGTGAGCGCCGAGCTCCTCAACCACCCGGTCTTCGTCGGCCTCCTCAACAAGTCGGCGCAGGAGTACGGCTACGAGCAGCAAGGCGGGCTCCGGATCCCCTGCCACGTCCTCGTCTTCGAGCGGGTCATGGAGGCGATTCGACTCGGCCTCGAGTCACACGACCTCGACGACCTCCTCGGCTCCTGCTCCGCTTCCGTTTCTGCTGCTGCTGCTTCCTCCGGCGCGGCTGCCGTCTCCGTCGGATACTTATGAGAATTGCCGTCTCTCCGATTTAGTGATTTTTTTTTAGATTTGGGGGAGAATTGATTTCACAGAAAAAGGAAAGTGAAAAAAAAGGGTGGGAGAGAGATGTTTTGGGAGTAGGTGGTTTTTACCGCTGTAAATACAGGAGGTTATTTTTAGTTACCTTTCTAGATGATGATGATAATGATGATAATTTTTTTTTACCATGGTGATGTGTCATGGGTTGGGGGAGCTGTAATTTTTATTCTTAATGGAGTTGTCCGTCCGTTGTAAAACACAGCTACTGAGACAGGCAAGCAATGGAAGAAGATAATTTTAGAGTTAATTAATTAAAAAAATTCTACCGTTTCCCTGTAAATTCGATTTCCCTCCTTTCTTTTACCCGTCAATGTCGGCTTCGATTTAATTGGTGGCCGGCCGGCCGGCCGAGGGAATCGGGTCGGGGGATTGGTGGCAGGACAGAGATGTAATTTCTCACCCAGTGGAGGAGACAAAACGAGGATGGAAGGACAAGGTAGAATCTATGCCCTGTTTGATAGGGTTAGGTTGGATTATAATTCATTGTTCCTTCCTTCCAAATCACTACATTTTGGGGCATCGGTGAAAAAGTTTAGGTAGTAATTGGAAATACGACTGTACGGTTGAGTTTGGTGGAGGAACAGTGAGTTTAGCAGACAATTTTGGCTTCTAAGCTCCCCTTGGAGCTCAATTATACTCAAATTGTCCATTAAATGTTCAATGCATACGACTCGTGCTTCATTCTGTATGATACAAACAAGAATGTTAAAACAAACGAGCACTAATTTTTTGCTCTCGGATTTTGTTTACATTACAACAACCCAATGCTTATGCATGCACTGGTGGATAGGGTAACCATAGTATGGCAAAACAAGACAATTCAACTATTCGCATTAAGGTAGATATATATAAGTAAGGATGTCACTAGACGAATTAATCCATCCAGTGGAGCACGTCGTGAATTCAAAATAAATCGCTCATTTTCTTCTCACATCTTTTGTTTACAAAAATGAGTATGATGCTTTACTGTAAGGACGACGTCCTTACGTTTTTATCCGCCTAATTAAAAATCATTGAGTGAGAATCACAAGAAACACAATATATCATAAGTATTACATCCATTGGGTTATAGTAGGACAGATGGGTGATTGCTTAGCATTAAGAAAAATTTCACAAGTATTAACGGAATCGGGTCAGATTGGTCCTGTAAAAGTGGGTAATGTCATTTAGTCATTTTGTTGATGTGACTTGAATCGGAGCCACTACGACTGGAAGTCATGGAGTTATTTGAGTTTGTATTATGGGCCTGGTTGTAACCGTTTTTTCTTTACCAGATTTGACTAGGGTTAGACCTAGGAGAAGTAGTAGGATCATTTCTTACATTGTCGAATTCTCGTATTTCCTGATCCGGAGAAAACAGCCGTGACACATTTTTTTTCTAGTTAGTTTATAGTCGGACAGCTGGGGTGATAGAGGTGTTAATGTTAAGGAAGAGTATTAATTTTACGTGCTATTACAAATCGAACAATACAAGAGAAGCCAAGCCGTCTTATTAGCACCACACTGACCCCGAATGCCTCCAAAGGGACAAAGAAGAAGACAGTTTAATTTATATATATAAAAAAATACGAATTTTCCTTAGGAGAAGTAAAAGGCCAAAATTAAGAAAATTACAAAGAACCCCTCACATGTAAAACAGTGACCCTCAGAAGCCAATGGAAGCTTTGGGGTTCATTAAGTATATTATTATTGTTTAGACCGGAAGTCATTTGCAAGAGAATAGTACGGAATTAATGGTGGCCACATATGTGACTGTCACATTTTTTGTTTATGTTGAATTAGTATTAGTAATCATAATCACGAGTCACGACTAATTATAAAGAGTCATGAATCTGACCATTTCATGCTTAAGTACTCTCACCTAATCTCATATGATAGGTAAGATTCAGGTTCATCGATCGCCCCTGTCTATACACATATATTTCTGTTTAGGTTTAATACTTGAATATAATTAATCCATGGCTTAAGCTTGATGAGTTTCGCCTCTTTTCTGTTCAGGCAATTAGCAATAATTTGTTTTAACTGTGCACATCTGTCGGCAGGTTAATTACCATGGCAAAAGTGCAACAAAGCACAACTTTGCCCCCTTCGCTGGTTGGTGATTGGTGAATGGTTTAAGCCTCAATCATGTTTATATATAATATAGGTGGTATGGCGTAATCGAATTGTAGAGTAAACTTCTCCTTCCTCCGTAAATTCCTTTTAAGCAGCATGTGTATTGTGTACAGATAAAAAAAAACATCTCAACAACTGAAATCGTTAGAAAATCCCTCAGACAAATGGCTGATTACTAGGTTCGAAAAACTATAAAATTTCACTATGTGTACATGTTAGGTTTATTCAAGTGTCAATGTTCGGAGTGTACCATGAGCATCAAAAAACACGATTATGTAGCTAGTAGCATATACATACATACCAGACATGATTGCTTTGCATTGGTGTGACGTTTATGACTCATCATCAAGCTGCATAATTAGCCAATTAGGTGGCAAACCACAACTTGATTTGCTTGAACTGACGTTTATGGTTAATACACGGGCTAACTAGATATGCAGATGGGATAATCAACCCAATAATTCAAACTAATTAAGATTATATAGGAGAGGACCTACCCACAATAATAATGTATGTATATGGACGGTCTCATAAATCAAATCCATTTGACACATACCCTTCCACAATCATCATCCATTAATATTTTTTTAGTTTCCTTGAGTTTATCAGTGATTTGAGATGATGTATTATAAGGAATCAAAGGATGCGTTGTTTATACTAAACATGGTTGTACATTGATGGATATTTATCCATAGTTGTATTAGCCCAACTGTGTTAAGAGGAGTGGGGCTCATTTGCTACGCTAGCTAGTCCGCCGATTTCGGTTCGATCGAGTAGTTCTCAGTTACGATGGGCAAGTATAACTCTTGTTGATGTAAAATCAAAATCATTAGTGGTTGGACCTAGTTAGTAACTCATATCTCGATCATTTCTTAATTCATTCGTATAATTTTTTCTTCTTAGTTACAATCATATTATTCAAGTCATCGACGTATCCTTGTGATCATGGTAGGTTTTGTTTATTAGAAAATGAAGATTGGGTTTCAATTAGTTTTTTCCAGTTACTCCAGCAATTTTTTGTATTAAAAAACGAACACTAAGCAATAAAGAAAATGCTCAATCAAGTATACCAAGGAAAAATACAGAAAATTATACATATACAAATGTGGTGTCACATGACACCCTAGCTAAATAATTAGATCTGCAAAACTAGCTTGCTAAGCTTAGCTTATGTGAACACATGATAATGAGCTAGCTAAACCCTCAGATTTATTCAATTAATTGTCAATAGAAGGCAATTAAGTAATATTGAGTAGCAATCATTAGTTACATTAATTATTCGAAGGTTATTACAATAAGGCAAATTATAATAATATGCATAGTCAAGCGATTTGGTTGGAAATTAGACTGGAAATTCCTCAAGAGAAGACTTTATTATACAATATCATCATATAATATAGCTAGCTAGTCAGTCATAGTTTCACACTGTGACAGATATACCCTGGTTTATCATTATCATAACTATAATCATAATAATTATTATTATTGTTATTATCCAGTTACAAGATCCAATTATTGATAACTATATGATTTGCATTCAACTGTAAAATATGATACTATAATGTTTTTTCTTTACTTATTTCTAAAATCAATAGTTTCAGTGGGTTCTTTAGTTAACACGTCTCCTATGTATGATTTTGCATATACATTACATACATGCATGAGACTAGTAAGGAAGGAGAATCAAGCATTGATATCAAAGAGGTACACGTACCTTGATTTCCTCTTGTGAAGATCGGATTTTGCAATAATTGATATAGGGGATTTCCATGGGTTGGATAAATTGGTATTTGGGTATTTAATAATTTGATGTAATGTTCATTTTGCAATATCAATGATTAGAAATAAACCGGTTGTAGTATTGCTCAATTCGTAACATGGAAGATCTTTCTTTCGTACTCGTTGCATGATCGTATTATGATTTTCATAACCACATAACCAAGTAATGTGTTGTTCGTACTTCCCGATAAGAATCATGTTACATGAGCTAGATATGCTTTTTGATTAATTCATTAACGACAGGGGTGTATTATGTAAATTGATAACTGGCCAATAAATGAAAGGCCAACAGTTAGAAGAATATGGATTGGATGCAAAATAATGTCCAACATTTGGGACACTGGTCAACATATACTTTGGACATTAATTACTTATATTAGTCGATTAATCAAAGTGTTAATGTATTGTTTACCAATCAAAGTGCCAATGTATTTCCTTCTAATATACTACTACTGGGGTTTGACTCGCACACATAAGATAGGATACGGATGTAGGTGGACGCGTGGAAAATAGTGAAAGTGAAGATCATTTGTTTGCCTATCACTACATCTCCCGTTGTAAAACCATGCTACCACATTAATTAAGAGAATAAAAAAAGCAACTACCGAAACGTAGTCTTACAAAATAATAATAAAATAGAAGGACAATAATTTATCCACCCATAGCAATACCATAAGTAAATGATAAATTCATATTAGAGGTTGATCAATAGGTAATTGTGGAGTTATGTGTAGTTTAAGGTGGTGGGTTGTAGTCTTTCTAATATATGAATCATATTCATATCTTAATACAAACATTGAAAAGTGGTAAGACGGTAGGCTATCAACCGTCCATCTTATATGATCCTAGTTCAATTTCACGAGATATGACATTGATTTTCCATCGTTTGCTTGCCCCTATTTATTCTAAATCCTAATTTCGCCACTGTTGATCGGGCTCATGGATTCATACTGATGAACCTTGAAAAATGCTTGCAGTGGCAGTATTGTGAATGAGAAGACCATGGAGTATATCGATAGATAGTGTCGATAATGAGTTGATATCAATACAAGGCGGTTTGTTGAAAGATTCTTCAAAATGGATCTTACGTGGTTCTCTAACACACCTTGTAATTAAGTCAATTATGTTCGTATTGACAATAACGAGGGTTCTGAAATAAGATTTCTTAGTCAGCACGGACCGTCATGTCATGTCGAGAATCAAGTTGGTTCATTAATTTGAATTGTTAGAAGCTTTCGTTCGGAGATAAATTTCCTACGTTTCATTTAATTACTTACAAATATAGCCCATCTATTTATGAAAAGGATTAATTGCTAAGAAAGGACGATAATGAGTTTGCTTAAATAAGTTGAAAGACGACTCTCAATTGGATAGGTCGGTGTGAATGGAAGCAATTTTCAGCTTAGAGGGAGATGAATAATAAGAATAAACTAATGAAAAGCAATTGTGGCCGGCCAATTCGAAGAAAATTTGGAAGCTTGGAAAACGAGAGATCTCTATATGAGTTGTTGAGTGACAAGTGTGGAAGCTGCAAAACACATTCTTTTAAGTAACATACTTATCACGCTGCTCCAAAGCTAATCGTGATGATAAGGTCTTACTCCTTGATCATGGTTGCAAAGGCACAGAAGCCATATATATGGGGATCCATCCAATATATAGCAACTTTTTTTTTTTTGCCTCAAATATACTCAAAGGGTGCAAGGAAAAACCTGTCTAAACCGCATTTCGTCCAAGCAAAACTTGAAAGAAGACGGGATCGACACAACACAATTTCCGAACGCAAAAGGCAGCAGGCGGTGTGAGTTTTTCAATTCTTACAATTCGACCTGTGGAAGGAAGAAAAAAAATCATAGAACGATTTAGAATTTTATTTTTTGTAAGAGAAATAAATTTGATAGTATAACGGAGGCTGATTTAAATATTATTTTTACCAAATATGAGCTTATGAAATAAATGAAACGTAACGTTACCACGCATCAAAAAACACCCTCTAAGACTAAATCCAACTGAAATATTGAGATAGTAGTTTGTGAGTGGGAAATGGAGCATGGCAGAAACCGTAGTCCTTTTTTCCCCACTTGGTAGAAACAAAGATGGGCTTGTACGCTTAGTACGCGGGCATACAAGTACGCATGCCCATAAATAAACTGGATCCTCTGGTCTCGATGGTCTTAAAAGGATAAAAAGTGAAAGAAAAAAAAAAGGGTGAAAATGGGGAGACAACAAGGAAAAGAGAGCTTGCATGAGAATGGGTGTGTGTTCCCCCATGATTTACGGCTGCAGAAGGAGGAAGCCACATGGTATACGGAGTTGGGATTGGGATACGAGCATAGTCCATGAAACCGTATCGGAAAAGTTAGTAGTAGGGTATTTTACGGTAAAATCGTGGTTGAACCGTAGTTCAACCGTTAATATCGTTAAATACCGCCTATCGGGTTAGTCTCCGATACTGATATTTTGCGGTTGAACTGTCGGTACGGTACTGTTTAATGGAACTTGGATCCGAGTTAAAGCAGAGATTGGCCAAGGGAACAGACTGGGGAAGGGAAAAAGGAGCAAAGCTCACCACGTTGATTCCCCCGTTAGTTATAGCACTAGAAGTTGTCAATAATATAATATTGAATGATTAACAAGGACCAACTTAACGAAACCCAACCATCAAATCTCGCCATCCTTAAAACTCTGTTTCGAAGATGAACATGTGCAGTAGAAGCTTGGAAGATATCCTCTCACATGGCTGATTAATTAGCCCTCTGCTTGCTTAATCTTAGTTGAAGGATATTATTCGTGGGATGGGATCTACAGCCAACACCCCAATGGCTTTTCTATTAAATTGATCTTGGCCTTTTGTTTTTCCTGGGAGGGACAAAATTCTCCAATCTGCTGGTTTCGGGCTTCGAGCATTCCCATGTTCAAACTTCAAAGGCCACATGCAATCCTCCGGAAAGGGATATTTGCCAATTCTTCTTCAGTTCTCAAACTTCTCATATAGTAATACACAAATCTAACACTTCTAATGATTATAGCTCACTCTGTACCATCTTTTGTTCGGCCGATAACATACTTGGGTTAATGATAATGGCAATTTTGGATTTGCCGGCTATCATATCATCTTTGTGGCAAACTGCTTTACCAAGTTCACTGGTACAAACAAAACAAAATTCATACCTAAACTTGCCCCACCAAGTTTTACTGTGCTGCTACTACTGTCTTTACCTGTTTCTTACTTTTCTTCTTCCGCAGCTGCTTATACTCTTCATACACTTGTAGCGCAACCTTAGTCCGAGCTAACTCGTCCCTTGCTCTCTCGTTCTCCTTCATCTCTTCAAGAACCCTGAAATGCTCACAGAATTTCCTGCTCAACTCTTCTTCTTCGTCAACCGAATCCGACATAGCTATATCGGTTTCGAGACTAGTTCTGGCAGAAGCTCCATTGGGAAGGGACTTCTTCCTCTTGTTGCTGGATTTCACCACATCCTGTTGCAGGTCGAACGCCTCCTTCTCCAGCGACAGGTCTCGGTATGCTTGTTGAGGAGAATTGATCCGGAGAATTGCTTGGCCTGGAGCGGCGCTCATATTTGCGATGCCCGACGCAATTGAGGAGATTGTTGGGTGGTAGTGTCTCGAGAGGAGATTGAGTTCCCATAGTACTGAGGCAAGTGCACCACTTAAGTTGGGATCCGTTGCATCCGGCTGATATCTCTGCGCTCAAATAAGAATCAATAAGAAGCTTGATGGAAAACAAGTATACATTCTTGAGAAACAATAACACTTGAGATATATGAAGAAGCCTACCGCCACTATTCCAGAGACTGATCCTCCTCCAGCATCGTTTTCCAACAGGTTGCGACACTTAACGTTCTTTAGAAGTAGATGCCTCACAGTCACCAACGCTACGAAAGTGCAGAGGTCAGATACGGTTGGAAACAAATTACAGCTGGGATTAGTTTCAGTAACGAACAAACAAACTAATCGTGAAACCAGTGGGTGAAAGTTCCTTCGGACTTTAACAAAATTTTGGCTATTTCAATGTTATTGTGTTCATGAGGAAAAACAGAAATAGCAAGCATACCAGCCATCGACTCAGCTGATCCAAAACAGAGGGAGAACGTGGCCAAACGTTTGACGAATGCAGCAGCCTTCTGCATGTCGTGATGTCTATCGTCGCACAGCATGATCTTGAATGCTTCAGCTAATACCTCTCCATGATCCCTGCATAGAAGTTTAGCACGAATGAGAATGACCATCAAATTAAACTTGAAAACGTACCCAACATATCAGCTAACAGGAGCAGTTGGGATTATTACCTTCCAGGCCTATACTCGAGTAAGAGATTATAAAGCTGCACAAAGAAGCCTTGCAAATCAACGTTTAAAGCATCAAGGTTACTCCTCATCACCCGGAATGCGATTATGCAACATCGAAGGCGTTCAGAGATAATCAGCCCATTGGTAGCCCCAGCAAGCCTTTTCAGATAATTCATGAGGTCTCCAATGTAATCTAGATCGATAAGATGCGAATACTTTCCAAGCCCATTGAGGCAAGGAGAAAGTAGCGGGTGGGGATCATGTGCACTGATAGAATTTCCGTTCACTTCAGAACTGCGAAGGAAAAAACAACCCCAGAAGAACTCATGAGAAAGTTTAAACAATGCTAAACAGAAACTTGTAAATACCAAGAAATTTGGCAGGGAGGATTAGACAAGTTGGCTGCGAAACAAACCTGGTTGTAGTTGAATGCATTGTTTGTTTTAAGACCCGGAAGTATGTCTCAAAGACAGCAGAGAGCGTATCTGATTGCATTTTCTTCTTCTCAGCAAAATCTGGTGTGAAGGCTGCAGCCTTAAAATCTGCAGCAACCTGGTTAAAGTCAACCATTCACAGTATCCACAATGTTGTCAGTAGAGCACACTGAATGTGCACCTCTCGTTGATCATACAAATCAATGTATGTTAAATATGATTAAGTTGCTATTTTACACAGTACCTCTTCCCTCATCTTTGTCGCCATTTCTTTTCTGCTTCTTTTCTTGTCATTCTGTAGCACCTGGGCTGGCTCCTCGGCGTTCTTTCTTTTGTTATTCTTATTGTACTTGGGTTTCTTCTTGTCCTCGTCAACTTTATCAGGCTTCACAAGATCTTCGTCGAATGTCAATGACATGAATACCTAGAATGTTCAGGAAAATAAAATAGCATGACGTCAGAAGATTCGGATTAAAGAAACTAAATTGGAGAATGAATCCAGCCGTCCTACATATCTAAATTTAGTTTTGAAGCAGCAGAAAATATAGCTCTTTGTTGTTAACCTAGTTTACAAGATACACTAACAAAATCCTGCCAAACTGTGTTTCACACTTCACCAATCACATGCGCAACCAAGGAAAGATTATTTATCACCTACCTCAATAGAATCAGGATGCATTTGGCAGTTTAGTGCTTTCACGCGATCAGCAATCATCCGCACAGCTTCAATAGTGGCTTCACCCCCATGCTTTCCCTCATTCATAAAAAGTGACTTGATGGTATCACAACTAACTTTTCTGCTCAAGCAAAGAAACCATGCTTCAAGCTCGGGATCTTACAAGTAACAATTAATATACACAAAAAGATTCCAGTAAGAGGGACAAGAAGGTGGTGTCCAGGACGAAGAAAAAAAGAAAAGGACCTTATAATGTCATCCGTAGAGCTTATACTAGATACCACAGCACTCAACAAGCTCTGCCAGAAGTTGAAGTGAGGAGCTGCATCTAGCAAAGCACAGATACAACGAACAGCTACATGCTGAAATTTGGGGTCCTGCTCAAGTGTCACCAGCCGCTGCAGATATCCCTGGTAACATGTACACCAAAACAAGCACTCTAGATGAATTTCACAGTAATATTCCCCATAAAGCAACACATTGAGCTCGAAGCAATTTGGAGCTAGCCAATTTCTCAACACAGTTCTACTAGTCAAAGAACTTGCAAGCAGTGTCAACAAAACACAGGTCCAAAATCAATCAACTCCTAATAGAACTAGTAAGTTAGCAGATGAAAAAGCCAAACCTTATATGTGGACAACAGTGTTGACTCGTAGAATCGCATCTTCTTCACTTCCTTAGAAACTTTCATTTCAAGCTCCTTCTCAGTGGGAAGCCTTATCCGATAACCGGGTATTATACTTTTGTAAACAGCCAGCAAAGACAACAAACTGAGTTTCACAATGGTCGGATTAGGGTCTTTGCAGAGTTGAATCATTTCTTTCAAAGACTTTATATTGGCCTCAGGATCAGCCTGCAATGCAAGCCCCAGCTCTGCAAGTTTCTGCTTCTTACTTTCGAAGATTTCTTCAGCAGATAGATCCTTCTGAATCTCTGCCTATGAAGCACGAGAAAAGACAACGATCACATTAACACTGATGCCAACATAACAGAACGATGAAGCATTCTGACATCCTAACTTTGGCATTGAAGCTACAATACAGGAATTCAACTATACCAGCACAGCTGCCTGTGGAGCTTCATCTCCTTTCTCCCCTCCAGCTTCATTATCGAGCCTCTTGGCCTCTTTCTTACTCTTCTTCAACTTGGCCCTCTTTTCAGCCTTGGTCAACCTGACCAATCCCATATCCTTCTGATCATCGCCAGCTCCATCCACGAGCTCTCCGCCTTCAGCCTTCTTCTCGGACACTGCATTCAACACATTGCAGAGGAAACCCACATTATAACAAAACTGGAACATAATCTCAGCAAACAAATTCCAAATCCAGCAAAGCAATTTGTGGACTATGAGCACACACAATTTCTATAATAGAGCTTTCCGTCCAAAGACTTGACCGGAAGCGCATCAACGCGTTCAACTTCGACTCTCTTGTCTTCCTCCTCGGTATCCTTCTTCTTCTTGTTCTTCTGCAGACGCTTCTCGTAGGCAGCCTCCAGTGCGTCTTCTCCGACTTTCTTCGCGTCGGCCACGCGGTTCACATGCCTTCAGAACAAACGCCATAGACAGGAAAATTAAGCGATAGTTGCAGCAATTGACAGAACCGCAAAGTGATAGATGGCCAAATAGAGAGAGCGTACTTGTCGATTGTATGGGTGTCCAATGTGGAGAGGAACCCGGCGAAATCAACATTCTCGTTGACGAATTCCAAGTCCTCGTCGGAGACTTCGACATCCTCGTCCGGTACCTCCGGTGGGAGCGCCGGCGGCAAAGCTATCTTCTGCGGCTTCTTCCTCCCCATTCGTACGGTTGGTAATAACTTCGCAGAAAGAGAAAATGGCGGGTGGAGCAGTTTTGAGTTTTAGGTCAAGAGGGTTTAAGCCGTAAGAGCACCGGCGGGCGACGAGGAGTCGTAGACGACGGGAGAGTGCACACCAAGCCCGTGTGTTACGTTGTGGGCTCGCGCACTTTGCTAATTTCGCGGCAGCCCAATGGACTCATTTAGTTTAGCGAAAATGGGCCGAATGAAGTTAGTAACGCTTTGGCCCATACAAAATTTTATTTACTAATAAATTTTTTGTTTTGGATAATTGATTAAGCTAATTTCAATTCTAAATGCAAAACAAATAATTGTGATGACAAAAAATCGTTGAGAAACAAGGCAGGAAATGGAGGTGGATTATAGAGAGAGATTATGCTTGTGGTGGCGGCATCTGTAATAATTAAGAAAATTCCAAAGACCGTCATCTATCTCGAATTTAATGTTAGGCGTTTGTTGAGCTACTCCATTAATGAATTTTTGAACAAATAATGATGATGGAGAGTGCCAAACACCCCCAACCCCACAAAATACAAATACGTCCCTTTTAAACCCCTCGCTCCCCTTTATTACACAAGACACCAATTTACCTTTAACAAAGATCTCACTACCAAACGAGAGCCTCATTAGTCATTATATCCTATGTAAGCCACCGTTTGCAAAAAGCCACTCGAGTTTAATTCTCACAGGCCGCAGCTGGTCCCTCCGCCGGCCGGCGTGTTTCACATGGCGACAGACTTTGGAGCGGTGCATGCCGATGATCGACGGCAAAAAAAAAAAAACCCCTTTTCAAAGAAGACAAATATAAACGAAGATTTACTGCGTGGGTTCATTTCCATGTAGCATTGTAGCTACAGCCTACAATACAAAGTAGTAGGGGTGGCTATACGGTCCGATCCGGTTAAATTAGACCAAATTGATCCGGTCTTTTCGGGAATATAAGGACCAAAGATTGGATTGTATACACTCCGGTCTTGACCCGGTCCGGTCCCAATTTGATTTTAATTTTAGATTGAGCTTGTGGGGATTTGAGTGTTGGGGTCTCTTATCCGGTCTTTATCCGGGTTTTTTACCTCAAATCTAAACCTGAATATGAGATTGGATTGTTTGCTGTCCGGTCCCAGTCCGATCCCGGTCCATGTTATACGATCCAGTTTCGGGTAAAACCAAACGGTCATGGACCAAATTGCCAGCCCTACAAAGTAGTCATGATCGATTAATGCTCATAAAGGCATTGATATTGAACGAAATGTCTGTCACAATTAATTACGCTAGGATAGAACGCCATAAGTAACACGGCAAGCAACAGTAGTCGTCACGATAACTCGAGAAGCCAAAGCCTTAAACCTAGCTAGCCGCACGTACGTGCTATATATGCGAGAGAAATTGGGTAGTAAATTAGTAATGATTAATTTACAACCATAGAAATTGGGTAGAATTATATTCGTCATCTTGTATTTCGACGGAACCGGTTGAAAGAGAGCTGTAGGGCTGGCTAGCTAGCAAGCGCAGCAGTAGTTCCTTCAATATTTTGGCAGCGAAATTAAGACAGACAGACAGGCCTAGGCTAGGCAGCTCCTTCTGCCAAATTCTGTTGCATCCATTCAATTCAATATAATGCAACCGCTGTAGTAGTTAATTCCCATTTCCCACTGCTCTCGATCGATGGTCTCTCCACCATGTATATGCGACGTACTAACGGATTTGTAACCGACGCTACTTTGATAGTACGTAGAAGATTCAAATAACATATGATATAAGTTTGCAAATCTCGACTACGATAATACATTGATCTGTATATTTTAAATTTGATGTAAGACTTACAAATAGCGTACCTGATCAAATTCAGCATAAACTTCGTCAATGAAATTATTATTTTTTTAAATGTTGTTGCTGACAATTTCTCATTCAAAATATTGAATAGGGGCAGGTGGGGGGACTTTAAGAGATGACACAAGCAAGGGCAGAATTGAATACACATTTAATGGATGTTAGGTGGTTGCAAATGTATTGATCTCTTTTTTTCTTTAAATGCCAACACCCATGCAATATTATTATGTCACCCATGGCAATGTATAAAAGGAACAATAAAATGTATTACTATTTAATATTATATATTTTCAAAATTTAGTATATGTCATCTATAATAATAATTTTCAAATGCTTAGGTAAATGCCTTTCTCATTCATTTAATATGCCAACTAAATTTGGTGTCGGTCATCCATTATTTAATCCATAATTGACTAACCAATTGTTTAAAGTCTAAGTTTAATAGTCTAACTATAGAATTTATCTTCTATACATACACGAGAATTACTTTATTATCTGTTTGGAATATTAATTATTATCATAATATATATTACATGATGTTAATGGCCATTTCTCTCATACATATATTTTTTCCTATAAGAAAATTAAGTATACTATTATTTTTCATAAACTTGTATACAAAATTTTCACTAGTAAATATTTTGCGAGTCTATCAGAATGCAATTCATAATTCACAAGCACATTATGGATCATCATGACACCATCCAATTGTTTTTTCTTACGACCCAGATAATTTATATATCGATAAGATATAAGTTTTTTTTGCATTATCGGGAGGCCGAGGCCGAGAAAAAGAAACGATTACATTGGAGAGAGGGGAGAGTGGGCTGTCACCCGACGAGGGTGGGTAACTCCCATAACATCGTCTCGGAGAATCGACATCACACCTGGAGGTGGGTTCCCCAGCTCATGCATACCGTAGGGATAGACGAGACTGTGCTTCGAGAGCCAGTCCGCGACTCTATTCCCTTCTCGGTATGTATGAGTAAGGCGAACCAACCAGTTCCGACTGAGCTTCCTGCGAATAGCTGCAAGGAGAGTGGCATACGGATGTACCGGATCATGTCTCGAGTTGATAAGTTGCAAGGCCAGCTGGGAATCCGTCTCAACCTGAAGGGCTCGACAATCATGGTTCCAAGCCAAGTCCAGGCCATACATGAGGGCCCAAAGCTCGGCGTGAGCGGCAGTGGTGCTCCCGACATTTGCCACATAACCTGCGATCCAATGCCCCATCGAATCTCGGATGACTCCGCCCGCACCCGCAGGACCCGGATTACCATTAGAGGCGCCATCAACATTGAGAGTGTACCAACCTGCAGCCGTGGGGGACCATCCGATATCTGCCATAAACCTGTTCGCCGGACGAGTTCTGTTGCTGGGGAGGGAGGGAGGTGCCTCCCACGCGTCGTACCAAAGCTTAATCCTAGCAATGATGGAGTGCTCGAGAGAGGGCGGGGAGAGAGCAGCACCCGGCCCCTGCAAACAGTAGGTACATCGGTTCTTCCAAAGCAGCCAAATGGAAGTGCCAAAAAAAGTTGCCCACGTTACACCGGACTCCAAGGAGTGAGTACTCATCAAATTGGAGCAGAGCCACTCTTCCTGATCGGCGCTGAAGAAGGAGTGTTGCATGGCGCCAGGGACGTGGCGGGTCCAGAAAAAGAGAGCCGGTGGGCAATCTCTTAATAAATGCAGAATTGATTCCGGCACCTCAGTACAGCGCTGGCAGAACGGATTGGGTGCGATCTTCCTTGAGAAGCGGAAGGAGTTCGTGGGAATCCTGCCCCTGCACACGAGCCAATTGAAGCTTCGAACCCTCTCCGGAACCGGGAGCTGCCAAATAGTCTTCCACAACTTCTCATTCGGGTCCGCCTGCTGCTGATTGATGAGGGTGTAGGCTGATTTCGTAGAGAATCTCCCGTCAGAGGCGGCGTGCCAAAAGAGCGTATCCTCCTCCGTTGAGAGGGTGTCGACAGCTACACTGAGAATCTTCTGGACAATGTCACCAGGCAGAGCTTCGCTAAACAGGTCCGTGCGCCAGCTACCGTCGCTCCTTACGAAGTCCGCCACAACCGCGTGCTCTAGCTCCTCCGGAATCTGCTCAAGAGCTACCTCCTTCAAAGCAACCTGCAAAACCCATGGATCAGACCAAAACTTAGTGCTTTTCCCATTCTTAATGTTCCAAGCGCTGCCCTTTCTCAAGAGATCAGCAGCTTTCGTAAAGCTGCTCCAGGTAAAGGAACTTCCCTTAGTGTGACGGAGGAGCTCCAGATTCTCTCGCCGTCTTCCGTACTTGGCTCGCATGACCTGGCCCCACAGATTATCTTTCTCGGTGATGAGACGCCATCCCCCCTTCGCCAGCATCGCCAAATTAGCCTGCCTGGTCGGGCGGAGGCAACTCCCCCTTGGCATTTAGGTTGGGTCATCTTTTCCCAAGCTACCAAGTGGAGTTTGGCCTTATTGTCCTCATCGCCCCAAACAAAATCCCTGTTCACTTTATCGATACTATTGCACACACCAACCGGAATTAGCTCAGTATTCATATTATAAACAGGGATAGAGGCAGATACCGACTTCGCGACTGTTAACCGGGCTGCAAAAGACAGGCGTTTGGCTTTCCAAGGCGCAAGCTTCTTCTGGATGCGAAGGAGAAGGGATTGATATCTCTCTTTAGTAACACGCCCATGGATCGCAGGGATGCCCAAGTACTTTCCCAGGTTGGCCTTCAAAGGAATGCCCGCCTGTTGGCTCAGGTGGTTCGCCTTAAGATGGCCAATGTTGGGGGAGACATACAGGATGGACTTCTGGTAATTCACCTTCTGTCCCGAGCTAGAGCAAAAATCGTCCAAGCAGCGTTTCATGACTCTGATCTGTCTCGTCTCTGCCTCTGCAAAAAGAAGAAGGTCATCTGCAAAAAAGAGGTGAGTGAGAGGAGGACCGTTGCTCGACAGCCTGATGGCTTTCCAATGCCCCTTAGAAAAAGACTCATCAATTAGGTGAGAAAGACGCTCCATGCACAGAACAAAAAGATAGGGTGAAAGAGGGTCTCCCTGACGAACTCCCTGGGTTGGGACAATGGGCTGCGAGAGCTGGCCATTCCACAAGATGCGCATCTGGTTCTGCTCGACGCAATGCATAATACCGCTAATCCAAGTGCTGGGTAACCCCACTTCTTTCAGAGTATCCCGGAGAAAGTCCCACCGCAGCCTGTCATAAGCTTTCTCCAGATCTATCTTGAGGACTATCCCACCTTTCTTACCCCTTCTTTTATGCAAAGAGTGGAGGACTTCCTGAACCACGATGATATTGCGATAAGATAAGATATAAGTTGTTGTCTACTAGACATCATATATAAATATATAATATAAATGAAGATTACTGATGCCGATGAAGAATGGAGGAGCAATGAATGTACGCATAGAAGGTGCAATAATTAAGCACCAGCAGCAGGAAGGAACTATAATTAACAGGTAGGCAAATGAGATGAATACATATTAATGTACGTAGTGAATACACTAGAATAATTAATGTACATATCAAAGTATTTAATTTGGTCTGTGGCATGTGTGTTGTTTTTTAATTTTGATCCTTTCTCCTCTCCTGGTCCCTGGTCGTGGAGCCACGATCGAGTTAGGGAGTTCAGAGTTCAACCGCTTTGCCTCTCTTTATAAATGATCTTCAATTCTATCTACCCAGAAAAAGAAACAGCCTTTTAATTTGATCATAATTAATTCATCCCTTTCGGATATCTATAATCAATTAACATGTGTAAAACGACGAACGAGGATTGTGTTTTGCATGTATGTATACGTACAAAAATACTACTGTCTTTCTTCACAATTATAACACCACGACTCTCCTTCTTTTTGGCCTACGTACATGTATTATTACTAAATAAATAGTTTTTGTGAGCTGTAGCTATGTGCAGAAAACGGCAGCTGTGTATATAAATAAATATGTTCAAAGGATATTATGGTCGTCGGTCGACTTAACTGTATAGTAATGCACACGTTTGTTTTTTATATTAGTCGTCGGAATCTGTTGAGGGTACGTGAGGTCTGTGTTACTACTAGCCAGTGGCGGAGCCACGTTATGTGGTGTGGGGTCAATGGACTCCACTTGAAAATGGGTGTCCGTTAAAAATGAATGAAAATACATATGAGGCATGCAAGAATTAAACTTTGGACCCATGAATACGAGACACCAGCTGAGACACCAGCTGCACCATTACAATATATCTTGAGTTATGTTTAATGAGTTCTGTGGTTTTAATTTTCATATAATTCTTGGACCCCACTGAAATATTTCTCTGGCTACGCCAATGCTACTAGCCATAGACGACAGTTAACCTACTAAGATTTCTACAAAGTCCACCTTCTCCTACAAAACTGCTAAGTCAGCATTCCCAACTAATATATATATATATGACTTGTCTTCCTACCATTTTTTAATGGTGTTTGAATTGACTGTATACTATAGAGTGATCTAGTTTCAACGACTAGTAAAAACAAAAGAGACTCTGTGTAAAATTATATATTGATTGAAGCCCATGAATCAAATTAGGAAGTAATTGAGGTGTGCAGGTTGATTTCTTTGTCTATAAAATTTGTTCGAGACCAATTACTCCAAACATTGTAAGTTAATTAGCGTCCGCAATATCACAGATAGAACTTAAAGACTAAGAAGACCCAAATATCGTGGTTCGGCTAAATTACATGAAGACCTCTTTCATAGTCCTATTTCAAAATTTCTATTATTTTGTGGAACCATAGGCATATATATGCTCGGTGACTTTGATATCAGTATGTCATGAAGTAAAAAAAAAATTACATTGTTAGCTTTGTGTCATGGAGGAATCATTAGTACATTAATTGATGATCAAAATCCAACGTATTTATGCCCAAAAAAACTTCTTGTGTGATATGAAAAACAAAGAAACCCCAATTTGGGGAAGATGCTATATTGATATGTGGGAGCTGGTTTGCATGCAGTGAATGGAAAGCTAAGTAAAACCAGAGATACATGGGAAGTGAAAATAAGAGTAATGAGAAAAAAAGGTAGTTGGGGAGTAACTTTGAAGAGAATGATGATGGAACAAGAGGAAAGAGCAAAGTCATTAATTTCTCATTTATGGTGATGTTAGGTAATATTAAATGAATTTGGGTGTAGTAAATGGCCATAATTAGCCTTCATGAGTCATGCACCACCACCACCACACTCTTTCAAAGCCCAACTACATTTAACAGCAACAAACAGCAAATATTATTATACATCTCTCCCTCTATCTCTTCATCATTTGAATTGAAACCCAAGTGCAGAATAGTACTGAAGTGGGTGCAAGCACTTTTCATACATTTATATACATCCTCCTCATCAGATTGTGTACCAAAATGATGGGTTTTTTTTTTGTGTGTTGGTTATGGTTCTTCTAAGTTGGCTTTCAAAGAACTCGTTTGTTAGAACAAAACAGTTTATTATGGAGTGAAAACATGCATAGATGGATATTTATTGGTCTAGATAACATACATGAATTGGGTCAGCAAATCAATTAATAATAAATACACTTTTGAAACTGTGAAAGTATTCTATCATAATAGTTCATGGATATACGTCCCCATCCCTTTGCATTAATTCCATTACTGCTTGGCTTCTTCTCTCACCCTTTACTTCAGTTCCTATACTTTTCTGTATGGGCATTTTTACTTCCCCGTCCCCTCCCCGGAAAAGGGAAATTTTTTTTGGCTAAAATAGGCTTCTGAAAACCATTATGGACATAAAGACTGTCAAGAAGCTAGCTATGGTAGAGAGCTAACACAAAAACAAGATGGCTGTAGCTACCTTGTTTTCATGTGCAAAAGAATGCAAATGTATCATACTTGTCATTATAAATTTACAGATCGAACAAAAGGCTTATAGAGTATGATAATTTTTGCAGTAGTGCTGTAGTAGTTGGGTAGATAAGAGTAGATAAGACATGGGTTCATTACAATCAAACAAATGTGTACAATACAATAGACAAAATTCGATCGAATTGAGCATCCTAAGTTTGGTATCATTGATGGGTACATATACTTAAATTTAGTCTCTAAACCCTACTACTCGCCACCTAACTCCATCTCTTCATGGTGTCTTGCATTTGCAAGGAAATTCGTTGCATAATTACTTATGGAAAAGATTTGAGTAATTAGCATAACTCTATTTTTTTTCAGTTTTACAGATAAGTTGTTTTCATCATTAGTTTTGTTACTGTTAATTTAAACGCGAATATGATCATAACCAAATACACATGACATTGTCGTTATAAGCTAGGGCATTGAGTAAATTCGAATTTGCTTGGAGACGTACCGTCAAAAGTCCCGCATGAATTTTCTGGAATTATGAAACCAAATCGATATAAAACATATTAAAAACAATGATAACCATAACAATAGAATGGCTCCGAAGCAACCTTTGGTACAATTTAGTTTCAAGTAGCGATTGACTAGCTAGAACGTAAATTCTCCAACTCCATGCATGGCTATGACATAATATAACTCACTTCAAATCCAACTGATTTATTACTCCCCTGCCACTTTTTTGTATTAATGTTATTCAATTTATTATTTTTCACCTTCCACACCCTGTAAAGTAAACTGGAACTGCAACTGCTACTCTTACGAGGATTTTGCCCACGTCTCCACACCTGCAACGCAATCTAGGACCAAATATCTAAATGCACCCGCACCTTCTCAACAAACAAACTTCAATAGCAAAAAAAAAAAAAAAAAAAAGCAGAGGAAATCCCAGAAAGAACGATGAATAAACCCTAAAAAACATATGCTAAACCCAACATTGTAACTCCATAACCATTGTTTATATGCATTAACTAACCATCATAATAATTAAAATCCTTGTCTTTCTTATACCCACTTCCCTCCCTCCTAATATACCCTTTTGCTGTCCCTTAATAATCCATCCCCTGCCTGCCTTAATTCCTAAATCTTAATTCCTCCTATCTATTCATGTACAAAAAAGAAACGCCGCCGCCTTCAAATGGAGATGTTGAGGTCGATCCTCGGCTTCTTCATCGCCGGCATCGGGACAACCGAGTTACACCTCGGACACTTGGGGTTGTTCTTCATGATCAGCACGTACGACAAGCACCCAGGGCATCCCGCCGCCACAGGGGAAGCTGCTTCCTCTGTTTCTTCCTCCCCTGAAGCCAGAAACAGAGACGACGACGAGGAGGAGTAAGAAGGGGACAGGGACGACTTCCCCGCCGGGAACCGTTTCCTTCCCGCCACCGCGGCGTGGACGGGATCCCTCTCCGCCCTCTCAAGCGCTGATTTGACTTTGTCAAGAGTGCAGACGCTTTGGTAGTTGGCTGCTGCCGCGGCGGTCAGTTTCAGCTCCAGACTGCTCTCGTCGAAGAGGTTGAGCGTGATTCTCGATGGCGACGGCGGGAAGTTCAAATCCTGGAGCTTGGGGAACGTTTGGCTGAGCTTGTGGCGGTGGTCGGAGGAGAAGGACGACGGCGAGGCTGATGATGCGTTGCTTCTGTGCAAGTACACCTTCCCTGTCTGCACCAAATGAACAAAAAACAGAGTATCTCCACAAATTAATTCATACATATCTTCGAGTTAATTCAATAACAAGGGCTTGATAATTTTCTACGATGAAACTCGAACCCAACACCTTAATACTCTCAAGGTACAAGTTTTCTTTCCCCATGAGAGAGGATGCTTGAATTGAAGTTTGGTTTCAATTTTTTTCACTTGAACATTAATTAGAGAGAGGGAGGTTTTTGGGGGGCTTATTAAAGGCAAATGATAATAAATGGGGTTTGGGGATGAGTAAAAAAGAATCATAATAATAACATCTATAGGGTGGGATTAAAGAAGTTGCAGAGCATTCAAGAACACCATTCATTAATTTCCACATTATAATACCCACTTGATTTCCTTTCCCCCAAAAAAATCTTCCAACCCCGCCATTAATGACTCCCACCCGAATTAATTACGCAAGATTATCATCTCAAAGATTATCATCTCAATTCTCAATTACCGTACCATTCAATGATACAATAACAATATCAATTAAATTGACAAAAAAGGGGGGGTAGTTTATCTTAGGAGAAGGAGTTATTGAGAAAACAGAGACATGGGTGTTCATTAGCCCAAAAAAACAGAGCAATGAAAACAGAGCCTGAATTCCGACGTTGCATTCGGAATTGGGACCGAATTCTGCTTGGTCCCGAAGGACGAGTGAAGCTGAAAATGGAAAGGAAGGAAATTTCATCTTTGGGGTTTTAGTACCTTTAAATCGAGGCGCTTTTCCCAGCCAGCGGGGACTTGGACGTCGAGGTCCAATTCCTGAAACTCATTGCCGTCCGACCCACCGACGGCGGAGCTAGTACTGCCGCCGCCTCCGAGCAAATCCCTTGTAATCAGAGAGGGTTCGCCGGCGCCGACAGCCCGATCGTCCTTGTAGGCGCTCATACCCCTGACAAGGTGGCTAACATCGGCCGCCATATGGAACTCTGCTTGGTGAAAGGCTTCTTCTTCCTTTTGGTTTTGGGAGAGAGAGAGAGAGGGAGAGAGAGAAGGGATAGAGGGAGAGAGTTGGAGGAAAAGAAGAGAAGGAAATGAACGGAAGGATTTGAGTAATAAATAGCGAAGGGGATACGTACGTGTTTTTTTTTTTTTTTTTTTTGGTATATATCTTATCGCAATTACTAACGTGTTATATGGAAATGGTATTATGAGAAGTCCAAATAATAATTAATCGGGAAAAAAGAAAAACCCAACAATTAAATAGAAATATATGAAAAGACAATGTAAACAAAATTCATTATCCTAACATGTCAACTCATTGTTTTTTCTTTATTGTTCAAAAATTAAACGCGCAAAATATTGAATTCTAAGATGTGAAGAATATTATAGTAAATTCAATACGGAAGTCTCCATTCATTGCTTGGGGGGGATTTGTTTGTAAATACTAAATAGTCATCATAGATTCATAGTGCTTCTCCCTTGGTGATGTTAGCATGATTAGAGTGTCAAAAATTTGGATTGATTGATTTGTTTTCACAACTCAATTAGTGAGGAAATTTTAAATTGGTATTGCACTGCCTTTGTGAGCTTTTTTCGAATAAAAATATGTCTATTAGCCACATTTGAAGTTTACAAGGTGATCATCATTCAATATTATCCTCCGGTTGTGAATTAGTTTTGAAAGGGAAACAATGTAATATAATGTCAATTACAAATCCAAATCAACTTATCGACTGTCATAGAGCGACCCATGACTTAAAATGGTTGGTCTTCTCATCTTCACCTGCAACTCATAACTATTGTCTGACATGCTGTATCTGTTCATTTATTATTTTACATGACCTGTATTCGTAACCGTTGTCATGCACCGAGCTTGTTTATGACCACCAACCCCGTATGATTTCACATGACAAGTGCCTCTGGCCGTTACCATACAACGTGTTCATGGCCCGCTACCCGTTAAAGATTGTGAATTTAGTAATTTAGTCACTTTTAAATTGTAGTTTCTTATTTAAAAAAAAAGAACTAGAAATGGGAAGATATTAAGAGAGAGGGTGAAAATGTTTGACATAATGAGACCAGTAAATATGGTTAGCGGCTATGAATGCAAAAGAAACTTTTTGATAAAGAAAACTAATGGTGTTTGATTTGAGATTAATTGTTTCATTAAATTACTTTTGAGGAAGAGCGGGTGTGTTTAATGGAGTATTAATGGTTTAGAAGTTGGGCGGGCGGATGGAGGGGAAGAATTCAAGGAAAGCAAGGAAAAGGAGGCACGTAAATATATGGCACCCTCATTTATGTCTCTTGAAATTATACTCCCTCAATTTATGTTTCTTCTTTTTTGTTTTTATTTTTTCCTCTTTTGTTTTATTTCATTCAATCAATGCTTAGCGTGTTCGAGGAGGGGTCATTGTTTGATTTTTCGTTGATTTGTTCATTTGCATATTTCTTTATTGTGATTCTGTTTGATACAATTAGTCATGTACTTTTCCATTTCATAACAGAAACAAGATATAAAGATTTTGATAAAAGAAAATGCTTACCTGCTTTCATGTCGGATGACTAGTATTATATCTTATATGATATTAAGATCGCATCTAATCAACTTATTCATTCGCTAGAGTGAGTCCCGTAGAGTGAGTTTTATGAGAATGGTTTTCATTTAATTGATAGTTCTAATGGTACATATCTTTATTTGCTCTTGTATAATTTGTTAAGCGTTGAGTCTCAATCGTATTCTACAAAGCAATTAGAGTCACTTGTTTTAACTACAGTTACTAAGGAACACAATGAAATGGAACATACCACGCAGTGGGACTGTTCAAAGAATAAAATTTATCGAAAATTATAATTAAAGATTATTTTTAAGACATATTGATTGTTATAGATAATGATAACAATGATGAGGAGAAGAAAGGAATTAGTAATGTACGTTATTAGATGAAGATGCCACATTAATATTTTAATTTTACAATACAAGGATCTAGTGGGATTATACGAAACGAAGATTAACCTATGGGACACAAAGAAAGTTTTAAAAATTGTTCTATTAAGTTTTTATATTTGCAACCAAAAGTTGGAGTAATTATGATAATAGTGACTCCAATTATCTTTATTAGAGTTATCAACTAAACTAACAACTAGTGGGTTGCCAATTTAATCAACTTAATGATAGAAAGGGACATATACGAACAAAACTCATAGTTAGTTGAAATAAATATAATATTATGTCTCACTTAAGATGCATACCAAATAACAATGTAAGTAACTTAAAATGAAATGTAAGTCAAACCGACTATATAAGAGATACATATTATGATACACTCACTCAACGCACCTTAAATACCCAATGACATGTAAATACAAACTCAGTACTCGAGCATTTAGTGCTCATTTGCCAATTGTTCATCATTAATTGAAAACGTTAGTCATCCCTCACCTATATATTCCGCAAAGAGAGTGACTTCACCAACAAAACTATATCCACCTTTTTTTACCCATAAGTTATCTTTTGATCGTCATATCATTGACTTTGGATTCTCTCGTACGTAGTTTATCTGATCTCCGATGCCTATTTCATTAATGTAAAGGGTGTCCTCTTTCAGTATATTCCCTGCAACACTCACTGAATCCCATTCACAAACCCAAGAACTCACTCCCCATCATGCCTCTATATATTCTACAAACTATTGCTCTACAGATCTCTATGGGATGGACATTGACGAAAAAAGATTTCCCTACTAATTATTTTCAAACTCAACATTCTGGAGTAAGGAAACGAAAGAGAGATATGAGGGAGCTGGTGCAGCAAGTGAGAGGAGATGGGCGAATTAGAAACTCATGAGAAGTCGAGCTAAGAGGGTGACGACTGTGGCGGCGCTGCTTGATTCCTGGTCGGAGTCGCTCTCAAGTTTAGGAGGGTCACTTTTTGATCTATTTTTGCCTCTTCGTGTTTTCATTTAAATACAACGTATCAAAGAAGTGGCAAATGTAGGAATATGAATGATAGGAAACTGATTTGAACAGTTGTAATAGGAAAGGGGGTTAAGATCTACCGACTACTCTATTTTCTAAATATATCACAAAATTTACATGTAATTTTATCCATGTTTAAAATTTTAGGTGAGCTATACCCCTCTTGTGTTAAACTTCACTTCGCCACGGTGTCAAAATATATTATTTTAGATATAATGTTCTTTATTTATTTTGTTTGATACAACAAGAGTTCTTGACCCTCGTAATCAATTAGTGTTGCTCTTTACATTTTATGATGAAAAAAACATGTATAAATTTTGGAAAAACAAAATGATTCAAACGTACTTTAAGTGATGCATTATTTGTTTAATACTTCCACTGATTTGTATCATTCCTATCTTAGTTGGTATAAAGTTTGCATCTAATAAGCTTGTTCATTTGCTAGAGTGAGTACTATAAGATTGGTTTTATTTTGATCGATATATCCAATTTCCAATGGTACATTTCTTTATTCTCTGGTATAATTTGTTAGGTCCTTGAATCCGTAGTCTACAAAGCAATTAGAGTCACTTAATTAGTTTGTTCGAACTTTTAGTTACTTAGTCAAAATTCAGCATACTATGAAGTCAGATTATTCGGAGATTAAAATTTATCAAATAATATAATTAAAGATGATTTCAATCACATATTGACAGTTTGAATTTTTAAATAATGCTGATAGTGACGAAGAGCACAAGAGGACAAAGGAGATTGCGCTATTCTGTCGATATCCATACTTAACATTTTAAGTAAAATAAGATGAAACGCTACTCATACGAACATATAACGTTTACATATGATATTGCAGTCAAACTACTCTAAATACCAAATGACATATCAATACGAACTTATCGTACTCGAGCATCTAGTGCCCATTTACCATATGCTCACATTCAAATGAAAAATTGGTCATCGCTCACGTGATCTTGCCAGCAAAACTGTGTCCATCTTTTTGGGGCATAACTTGTTATATGATCGTCATATCATTGATACGTTTGATCTTTTCGTATGCGATTTATCTTACCCCCAAGATCCATTTCATTCATGTAAACGACATTCACCCTCGAGGTATACAAACTAATTATATAGTAATTAGTAAGCTTGTAGTTTGGTCTCTCACTTCTATTTGTCTCGTGGTTATAAATGGACTTGATTGAACTCTCATTTGGTTTCCAAAGTACCTGGTCACTAGCAAGGGCAGGTCAAACGTTTGATTTTATTTATCTACGATTTAATTAATACACATGAGGTTTCATTAGTTAAAACAATATTATATAAAATAAAGAGGGGATGTACGTTTAGTTAGGCTGGTTGGGTGCAATTCAATGACTAGGATTGAATGTGGATGGGGAATAGGAAGGTGCAAAGCATTTAATATCACCTTCACCCGTAACTTAACTTCTTTCTTCTTCTTCTTCCCAACATCGTATTTAATATCTCTTCCAACCAATTTATAACTTCCCTCTGGTTTGGATGAGGCTCTCATCATTCCTCCAATCTCTTTTTCTTTTACTTAGTTATCTTGTAGTTTTCTGACCGCTAGTTGGAAAGAAAATATAGTCAGGTTCTCGAATCACAAACTCATTCTTTTTACTGTATGTTTGAACTTGCTAACACGCCCACGGTATTGAGAAGGATCCTTAATAACAATTGTAGGAGCATCTCTTTGTTAGTGTCAACATTCAAAGTTTTATAAAGAAACATATGAATTCGGTGTGAAACTTCACTCACGAAAAAAGAGCTAGTGTCCACACCACCGACAACAAATATATTCATCATTTTTTGAATTCAAAGTTTTGTTAGTGCGAAGATCGATCAATTTGCTTAGATCGTCAAGGTCAAATTACAAAATATGAAACCATGCCTAGAGCTAAACTAATGAAAATCCTACATGGTGCCAAATTGATCTTGGCAAGCCAAGGTTCACGAAGACAGTCCTATACAAAGGCTTCATTGTGGCACGCCACATCTCATTATTGTTGGTACTATAATAATAAAACCTTAAGAAGCCTCGACTCCAACTGAAATTACTCTAACCCATTAAGAAGCATTGACTCCAATGTTTCACCTCCCATCCAAATTGGGTAAAAACCAACGCTACTGCTTTTGTTGGGTAAAAAAAAACAGGTGAAACATTGTAAGTATTATTACCATTCACCCACCAGATTAGTGAAATTTTTTTATTGCTTCTTCTTCACTTTGCCCAACTTTCCCGAGTACCAAAACTAGTAATAATACTTACAAACAATGAAACAATTAAATTAAAAAAATAATAATGGCAATGGAACAGAAGTTGAGAATGGAGACGTGGGCCAATCCCATTATTGGGCTTGAGTCGTAATTATCCTCAAGGGAATCCATTTAAGAGGGAGCAGAAGGCCAGGCCCGCGGGCCCATTCGTCTCTCCCACGCTACGGGGAATCACAGAGTGGGGCCCACCCACCACCTGCTCAAAATATTATTCTCCTCTAATCTAATTTTATAAAACCGGAAAAAGAAAAAAAACAAAACAGTTCTCTATCTCCCGATTGACGCGAACTGACGAGTTTTCCCTCTTCTCCCCTCTGCTCCCGCTATTTGCCGCCGGCGCTGTTTGGCGGTGGTTTCTGCTTTCCTTAGTTCCCAACTCAGTTCAAGGCTTCAAGCCAAAGGAAGGCAGAAAGAAAGGAGATGCAGATCTTCGTCAAGACGCTCACCGGCAAGACCATCACTCTCGAGGTCGAGAGCAGCAACACCATCGACAACGTCAAAGCCAAGATTCAGGTCCCCCTTTTATCTCTCACTCGGTCTCTCTATCTCCAGTGGGTCGCTCAGTATTTTCGCTTCGTTGTTCGGGATTGGATTCAGGAGCTTCCAGTCAGTAATTTGAGCTTTAACGTTGTAGTGTCGTCGGAAAATGAGACTGGATATTTGGGTCGTCTTTACTTCATTTATCCAATTGAGATTGTTGTTGGTGATGGAAACATCTGTTGGGCGTATGTTAGGCTAATGATATGATTGGTTTTAGCTTTTGGAACTTGAATGGATTGGAGCAAGGAAGATTAGTTTTGGAAGTTGGAACTTAAAAACTTAGTCTTTGATGCTTATATTTCACCAACTTATAGTTTAAGAGTTGAAAAAGTCAACTTTTTTACATGATTAGTAGAAAATGTAAGTCAGAACATATGTTTGTTTATATGATTGTGAAACACTCATGATTAGAGCAAGTAAGATTAGCAGTGACAGTCGGAACATGTTTTGTTTACTGCCTCTTTGAATGTATACTGATCCTATAGATTGAACTAGAGCTAGCAAGATCAGTATAACAAGTAGCTAGTAAGAGTATATTCTCTTTGATGCTTATACTCTCCAAGTTTAGAGCTTAGGATGGAAAGTTATTGCTGCTTTTCCCATATGCTTCATACAGAACTCTTCGATTTGGGTTTGCGCACTTCCAAGTTTACGTAGAATCTGTAGATATGACTTATGATAAACGAATTGCTTCGCCGGGCTTACTTTCTGGTGTGGCATTTGGTTGCTGCTGGGTTACTTAATGGATTTTGGTTGAATCTTTTTATAGGACAAGGAAGGGATTCCCCCGGATCAGCAGAGGTTGATTTTTGCTGGTAAGCAGCTGGAAGATGGGAGGACGCTTGCTGATTACAACATTCAGAAGGAGTCCACGCTTCACCTGGTTTTGAGGCTCAGGGGAGGCACCATGATCAAGGTCAAAACGCTTACAGGGAAAGAGATTGAGATTGACATTGAACCAAATGATACCATCGACCGAATCAAGGAACGAGTTGAGGAGAAGGAAGGAATCCCTCCTGTGCAGCAACGGTTAGTAAAATCCTTCATTCAGTGCCTTACACTCAAAAACTTTAACTCGGTTGGTCTGGTTCTTGTTTCAATCATGAACTTGGCTGTCGTTTGTGTTGTTACATCGTTTATGGAGCAAGATTTCTAACAATTTTAGATTTTGTATACTCTTAGGACGCGAGGGAAGTAGATAAAACAAGCAAACACAGAACATACGAGATTCACATGTTATAGCCACAACTTGTTTTGAGTTATACGTTCGAAATGTAGTCTTGCTTTTTATAGTACAATAATAATATCCCACATTTCGCCTCGGATTAGGAGCAAAAGGCAAACAAGTAGAAACATTCTTATTCATATGCACAAACTCCTTGCACCTTTGTTCACCACATTTCCTCACCATACTCCATTTTATAACACTTTGACATGTAAACTGTTGTTCTTCTATTTGCAGGCTTATATATGCAGGGAAGCAGCTGGCAGATGACAAGACTGCTCGCGACTACAACATTGAAGGAGGCTCCGTGCTTCATCTGGTGCTTGCCCTTAGGGGTGGTAGTAGTTCTTATGATTTAGTGTTTTTGAACTCTTTGGTTTCACCGTTCTGATAATTTAGCTATGGCGTTGATCATCGATGATAATGATGACTGTCATGTGGGACACTATCTTATTAGACCGCGTCATTGTTGCTGTCATACTTGCACTCTCTGCTCAAACACTTGTGGATGATGTGTTATGATGCTATTCTGCTAAAACTACCAAAGCTTATATATAACTATATATATGGTGCAAGCCCTTATTGGTGGACGGTGGTAGTAATAGTTTTTATGGTTGGTCATTTTGAACTCCTTGGTTTGGCTGTGCGGAGAATTTGCTATGGCGATGATGATGATGATGATATGCCGATGCTTACGTTATAAGACTGAGAGCGACACTTTTGCTCGAACACTTGATTTGCTACGCTTGCTTAACTGTCAAAGCTTTTATATCGAGAACTCACTGTCAAGTAATCGAACATTGAAATGAGATAATCTCCATTTCACAGCTTCCAGAAACAAAGGAAAGGAGCGAAACTATTACAATAACAAAAAGGCGGGAATGAGGTAATCTATTTCTCGTCGTTGCACAGCAGAAAGGAAACCTCTAATCTGACCTTCGGTACATATCACCCACACAGTGGAAGCCAGCTAAAAATCTCTCCTTTTCTACTACTTCCATTGCTTCTTTGACCACAATGGCCGCCAGCTCAGGCGCATCCACGAGGAGCGAACCCAATCCGCGACCCGCCCAAGTCGTACACGACGCGGAACCCTTGTTGCTGTATGTTCCCGATGATCGACAACCCGCTCATCGTACCGGCGAACGCGAAGCAGAACGTGCCGGAGGTGTCCACGGGGATAAGGTAATTCGACGCCGGCAGCGACACATCGGCGCCACGGAAGTGGAGCACCACAGTCGGCACTTTAACCTCCGTCTTCCCGGACAGATCGAAGCAGGTGTCGAACAGAGAGAAGTCGGCAGCCCGCTTCAGGTTCCCCGCCCCGACCCGAAACGCGTCGCGGAGGGAGACGTACGCGGGTCGGGTCAGCCTCGTGACGGAGGTACCCGAATCGACGATCACCCCGCCGCTCCCCGTTGGATCGAGCTTGAAAAGCGAGGCCGTGATCCCCGGGACACGTGTACCGCCCACGCTGATCCCGAGAAGCTCCACGTAGTAAAACGTGTCCAGCCTGGGATTTGAAATCAACGGCGTGAAACGAGCGGTGCGCGACACCGCCTTGCCGCCGAACAGCATCGACGACGGCTTGGACGACGCCGACCGGTCGACCAAGCAGTAGGAGAATTTCCGGTTGAATCGCCGGCCGGTCTGCGACGGGAACGACAGCTTCCCTCTCCCGAGCCCCAGCAGACCCGCCGCTCCGACGAACAGCCCTTGGTTGTCGTGGCCGCACCCGACCGCCACGCGCGCGACGAGCGTCCTGCGAAACGTCAGCGTTTCGGTGGAGAAATCGCCGGTGGTGAAGGAACCGTCCCCGTAAGAGACCTGGTAGAGGCACGTCCGCTTCCTCGAATTGCAGCCCGGGGAGTCCAGGCGGCGGCAGATCGGAGCGTCGCAAGGGATCCCGGCGTAGGAGCTGGACTTTCTCGGGTCGAAAACCGGGTCGGATTGGGAGTAGCACTTTTTGCACGGAGCGCACTGCAGCCAGACGATGTCGCTTCCTGTATCCAGAACCATGTACACATACCTCGGCGGAGTCCCGACGCCGAGGCGCGTGAAGTACTCGCCGCTTCCTTGGGCGAGTCCGGAAATCACTGAGCTGCTGAATCCAGCTCCAGCTCCAGCTCCAGCTCCAGCAGCTCCTCTACCGACGGCGGTAGCAGAGGCGAATTCGATGCTCTTGACACGGGAAGCATCGCGGAGGAGCCTGGAATTGAAGAGCTGCTGAGGAGTAGTTCCGTTGGGGGGAAGAGCATCCACATGGTGCAGCTGAAGGGAGAAAATGGAGTCTGCAGATTCGGGATCTCCGCCGGCGGATGAAGATGAGGGCTGGGATTCTTCATCAGCGTCGGACCAGGAGAGGGATTGAGGAGGGGAAGGGAGGCGATTGAGGACTAGGGTTTGAGATTGGAGGAGTGGGGCCGGCTGGGATGGAGAGAGGGAGAGGACGAAGGTGAGGAAGAGGAAAGGGACCATGCTCGCTTTTCCTTCCATGGAAGGGAAGGGAGTGAAGCAGAGGAGAGTAAAGCAGTGAGAGGGATGGTAGTGAAGTCACTTTCGCATAGAGTGAGCTGGAGGCGGAGTGTCGACTGATATAGAGTGGTTCTCCTCCTCTTGTCCTCCTTTTTTGCCCTTGCCAATGGGCCTGCCTGCGTAGATAATTGCTCTCAATTATTGGGCCTAATGGGTCGGCATAGTTTGGACCGTGACAACTGGGCTGATGGTAGAATGATTGGCTGATAACTGTGGGTTCTATCCTCCAGTCCCTCCCTTTTGTTCTCTTGCCAATGGGTCTAGTGAATTCTTCTCAAGAACTGGGCCGATGGGTCAGTTTTTTTGGGCCATGACAATTGGCCGAGTGCATTTTACTTCCTCACCCCGTTTCATTACGAGCTGGCGCCGTTTGCTTATGTTGTCTCGAGATTCGAGAACACTACTTTTTAGCGACTGATTTGAGATTTTTGGCGACGAACTTCTGCTACTAGTTTCGGTTGTCTGTTGGCACTTGGTAAGTTGGTAAGTTGGTATCAAACTTAAGCTGACGCTTTACCAGTCGAGTTTGCTTGCTTGCTTCCTTGCTTGTAATGGGATTATTATAGGAGATATTTATGTGGCCATGGTGCTATTGTTCAATAATTACTCAAGCTTAGGCTCAATTATTTGGCATGACTTTGGCCAATTCGTCGTCAATGATATTGACGACGGGGAGTTTAAAAATAGATATGAGCATTGATTGTATATGGATTTCGTAATATTCGTCTTTGTTATATATATAGTTTAGAGATTTAGAGTTATGGTTCACAATTTGGAATTTAGGGATATAATTAACTCGAAATTGGAGGTCTAGGGCTTAAGGTATCTGCTAATTAGTTGTTATCATATGTTATAACATCATATTACACTAATTCTATAAATTAAAATTCAAAATTCGACACCTTAAGACTAGTTTTTAAGTTGGGTGCATTGAACACACTCATTTTTGTGAGTGCACCGAATTAGTCACTAAATATATATATATTAATTATTTTTTAGTGACAGGATGTATATCATGTTTTGCTTAATGAAACACAATAAGGTCTTTTTAATATTAATTAACGATCATATGAAAGAATATACAAAGAAATTAGAGTACAGATTTTGAACTAGTCTCGGTTGAAAAAAATAAGAAACATTTTCGTACATCTAGAAATCATAACTTTTACAAGATTTTAATTGGTTGGAATAGTCAAGTCAGTTCTATATTCATCCTCTTCGAGAAATTTCACTTGTTTCCAACAAAACAACGTAGCTATTACATTTCAGAGGGAGTTTTCTTTATTTGTGTTAGATGAAGAATCGTCGAAAGTATGAAAAATACTCGCCCTATGAATTATTTTTTAACCTGGTTTAATGTACAACTTAAGGGGAAAAACATTGACAAATTAAACAAGACTTTTTCAATGAATGTTTTGCATTATTAATTAACACACGAAAAAATATTGATATTTTGTCAAAATTAAAATGTAGGCGACATTGGGAAACCCGGTTATATGACTATCCTCTAGTTTTCCAACCTTAGAAAGTCTTACTATGGTACAAGACAGGCACTCGTGTGGGAGCAGTGGTGATGAGATGATAGAAAGCCTAATTAATCAAGCCTACAAATTCAAAGTCTTTCTTTTTATTTATGCTTTGTAATTTAAAAAATGTCAAACAAGTTGGAGAGAAATGTCATAACGTCACGTCGTACATAAGCCTGGCATCATGCATGCATATGCCTCTCTTCAATTTGTAATTTACCCCTTAATTAATTAATTGCATCATGGGTTGGGTCATTGAGAGACTTGTCTCTAGTTAAGTTGGTAGTCTTCAAAAAGTCATCCATGGTTAGTGAGGTTATTACTTACCAACCAAAAGCAAAGGAAAAAAAATAAAGAATAATTATTTATTCTGCATGTCAAACCTATTAGGTAACAAATTGGTAATAATAATTATAATAATGACTTTTATGATCACAATGGTAGTTTCCCTAACAAATGACTTATTAAGAGAAAGGGGACGTGTCCATTTCAAACCGGTGGACTTATTAGACTTTAAAAAGGGTTGCATGGGAGTGTTGTTTGGAATATATATATATATTTTTATTTATATACATCAAAGGTTGAAATTAAGTGCTCAAATTGATTAATTAACTAGTTATGTAGTTTTCTTCTTTGTTGTTGTGTGTGGTGATCATTAAGTTGGTGATTTGCAAAGCGTTATATATAATAGGAAAACTTAATGGGGGCTGGTGACCTAAATCCTAAGACTACTTACTTGCCCATGATTTGTCACCAATTAGTATAGCTTCAACACAAGAGTTCTAGTGCTGTGTCCATATCAATCTCTCATACATCAATATTTCAACTTATTGTTGATCTATTGCACCATTCACACAATCAAATTAAAGCATAATGATTGACGAGGAGAATGAATTCTTTTCTAATGAGTGGTGGGAGAGTATGTCATTTAAGTAGTTTTCCCCATGTATGATTAAAGTATCTCTTGTTCTTTGAAATTTTTAAATATTGTACTGGAGTGTATAACTGATCTCTCGTTTGATCAATTCAAATTTAAATATTGCACGGGAGTGTAACATAACTTACTAGCAGTTTGAGAAAATTTAAATTTGAATCTTTATCATCACCATTAGAAATTGAATTTGTCATCAAATATGACGATTCATTACAAATTTCAAACTCTTAGTCGTTCTAATTACTATCATAGACAGTTATGCTATAGAATAGACAGTTCTCTGACATATATAGCATCATATGTAATTTTGGACTATATATCAAGTATTATACTGGGCATTTGTTCATATAAAAAATCATAATAGATAATAGCATAAAATTAACCCTCCCGTTTAATCTAACTAATAACCCCTTGTGAAAGTAAGCTGGTTTGCTTCGCAGCTAGTGAAAAACCTAACTACGGTTTGCTTAGAATTTTGTATCCCGATCGAAAATGCAGAAATGAATGTTGACCAAATATTTAGGTAAAATGGCATTTTCAGTCAAGCTTTCGTATTTGGTTGCCAATCCACAAACCCAAGCAATGAGAATATTGTAGTTATATATAATGAGGGTGTTTTTTGTTCTTATTTTAGCAATCCAATCTCCTTACTAGCTGCTGGCGTTTCAAGTCGCCTCTTTGAAATATTATCTAAACATCAACGGGAAGTGCCACGACAAAGAATATTAGAAAGGAAACGAATAAATAAAAACAAAGTATAAATGCAACATTTCACACTTTTAAATTTTGTACAAGGGCAACTAGTTCGTTTTAGATAAAATTTTAGTGGAGAGTGAGAACTAACTTGAGATATTAGTAAAATGAATCAAACTAATTAATAGAGTAGATATAGAGAAAAATATTTTGCAATTTATCCGTGTTTAAAATGAAACTATTAAGAATTTGTTACGGTGGATATGGTCTAAATTCCAAGTAAAAGTTATGTGGAAATTAACCGAATATATCGAGGCAATCAATTAACAAAAATGCAAAATCTAGTTTTGAACACAAATAAAATGGTAGACCGAGTTTCCACAACCGGTCGACCAGGGTCGCCTTTACCTTGATAAGATTGAAGCACAATTACAATATATTTAAAATGATTCAAACAAAATAGCTAGCTAGCTAGCTAGAAGCGTTCATAAGTAGTTGGAGTTAGGTCCAAAATATATATCTTGATTCTTGGCAGAAGTCACCAAGTTATAGAGACATGTAATGTAAGCCCTCCAACCTCACCAAATTAATTAGGGCACTCAGTCGCCCCTGAAAAATGAATCATCGAAATGGTGATCATTTTTAATTTGTGTGCGAGTTCCATTTTTCTTGGACCATTATCATATATAGATGTGATTGTTTTTTTTTTCCTTCTTCTAATTAGGTATAGATACATAATATATTCCCCTCTTCTAACAGTTTTGATAAACAAATTAACAAAAATTTCGGTTCACATATAGTTGTTAGGGCTTGTGTGTGAGAGTAAGCAATATAACTATATAGCTTTGTCATGTGGCTATAGCTGTACACTATTTTTATTGGTGAAAACTGAAAAGGATGCAAGCACCAAATGCTTTTCCAACATTAAACAAGCCCTTCATACATAAATTAACCAATGGGTGATCATGGAGCTAGATATGTAAACTAAGCTATGTCTTGTCTCAAAAAGCTATATAGAACAACCCGGCCTCACACACACACACGCAAGGCAATCAACAAGAAAACTCAGCATCTTGTCTCGATATATACGTGGCAGTGCTGCAACATCTAAATCTATCTTTAGTGTGGGTTGGCAGACGAGTACTGCTAGGTTGACATCCCAAAGGGCATATGTCCGAAGTCCGATTATATATATAGCTGTGAGGAACAGAGGGTCATTTGTTCTTCACCAATTGAGAATAATAAGGGCTTATGCTTTCTTGGAAGCAAACTCCACAATCGCATATGCCATGGGAAAGTCGACTCTACACGGGCGAGGGTTCCTACTTCCTAATTAGTTTTGTGGCCTATTTGTGAACTACTTTCTACTGTATGTCTAAAAGTATAATTGATGACTTTTCACACTTTGTAACGTACGGTATGTATGTCCTAGCAAGACAAGTTCAAGTTGTACTCTCCCACCACCAAAAAGTGTGCATAATCCTAGTGAGAAACTGTTGTTTTTTAGTCAAGTTTGACCCCCTTACTCTTTACCGTCTCTCTTTTTTTGGCCTTTTGATTCACAGCAAAATTCATGAACCCATATCCACTTTGTGAATAGAACTAATTAAAAAGCACCAACTAGACATATAAAGTAATAAAACTAGCTTTCGATTGAGTCAAAATATAGATAAAAAAAGGATCAAATGTTTTTTTTTTTGTTAATGTGGCAAGAAAACCCTGTAAATGACACTGTACAGTAGTAAATTACCTAAGCCTTTTGGCTAAGCTCAAGTGTAGTAGTCAGTTACCTCGCGGCATTCTTTGTTTTTGGTTGAGAGAGAGAGAGAGAGAGAGAGAGAGTTTTAGAGGAACTAGAAGGGGAAGAACAAAAACGTAAATGACAAATAATGATTACAAATTTACAATGATGTGATTCTTGTTTAGACGAAAATCACAATTACGTCCTAAAGAAAAATAAAAGTTTTGATTATAATGATTTAGCTCCATTAGATTGATCTAAGAAAAGAGAAAGGAAAATTCAACAGATGGGAAGAGAGTCTCTACGTGTAATTAGCTATTAAGAGAACAATCACGTTGATTTGATTTTGAATTTTTTGAAAGTATTCTCGTAACAGAAAATATTTTTAACAACGAGTCACATTAACATTATAAGTTATTGGACTAAAGTTTTAACATGCATTACCAAGTTAGTTATCCAAAATTTTCAAAATGCTCATCTCTTAGATCACTTCCTAAACCTCAACTATAACCAACTTTTCTTGTCCCTCGCTCGCTTTTCCCGATTATGTTCTCCCTCGTTCAAATACTTGAGTCTAATATTGTTGCCAACCATTATCTGATAGTCCATACGCTTTGTAGATCGGAGGAAGAGCTCTGAATTCAAAGACCCCCTGTTTTTCTTTTGCCTCTTCTTTTAACAGACTATAACTCAGGGCCCAACACCATTTGAGTAATTGAAATCCATATTTATTATTAAAAAAATTCAAATGAACAATAATTGTGTAGTACATATAAATTCATTTTCACAATCGCGGATCGTAACACCGCGCATTAACCAAACTTACTGTTGGTGAATATACTAAAAGGGAAGTCTCCTATAGTTTGAACAACGAAATATCCATAATCTAATAGTTTATACGTGGATTGTGCACCTTCCATGGATTGCAACATATTGCAAAAAAAAAAAAAAAAAGCTCTACCAAAAATTTATATTAAGAGGAGTGTATTTTGACGTTTTTATGGGCCTCATTGGAGTACATCCACACTATTAAACACAGCACAAAGAGAAATAATTGGCATTTGGCAAGAATATAAAGTAAACAAAACAAGGAAATCAAATATTAATTTAGTTAACTAAAGAGAATACAGAGTGAAATCCGGTTTTGGATTTTCCTTCTATTTAAGCCCCTCCACTTTCTCAAAACCCCACTATCATGCGGCCCGTGACCCTTCTCTTCTCTCTGTTTCTCTGTTAGCCGTTTCCATTTTTTTTTTATACTCCGCGAGGAAAGCACGATCTGAGAGTGTGATTAAGTCGAGGAACCCAAGAAAGAAAAGGTGGGCTAATGGGGAAAGGCAGAGCGCCGTGCTGCGACAAGAACCAAGTGAAGAGAGGCCCATGGAGCCCTGCAGAGGACCTCAGGCTCATGACTTTCATCCAGAAATATGGCCATGAAAACTGGAGATCTCTCCCCAAACAAGCTGGTCAGTCATCTTCTCCCTCCTCTGCTTTTCTATTCTCCGGAATTCGATTGGAAGCTATGGTTTTCTGAGTACCCTTTGTCTTGCTCTGTTTTTTCCCCTCCCCTGTATTTCTAGTATTTTACTTTGATAAAAACAGAGTTCTCTGTTTCTTCTGGATTTCATTCTCTCGTTTTTGGTAAGGTATTTGATAGGATCAATATTTCCTCCATTTTTCGGCAGATAATTAAATAAAATGCACGGTTTCAGAAATTGGAAATGCAAGGGATTCGAATTTCCATAAACAATTATACAATATTTAGTAGTAATTATGGTATTTAAGGCATGCGGAGACGGAGAATACACAAAAGGGCAAATGAATCAAAATTATGAATTGATAGTGGTAAAGACTTTATATAAGATCTTGACAAAAAATTGCCCCACATCCATCCATGGCTAGTCTGAACCGTCGGATCATCTTGGAGATTTTGTGGATGAATGTCCACCCAAATTAGCCTCCAAAGTCCAACCCAATGCCAGTAGTACCACACAGTTTTAGCGACAACATAAAACCGACGCTAAAAAGTTTTGTTCTTTTCTTCTTTTTTTGCAAGTATATCCTGTTTAACACGTTGAAATTTTTAAATTCCTTTGTGGAAAACCCAAACAAGTGGGCAAGATTCCTACATCAAATTAGTGGTTGAACAATGAAATTATTAATTCATTATTATAGTATGCAATAATATAGTACTGTACTTGGTCGTATACATAAATGCTAATGGTATATCCGTATCCGTTTTATTTGAACAGGACTATCACGATGTGGGAAAAGTTGTCGTTTGAGGTGGATTAATTATCTACGACCAGATGTAAAGCGAGGCAACTTCACTCCAGAGGAAGAAGACTCCATTATCCGTCTCCACCGTGAGCTTGGCAACAAGTAAGATAAGCTAACCTTGCTTTAGCTTCCTATTCTCTTATAATTCCTGACACCATGCCTTAATGATTATGGAACACAGGATCCACTCTTAACAAGTATGTTAAATTTGTTTTCAGGTGGTCAAAAATTGCATCTCATTTGCCGGGGAGAACAGACAACGAGATCAAGAATGTGTGGAACACTCACTTGAAGAAAAGAGTATCCTCCTCTAACAAAAAGAATGTTGAATTAATTTCTAAGCTATCTTCGCCGACCTCCTCATCTTCGTCATCCACCTTCTCCACCACCACAACCTCGTCCGGCAAAAGGAATGCTCAAGCAGCAAAGATAGATATCGACGATCAACAGAGAAAAAGACGGAGAACTAATATGTTGGACGAGGAGGAAGAGGAAGATGAAGTGGTGGACAAGGAAGACATTCAGAACAACGACGAGGATGAGCTGACTAATAATTATGAGTTCAAATCTTCTCCAAATGAGATTTCAAATTCATCGGTCTCATCCATTCTGACGGATTCCTGCAGCCTGATTGATAACGTTGTGTCGATGGATTCGATTTTTAGCTTGGGTGAATCGGTTGGTAACGTCTACGACGTGTTGGAAGATGTGAGTCGACCTGAAGTTGAGGACTTCACCCTTGAGATTCCTTTGGAATCCGACATGGAGTTCTGGAACTTGCTTGATGGGCTAACGGAACCTAACGGCAACAATGGTGAAAATGTAGCTAGTTTGTGTGATGACCAGCTGGGAGTTCAAGTGGTTGACGATGGCGAGGATGATGATGACAAGCAAAAGTGGTTGCGTTACTTGGAAACCGAATTGGGGCTGGAGGAAATCAACAACAATACTACAAACCAAGAAGACAACTCTACAATTCCCCAAGTGCTAGAAGAGGGAAACATGGAGTTTCTATATGATGATGAATCACTCCCTTCACATGAAAGTAAAGCACAATTTGAAGAGAATCCAACAAGTCCAAACCAGCCGCATACTCAAGATATATAACTCAAGTGATGATGAGTGTTTTTAATAGGAGTGTCTTGCATCGAATCAAAGAACAAACTAAGTCGATCCAAGACAATTCTACAGAGGAGACTATGGTAGAGTTTTTTTTTCATTTTGGCTAAAGTACTAGAAAAAATAGTGATACAGTTTGTTAATTAACTCTGTTCAACAAAAGAACAGAAAGTAGACATCAAATATGAATAGTGACATATACTCAGTAACCTGTGACATATTGTTGTAGCCAAGCTCAAGAAAGAACTTACAGAAAGTTGTTATAATGAAATACAATGGCTTTTCCCTGTATTTTATTTTTAGTGGTAAAGTTTGAGCATGCGCTTCTAGCCTCCAATTGAAAAGCAATGTATATTTATTATATTTAGCGACCAGTGATGTTGTTTCTTTTTCTTTCAATTTCAGATTTGGTGGTGGTAGGTGGGTAGGTAAAAAAAGAGGAGTCCTTTATGCTTAGAACTTACAAACGACCTTTTCAACTGTCGGCCAAAAAAATTTGGTGGGATTGCCTGACTTATCATCAACTACTTGCCCTCCTCTCAACTTGCTCACCAACTTCATTACTCAAATCAAATGTCACTTTGGAAACCGATTATCTATACAATACAAGACGAAATGGGTGTTGTTTAGTCGCAGCATTCTGAGACTTCTACATACAGCAAGGTGAGTGGATTTGGCATCATATAATAATGGAGCATGCAGAGATACGTTGGAACAAGAGGGTGGTCTCGATTAACAGGCGGCTAATATATTCAGACTTTCGTGGTGATCTAACATGTTTTGTTTTGTGTTTGAATACCAACGACCTTAATGTCAGGCACATGATATTCAGATTTGTGCAAATTTCAATCTCATGAGTTGCCTTTCGTTCGCGAATATGTGTTAGTAAATACTAAATAGTAAATATCATAAGATTTCTAATTAAAAAATATTTTTAACAACTCAAATTATTCAGATCATTATCTGATTCTTTGACACTTTGTTGACACATGCGTGTCAACACACATGTAATTATGATAATCCGAATTTTTGAAAGATACATTATTTGCTATTTTTTTTTGAATCGGCAAGGTTTGATGCTAAGGAGTAATAAATGGCATAAATACTTAACAATAGCGTCGTTTGGGTGTGTAGTTACTTACTAATCTGTAAATGAAAACCTCTGCTGGAGATAGATAGATATGATTTGTCACTTTGTGGTTATGCTTGAAATTGAAGGAATTAATATAATTAGTTTCAATCTGTCACGTCCTTTGAAACCCTTGTGGACCATACGAATGCGATGCAAGAACCAGGACAACCTATAATAGTAATAATTAGGTAATTATATCATATAATACTACATTTGCATATAATACTGCCAAAATATTGTCTAATGTTATTAGAAACTAACCCACATAGCTAGACAGCACCCAAAATTTTCAACGGCGCTCCCCATACGCTAGCTAATTCCTTTCATATATATATATATATATATATATATATATGTCTGTGCAGTTTGAAAACTACTGATGATTACAGTGAGTTAGAATCTCCCATTGGTTGGTAACATTCTCATTAGTGACAATACCAATGATAGCTATTGGAACCGATTTTACAGGTGGGTTTAGTGCGATTTGTGCTCATGGTTCCATCATCATCAACTAGAGATCGTGCTTATGGATTCATCATCCGGGTGTTATTAAATGATATATGATTTGTAACGAAATTTATTTTAATAATTAGAGTTCTTGAAATCAATTGAGTTTTTATATGATATCAGAGCTTTCTCTAATCGAGAGGTCTTCTGCTAGAATCACAGAGACCCTCACCTATTTTGTTAAGCAAAGTGTGTATGGACTTGTGCAAAGTTCAAGCCCTATACGAGCAACTTTCATTTGAGGGGGCGTGTTAGTAAATTATATATGTTTCATAATTGACTTTTTCCAAAAAATTCGATTTATTGTGATCAACTGATTTCTGACAGTGAGTTTGCCTAGAAATCATCAACTAGAGATCATATTGTGGGGTAACCAATGCTTACTGTTATAATAAGAAATATAGAACGAGAGAAACTAAATTCAATGGGGGTAACCAATGCTTACTTATAGTATAGTGTCAATGACATAACTTGATGGTTAGGAGATGTTTAATTATAGATGTTATACCATTTATTGTTATACCTACTCAAACGAAATCCAACTCATATGGGCTTTAAGTTTGTATAGGTTCGAATACCATGTGCTCGAAAAGTAGAGTCACCGAGATTCAAATGCACAACCTCTATGTCAACCCGGCCTGGCTTCAATATCACGTCAAAAACCTATTGAACCTAATAATTCAAATTATTGAAATAAATTAGAAATCCTATACCATTTACTAACATCAACCAGATCGTCACTTTTTCTCTAGTTGTTGGTTTTGTCTTTGTGACATAAGCATTAATGTTATGGAGAGCTCATTGGTGAAGGTGTAGGGAGCCTTACCAAGTCACAATAGGCTTCATTAGTTATTGGATTAGGATATAGGAATAAATAGGATGACTTGCAAACGAGGGACAAATAACAAAGTGGTAGAAGCAGCTGGTTGAGATGTATAGTATATATTTGGTAGACCAACCATTACCAAACCTAGAAATATATACTATATGGTGATTGAGGTCTTGATTTGGTTCAAAGTTGTGATTGGGAGCTTCATATATGGGTCAAAGAATCAATACATAAAAAAACAATAATCAATTCATAAACCATGTTAATTAATTACTGTCTTTTCCAAATCCCTTGTATTAGACATATATATGTCAGTGTCACTGCTGCAGCCGTTCCTGTTTCCACATCGGGGCAAATAGACTAACTGCCTGCTCTCTATGCATTTCTAACCCACAAATTAAGAAAATTTTAAAGACTCTTTTGCGACGACAAAATGACATCGTCGGATGTAATAGCAACCACCACCTGCTTAGCTAAGATAGCTTGGTGGTGGTGTTAACAATTCCATATTTTCCACTCGTTGGTTGCAACTTATTAAACTATAATAATTGCAATAATTTTTTTATTTATTTTTGGCGATGTGATCACGTCATCACTTGACGGAAAATATATATGGAAAATTGTCAATATATGTAGAGAGCGATGTAGTAGTGGTAGTAGTTTATCGGTTTTCAAATTCGTTGGGTTTTCCAAGTGTTGAAATGTAAAGGTCAATGGTTTGATGCTAAAGAATTATTATCTGGTGGTTCATGTGAATCGTGAAGTAGTTAGCTAGTTCTACTCTTGTAGTCAAACCAAGAAATGGTTTATATACAAAGTCATGGTCCGTATTTTGTATACCGCATGATCTTGTACAATAACTAAAGTATAGACACCAAAAACCGGGGTATATATATACTTGTTATTTTATACTTCAAATATATATGCACTTATCGAGAATGATTTTTTTTATAAGGGTAATATATGTTTTTTTGTGTGTGATTAAGGTACTACTTAAGGGATTCGAATCTGAGACCTTCAGGTTCTAGGCTAGTGATAGATCAAGCTCTTATTCGTTTATCGAGAATGATTTTGGATCTCATCAATATGGATATTGTTGAGTCTTCTACGTACACTTCCAATTTATATTTATGTTCACATTATTGGAATGTCAACCCATTCGGATTCATATATCAATCAAACCAGGTAGTATATATTTTCCAATCTTACAAAAACTATTCCATCTGTCTTAGATTTCTCACCACCTTCGACTTAATCAACAGAGTGTCTTCTCCTATATATATCATTGTACTACGAACGATCGACCAACGAAACAGATCCGACGAGAATATGTGTAATTTAATTTTCTCTCTCTATATATGTTGCTCCCATCCCGAGGCGGAACTTAATTCAGATCAAAGAATCAAACAATGTATCGACTTTGACCGCGTGATGTACATTCACTATAGTTATGGTTGGGAAAACCAGGCACCGTCAAAGTCTTTGCGTTTGAAGTTGGTGCACAAATGACTCAGAAGCAAGCACAAATGGACTTGGAAGCGCGGGGGTTTGTTTACACAGCAAGTCAACGTCCAGATATACCAGTACATTGACCAACCCATGCATACACAGACACAGTACAGTCTACCACGATCAGTTAATGCTAGCTGCTCAACTCAATGATTTAATTTGCACATCTCATTACAATAAACCCAACAACCACAACTTGATCCACTCAACTATATATATTCTTCTTCTATCTTTCAGTTGCATTCACATGATCAAACCCGGCCCATTCATTTTTTTTTTGGTCTTCTTCTACATGACTCTGCATAATAATATCCTAGGGTGTTGACTGTTGATGGAGATTTTCCCCCCTTCAAATTAAGCTGCCCGGCCGGCTGCTTGTAATTGCTTTTGCTTGCACATCGGTTAATTAATTAGGTCCTCCTAACTTGTGTATACAACTTAACTACTCGTGTTAGGCCTTGGGTCTTAATCTATGATTGCTTGATCTCAAGCGACATATAGGTAACTGTCAATACTAGCTACTTCATTCAAACCGGTGAACACACTTATTGGGACATATTAACTCAATTATGACTAAATAATAATAACACACGGCGTTCAATCTATTATTAAGAATTTTCACGAGTAATCTCAGTTTGGACTATTTTAACAATAATGACTTGATCTAATGATAATACCAATAAATTTGAATATGGTGTCTCAGATTCGAATCCGTTAAATAGTACCTAAACGCAAAAAGTAAATTAACCTATATAACAGACAGTATAGTGTTTGGACTATTTTTGCAAGTGTTAGATTGTATCAATAGAGTGACATGGACTTGCTAGTGACGGGTAGGTGAATTGTTCTCCCACTTGATGTGAATTGATGTACGTACTCTACAATGTATGTATCCTTGTCCGCTTGTCCCCTAGTTCATCATGATTAAGGATGCAATAACATTAACAATGACTTAAAGAGAACAACTAGCTGGGGAATTAACACTTTTAAATAAGGGTTTCACAAAAAAAAAACACTTTTAAATAAGGGAGCAAAAAAAAAAAAGCCAAATCGGGAAGCATAATATACAATGATAATAACGGAGAAATGAAATGAAATTACATTAACGACGCACGTCCTCAGTTCTCTATTTAGCTTGCATGTGCATGTTGCTGACGTATGTGAATCAACAAAAGCAGGCTCCTAAGTGAATTGGGCCTGGCTTTATATTAAGTACATAGTTGGCCCAAAGCCAACTCTTTTAGTTTCTGAATAGCTTGGACCTGACAGTAATCAGCTCTCGGTACCAAGTCAGGCCCAAATCTGTTTCCTTCTCTCTAATTTCCTTTTCTTCTCCTTGAAAATCAGGCTCGCGGAAAATTTTCATATTTCCTACTTCATTCATCCCGAAGAACTGAGGAAAGAAACTCCGCATAGTTTCGCGCTTCTTTCGCCGTCTTCCTCAGTTGCTCCGAAGAAATTTCCGGCGAACCCGTCCAGCTTCGTAGATGGACATGGCGGATTCAATTCACAGAAGCAGCGTCTTCTCACGGCTTAAACCCTACTGCCTAGAGCTCTTCGAGCTTCTCCAGAACCCTAGCAATCACAATTCCTCCGCGATTCCTTCACTGCTCGAATTCCTCCGCGCTTGTTCCTCTACTGATTTACAGCCTTTCGTTGAGTGAGTACAGCAATGGCTAGATGAAAAGTTGAGCGACTCTTATTATGAATATTAATGGCATTTATTATTGATTCGTGTATTTTGAACCTGAAACTCGTCTAATGCGCCTTGCAGCTACGCCTCTTTCCCACTGCTGCTCCTGCTCGATGCGGCGGTCGAATGCCGATCTTCCAAGGAGGGTGATCCTGAGCAGAAGAGGAAGAAGCTGTCTGCAGTGCCGCATAGAGTGAGTGACAAAGTGGCAGAAGGCGTGGTGCTGTGCTTGGAAGAGCTTTTCCAGAAGAGTCGCTTTGGGTTTATCGATCAGGTTGTTTAAGTCTCCATCCGAACTTCTATTATTCTGCTAACAGATTGAATCGGTAGTGTATTGAAATTTAAAACCTATTCGAATAACCTGGTGATTGTGCTTTAGATGGTTCTAGTGATGAAGAAATTGACTCACGCAGCTATGTTGTCTCCATTGGAAGCTTCGGAAGAGTTTCGAGAGGGAGTGATCAGGTGTTTCGGGGCTGTACTTAGAGGTTTACGTCCTTGTGCGGATGAAGCTTGTTCGTGTAGGCAAACTTATGGTGTGCCGGCATTGGTAGAGAATGGGGACGTTCATTCGTTGGCTCTACGCCAGCCTTTGAGTTATGATACAGAAGGAAGTGAATGTTTGATTGCATTTCTCCAGTCCCATAATGCAGCAGCTGCAATTGGACACTGGTTCTCGCTTCTTCTGCAGGTGCTTTTTTCCACTGTTGTTTCCATGTCGAGATTTCTAGTCTTGGAAGACTTTATGTGTATTTAAGTCTGTGTTATGGATTGACTTTGAGATTTCTGTTAAGGCTGCAGACACTGAGGCTGCACGAGGACATAGGGGCAGTGCAAGGCTCCGAGTAGAAGCCTTTTCTACATTAAGGGTGCTTGTTGCTAAGGTAACTTATTAAAATTCTCTGTATGTTGATTCCAACCATAGCTTCCTAAATATGTTATAAACTCCTGGGACCTAACTTTTGCAGGTAGGTACTGCAGATGTATTGGCTTTCTTTTTACCTGGTGTCGTCAGTAAATTCTCGAAAGTTTTGCACTCCTCAAAAACGATGATGAGTGGAGCAGCTGGAAGCATGGATGCAACTGACCAAGCAATTAGAGCCCTGGCTGAGTATCTAATGATAGTCCTGGACGACGACTCCAATTTAACCTCCAGTACGTCTCTGAATTCCACGGTGGACTCAGGTCCAGACAGTAATGACTCTGTGGAGTCAGTTTTGGATCAGCTTCGCCAATTACCTATCAGCACTCAGGGGGGTGTGAAGAATATGACTGACGAGTCGATGGGTGAAGCAGACAACTCAGTCGCTTGTCGGTCTGACTTTGAAATGACTGGGGCTATGAAAAGAAGGAAGGCCTCAGGATCTTTGCACGTTGAGCGAACAACAGATTGGTTACAGCAAACTTCCGCAAATGTGGTTAAATTGTTGAATTCCACATTTCCACAAGTAAGGCTTCGCATTTTATACATAAGAGTGGACCAAAAAATTTGTGGTCTACTTTCATGTGTTTTGACAGTATCAACGTCTTTCTGTTGGTAGATTTGTGTTCATCCAGCTAAAAGGTTGAGACGGGGACTGCTGGCTGCCATAACAGCAATGCTATCAAGGTGCAGTTCTACTTTGAAGGAAAGTAGGTTGATGCTATTGGTAAGTTGATGAGTTATTCTTTGATTCTTGGAACTTTGAGTTGATTATGGAAGAGTGCATGATTTCTTGGGTTGCATATCTGCAAGCTTTATTGGCTGTTTAAGTAAGATACTTATTTGCTGATGACAACTGTACAGGAGTGCCTCTTTGTCTTGGTTGTTGATGACTCTGAAGATATTGCTGCAGCTTCCCAGGAGTTTCTTCATCTATTATTTTCCACACCATGTGGAAAGCACTCTCTAAAAACTGATATAGCTCAGATTTTTGCAAGGTCTGCATTCAGTATCAAAGGATTTTATATGTTAATCTAGTTTGAACTCTATTTTACTCTATTTTCTTTGTTATGCCCTTTTCTTTACTAGGCTCATCGACAAGCTTCCAAAAGTAGTACTTGGAGGTGAGGAGTCGGCTGCTCTCTTCCATGCACAGCAGTTACTTGTTGTCATTTATTATTCTGGTCCCGAGTATATGTTGGATCACCTCCAAAATCCGGTAGGTGCTCGGAGCCTGCATTTGTTTCTTCATCTCTAATGCTTCTTATTTTGGCACATCATCTTACAGCAAGGCCAGAGACCTAGATAATAACTTCTTTGCACCTTGGTGGGCGTGCCTAAAACATTTTGAATACTTCTACACCTGCTAAGAAAAACCTGGCGTGATGAACTCTTGTTTCTCTTTATTTCAATGGTTATACAGCAGAGTAGATGAAAGATTAAAATCTATAAGGTGCCAGTTTTTTGTAAATTACCTTATCTTTTCTGTACTGGTCTTCGTAGGTGACTGCAGCAAGACTCTTGGATGTTTTTGCCCTCTGTTTGAGTCAGAATTCCGTATATACAGGCACTCTGGATAAGCTTATGTCGACACGCACATCCTCGATTAGTTTTCTTCCGTCTATTTTGGAGTTAAGAGGTGGTCCTGTTTCTTCTAGTTACCAGAATCTTAAGGATAATTCTCGTGCTAATGTGTCCAATATGAGTGTTAGTGATGGGAAAAAATTGGAGTACTCTTCTGAAACTCTGAAGAATAGTTATGAGCTTCCACGAATGCCACCTTGGTTTGTCCATGTTGGCAGTAAGAAGCTATACGATGCTCTAGCTGCAGTTCTCAGACTAATAGGCTTATCCTTACTAGCAGGTAAATTCAGCTCTTGGTAATCTTTTCTTCTTCTTTTGCTTTAATAGAAGTTTAACTCTGATGGTTGCTTACTTTGAGTTATATCCTCTTGTTGCTAGACCACAATGAAGGACATATGGCAGTGATAACAGACATACCGCTAGGTCATATACGCAGATTGGTTTCTGAGGTTCGCTCCAAGGATTACACCAATGAGAGCTGGCAGTCCTGGTGTAATAGAAGTGGGTCTGGAAAATTAATACGCCAGGCCAGCACTTCCGCATGCATTCTAAATGAGATGATATTTGGTATATCTGATAAAGCAGTTGATGGTGTTACTATGATGTTTCAGAAGTCCAGGGTGAAGGGAGAAAGTATGGTCTCTATTTGGAAGGCTTCACAGAAAAAGGTCACCAAGAGTCACTTGATCGATTGCGTTGGAAGAATTTTGCATGAGTATCTATCTTCTGAATTGTGGGTTCTACCGGTAGATCATGGAGATTTAGTGGTACAAAATGATACAGATGTTGAAATAAGCTTGCACTTCTTCCGAGATGCAGCTGCACTACAACAAGTTGCTATTGACGGAGTAGGCATCTTTGCTACCTGCATTGGAAATGAGTTCTCGTTGTGTGGGTTTCTTCATTCCACTCTTTATCTGTTGCTTGAAAACGTTATTTCTGCTGATAACCAAGTTAGAACTGCTTCTGATGCTGTCCTGCATATTCTTGCTGCTTCATGCGGGCATTCAACGGTAACCTTTTCAATATATTCTTTTGTTTTTTATATTGCAAGAGTTGGTTGGTTATCAAATGGTCGTTTCTGTATTCATATTTTGTAGGTTGGAGACTTGGTCTTGACAAATGCAGATTATGTCGTTGATTCAATATGTCGGCAATTGCGTCACTTAAATCTTAATCCACAAGTACCGAACGTGCTTGCTTCTATGCTTTCCTATATTGGTGTGGCTCATAAGGTGCTGTCTCTTCTAGAAGAAACGGTATGGTTATAGTTGAATGTTCCATAAACTATGTTAAGATTAATGGTAGCTGTCCCTTGAGAAACTTGGTTTATATGGTCATTGCAATGACTCATTGACTACGATGAATACTGTGCAGATGTGTGCTGTTTCAAGGGAACTAGAGATTCTTGGCAGACATCAACACCCAAAACTGACCACTCCCTTCCTAAAGGTTGTGTACATCATGTGACTTATATACTTATTTGTTATATATAGATAATCTGTATTTGCAATGCTCCCTATTGGAGCTTTCTTTGTGCTTCTACCCTTCGTAGAAATTTTCTTAACTGTAAGTAGATACTTTTAATTTTCAGGCCATAGCAGAAATTGCCAAGGCATCAAAATCCGAGACTTCTTCATTGCCAAGTAATGCAGAATTGTACCTTGAGGATGTTAAGTCCAAATCATCAAGGTTGGAGAAGAAAGCAAGGGCTGAATCCAGCCACAAACCAGATGGCAAGTCTGATAGTTGCCAAGGAGAATCAGGTTATTTGTGAACAGTCGGTAAATCTCGATGCAGATGTTAATTTCCTTATTATAATGAATAGATTCATGTAATAGTATTCTGCTTGTAGAACAATGGGTGAGTATTGTCTTCAAGTGGAGCGAATCCAAAAGGTACAGACGAACAGTTGGGTCTATTGCTGCGTCATGCTTATCGGCTGCAACCCCTCTTCTTGCCTCAATGGAGCAGACAGCATGCCTTGTGGCATTGGATATAGTCCAGGTATAGGATAGATCCCCGTTACAAAATCATCTCTTACTCCTGTACCTTTCACATTCGTTTCCTGTTATCATTTTATAGCCCTCAAATATTTCTGAAATGTAAATAGGACAGCATTGCATCACTAGCGAAAGTGGAAGAAGCCTATCAGTACGAGCAAGAAACCAAGGAATTAATTGAAGAAGTGGTGCGATCTTACTCTATTTATGAGCTTCATGATACTATGGATGCTGCCGATGAGGGGACTGATGAGAACAGATTGCTTCCAGCTATGAATAAAATATGGCCGTACTTGATTTCATGCGTTCGTAACAGAAATCCTGTGGTAAGGATTTCCATAAATTCTCTTTACCTAGCGGCTGTATACTTAAATGCCTAAATTGATCAAGTCCTCAAAAGCTGGCAACTTAACTAAAGGATCCGTATCAAAATAGTCATTCTGTCTCATTCTGTATAACATGTCATTAGTTTGGACGAGTACATGCATCGATCAGACTACCCATTTGTAGTCGAGGATGGGCTTAGATCATGGTTTTGTGTGTTTGCTTGTCGGTTGTGAGACTGTTTTGCGAGTTGCATTCAAGTTGGAAAGGATTTGGCTTTTGGTATGGTTTCGGTTCTAATCGGGTTGATTTTGCTGATATGGAATGTAGACTCAATTGGACTTGTGTCAGATTAGATGGAGTGACTGTTTGTCTGTTTTATTACAGGTCTCTTAGTTTAGTTAGCATCTTGTTGCACTTTGTTGTTTCATGACCATTTTTATCCAGAAAAACTAGTTACGTTCATGGATTTAGAAATTCTTGGTTTCACTCTGTTTGCTTCCACAGGCAGTAAGGAAATGCGCAAGTGTGATAGCCAACGTGGTGCAAATATGCGGAGGTGACTTCTTCTCACGCAGGTTCCACACAGACGGTCCATGCTTATGGAAGCTCCTCTCCTCATCCCCGTTCCAGAAGAAGCCCGTCAAAGAAGAACGAACACCGCTGCTCCTTCCTTACAGAAGCAATCCTTCCACAGACGAGTCATCCTCCGTGGCAGAGGTCTCAAACCTGAAGGTCCAGGTGGCGCTGCTCAACATGATCTCCGACCTGGCACGGAACAAGAGGAGCTCCACGGCGCTGGAGGTAGTCCTGAAGAAGGTCAGCGGTCTAGTGGTGGGAATAGCTTGCAGCGGCGTGGCAGGGCTCCACGATGCCTCGATCAGTGCCCTTCATGGACTTGCGTTGATGGACCCTGATCTTATATGGCTTCTGGTGGCCGATGTCTATTACTCTGTCAAGAAGGAAGGAGAAGTTATTCCTCCGCCTGGATCAGATTTTCCGCAGTTGTCTCGGCTATTGCCCCCACCGGAGAAACCCAAGGATTATCTCTATGTGCAGTATGGAGGACAGAGTTATGGGTTTGGGATAAACTTGGCTTCGGTGGAGAAAGTGTTCTTGAAACTACATTCCCTGGCTTTTCCTGACCAGCTGTATTTATGACTTTTGAAAATGATGTGCATGTAAATAACTAAATGTTAGTTCATCCTATGTACTATTTAGTTGCGTGAAAGATGAAAATGAAGGATATGATTAGTTACGTTGAGAGGTCTAAATCGTCTATTACAGAAGTAGAAAGTTGAGTCTTCGCGACAGTGAGCCCCAGGGCAGAAATACAACGAGATATCACAGCATCAAATGCTTACTATGGACAGGGTTGAAGCCGAAACTGAGAATCCTACATGACTTAACCAGAACTTGGGAATGGCGTCCTTCTCAATGGAACGGCTCGCGTTCCCGTTGCTGTCATCGAGCAAAATCGAAGCATCGCAGCCCTGGAAATGACGAACAAGTTGCAGAGATCTTAGAAACTGCCATTAACATCAAGATACAACGAATCTACCGAGACTAAATAAATGCAGCAATGGCGGACAGTAGAAAAGGGATTGCTGCAACTCTTCTTGGTGTTCACTGCTGAAGAAGTGTAAAGCGGAGCGGGAAGTGGATTGTATGTAGCCATATATATATGGTGGTTAATAGGACGAACGAAAATCGTGCTAGTCTTCCGCTGTCCCAATTTTTGGGCCTTGACACAAGCCAAGTCCAACTTTTTTGGGCCCAATCAATATATTTGGGTCCATAACTACCTTCTCAGCTTTACCACGAGGGAGGAGCCGCCGGCCGTCTGTTCGTACCAGCAGCCGGAGGAATCAGTTGACGGAGGTGCTTGACCTCTCTCTACTGATTGCGCCTTGATTTGTCTATTTGTCGGCCGAACTCACTGGGATTTGAGAGATGGGACGTGAATGGAAGTCGAAGGAAGAGGCAAAGACGACGAAGAAGAAAGGCATTTGTGGCAGTTGGAGGAGGAACTCCTATTCCCTCTTCGTCAGCCTCCCGAGGTCTTCCTTCTCACTCGTCCTAATTCTTTCCCCTAGAAGTAATAATGGAGATATAGTATAATCTGAATAGAAAGGCAGTTCGAGATATTTTCCTACTGTTTCCGGACTGGCGTCTCTATTTAAGAATAATATGGTCAGAGCTAGCTTCTTGCTGCGGGAAGGTTTCGTTCCGCCCATGCGACTCCGGATACGTAGCATTATACCCCGCCGGAGCGTGCGATTCCGCTCCTATGTAGCCGTACCATCGTCGGAAATTTCGGCTAGTTTTTCACGCTCCAAGCTTTGTGCTACCGTTTCTCTAGCAGACCACCCGAATCCGAATGTATCCTGCTTCCAGCAAAAGGGGTTCTCCCAAATCACGAGAGAAGTGACTGGCAAAGCGTTGCATGCGCTTTGCATCAAGGGTTTAATCAATCTGGGTGGGTTTTACAACAACACTTTGATTAATATGTACTCCAGGTTTGGTCACATTGGCCACGCTCGCTATGTGTTCGATTCAATGCCTGAGAGAAATGAGTCGTCTTGGAATAACCTGATGTCTGGATATGTTCGGGTGGGGATGTATGGGGAGGCATTAGATTTCTTTCGTGAAATGAGGGATGTTGGTAGTAAGCCAAGCGGGTTCGCTATTGCTAGTCTGGTGACTGCTTGTGACAGGTCGGGGTGCATGTTTAGGGAAGGGATTCAGGTCCATGATTTCGTCCTTAAGTCAGGATTTCTGTCTGATGTTTTTGTGGGTACTTCGCTTGTGCATTTCTATGGAACGTATGGCCTGGCTAGTAATGCCATGCGGCTGTTTGAAGAGATGCCTGATAAGAATGTGGTCTCTTGGACAGCATTGATGGTTGCATTTACAGATCATGGAGATCCCGAGGCAGTGATGAAACTTTACCTGCGAATGAGGAATGAAGGGGTGGGTTGCAACAGCAACACATTGGCCTCTGTGATTAGCTCTTGTGGATCACTTGAGGATGAAATGCTGGGTCTTCAGGTTCTTGGACATATCATGAAGGCTGGACTGGAAACTGATGCTTCTGTAGCAAACTCTCTCATATCGATGTTTGGAAATTATGGGAGAGTACAAGAGGCTAGTTATATCTTTGGATGCATGAATGAGCGTGACATAATCTCATGGAACTCGATTATCACAGTGAATGTACATAATAGTTGCCATGAAGCAGCACTGACATATTTGAATTGGATGCGTCGTGAGCATGGAAAATTAAATTATACTACTCTTTCAGCTTTGTTATCTGGATGTGGCTCAGCTGACTATTTAGAGTATGGACGAGGAATTCATTGTTTGGCTACTAAAATGGGGCTGGATTTACATGTTTTTGTAGGGAACAGCCTTATAGGTATGTATTCTGCCGCCAGCATTCCTGAAGATGCAGGAAAAGTATTTTCCAGTATGGGACACAGGGATTTGATTTCATGGAATTCTATAATGGTCTGCTATGCTGAGAACAGGAAGTGCACTGACGCCTTGAAGATATTTAACCATATTTGTTACGGAATAAAGGTAATTGACCATGTTACGTTTACAATTGCAATTGGTGCTTGTGCTGATCCAGAGTTTGTTAGTTTAGGCAAGGTGCTTCATGGCATTACAATCCTTACAGGCTTAGATGAAAACGTGATAGTTGGCAATTCACTGGTCACCTTGTATTGCAAGTCTGGTTTGATGACTGAAGCAAGAAAGGTATTTCAAACATTGCCTAGGAGGGATGAAGTGACTTGGAATGCACTCATTGGAGGTCATGCGGACAATGAAGAAGCGGAAAAAGCTATTGAAGCTTTTAAACTGATGAGAGAACAGAGTATGGGCATATCCTACATAACTATCGCCAATGTTCTAGGTGCTTGCACGACTGCTATTGATCTATTGGAACACGGGATGGCCATTCATTCCTATATAGTTCAGAAAGGGTTCGGATCAGATGAATATGTTCAAAGCTCTCTTATTTCAATGTATGCCAAGTGTGGTGATATCGACTCGAGTTGCCGTATCTTTGATGCAATACCTAACAAGAAGAATGCTGCATGGAATGCTCTTATAGCAGCAAGTGCTAAACATGGGTATGCTGAAGAAGCTTTGAAACTTCTTATCAACATGAAACGTGATGGAATCAGATTGGATCAGTTTGGCATATCTGAATGTGTTGCTGCAACTGCACAGCTGGCGGTATTGGAAGAAGGCCAGCAGCTTCATGGTTTGGCAGTCAAACTGGGTCTGGACTCTGACCCTTTTGTTGCAAATGCAACTATGGACATGTATGGAAAATGTGGAGAGATAGAGGATGCACTAAGAACTATTGCTCGACCTATCGATAGGTCAAGGTTATCTTGGAATATATTGATATCATCGTTTGCCAAGCATGGGCACTTTGAGAAGGCCATCAAAACCTTTCACGAAATGCAAGAGCTCGGAGTAAAACCAGATCAAGTCACTTTTGTTTCACTTCTTTCTGCATGCAGCCATGGGGGGCTTGTGGAAGAAGGTCTTAGGTACTACTATTCGATGACAAAGGAGTTCAATATTCCCCCAAGAATTGCACATTGTGTCTGCATGATCGACCTCCTTGGAAGATCTGGAAGGCTTACTGAAGCTGAAACTTTCATCAAGGAAATGCCAATTCCACCATCGGACTTTGTTTGGAGGAGTCTGTTGGCAGCATGCAAGGTCCATGGGAACCCAGAACTCGGGAGAAAAGCTGCTGAAAATCTCATAGCCTTAGACCCATCAGACGATTCAGCATACGTTCTTTATTCCAACGTTTGTTCAACAAGTGGCAGATGGGGAGATGCAGAGAAAGTAAGGAGTCAGATGGGATCACGAAAAGTACAGAAGCAGCCGGCCTGCAGTTGGGTTAAGTTGAAGAACCAGGTGAGTTCATTTGGAGTTGGTGATAACTCCCACCCTCAGTCGCCTGAGATATACAAGAAGCTGGATGAGCTGAAGAAGAGGATAATAGAAGCTGGGTATGTCCCTGATACAAGCTATGCATTGCAAGATACGGATGAAGAACAAAAAGAGCATAATTTGTGGAACCATAGTGAAAGATTGGCGCTTGCATTTGCCTTGATCAATACTCCCGAGGGTTCGACTCTCAAAGTTTTCAAGAACCTTCGTGTTTGTGGGGATTGCCATTCTGTTTTCAAATTTGTGAGTGGGATTCTTGGGCGGAAAATTATACTGCGGGATGCTTTTCGCTTTCATCACTTTGCTGGTGGGAACTGTTCTTGCTCTGACTACTGGTGATACGAAGTAGCACGGTCGTTCACTGTTGGAAGATTTCAGAGGCAGTTAACCGTCCAGTTCGTGGAGAATCACGTGGACATCCATTTGTACTGGGCTGGCAAACACTACTTGTTTCGTTCCTGCTCAAGGTGTGTATGGGCCTTCTATTTCAGCAATCAGTGCTTTTCCAGGTAAAATATGCCAAAGGTTTATCTCTTCGCTCGTCAAGGATTATAGCAGGGCTAAATTAAGAGTTATAAATTGTATTGCAGTCAGATCCCCTACCAACAATGGCGACAATCCTCCAAGCACAGATAGCGGAAATGATAATACAACAGGGATGATTGCTGGGATTGGCATAGCCGCCCTGGTAGGCTGGTACCATGCTCATTGTTAGAAGAGACTTTGAAGATGAAGGTAATCACCCCTCGAACCACATCCACCAACACATTTGGCAAAGGTACTTCAGATACCAGCAATTCCACTTCATCGACGAGTACATCAATGGTGGTCGATCCTGATATTTCTCCACTCCGAAGCCATGCTTCTTGGGATCAGTGGAGAAGGTAGGTAGATAGATAGATGAACAGATCGAAAGCTGCATTGGAGGTTAACGTGAAGGTTGTATTCCATGGCCATGCTGTGATTTTTTTAAGAAGATTGGGGTGTGAACTCTGAATAGTACCAAGTCTCTACCTGATGATATTTGGGCTAGTAACTTGGGCTTTAATCCACAAGAGACAGAGTGGGCCCATTGTGAGCCCGCCAATTAGAGTCGGGCTTTAACGCGGGTAATAGAGCCCGCCGTCAAAGAGGACGAGCAGTAGCTCGCTGCGTCGTCCTAGTAGCTGCCGGCGTCAGCTTGTATCTGCGCCAAATTTCTGATTATCGCCTCTTTCCTTACTTCACACCGGCGAGATGGGAAGCGATAGGAAGTCGAGGGACGAAGAGAAGAGGAAGAAGAAGAGCAACAGCAGCAGGAAGAGAAGCTCATCTCCGTCTTCTGCAGAAGGTTCTTGTTTCTGAATCGCTTTCATTTCGTTGTCTTCGTTGATTTCTGTTCCCAGCTAGGTCTGTCTATATTCATTCCGATTCTGTTCGCAGCCGGCCGTGCTGTAAAGCTGTAGGACAACCAATCATTTAATTTTTACGGCTGAGTACATTCCCGCTTCTCTAGTTACCCCATGTTGGTTTGATTGGTTTCTTTTGTCGTGTTCAATTCGTACACAGATGCAGGAAAGAGCCGGAAGAGGGGTAGAAATGAAGACGGAGGTGATGGGAGGGACAGTAAGAAAGAGAAGCGAACGGATAGCAAGTCTCGCAGCCATCGCCCTGATAAAGGTAAGCCCTCTTTGATCTGTTTTAATCAGGGAAATTAACTGTTGGATTTAGGGTTTGTTAGAACTAATACTAAGCTTCCGATGTATATATAAGCACTCCCGTATGGATTGAATCATCCAGTTTGTTCTGAATTGGATTTCAAGCTCATGGATGTTACGTGTTAGATTCTGGAACAGTAGAACTGATATTTCCTTATTTCTTTGTCGTTCATCCATCTTTCCCTGTATTCCAGTGAGAGCTTGTCTGGTCGTCTAATTCTGACGTGTTGACGTGCATGCTATTCTTTGATCAGAAAAGAAGTCGAAGGATAGGCACGATGCAAAACATCACAAAGGCGATGACAAGTTGGTATGGCTCTTTCTTGCATCATTGATTTTTCCTACCCTTACATACTGCGCTCACATTTCACTCTCATTCAAGAATCAATAGTTCAGATTTTTTTATATATGCTCGCTTCACTGCGCTATGGGTCTATAGATTGGGTCCATATATTGTGGATTCTTAAAGGGTTTCAGTTCACTTTGTCTTTGGAGCCAAGGCTAGGCCAAATAGGATTCCTATGAACTCTGTGACTGACATTTCAAGTAAGCAACTAAGGAGATCTCCCCAAGTTAAGTTCTTTCTTGCTAAAAGTCTGGCCTTCCTGATGATTCAATGAAGGAGCTTGTCGCTATGAGTCTGTAGTCATGTTATGTCTCAATGCCTATCGTTTTCGGCTGAAGATTACAAACTGAATGGGTAATTTGAGGATAATGTCAAGGTGTTGAATTGGCCCGGTGCTTGAGTTCTGTGGCAAAAAACACAGAACCTGTAATATCTTATGTTATTTGCCTAGTTGAATTTGGGAAGCCGAACATCAAGCAGTTGGCCTCAATGTGCGAACTCTTTGCTCTTTGTTTTAGGAACTCTTTGATTGATATGTATTTGAATGTCCCTTGTTGCTGCAGAGAAGCGATTTCACGGAGCTATCAGCAGACGACTACTTTGCTAAGAACAATGAGTTTGCAACCTGGCTAGCAGAAAAGAAGAAAGTTTTCTTCTCGGACCTGTCCTCCGAGTCGGCCCGAGAAATGTTTGCAGACTTCGTCAAGGCCTGGAATAAACAGAAGCTCGACTCCAAGTACTACGATGGGATCTCAAGTGGACCTCGTACAGCCCATAACTGGAAAATTAAGAGGTAGTGCTCACGACAAAAGCGGCTAGAAGTGTCGTCCTTTTGCTTTCTTTGTGCTAGTACGGTTTAGTAGCACAGGTTGCTTAGCCTTGGAGCTTTGTGCAAGAATTTATGCTTTGAACTTATGAATGTATGTAGGCTGTGGAATGTGGTGTATTAACGGTAGAATGGAGTTTTGAGGGAAGCTATAGAACAAGATCCAAAGTTTCTGCAACTACTATAAATGGTTCGAAACAGTAGAGATGCAATATTTTAAGGGTCTGGTAGGTTTTTCATGCTTATGAGTGGTAACATTTTGTGTATCACCAAGACACCAACTATGTCAACATGGAGTGATGAGTGGAAGTGACATGATTAAAACCTTGTTATAAAGTGGATCTTCTATAATTTCGCACGTGAGGGGTTACTCTTGCTCTCGTGCATCTTGTTCTCTTTCCCCAGTATGTATACTGAGAATACAACCTTTTGTGACTTGAGGTAATAAAAGAATGCATGTATTCCTAATACATAGAAAATAATATATTCATAATTTTGCATTTTTGGTGAGATTTGAGTATTCATAGTTCATTTAAACTATAATCCATGCATTCTTTTATGAGTTTCAAACAATGAGTTTTCAAAATCACATATTCTTAATATACACATAATCTTTAATACATACATTCTCGTAATACATCATTTTCAGAATTAAAGGTGGCAAAACTATAACAGATTACGAAAAAATTTCGCTGCTAATTGGTTGCATGGAATTTGGGATAATATTTTGTGACGAAATGCTCACCAAAATGGGCGGCCCAAGCTTGCTCGTTGGGCTAGTTCCTGGCCTGGAATGTGGTTGAAAGAGAAACTGATTAGGCCCAAGATTTTATTTATTTTTGGCGGTTAGGTCGATCCCATTTTTCGGTTAACCCCACGGAAGCCGAAAATCTCTGAAAACCCTTTCCTCTTCTTCTTCCTCAATCAACTGCCGTCTGCAGCTCTTCTCCGTCGCGTTCTGGAAGCGCCACCGTCACAAGGTATCACGGAGCAGCAAGCGGTTAAGCAATAATGGCCGAGGAGCATGAGGAAGTGAAGACGTTCAAAGATTTGGGGATATGCGAGGAATTGGCGAACGCCTGCGACACACTGGGATGGAAAAACCCTACAAAGATACAGGTGGAATCAATCCCACATGCACTCGAAGGGAAAGACTTGATTGCCTTGGCTCAAACGGGTTCCGGGAAAACGGGTGCTTTCGCTCTTCCCATCATCCAGTCGCTCCTGACCGAGGCCGCGAAGAAGAGGTCCGTTGGGGCGTTCTTCGCCTGCGTGCTGTCGCCCACGAGGGAGTTAGCTATTCAAATTTCTGAGCAGTTCGAAGCCTTGGGGTCTGCCATTGGTCTCAAATGTGCTGTGGTAAGCATTTGCTGATCAAATTAGTGCGCCCGGTGTTTCTTAAAGGTGAATATATTTTGGCGGGTGGATTGATTAACTTATGATTCTACCGTATTGCTTCCGGGTTTAGCTTGTTGGAGGAGTAGATATGGTGCAACAAGCTGTTTCTCTTGGAAAGCGGCCTCACATTGTTGTAAGTTCCTAGTCTGCTGTATTTGCATCTCTATTGCACTTTCATTCTCAGCAGAAGTTGAATATTTTGGGTTTGACTAGCGTATGCTGCTATTTGTAGTTCTTTTAGTGTGCCCCTACTATTGGATTCAGCTCATTTAATTTTCAGAGAACTGCTTGGATTGGAATTTATGTAAATTCTTTTGGGTTTTGTGGTAGGTTGGTACACCTGGGCGCCTTATGGATCATTTGACGAACACAAAAGGGTTCTCTCTCCGGACATTAAAGTATTTGGTATGTTCTATTGAGGACTTCTTTTAAGAGTTTCTAATAGGTTTTAGAATCAGAGTGAACTTGGTCGATGGATGATCGCCGGGTCGTGAAATGAATCTTTTCCTTTTGTTTGGATTAGTCTGTTGATTTTCTTACAACTGTACTGATTGAGCAGGTCTTAGATGAAGCTGACAGGTTGCTAAATGAGGACTTTGAGAAGTCACTTGATGAGATTCTTAGTTCTATCCCGCAAGACCGGAAAACATATTTGTTTTCTGCTACAATGACTAAAAAGGTGTTTGATTTAAATATATATCTGACTTTTGTGTGTTTCATTTTATTACTCTCGGAGTCTTGTGTCGGTTCGGGATACAGGATGAGACTACTTTCTTGCTGAAGATGTTTGAAATATTGAACACTCTGTATTATGCGTGCAGGTAAAGAAACTTCAGAGGGCTTGCTTGAAGAATCCTGTGAAGGTACATTATTGATTCTGGCCGTGATTGCAGTTTCCTCTTTTTGGTTTCCCTTCTTTTCCATATTTGTCACAATAACATGCATTACTTATATTGTTGTTTCAGATAGAAGCAGCATCCAAATACTCTACCGTGGATACACTGAAGCAGCAATACTGCTTCATTCCAGCCAAGCATAAGGTCTTTACTCACCTGCTTTTTCTGGTGGCATATTGGTACCTATTTTGTGTATCATTTGCCGGGAAAGATCTGTTTGAAGTCTAAGATGGACTAATATCCATGGTTCAAATTGTATCTTTCGGTGCTCCCAGGACTGCTATCTTGTCTACATATTGACTGAAATGTCTGGAAGTACTTCCATGGTATTCACTCGAACATGTGATGCAACAACGTTGTTGGCTTTGGTTCTTAGAAATTTGGGTATGAGGGCCATCCCGATCAATGGCCACATGACACAGGTATAATTTCTTTAATTGGTATCCTTTTGTACATGTTTCTTCCCCACCATGCCCTAGTTCTCACCAATTCCTTACTACCACTAGTAACTGAACTTGTTGCTGGAAATATCTTTATAACAGTCCAAGAGACTTGGAGCCTTGAACAAGTTCAAAGCTGGAGAGTGCAATGTTCTTATATGCACTGATGTGGCAAGTAGAGGACTCGACATACCTTCCGTGGATATGGTTATTAATTATGACATCCCTACAAACTCAAAGGTGCACATCTAGTTTCATTAGAATGTAGATAACATGATATTGTTGTGTGGCATAGTGGAGGCGAACTAATGCTTTTTGTTTGCACTAACAGGACTATATTCATCGGGTGGGGAGAACTGCTCGTGCAGGGCGGTCTGGGGTTGCAATCTCCCTAGTGAATCAGTATGAACTGGAGTGGTATATACAAATAGAGAAGCTTATCGGTATGCCTTACATTTCAGTATTCCTCTTGGGAAATAATATAAAAGAAGTCAGGCTCGATATGCTTGAGTTGCTGAATGAGTGGTTTTGTGGCATATTGCAGGTAGAAAGTTGGATGAGTTTCCTGCTGAGAACGATGAGGTACTGTTGTTGCTGGAAAGAGTCACGGAAGCCAAAAGAATTTCCCAGATGGTATTTGAACTTCTCTACATTTTGCCTCTATGCTGTATTAGTAGAATAGAGAAATGGGTTATAGCAGCAGAACGAGTGGGTTTTGCTAACTGACATGCTGTCCTCATCATTTGTACAGAAATTGAAAGAAAGTGGTGGCAACAGGAAGAGGCGGGGTGGAGGCGGAGGAGATGAGCAAGATGAGGAGGTTGAGAGATATCTAGGCGGCAAAGATAACCATCCCAGAAAATTTAAGAAGAACAAACGAGGATGAAAGGCTTCTGGAATGCAATGCAAGTTCAAATTATGTTCATTTTGAGAGAAAATTTTGATATTTCGAAGGGGTACATCGTTAACTTGTACCTCGTTAGAGGCTTGTAACAATATAACTATGAATTCGCTGTGTCTATGACTATGGATGCTTATTGCTTGGTATCAAGTGCATGTATTGTTCAGAAGACGGCCCCCAATATATATACTTTTATTGCATAATTTCATTCCTTCGGTGATTATTTACTCAAGGATAAGAGGGCATTTTTGGCTAAATCACACTTTTCTTTAATTAGTAATCATTAACTTTAAATTTTTGTTTCATCGTTGATTACTGTCTTTTAAATTTCATCGAATTAGTTAGTCCCAGCCTCCCAGGTGACAATCCAATTCTGTTGAATTAATCGCTGTTATCGAATTTTGTTGTTTACCTGATTTCATTGGGCCTTTCACGAGGGAAAAATTCATTGGGCTGAAACCCGCGTGACTGTAGCATAGGCCTACAGAAAGCCCGCGTAACTATCGGGTAAGTGTTAACTGTTAAGCCGAGAGATGATGGCTCCGTCCGTTTCAGTGTCGCCTTCGCGGAACTGCATCCCAAATTCCCAATTCCATTGATTCCGGCGAGAATCAGTCCTGGCGGCTGAAGTCCGCATTTTCTAAATTACCAACCAGCCTATTAACTACCCTTTTTCCCGCCGAGAGAACCTGGCAGTTGAGCTTTAGAGACCTCCGACGAAAAAGCAGCGGCGCGTGTTGTTTGTTCGAGCTTCTCAGCTCTGGCTTCACCGCCTGAAGCACCTGCAATTAAATGAAATTGACTCGATTCTTCTTATCAGAACTCCGATTCAGCTCCTATGCTTTACAACGGTGTATCTGTTTCAGCATAAACGCAGTTCGAAGAGTTCCTGATCTCTGCCTCACGAGGTCAGCCGCCACCTGTTCGACGAAATGCCAGACTAAATCTGAAGACGAAGAAGCAGAAGAAGCATCGCCCAAGAACTCCGTAGAAGTTTTCAAGAGATGGGGATGCAAGGACAGCGATTTGGCCAAGATATTCTCCCGCAGGCCGGCTTTGCGAAATGCCAGCGTCGCCCTTCTCCACTCCAAATTAACTGTCCTCCAAAACCTGGGCTTAAACGCATCCCACCTTGTTCAGATCATCAACTGCCGCCCGCATTTTCTAAGCTACAGCATGAACGGATCCTTCGATGAGCGCATGGAATACTTCACGGAGTTGTTCGGGTCAAAGGAGATGGTTCTTAAAGCCATCGTGGGGAATCCCTCCTTGTTGAGATACGACCTCCACAACAAGATCAAACCAGTGGTCGCGTTGTACGAATCCATGGGTGTGAACAAACAAAGCTTCGTCCAAATGCTCATGTCTCGTCCTGCATTGATCGCGAGAACCCAATTCGACGACGAGAAGTTGGAGTTCATCCACAAAACCGGGGTCCCCCAAAGCTCGAAGCTTTACAAGTACATAGTCACAATCGTGGGCATTTCGAAAACAGAGACTCTGCTTGGCAAAGTTGCCAACTTGGAGAAGTTCGGGTTTCAAGAAGAAGAAGTCTGGCAACTCGTGGGGCGTTCGCCTTATCTGTTGACGCTGGCAGTCGATAAGGTCCAGAGAAACATGACTTACGTCGTGGGCACGTTGAAGCTTCCGGCGAGTGTTGTGCTGAGTTACCCGGCGTTGATCTATGCTAGCCTGGAGGCGGTTATGAAGCCTCGAGTTCTGCTTGCTGGGAAGATAGACGAGATGGGTCTCGAGCCGAGGATCGAAGGGCCGTCGCTGTTGAAAGTCATCAAGATGAGCGAGAAGAGAATGATCAAGGTGTTTATTTTGTGTCATCCCGAGGATGTTGCCAAGGAGTTGATGGAGTTTTATGAGAAGGCCAAAGGGTTGAAGAGATTAGCTCAGGCATCGAGAAAGGCTGTGAATCAGCGGTTCCCGTTTTGATTTGTTTGTGGTTTGGTATAGGCTCCTTGTACCAGCTTTGATTATAATCTTTGTAAGACGTTCAGTACCATTGTTTCCCAGATCATATACATTCTGCAGTTTCATATCCCCAACTCCATTGTAATTCTGTATAGTTCATTAGTTTGTTCTTTGTTGTCGAGCAGCCAGGTTTGTTTGGTTTATCTTGTAAAGTTGTAATATAAACAGGTTAGGAGGATGTAATGGGGCTCAGATTCGAGGCCCATAACTCCATCTGATGTCAGTTCAACTATTTTTGGGCCGAGCTGAAAGTCCAGTCCAATTTCAGATGGTAACCGGGCTCCGGGGCGCTAGCCTGTAATGAGAAAAACCGCGCCGGCGCCACCATCGTCATCTACAGAGTACCGATACAGTGGCTGGAGCCGCCGAGCCGGGAAAGACTCACTAAATTGGCACTCGGCAAGCGGCACAAGCGGACAGAAGAGTAGCACAGTAGTCTCTTTTCTTTTGTCATCTTTTGCCTTCACTCTCCACTGCAGCGCGGGGGACGGACTCGACTCTCTTTCTCTATCGACGGTTCATCTATTTCTATGGTCTGCGAGTAAAATGGCATCCAGCAGTATATCCAGGTCGATTCTTCTAGGTCGGCGCGCGACCCAATTCTTCTCCTCCTCTTGCTACGCCCCCCAGCAATTCGGTGCTCTCTTCAGCCTGAACTCCAAGGTAATTTGGATATCGGGTTCCACTTTCAACTGAGATATGTATCCGGGGTATTTGGTTTCTTCGTTATTTGCGTATACTGCTGGATTGGGCTCTACCTTTCCTTGTTTTCTGCCTTTTTCTTGTAGAGGTTTCGTTGCTGTTTCATTATGCTTACGCCAGGAAATAGGGGTATTGAGCTGGTTAATGTAAATTCGTTCTTGAACTGGTCGAAACAATTCCCAATCTATTGAGATGATTGGGTTACGTTTAGTGATCAGGTTTCCATGAGACTGATGTTTCAGTTCATAGTGTGGTGGCTGTAGGGAGAATTCTTTCGTTTCTGGTGCCTGAAATGAAGAATGAATACAGTTCATTTCTCTTGGTTGATCGTTCAGAATTGCTTGTGAACCTTTTCATTTCTAGCCAAATCTTTTATGGTTTATTTACCTTACATAGTGGGGTTGATGGTCCTTGGGTTGAGGGTGTCTGCCAAGAAAGTTTGCTGGCGCAGCATCATCTGTCCATCTTTCACTCTGTGGTCCTGATTGAATTTCTACTGATTTCACTTATAGAAGGCGCAGTTTCACCATTGTAGTAACCCCACCAGAACATCTTACAAGGCAACAAGTTGGGTTCCTCGTATTATGGCTTCCACGTTAGGAGGAAAAGCTACTTTCTCCACACAGTCGTTATCTACCAATGAACCTGTTGTTTCTGTTGATTGGCTCCATTCCAACCTCAGGGAGCCTGGCATAAAGGTAGTTGGATAGAACGAGTTTACAGTTTACGATACTTTTCATTTGTGGAAATTCATTAAATTTCTTAATCCTTTTGTTAACTTCAGGTTCTTGATGCATCTTGGTATATGCCTGATGAGCAGAGGAACCCAATTCAGGAGTATCAGGTGCACTTATTCATTGTCCCATCCCCCCTCTCTCGTTCCCTTCCTTATGCTAGATTCTTGCAGAGAACAATTCTAAAACTTGACGTCTCTGTGTAATATCTTATTTGTTCAACAGGTTGCTCATATTCCAGGGGCTCTGTTCTTTGATGTAGATGGTATATCAGATCAAAATACAAACGTAAGATCTTTAATATGTCTCATGAACATCTGAAAATTGTTATTTGCTTGTGAATTGTATCACATTCTTACTTCTTCTTTCAAACTGCATAGCTAAGGATATGCACATTTACTATAGTGGTCTAGCTGACAAGCTAGGAACCATATGGGCGTAGGTATTATAGCAATGAACTACATATCAGTAACTAGGTTGATCTCATCTTTCTTGTATTTATTGGATAAAGATGTGTCTGTAACAGTTGCCACACATGTTGCCAAAGGAGGAAGCTTTCGCAGCTGCTGTTTCTTCTCTAGGAATTGAAAATAAAGACGGAGTGGTTGTATATGATGGGAAGGGGATTTTCAGTGCAGCTCGTGTCTGGTGGTAAGCTGTGTGATATGGTTTTGTAGTTGTTTTCGCAGTTGTCGTGTTTATGTTAAAAAATTTGACTCTCCTTTCTTGAACTTGTTGCGAAGGATGTTCAGAGTTTTTGGACATGACAAGGTTTGGGTGTTAGATGGAGGCCTTCCTAGATGGCGTGCTTCAGGGTATGATGTTGAATCTAGTGCTTCTAGTGATGCCATCTTGAAAGCTAGTGCTGCTAGTGAAGCAATTCAGAAAGTATATCGAGGCCAACCTGTAAGTGCGTATGGTGTGTAATGTACTGATAAACATGGCTTGTAGTTGATGTTTCTCTACAAACAACCTTGGTTTCGGTCCTTCAAATGATTGGTTATGTTTCTCTACATTTAGTGCGTCTAGTTGATGACATCAGTGCTTTGTCTCTTGTTTGTACGCATTGCAGGTAGGGCCAATAACATTTGAGACTAAGTTCCTGCCCCATCTTGTCTGGACTCTTGAGCAGGTTGGTTGAATTCTTAGAGCTAGTTCCATCTCAGTGCAGCACTAATACAACTTCACCTATGTTAGTACTTAGTTGTGATACTTCACATGTTGAAAGATACATGTTGCATTTTATAGGTTCAGAAGAACATTGAGAACAAGACTTACCAACAAATAGATGCCCGTTCAAAACCAAGGTATTCTTGCGATAATGTCTTTCCTGATTATAATCTCTTCAGGGTGCTGCTGGTTTTTGAAGATTACAATATTTAATAATTGTATGCCTCTATCTTCACATCGGTCTTTACGAGTAGGTTGATGGACAATTTCATTATTTGCAGGTTCGATGGTGCTGCACCGGAACCACGAAAGGGTGTTCGAAGTGGTCATGTACCTGGAAGCAAGTGTATTCCTTTTCCTCAGGTAGAAGATAACATGTTGGTCCATTGCTATTATCAATAGATCGTAGGTACTAATTTTATTATGTCTTTATCATTTGTCATCATTGTGTACTTTTTGGTTTCCTTGCAGATGCTCGACTCATCACAGACTCTGTTACCAGCAGAGGAGTTAAAGAAACGATTTGATGAAGAAGGTCAGCAGTTGGGTTGTCCATGTTATGGTCTATCCTCTATCAATTTAGTCCTTTCGTAATTTGTTTTGACTTTGAATACTGATAATCATAAAAAGGTCCACTGATCAAGACTACCTGTTCCTCATCTACAGGCATCTCTTTGGAATCCCCAGTTGTCACCTCATGTGGAACTGGCGTAACTGCTTGCATCCTTGCTTTGGTAAATTTAAACTCTTTTCAGTCTCTGGTTCTTACGTCGTTATGTTTACTCAATCCATCTTCGAATCTAAATTGTAGCGCGACGTGCCTAAGAACCGAAAAAAAGTCCCTTTCGCATGCTGTACATAGAAGAGAATGGCAGAAGCTGTCTGTGTATGATTGGTTTAAAATCAACACTTACGATGCTGGTTGTGAATTGCAGGGACTGCACCGACTTGGCAAACACGACGTGGCAGTGTACGATGGGTCTTGGACAGAATGGGGTGCTCATCCGGAGACACCTGTTGAGACGTTGTCGTAGGCCCTAACCCTTGCTGCTGTCAATGGCACGGTGGTGGCGGGGAAGCTTTGCTAATTCTGCAACACATGTAACTGTGACCAACAATGGTGTAATCCTAGAATGGTTGAACAGTGAATGAATAGAGTTTTCTATGTCTTGTTGCCTGTCTCCTTTCGGGTTGTTACTTGTTAGGCAAGTTGTGTTGCATCTGACCTGAGCAATTCCTCAGTCTCTTAAAAGTCTTTTGACATTAAAAGTTCTAGGATCTTTTTTGTCTGATTCTCCTGAGCTGTGGAAATAAACGAAAGAGAAACATGGTGGTATTGACTATTGGTGATAAATTGCACATATTTTGGTTGATATACTTCATAATTTGTGATCTCCGTGATATAGATAGTGAGTTGTGAGAGTTGACCAAATGCTTGCCAAATGAATTGGTAGTAGATTCTTCTTTCTGAATTAAGTATCTTAAATTTAGAGGTTGTAACACATTTATGTTAGACAAAGAATACGGTAATTAAGTTTTTTTTCTTTTCTTCCTGTATTAGTAATATTAGGTTAGTATAAAACACCCTGCCTAATTAGACGAGCCAGTTGACAAATAGTTGCATTGTCGATAAGAGGGACTGTTCGCCACTAAATGAGCTCCCTTTGAATTGACATGGAGTATGAGTATAAGAAAACAAACCAAAAGACAAATATAGTTGTCGAACTTCCACCACGAGAGCTCTTCCTAGACCATGGTGAACTTCACACGCCGTACATGCCGTGCAAGTATTTGCGCTCATGAAAATGCACAACAAAAATCATGTGTCAAACACCAATTCGTATTACTTCTTGAAGCAAATAATCCCGGGGGGGGGGGGGGGGGGGGGGGAATCAATACCTTCATAATAATTCGCAAAAACTCATTGAGCCTTCATATCGCACTAAAACAACCTTGGTGGGCACGTGATGTGTCAACTCGCACTATTGAGAAGCATAATGAATGATGGGTGCTTGAATTGTCGAGAGAAAACAACGATTAGTGAGATTTTTAGAACTCATTGTGCTTTACTAATAATGAGTTATATTTATCGACTAATAAGAATAACCTACCCTAGGTGACATAATTAACATATGACAATTGTGTATCTCATCCAAAACTCATTATGAAGATATAGACGATGAGATGAATCTAAATAGTAATTAGTCAATGTCGTCTACAAAAAGGAGTCCAAGTCCAATCGACGAAGCCAAATACAACAAAATAAATGGCCAAAAAAGGGGAAAATCAAAACAAGCCAACAAAACACAAACGCTAATCCACAGCAATAGAAAAAACCGCTCTAAGTATAGTATAGTCCAAATTTTGGTCGTCAAATTGAGAAACGAACCAAAAGACATGAAAACTCAGCAACTAAGCTTAGAAAAAGTAAACGTAATACGAAAAATAGGGAATGTATGAGGTCATTACTTGATCCTTTATCTTCGAGTTCAAAGTTCATTCTTCTTAAAATATCCTTTTTATTTTTTGTTTTTACTATTCTCTTATCACCTTTCCATAGCTTTAGCTATTTGCAAAAATTCTCCATTACCTATTGCTATGCAAAAAAAGAACCCATCCCATTTTTTCCTTTCATTTCCTTCCCTCTTCTGCTTGTGAATCACAAGCAGATCCCAAAATAACAATTGGTCCCGTCCCTTTGTGGCTCTTTAACTATGGCATCTGAAAGCATCAAAGAACATCCTCCAATGGCTTCTGACAAGCCTTCCCAAATCTCAGAACAATCACCACAAGACCAACAACAGCAACAACAATTGAAACCAGAAGCAGCACCCTCATCATCAACAACGAATGCAGCGAATTCGGCCGATTCGAAGACCCCCTCGAAGAATGTAGAACAACAGACTTCCTCCACCACCATTACCACCAAATCCTCCCCGCAAAAAGGAGAATCATTGACCACAAAAATAATGAATGCTGCAAATTCGTCCGATTCGAATCCTCCCACGAAGATGGAAGAACTACAACAGCAACAGCCATCCAAAGTTTCCTCACCAAAAGAAGCATCATCAACAACCACAACCACAACCACAACAACAACGACCACAAATGCTGCGAATTCTTCAGACTCAAAGTCTCCCCTAACAACAGAAGAACCAAAATCATCATTCAGTACCACCACTAAAGCTTCCCCATCAGAAGAACCCAATGCTCCTCCTCAACAGAAGAAGACTGATGAACAACAACAACAACAGCCTGCCAAGGATGTTGCAGAAAAGGTAAATGCTGCAACTTCTCCTTCACAACAAGTGAAGGAACAACAGGAATCGCCATTGCAGCAAACATCTGCCAATAGTGTTAACGCTGTAGATCGTAGTAGTGTTGATGTTGTTGTTCCACCAACTCAACAACAACACAACAAAGAAGACGAAAAGGTGGTAGCAAAAGGGAATGAAGCTCAAGTGGAGAAAGATCTCTCTGCCTCCTCTGACATTGCAAAGCCAGAAGAAGCAAAAGAAGGAGAAGAAGAAGCAATTAAGTCTGAGGAGCCCAAAGTGGGAAAGGATGAGGTGAAGCTAAAAGAGGTGAAATTTGCTGATGGGATTGAGACCAAAGCAGAGAAGTCCGACATCGAAGAGAGCTCTTCGTCTCAAGAACAAACCACTCTCCTCTCCGATTTGACAGAGTACGAGCGCAAGGCATTGCTCGAGCTCAAATCCAAGATCGAAGAAGCCATCCTCCTCAACAAATTCTTCGACGACGATAAAACGAATGACGAACAACAACAACAACAACAACAACAACAACAACAGGAGAACCAAGAGCTCAAGAAAGAAGAGGAAGAAAGTAGTAAACCAATATCACAAGAAGACGAGAAAATAACCGCCGATCAAGCTCCGACCGTGAAGGAAAGTAAAGGGAAAGAGATCATGATCGATGATCAAAATATCTCTGACGTTACTGCTGATGCAGAGCCAAAAACAGGGGGACAGAAGGAGGCAGAGGATTCCTCAAAAGTAGAGGAAATGATGAAGAAGAAGAAGGAAATGGGAATCATTGACAAAGAAATTTCACTGTGGGGTGCGCCATTGATGCCGAGCAAAGGCGAAGCCAGCACCGAGGTGATTCTGCTGAAATTCCTGAGGGCCAGGGAGTTCAGAGTGGACGAGGCGTTCGAGATGCTGAAGAACACGTTGAAATGGAGGAAGGAGAACAACATGGATTCTATTCTGGAGGAACAGGATCCGCAAACAGATATTTTGGAACCGGTGGTGTACATGGAAGGTCGCGATCGAGAAGGGAACCCGATCTGTTACAACGTGTATGGATTGCTGGGATTCGACAAATCGGCGGATAAGTTGCTTGGGGATGAAGAAAAGAGGGAGAGGTTCTTGAGGTGGCGGATTAGGAAGATGGAGCAATCCGTGAAGGAGTTGGATTTCAACCCTGGTGGGAGTTGTGAGATTCTGCAGATTAATGATTTGAAGAACACTCCTCTGCCGAGTAAAAAGGAAATCAGGCTGACTACCAGGAAAGTTGCTGAAACTCTTCAGGATAATTACCCTGAATTCGTTTCCAAAAACGTATGCCTTCTTCTACTCTGTTTTCTTTTTAATCCCTTTTGTGCTTTCAAAATCAGCTCTGCACTTATGCAAACATTTTCTTCAATCTGTTTGTTTTTTGTAGATATTCATCAATGTGCCATTGTGGTACTATGCCTTCAATACAGTTTTGTCTCCTTTCCTTACTCCAAGGACCAAGAACAAGTTCATCCAAGCCAGAACTTCCAAGGTGGCAGAGATCCTACTCAAGTAAGAACCCTGCTAACCCATTTTCTCCAATCTACAATTTGATCTCAATCTTACTAGGCATTGTTTCTGATTCCCAGGTACATTGCGGCCGAGCAGCTTCCAGTCCGGTACGGCGGGCTGAAGATGGACAACGACCCGGATTTCGGGACAGAGGACGTGGCAGAGGAGACGTGGGTGAAGGCAGGATCGTCGGAGGTCATCGAAATTCCGGCGCCGGAGGGAGGGAAGACGATGGTGTGGGATCTCACGGTGTCGGCCTGGGAAGTGAGCTACAAGGAGGAATTCGTACCGAGCAACGAGCGATCCTACACCGTAATAGTTCAGAAGATGAAGAAGATCGCGTGGCAGGAAGGCACGATTCGCAACTCTTTTAGGAATGGTGAGCCTGGCAAGATTCTGCTCACCATCGACAACCCATCGTTCAAGAAGAAGCGCATTCTTTATAGACACAAGGCCAAGAAAGTTTGATTTGATGATGATGAGTTTTAGCCTAGCTTTAAGCTAGAAACCCAGTTGTTCATGTTTCGTTTCAGATGATCAGATCTTGCCTTGTAGTTTTTGCAGGTTCGTTGCTTTTGTTTTCCATTGTTTCCCATTTTTCAGCAATAAACAGAAGTGCACATTGTTGGTTTGGTACGTTCATCATGTTATCTAGCCTGTCTTTTGAGGTTCCTCTGTTAGTGAAGATATACAGTATTCAAAAGATTATTAGCAAATGATCGCGTGGCCTAATGGATAAGGCGCTCGCCTCCGGAGCGGGAGATTGTGGGTTCGAGTCCCATCGTGATCGATTATTTATTGTTTTTGCCGCCAATTTTCCCCGCCTAAAAGCTAAAACCTCTCTTTCTTGTGGAGAAGTTTTGGCAGCTGATCAACATGACTTGAAATTGCCTTAAAAAATAAACCTGAAACATTTTGTTTACAAGAAAGATTGCAGAATAACAGCTTAATCATCAAGTCATCTCTTGAACAAGAAAACCAATACAGGAGCTGAAGGTCTGTTTAACATCTGGAACTTGCAGCAGCTCCATTCATCAGCAGGTAATCCTGAAGCAAAACCTTCAACAGCCTCCAATTCGTCCCTGTATGTAATCGACAGCCAACAGAACAGAACAGAGATAATCAGATGTGGGCTAATAGTGTTCTTGATTTTGGAACAGCTGCATGGGGAAAAGTTACCTTCCACCAGGATGCCCTACATAAACAACTAAACTGATGAGTCCTCCGGGGGCTAGAAGAATCCTCTTGGCTGCATCTAAGGCTAACCGGGTTGTTTGTGGAACTGTGATGATATTTTTGTTGCCCCCTGGAAGATAGCCCAGGTTGAATGCCACAAGCCTGCAGTAAAAACCACTACAAGATAGGTTAATCTGCTCAAACCTATTTTGAGTTGATAAGCTTTGATAATGCTAGCCGATTATTTACCTAACTGGACTATTTTCAGGTACTATTTCTTCCATTCTACTGTGGCAGATACCGGAAAGCTTGACAAGTGCTCTCTGCATGTTACAAGAGCTTCAGCAAGCAGGAATGGACTAGAAGGTATATATATCATAACAATGGGAACACGAAGAGAAATTTGGTAACGAAAAGGAACATTTTTTATAAACCAAAACCAGTGTTTCTCTCTACTCCTTCAAAAACTTTAAAAACCACAACACAAATGGCAGCCAAAATCTATTGCTACATTTGGCTTTAGCAGTCACAAATCACTACAAGATTTCCATTAGGTTCAATGAAGCTTTTGACACTACTTCTCTTTGCTTGAAGAACCAATAGACGACGGCGTACCTACCTCCCTGGGACTGAGACTCTCATTGAGCAAAGATGAAGTAGTGTCCAAAGCATCCTTCTGAATGTCCAGTCCGTAAACACGCCCTCTGCCCGATTCATCAGCAACCATTTTGACCATCTCTAGAGTGTCATGACCGTTGCCACAAGTGGCATCTACCACTGTATCCCCTGGCTGAACAACACGCCTCCAAACCCTGAAGTCATCAGCCAGCCTAGATTAAGGAAGGATTCTACATGGTTGGCAAAATGCTTACAATTATCAATTATCCGTAGTCATGATTCATCTAGAATGAAAAGGATTCTAAATCCCCGCGAACTGCATCCAATACCAAGGAGAGAAGTAAGGTTGGCAAAGGGGGAGAAGTTACCTACAAATGAGCCACTTCAGTTGCCTTCTTCTTCCCCGACAAATACCCAACCAGAACGTCGTCGACTCCTGTATCAAAAATTAAACAGTGGAGAAAAGAAGCAAACCCGAAAAAGAAAAATAGTAACTTTGGGGCAACGCAGTCATTACCCGAAAGAGGATAATCGACGGCGGGAGCGATGGCGGGAGCGGAGAAGCTTCGTTTCTTCAATGGCGCGGAAACGGAAATGGGGCGGCGGAAATTCAACGGCGATGCAGTAGTGGGAAGGAGAAGCCTGGAATCGGAGCATCGATAACTGATTAGGGTTTTGTGAACTGTAGCGAAGCAGTGGAGAGAAGGGAAGCCGTAGCAGCAGCGCCTCAATCCTGACATTTCTGTTTCTTTGCCGCGCTGTATTTCCTGGCAGTCGGCGCCAAGGTAAGTAACAAACTCCCTTATTCTATTGGGCCTAAGATGCGGGCTGAGGTGAATGATGTCTTGCTGGGGGCCCATTGTGAACCAGTTGATGTTTAGTTACATTAGACCAAAACGTCATTGATGAAAGGTTAAGGGAGAAATACTATACCATAACAAGATTGAAAGTTAAATCAAAGGTAAGCTTGTTGTTGCGGATTTCAAGTTGATACAGAAATGGTCAAACTTCGTTGAGTTGAGCAGAGAGAGAGAGAGAGAGAGAGAGAGTGCCATATAAAACGTGAATATTAGTCTCAATCTGTAGGCGAAGGGAGGCACCGACTCCATTGCTTTAATTGGGACCAACAAAATGTGAAGGAGTGCAATGGTCATGGAGGAAGCCACAGCCACAAATTATAATTTAATTTGTTTTAACCAACCAACAGCAAAGAGCCAAGAACAGCACAATCAAAGGAGCAAGCTTTTTATTTTCCTGGGCCGACCATGTTTAATAATAATATTATTATTATGATTTCCAAGTAAACTCGCTGTCACTTAGCTACCACCCTCCGTCTACTGGATTAGGAAAGCTTTAACCGTCTAATAAGCAAAAGCAATAAAGCCAACGAAACTTAAGATACCCTCCCTCCTCATAAAATAAAAGTCCAACATGTGAGATAGAGATTACAATATGGAAGATCTCTTCTCCATTGGTTATGGCGAGAGGCAGTGATAGATAGGGAGGAAGGATGGAGTCTAATTAATGGCTTCTTGAGCGGTGGAGATGGAGAGGGGAGACATAATAGACAGAAAGGCTTGCTTTAACTATACTTGTAATTGATTATTAGTCCATCTTTGCGGTAAGCTGCTCACATGATCCAATGCCCCACCTGCCCGTTTACCCATTTCTTCCGCACATAATCACAATCGTCTATAATCATATACATGTGAATTTTTAGTGTGTGTTTCGTTGTTTTAGTGGTTAATTATTTGTCTTACTGACAGAAACAGGAAGGGGAATCATAGTCAATTTGTGAAAGCTAACAGAGCAACAATTTGATTCTGGGTAAATATAAAAATGCGGCGGGAAGAAAGGCCTGCTTTGCTTCCCTTTCTTGGCTTCTTCTGAGGTCTGACCATTCTGTTGATCTTTAGTTCAAAATCTAAATGGTACATAAAGTAGAATTCTTTATTTATTCGCACAAATAGGGTTCGTTTTTAATGAAAAATAAAAAAAGTCCCGGGAAATTGATTATTGGATCTAAAAATAATAAGCAAAAATGCCGATGGGAGTTGGGAAGGGAAGTAAAGAAACAACGGGAGCCAGAGAGAGAGAGAAATAGAGCGCTGAACGTCGATGATAAAGATGGAAAGCGAGAGGGGGAAGGAAGAATGGTTTCTAAAGATTTGAACTTTGGTCCACCCACCACCACCTTGTTTATTGTCTTTGTCCCAATGCCCTCCTTCCACACTGTAATTTGCTAAAATTTCTTTCACCCGCTTCTCTCAAATCCCATCTCGAAACCCTGAACCTTACTTTTTCTCCTCCTCGAATCGCCATTTCCCATTCTCCAGGTAACCTACGCACTGCGCACTACTCCTTTCTATCTACATCTGAGAGACTCAGTCGATTCAAGCTTCTGATTTGCAGGCATTTTTGTTTGATCTGTGTGTAAAGTTCGCTGCTTTTCTTTAACTCTGAATCAAGCTTCGCTGGGTTGCTGTTAGTTTTCGTTTTTCTGATATGGCTGCTGAGCTTCAAAATCTGCAGCAGGCTTAACTCATTTTCTGCTGTTGGGATTCGCCTATCAGTGATTCCTTTGTTTTCAATCTTCTTTTGACTAGATTGATTTTTTGCTGGTAATGCCATGGTTTAACCAAACAAAAATCTCCCCTTTTGCTCTGGCTGAATTTGAACTCGGCTCTTTCTTCATCCTCGCATTTGGGGAAGATGCATGCTTGTGCTTGCAATCTTTCCTAGTTCAATTGAGGATTCGGCTGCTTTAGATGTTTGTAGGGTTTAAAGGTCGTTCATTTCTTGACGACGATCGATTTCCATGATAGTCTGGAACACAAACAAGTGTGATAGTGTCAGTATTTCAAGTTGCAACCAGGTTCAAAACATGAGGCATATTACAAATCAGATGTCTCATCTATGTTTTCCCTTTAGGTAGAGTCTCTTGCCTACCAAAACTATCTCAGTGAGTGGGAGTTGGATGGTGGAAAGATTCACTGAAACCTATAAAGATTTATATATGAAAGACTAGTAGCCAGAACCAGAAAGTTATGTAATTGCTGTAGTTGGTTTGACCTATTGCTAATTTGTTGCTCTTAAAAATTCCTAGTTCCAACTATGGTTGCATGCTTTGTTCTGGGGTTTCAACTATGGCTTCCTGTAACGGCAGAAGCTAGTGTTTAATAAGTTTGATGGAATGTTCTATTGTAGATATAGTTGGTGGACTTTTTGCTGTATATGAATGTATGCACTTACTATGAAGCCTTCTTTTTTGTTTTGTGTGGGACTTGCTTTACCTTCTCTGTTCTCACTTTGTGTTGCTTTTACAGGATGTATTAGAAAATTGTAGTGCCGGTCAAGGATTACTTGATTTGATACCCGATTGAGTTTGTTATTGTCTACCTCCGCAGCTGAATTTTTTGATTAGGCATTTATGCCATGGACACTCGGTATGCAATTCTGAATTGAGTTGACTGGATTCTCAAATATCGTGATGGAGCAGTCCGGGGTCCATCACCAATATGATCCCAGGGAACATGGACTGGAAGGTTTCCACCCTTCTTCCCAAGCATTTACAGTGGACCCTACAAGCAGTGGGTATCCACACTTGATACTACACCCTGACCAAAATCTGTCTGAAGTCAAACCCGTACGTAATTTCTCACTGCAGACTGGGGAGGAATTCGCCCTGGAATTCATGCGTGACCGAGTTAATCCCAAGAATTCTTTGTTCCCAAACAGCGGTGCTGAGCCCAACTACGCTACAGGTTATATGGAACTGAAGGGCATTCTAGGCATTAGTCATACAGGATCAGAAAGTGGGTCCGACATATCTATGGTCACCATTGTTGAGAAAGGTAAAGAATTTGAGAGAACAAATTCTTCTCTACTTGAAGACAGAAGCATCTATGGTTCAGTTCGGTCGATACCACGGTCTCATTCGGGATATGATAGCAGAGGAACTCTAAATGGTTATCCATCTTCTGGGGCTTCTGGTTCATTGACCAAGATGAGAGTCCTCTGTAGCTTTGGTGGTAAAATCCTACCCCGGCCTAGTGATGGAAAGCTAAGGTATGTCGGAGGTGAGACACGAATTATACGCATAAGTAGGGATGTTTCATTCCAAGAGCTGAGGCATAAAACTTTGGCCATTTATAGTGAGGCTCATGTGATAAAGTACCAACTTCCTGGTGAAGATCTTGATGCATTAGTTTCCGTTTCATGCGACGAGGATCTGCAGAATATGATGGAGGAATGGAGTGAGGTTGAGGATAAAGAAGGGTCTCAGAAGCTAAGGATGTTTTTGTTCTCCATGAGTGATTTGGATGAGTCTCAGTTTGGCATAGGAAGCATGGAAGGTGATTCCGAGATTCAATTTGTGGTTGCTATAAATGGAATGGACACTGGATCTAGAAAAGGTTCAGCTTTGCAAGGCTTGGGGAGCTCCTCTGGGAATAATTTAGACGAGCAGGATAGGTTAAATGATGTCGTGGAGGCTAATAGAAGTGTTCCACCTGTCGCATCTTCTACACCAGTAATTCAAAGATCTTCCCTTGAATATGAGGCGGCTCCTCAGTTTTATCCTGTTCACATGGCGAATCATGGAGAAATCCAGATGCCTATGCATTATCAAAATGGTTCATCTAATTACTCTCAGTTTGGAGAAACTTCTTATCCAATGCCATTCTATGGAGTCTTGCCTAACGCACAAGGAGGGGTGAATGAAGGATGGCCATATGGAAACTTTCAAGCTCCAAACTCGCAAGTTCTAGTAAACGAGGCGAACATAAAGCCTGATGGCTATATTCAGCAGGACTCTGACTCGATGCAAAGAACCTCTTACCTTGCTCCCGTCGATGAGGCACAGGCAGCAGCGACTGAAAGTTTACATTCTGTTAGTTCCAAAAATGAGGGAGTGAGACAGGAACCTGAAAACAAGGCTAGGGGTGAAGATGTTCAATGTCTTCCAACATCTGGTGGTGGTGCTGCTGGTCCTTCTGTTTCGGATCCTGTTGACTTGAGTTATCTCGAGTCAACCATTCCTCCGCAAAGAGTATACTGTTCTGAGAGACTACCGAGGGAGCAATCGGGCTTGTTCAGTAGGTTATCTAAATCTGATGACTCCCTTGGTCCACAGATTCTTGGTTCTCATTCGCGTCCAGGTATTCCTGAGCATGATTCGGTTGCAGAATCTGTTGAAAAGTTGGGTCAAAGTAGTCAAACTCCTCATGATGAACACTCCAATGCTGATGGAAAAGCCCTGCATGTAGAAGAGCCTGGAAATGGTAGGCTTCAGGGTTCTGAAGATCTGTTGCAAAACAAAGAGGCTGTTACAGACGCCAAACAAGTGGATATTGTGGTCAATATCGATGACAGATTCCCCCAGGATTTCCTTTCCGAGTTGTTTTCCAACAATACCCCTGGCGTTGCTCCAATGCACATAGATGGTGCTGGTGGTGTGAGTGTGAACATGGAGAATCATGAGCCTAGACGGTGGTCTTACTTCCAGAAGTTGGCACAAGAAGAATTTATTGGGACGGATGTTTCCCTTATGGACCAAGACCATCTCCCTGCTCCATCAACACAAATCGAAGGGGAAAATATTGAGTCTCGCCAGTTTGCACCTTTGATAGCAGATGTTGTTTCAATTAGGCAAGATTACTCTCAACTTAATTTTGGTGAGGAAAGTCGGAGTAATTTACCACCCAGGGTCACTGAAGCTTCTGATAATGTATCAGACTATGATCATCCCCAGGCGAAGGAAATTGACAGCATGCAGTTTGAGGCCATGATTGAGAACCTAAAACCTGAATCTGAATATGAGGTAACTTTTCCTCTCGGTCATATTGAATATAAGTACTTATTTTATTGGACAAAATTGAAAAAGGAACTCCTTCCTCAGCTCGCTTACTGGAGTTTTGTTTTCATCTGATGCCTTGTAGGATCTGAAGTTGGAAAACAAGGATATCGGTCTTCCTCCTGTGAAACCTTCTCTAGCGGATATTGATTTTAGTTCTTTGCAGGTATCTTTTCCGTGTTTATTAATAAAATTCTTGTCTGCAAACCAAGTTGAGTTCTTGTTTTCTTATTTACGCTTTTGGTATGTTAGGGAACAGGTTCGGGCTATTGCTTTTCGTTTGCTTTAAACTCATACTAGAACTGTATATATGGTTTTGACATTGCAATTTGATGAAATGTGTGTTCATTGTGGGGAAAAAAAACTTGGCATAAATACATCTTTATCTGGACTCACATTTCAGATCATAAAGAATGAAGATCTGGAAGAACTAAAAGAACTTGGATCGGGTACTTTTGGGACAGTCTACCATGGAAAATGGAGAGGGAGTGATGTTGCCATTAAGAGACTGAAGAAAACCTGCTTCACGGGTCGATCCTCAGAGCAACAAAGACTGGTAATATTTGTAGGAACCATTCAATTATTCTTCTTCTCTGGTTATTGTGAACTTTTATGCTTGATATCAATATCGGTCTCTGTATATTTGTTGTTGTTGTTGTTAGACTCTAGAGTTCTGGCATGAAGCCGAAATTCTTTCGAAGCTGCATCACCCAAATGTGGTGGCATTTTATGGCGTCGTTCAAGATGGTCCAGGGGGGACATTAGCTACTGTGACCGAATACATGGTTGATGGGTCTCTTAGGCATGTTTTACTCCGAAAGGACAGGTTAGTTGATTTTCATAAAGTTTGAAGGAGTTTGACATTCTTCAGATTATGGGCATTAGGTGATTGAGTAGGTTAGATAGTTGTACGGTCTTTTTAAGAGAGATATCATGATATTTATGAATCAAGTCTGTTTATTTTCCACTGAATCTTAATATGTAGGTATCTAGACCGACGCAAGAGGCTTCTAATTGCTATGGATGCTGCATTTGGAATGGAGTATCTACACTCAAAGAACATTGTGCATTTTGATCTTAAATGTGACAACTTGCTAGTCAACATGAAAGATCCACAACGACCTATTTGCAAAGTAAGTGCTGAAGAAGATAAGACTAATCGTTAAAAACTTGAGTGAATTTTGTAAAACATTCTAACATTAATACACGAAACCAGGTTGGTGACTTTGGACTCTCGAAAATCAAAAGGAACACCTTGGTCTCTGGAGGCGTGCGAGGGACCTTACCGTGGATGGCCCCTGAACTGCTTAACGGCAGCAGCAATAAGGTTTCCGAAAAGGTAAACAAACTTTTTCATTAAAATTTGATTACCCCTTTGTAGGAAGTCTGATTAAATCTGTATTTATGTTTTCCTCAGGTTGATGTGTTCTCTTTTGGGATTGTGTTATGGGAGATACTTACTGGAGAAGAGCCCTATGCTAACATGCATTACGGTGCAATCATAGGTATGATTTCCTTCTACAAACCATGATAAATCTAGTCGAGTAGTTTCGTATTTGATGACACGTTTACTGTTGTCAAGCTCGAGAGTTTACAAACAAAATAAATTACTATGAATGTTAATTCCTAATCCTGAGATGGAATCGTGAACCGTTTACATTTTAGTATGTTGAATACTCACACGTACGAATGAAATAAAAATAGTGATACGAACTGGTATTTGAACAACAGTTGGTTTACATCTGGTGTGAATGATTTGGTGATGATGCAGGAGGTATTGTGAACAACACTCTAAGGCCAACGATCCCAAGCTTCTGCGATCCAGAATGGAGGAGGTTGATGGAGCTGTGTTGGGCACCAAATCCTGCAGCAAGGCCCAACTTCACTGAGATTGCTGGGCAGTTGAGAACAATGTCAGCTGCAGCTGCTAGCCAAAGTAAAGGACATCACAAACCACCCAAGTAAATGGGCATGTCCCATTTATTGTGTACTCCACTTTGAAGAAAAAAGTTCCCCCTTTTAGCTGTTATGGTAAGGTGATTCATTTTGAGTTTGATTGTATGGTAATGTAACAGTAAAAGAGGGAGGACAGGGCTTCTTCCATTGATGTTTTAGAAATGGAATAGGATGTTCTCCCTGAAGTGAACTCTAGAATGTGTCTAAAAAAATTTGCAACCAGTTCATTTTTATTTAGTCCACCTTCAGAAACCACAATAATGCAGCAAACTGTCATCGGTGCTTGATTCAATATATTTAGTTTAGGCCGATGGTCATTATGAGGTGTTGATTCAAGATATTTATCATTCATTCTAAAGAGTCAATTTGCAGGCTTTCCACCATGTCAGAACATCAAAGCAGAATCCTGAAAACAATGGCAAGTCCGATCTTATTGCATTACCCATACAATAAATCATCCAAACATATGAAGAAAAAAGAATTTTTAGTTTTTTTGACATGACAGAAACAAGAATGAAGGAAGAACTACGACGAGGAACCAGCTGAAGAAGCACTATGAGGATGAACCTGCCAAGCTGAAGCCAGCATAATCGGCCTACCTTTCCAACCCAAAAGCAAGAAACCTTTCTCGCTCGCCAGAGTATACCCATCGCACCCGTAAACCGAAAGCATCATCCTCGCTTGACTCATACACTTCAACCCCACCGCCTGGAACCCAGCTCTCCCCAGCTGCCTCCGCCATTGATCCGCCCGCTCGTGCCTCTCGACGCGATCCGAACCCTCATAGGCCACAATGTTCTTAATCTCCTCCGCGAAATGGTACATCTCCATCTTCACCCTCTGCACGCTGCTCCGCTGCAAACTCGCCTCTAGGGAATCGAAAATGGCAGAGTAGTAATGCAGAGACTCCAGGAACCTCCCCAGAAAGAAGGGTCCATTGTGGTTGGCGTCTTGCTCGACGACTGTAAGCAGTGTGGGACCCAATTTCTTGATCGCCTGAAGGATTGCTTTGAGAGAGCCTCTGCTTTCTTTAACGAACTTGTGGAGATTCAGCACACTGTTGACGAACAGAGCTTCCCCTGTTTCTAGACCCATCTTTTCTGGAGTGAAGAGGGCAGGGGAGACAGAGTCGGATATTATGTTGAATTCAAATTCGGGGATTCCGAGGGATTGTGCCTCGATGGTTAGGGATTTCATCCTGGAATCCAATTCCATGATTGATTTTCGATCCCCTGGATTGTTGGTCAATCCTGTGATTTTGATTTTCTTCGGTGGTCCTTCTGCTCTGGAAGCGAGGGTTCTGAGGAGTGAAGGCCATTGAAGGGTGTGGAACATACCCAGGTCGATGATGTGAAGGAATTCTTTTCCCTGAGCTGCCTGTGAGATGGCTTCGTTTGCGGCCATGAACCCGAAGGCGACGTAAGGAGTGGTCTGGTGGAGGAGGTGGAAGGCTTCGATTCTCTCATCTGAGGTGGCCGGCGATGCGTCGTTGGCGGCGCCACCGTTGGCGAAGGTGCCGTTGGCGTTGACGTTGTGGAGCAGGAGGGACAAACGGGACTGGAGTCCCGTGGCAAAGCAGTGGGAGACTCGCTGTAAGGAATCCCCCCATGGATTTGCTGATCCCCAGATTTGGGAGAGCAAGGATTGAGCTAGGTGAGTGTCACGGCAGCCAACTGCCTCGGCGCAGGCCAGTAGCAAGTGGACCAACTGAAGACCTTGATCCACTGGCTCACCCTTATGATCAGGGGAACTCATCGTTGTTGCTACAACGAACGGATCTTGTTCTTGTTCATGTTCTTGCTCGTAGGGGAGTGCTAGTAGGTCCTTGAAATTGGAGCAACCCTCCATCTCTAGGTCATGATCTCGATCGAACGTGACACCGAAGGTCTCCGTAGTGCCTTGGAAATGAAGATGATGGTGAGTGATATGTTTGTCTGGTTGGCGGGGATCCACATTAATGAAGCTAGCCACGAAGTCATCCACCTCAGGGTTGGCAGAGGTGGTGTAATGGTCGTGGTAACGGCGAGAGTCGTGGTGGTCTTCCTCCCATATCATTGAGAGAAATCCCTGTTGTTGTTGTTGTTGTTGTTGTTGTTCTTCCATGTTATGGGTGATATTATTGGTTTCAAACCAGGAGCCGGGTGATTCTCGTTCTTCGTGATGATGTTGCTGGAGGCGAGCGGGGCAGAATTGTCGAATTGCAAGGTCGTGGTCGAGGAAGGTGAAGTCGTCGATGGTGCAGGAAGGGATGGTGGTGTTTATGGTCTCCATGGAACGGGTGGGAGGAGGAGTGAGGCGATAGTTTGAGGAATGGATGTGATGCAGGCAGGGTATGGCTATGGCATTGGCATATATAGAGCAAGTAAGTGTGTGGAAATGGAATGGAGATGAAGTGATAAGCAGAGGCTTGTTAAGTTTAATGTGCTAAAGAAGACACCAAGTAAGGTTGTTAGTGAATGAGTTATAGCTCAGTGCCAAAGGGAGATTGAAAAGTCAAAAGGAGAAGATGGCCGGGGGAGGGGACATGAAGGAGGAGGCAAAGAGTAAATTATTTACAGGGGAAAGGAAAGGAGACCAACAATTATTTATGGAGGGAAACAGTCTCGCACAGAGATTGGAATTTGTCAAAGCAGCCATAAATGGTGGTGATATACTTTTTGTAAAGTTGTACATTATCGCTATAACACCCTTTCGGATTAAGTTCGTTTCATTTCACTAGTAGTAAATGCAAGGTAGAAAATGCGAGAAGAAATGTACAACTTTTACGCAAAAGATTGATTGATCTAATGTATTAGGTAATCTGAGATCCTTCACAGTTACAACTTACAACCAATTGTTATGGTTATTACTTATTACGATCACTATCATGTTAGGATGATAAATTTGGTTGTGCATAACGGTAATCATGTATGTAATTGTGCTTGAAGTTCATAATTACAATTACAGAATGTAATACTAGAGTAGAGAAGGGAAATGGGCAATGGGGGTAATTAACCTTAGCCAGCCAGCCGGCCCTCAGAAGAAGACACAGCACCACTCCATTTTGGCCCTGCCTTTAACCTCTTCCCTTCCCCTGTTTTCTGAAATCTTACCAAGGAAAAGGAAGCAAACTTCTTTGTTGGGCTAGTTCAGGGGAATGGACACATCGCTGTTTCCAATGTGATAATCAATCTTCATATTCAAATAAACAACTCCTGATAATGATCTTAATTAATTCAGTCAGTGTATAGAATTTTGGGGGTCAATTTATTTGCGGAGCAATTTTGTTTTCTTTCATTGTAATGATATTTGTTTAAATATACTACTATTTTGATCTTTAAGTGCTATTACATCTCAATTATTTCTATGCAAAATGTATGATAATTATTCGATTACATCTCGAACTGTCAAATAATGAATACCACTAATTAAAAAACTATCATATATTCATCGTGTGGTCTTTCTAAATTTTTTTTTCTTATCTCAATCAAATTTTTTTTTTTTGGCAAAAGATATATATTAATCAATCAAGAAGACAGTTACATCCTGGAATTTAGCCAGGCCAGAAAATCAAACCTACGACAAGCAGCCGGGTACAACGAAAGGGCCTTTCTAGCCACCAAGTGGGCTACCCTATTACTACGCCGGCCTACAAATCGAATACTCAACCCCGGATGGAGACAAAACATTGAACCACTTCGCTAAGAACCGCCCCCATCCTACTATCCTCGTCTACGCGATCCTGGATTTTATCAATAATCACCTTCGCATCACCCTCAAACCTCACCACACTATATCCTTGAATCAGACACCACCGCACCGCCTCCCTAAGCGCCAAGACCTCAGCAACCACCGGGTCTTCGATTACTGGGAACTGAATCCCTGTAGCCCTTAGAATCCCACCATCCACGCTCAGCACCATGCCCCCCGCAGAATGTGAACCCGTCCTCGTAGCCCCATCCCACCTACAAACAACCCCTACCTCCTCCTGCGGAACTGGGGCCTGCCAGACCCTCACAACCCTGCCCGGAGAAGGATCACCCGGTACTCGCATCCATTCATCCACCTGCTGCTGAAACTGGCGAACTAAGGCCACGAAGGCAAATTGTTTTCCCTCGAACACAACCCAATTTCGGGACTTCCAAATCCGCCAGAGGACAGCAATCACTGCCATAAATTGAGCCGGCTGGTGGATGAGCGCCAGTAAACGCTTAAGGAAAAGGGGAAACGTCTGCCGTGGAAGCCCCTCACCCAGAGACTCCAACCCCGAGTAATCCCACATGGCTCGAGCAACTGGGCAATAGAGGAACAAATGCTCCAAAGATTCCCTCTCTCCCCAACACACCGGACATCGCAACAGCACCGGAATCTTCCTCTCAACAAGGGCCTCCATAGTAGGAAGGATATGGTTAAAAATCTGCCAGGCAAAGATCTTAAGTTTCGGTGGAATATTCGCGTCCCACAACCGAATCCAACTATTTTTATCCATCCAGCTAACCATATCCCGCCAACGGCCCGATCGTTTATCCAGCGTCACTGCCAAGTGATATGCAGATTTAACTGTGAAAATCCCATCCGCCGTGGCATGCCACATCAGTTTATCCTCCACCTCCATGACCGGGAGAGGGATAGCTCGAATTGCATTACAGGTAGGCGGGTCAAACCACTGCCCCAACCGGTCCACATTCCAACCCCCTCCACCCTGACACATGACCTCAGCAACACGAGGTTCATGACCAGCCGGCAAAATCCGAGGATTATGAACAGGCAGCTGCGGATGCAATCCTGGGATCCAGCTAGCCTGCAGGAGCGGAGCCGTCTGCCCATTCCCAATTTGCCACCGCAACCCAGCTACAAGTAACTGCCGCCCATGGAGAATACTCGTCCACCCCCAAGAGGGCCTAGAGCGGGCCTTAGCCTCAAGGAACGTTCCCTGCGGAAAATATTTACCCTTATATACCTGCGCCAAGAGGGACTGAGGCTCCATCAGAATACGCCACCCAACTTTTGCAAGGAGTGCTTGATTGAACTGCTCAAAACGGCGAAACCCCATACCCCCTTCATGCTTACTGCGACAAAGATTCCGCCAAGACATCCAGTGGATCTTAGGATGCCCTTCAGACATCCCCCACCAGAACCGGGCCACATGTTTATCCAGAATCCTGCACAGTCCAAGGGGAAGCTTAAAACAGGATAGCACATGAAGCGGCAGAGCCATTGCCACCGCCTTGATCAAGGTTTCCTTTGCCGCCCAAGACAAAGTTCTCTGCTTCCATCCCTGCAATCTCTCCAACAACTTTTCTTCCAAATATTGGAAAGTTGCCATCTTGGATCTAGCAATTAAAGATGGCAACCCCAAGTATTTATCATGTACCCCAACCGCCCCAACACCCAGCACCTGGGCTAAAAACTCCTGATCCTGTGCCGCAATGTTTTTGCTAAAGCACACCGCTGATTTGGCCAGGTTCACCTTTTGCCCACTCAGCTCCTCATACTCATTCAGGACCTCAATCAGATTTTCACATTCTTGGAGGGATCCTCGGAGAAACAAGTACGAGTCATCAGCAAATAACAAATGCGAAATCCGAGGTGCACGCGGAGCGACTTTAACCCCTTCTAGTTTTTTGTTCGAAATTGCCTGACGAAGGAGCGCTGCAAACCCCTCCGTACAGATGACAAACAACAGAGGGGAGAGGGGGTCACCCTGCCTAAGCCCCCGGGATGGGGAAAAGAACCCTGACGGGGTACCATTCATAAGGACAGAAAACGAGGTCGACCGGAGGCACTCCTGAATCCATCCTCGCCAAATTGAATTAAATCCCATTTTTTCCAAAATCGCAAGCAGAAATGGCCATTCGACTCTGTCATAGGCCTTTTCCATGTCAACCTTCAGAGCCATATACCCTTTCTTACCACGGTTTTTTGTTTTCAAATAGTGCATCAATTCATTCCCCAGAAGGATATTATCCACAATCTGCCTCTCACGAATAAAGGCATTTTGACCGTCCGATATAATGTCTGGCAAAATTTCAGCCAGCCTAGTCGCCATGATCTTTGAAATGATCTTATACACAAATTGGCAAAGGCTAATAGGCCGCAATTGCTTCACTGTTTCCACGTTTTCCACTTTAGGGATCAGCGTCAACCACGTGTGATTGAAGCTACGGAGCATCTTACTTGACTCAAAGAAAGAAATCACCGCACCAATCACTGACTCTCCAACAATGTCCCAGAAGGCCTTAAAGAACTTGCCAGTGAACCCATCCGACCCAGGTGCCTGTTTGGATCCCATTGCAAAAACCGTGCGGCGAACCTCTTCCGGAGAGACAGGAGCCGTTAAGCTAGCATTCATCTCCGGAGTCACCGCTCTGCTAATTGGGAGCGCTTCCACTCGTGAGGTCATATTAGGCACCTGGCTCTCAGATGTGAACAAATGCTGATAAAAAGTACCCGCAATGTCAGCTTTATCCGCCTCCTCAGTTACCCATCATCTCAATCAAATTTAACAAGAATAAATTAGTCATATTTCTCTCGCTTCACACAAAAGAATCTTTTGCCTCACTTTAATCAACCAGCAAACTTAACTAGCAAACATATCCTTCATTTGAGGTCTTGAGGACGGCAAACAATCGACATGCCATATAATAAATAAGGGTGGCAATTTGAGTAATTTTACCTGCCTCCCCACTTAATTCCCATTCCTCATTATTCACATGGCCGATTCAAGTACAACTCTTCTTACCCTTACCAGAGAAGATGACAAACACAAAAAGCCTTCGATTTAATTCATCTTGCCTATTCAAATGGCCGATTCAAGAACCCGTCGTACCCTGCATCGCGGAGGCCGATCGCGATCACCCGGCTGCTGGAATTGTCGCGCGGGAAAGAGCAGGGACGGCAAGAAACGAGCCGGAGCTGTCACAGGGGTCGACGTTGAAGTCCCAGCTGTAGAGGAATGATGTCGGGGTGATGGTTACTACCAGGTCGATCGATTCCTTGAGTGCCCAGTTACGGTCGAGAACGCTTGTAGGGTTTTCTGGAAGAGACCTGCCACCGTCAAAGTGGCCGCGAAAATCTTTTGCCGACGGAAATGGTTGTTGCAGATTAGTTCGCGACGTAGCCCGTTGGCTGGCTCCATAGATATATAATTAATTCTGCTTCCACCATAGCTCCAGATTCACCGAAGCGAAGCAGTAATCGTCCATATATATATATATCGCCCAAGAACCAGAAACCTTCCATTCTCCCAAGTTCGAGGTACTGCAGCAATGGAACCCATTCTGGAAACCGAAATTAATCGCAATTAGATGCAAGAATCTTTGCACATTTCGTGAGTGGAATCCTTTTCCGTGTTGTTTCTCCGTATTTTTATGCAATCGTCGGATTTTCCCCACCTTTTCCCCTCAATTTTCCAGCTATTCCGACGGGCAAGTTCATACCAGGTCAATATATCGTAAAAAGTCAATATATCGCATAAATATCGCGATATCTGGTCATATCGCGATATCTCGTCAATTTCAATTTCTCGTCAATTTATCGCGTTTCGACTTTGGTTTTGAGGACTCGAAACGTTTCGCGTTTCGACCGTTTCTCGTGCCCGTTTTCCCATTCTGCGGGCCTTTCCTGTTTTCGCCGGGCCTACGCCTACCTTGCTTACGAAACGGCGGGGCACTTCTAGTTCTTTGGGCCTTCGGATAAGTAGAGAAAAAGGTAGTCGGGCCCTTTGTCTAACGAGAGCCCAGTTTTACCGGGCCGCCCGCTTACCTCCCTATGAAAACGCTGCTGGAGCTTTCGTTCCTTTGGGCCTTCGATTGATTAAAGAAGAATCCTTTCTCGGCCGTTTCGTCCGTTTCTGATACCCGTTTCTTTTTTTGTGCGGGTTTCCCGCTTTCGCCGGCCGTAGTATCGAAACGCTGCTGGGGGTTTCGTTCTTTTGGGCCTTCGATTAATTAAAGAAGAATCCTTTCTCGGCCGTTTCGCCCGTTTCTGAGACCCGTTTCTCTATTTTGTGCGGGTTTCCCATTTTCGCCGGCCGTAGGCCTGCCCTACCCCACGAAACGCCATCGGTCTATCAACAGCAGCCTTGACAAATGGCAGCAGAAGGAGACTAACCACTGCATCAACATGCCACTGCTCTTTACCAAGTAGCAAGCTGCTGCCATGGCGGCCGAAGAAGGAAATTTCAGGCTCCAATCCAAGAACAAAGTGATGCTCAAAGAGTGAGTTAACATGGATCGAATTGTGAGCAAGCGAGCTTTTATCGTTGATTATGTGATGTGCGAACACCATTCAAGCAAAAGGGGGAAAGGAATTGTAATTACTGATTACATGAATGGGAATTCGCAAGCAAGAAAATTAAACTACAATTGCCAAATTAGAATCAAATCCCGAGAGTTGATTCAGTTTGCCAAACCCTAACAAAAAGAAGAAAAAAGCCGGAAACCGCCGCAGAGAGAGATACGTTCGACACCTAAACCCTAATTCTCGATTCAGTCTTGGTCCACGCCTTCGAAGGCCCAGGCGTTCTGTTCACGGACGGCCTGCTCCTCCTCCGGGGTGAAATCGTTCTCGATCCCGAAGAACTTCCTGACGAACTCGACACTCTTGTTCTGGATGCGATCCGCCACGTTCTGGTTTAGCACGTCGAGCAGGTAAGGGATGTTGAGGTAATTCGCAGCCAGGACCAGGTCCCTCACCTCCTCGAGTTCCAGCTTTTTCACGAACTCGTCGCTGAAACTCCTCTTCTCGCTTTCAGGCGCAGCGCTCCCGCGGAATTCCACCTGCTTCCTGCAGTAGACGATGATCCTCGACAGAGGCTGCGCGGAAACGTTGGGGAGCGGGATGACTGCAGCAGCGGCGTTGTCGGAGTCGATGGTTCCGTCGTCGAAGAAGTTCTTCACGGTGGCTAGCTCCATGGCGACGGCTTCCTCGACTTGGAACATCTCGCCCTCGGCGGACTTGAGCGTGATGGTCTTGCCTTGGGCGGTGGCAGGGGAAGGCTCAGTAGTGCCGTTGGCCTCGCATGTTGACATGGCTGGCGGCGGCGATTGATCGTGGATTGGAAATCGAAGGAAGGGCAAAGGGGAATTGAAATTGTGGGAGGCTGAATGGGCCGATGATGAAATAGGTCCGGTATTTAAAGACTTTGAGAGTGCAGTGGACATTTCGGATTCCGGCCGATGAGAGGAGTGTAGTCAGTAGTGTAAAACAATGGTAATTACTTTTTTACCATAGTATTTTTTTTCTACTCAATGGTAAAACAATGCATCTTTTATGTAAGCTACACCTTCATTTCATTTCCAAAAGAGAGCATTTAAATTACACCAAGCATGGTAAAGGTCAAGTATCATAATCCAATAAGAGGGTGATAAATGAAATTTAGCATTTCGAACTACCCTTCTAGTACATACATATGACACAAAAATGGAACACGATAATATGGCAAAACTTTGGGCTGGAAGCAGCCAATTCAAAATGAAAATGCTTTAGCTCTGTCTCTTCCTCTTGTTACTATTCCTTTTCTTCTTCTTCAGCAGACCTTTGTCTGCTAAAGTTTTCAGCTTCTGGTTCTTCCTTTCCTTCAGCTTCTCCTCAAACCCATCATCCATCATCTTCATCGATGCCACTCGCTTGGCTTTATAAACCTGAATAGGGTTCCGAAAAAACTCGTTCAGAATAACCAAGGGTTGAAGGAAAACTCACCATTTATGCAAAAGAACCAAGCTCATACCTTTGTAATTCCAGAAAGGACGTCCTTCTCTTTGCACTCGAATTGCTCAAACTGTTTTCCAACTACACCCTCAATCTCATGAACCAGATCCACATCGTACTAACAACAAAGTAGGAAGTAGAGTTAGTTTAAGGCGATGCTTATCCCGGGTGCAACAAATTTTGACAATGACTTCTCTTACCTGTGTCACAAAACTTATAGCCAAACCTCCCCTGCCTGCTCTAGCAGTACGGCCCACACGATGAACATAGTCTCTAGGATATCTGCAGTTAACTAGCAGTCAAAATCACTACTAAAGAAAAAGGTGCTACAAAAACAGACACGACAAGACAATATATATTTGGGATGCATAATATAACCTTGGAAGATCATAGTTGATAACAAGATCAACTGTTTGAATGTCCAAACCACGACTTGCAACATCGGTTGCGATTAACACGGGGACTTTCTCCGCCTTGAATTCGTGCAGTGCTTTTAGTCTCAAGGCCTGAGAGTTAAAAGAATGCATTGCTGCAGCCTTCTGACCAAGTTCTTCGAGTAGTGAACTTAGAAGCTGGCAGCTCCTGCTCCCAGGTTCACAAACATAAACCAAAAACCCGATTTTCAGAATCGCCAATTTCCCGAGTTCGTTAAACCAAGTCAGACCACATAAAATCAATTGTCTTGTACAATAATCATTCTTATTATGAAGGAAGATGCAATGACTAGTACTTTCTTTCAATTAAAGGGAAACAAGACAAAACACAGAAATGAGACATAAAAGCCTTTTAATTCTTGCTAAGGAGCTACAAGACTATGAATGGAAGAAAGTCTAAGCCAACTATTTGGATTGAACATGACTATGTTTGAAAAAGGTACATACACGGTTCAAAGATTTTTACCCTAGTCAGCTAGACCATATCTTCTCAATTGTTAGAACATGAAGAACTTGCATGTAAGTAATCTTGAAAACAGATTCGCTCTAACAAGCTGAGAATACTTGGCACAGGATGCTAGTGTAAACTGTATTGTATAGGTACATACGTTTTTTCTGTCGATCAAAGCAACATTAAAGAAATTCTTCATGATCTTTTCATTGTGTGGCTTTTCCGGAAAGGCAGATTTATACAATGAATGTATCTATAGGCTACAAGAGACCAGTGGAAACTGATACCTGCAAGTGGAGACAAATATCATAGCAGATCGAATACCCATATCTTCCATCCTGGTCAAAATGTAGGAAAGATAAACTTCCTTCACATTCTTGGGTATGAAGATATACTGCTGCTTTAGAGTGTCTACAGTCTTGAATCCCTCATAGGCCTCATAGAAGTAGGCCTTATTCGCAGAAAGCTCAAGCAGCGTCTGCAGTTCACTTGTCATTGTTGCAGAAAACAAAAGGGTCTGGCGATTCTTTGGCAGGCACTGGAAAATCGTTCTCAGTTCCTCTTCAAACCCCACGTCCAAAACTCTATCAGCTTCATCAAGAACCAGGAACTGCCACAAAAGAAAGATTCAAGCAACAGAAGAACGCAGATTCAAAATAGAACACAATGCACATTTTATTCCCTGAAAAGTCCCTCCCTCTCCTCTTTTTACCTTAGTTCTGGAGAAAACAGCAGGCAAATCAGCATTATTTTCCATCAGAACTTTGACTCTGCCTGGAGTGGCGATGACTATATGAGGCCTGCCCATTAATGTCTGAGCTTGTGTGAGCGAATCCATCCCGCCAACGACAACTGCGCACCTCAATTGCAAGGAAGAACCCAACGCGCGAAACTGCTCTGCCAATTGAAAAGCCAGCTCTCTGGTGGGCGTAATCACCAGCGCGGCGACCCCGTAAGGATCCTCAGCGAGGCGGTGGAGGATCGGCAGAGCGAAAGCAGCAGTCTTTCCGCTGCCCGTCTGAGCCAAACCTAGAACGTCGCGGCCGGCTAGTATCTTCGGGATGCAGTGGACTTGAACCGGAGTCGGGCGCTTCATGCCCAGCTCCTTGCAAGTTTGGATAGCGAATTCGGAGAGGCCCAAGTCGGAGAAGGAAGTTCCGGCATCGGCGTGGGGTTCTGCGGCGGAGGATGATGTTTCTTTCTCGATTTTGGGAGTTTTAGGGTCCGAAAGGGCGGTTTCCTCGGACACGGGAGGTTTTGCCGCGGGAAGCTGTTTACGGGATTTTCTGGGTTTGGAGAACAGGCGGAAGTTTCCGTCAACGAGTGCATCCCCACGTGGTTCTTCCATGACTATGGAGGCTGCGAGCCCGTCGTCCATCTCAAATGCTGCTTAGAACTGCAAAAGTTCAGAGGGAGGCGGAGAAGGGTTTTCTTTGCGGGCGGGCGGGTAAGTTGTAAGCCGCTACTCGTAAATCGATGTCTATTATGATATTATCGCTTCAGTCTCAATATCTCTCTCTTTTGCATTCCAGTCCTAAGTAAGGCAGAAATAAGCACGTGAATGTCACGTGCAACATTTCCAGCTCTATTCATTCCTCAAAATGATAATGGTGACTGGTGAGAAATGAGAAGGAATTAGAAGCAGAAGGGGATTCGCACAGAGGCAGATACGCAGAGAAGAAAAGGGAAGGAATGGAGTCTCCGTTCAAGGCAGATATTTTGAGAGGGAAGGTGGGTTTGATCACTGGCGGAGGATCCGGAATCGGGTTTGAGCTGTCCACCCAGTTCGGCAAACACGGCGCCTCCGTCGCGATCATGGGTCGGCGGAAGTCCGTGCTCGACGCCGCCGTCTCCAGCCTCCGTTCCCTCGGAATTCAAGTACTCTTTACTCTGCTTCTTCTTTCCCTTGTATTGTCTTCGTCTCCCATGCAGTCGATTGATTGAGGTGAAAGAATTAGTGGACTTTTTTGACCAATCCACAAGAGAATTGTTGAATTGTTAAAAAAACAGTTTTCTTCTTCGTCCATTTTAGTTTACTGTACTCTATTGTGGAAGCTAAGCTCCAGTGCTTGGATTAATTTCTCCTGAGTTGGTTATGACGATTGGGAGGCTTTTATCTCTGTGCAGGCTGTGGGGTTCGAAGGGGATGTTCGGAAGCCGGAAGATGCAAGAAGAATGGTGGAATCAACTTTCCAACATTTCGGCAGGATTGACATTCTTGTAAACGCTGCGGCTGGCAATTTCCTTGCATCGCCTGAGGACTTATCCCCTAATGGTTTTCGAACAGGTTCTTCCTACTACTCATCTACTATACCCTTCAGCTTTGTGAACCCACTATGTAATTTAGCTCGATGGAGAGTTGGGTAGAAGGAAAGCATTTGAATTCCATTGTTTAGACAAGGTTTTCCAAGTGACTTTGTTGTATCAGACTCTGTTCATTTGGAGCATGAACTTCAAGTAGAAGGATTGGAATTCTTAGTAACATGCAGTGGTGTATTTCTATTGTGTTTGTGAGCTTAAATTCCCTGAGTTCTTGCAGTTATGGATATTGATGCTGTGGGAACTTTTACAATGTGTCATGCGGCGCTCAAGTATCTGATGAAAGGAGGGCTTGGCCGAGGTTCATCTGAAGGTGGTGGATCAATCATAAACATTAGTGCTACTTTGCACTACACGGCAGCTTGGTATCAAATCCATGTATCTGCAGCCAAGGTACACACTGTCATGCTGTTTATGATTATGATGAGCATTCTATACTTGTTATGTGTCATACTCTGAATTTTCTCCAATGAAACCTGTGTTGTTCGCGTAACAGGCAGCAGTGGATGCCCTCGCCAGAAACTTAGCACTCGAGTGGGGCACAGATTACGATATCAGAGTGAATGGAATAGCTCCAGGGCCCATTGCCGACACTCCTGGGATGAGCAAACTTGCACCAGATGAGATCAACAGCAAGGCACGAGACTATATGCCCTTGTTTAAGCTTGGGGAGAAATGGGATATTGCAATGGCTGCTCTCTACCTTGTCTCTGATGCTGGTTCGTTTTGTTACTGTTATCTGGTGCAGATTGCCGATTTAGGCTACTTCTTGAGAATGTAACTTATGATCTGCTTTGTGTTGTAGGGAAATACGTGAATGGAACAACGATTCCAGTGGATGGTGGACTATGGCTAAGCAAGCCTCGCCATCTACAAAAAGATGCAGTGAGGCAGCTTTCTCGAGCTGTGGAGAAGCGTTCTAGGGACAAACCTGTTGGCGTTCCTTCCAGCAAGCTTTAAGATTCTAATTTGTACCAAAAGGTCGTATTGGCATATAAACACTCAAATATATTGCAATCCAATTTAAGCTGTTGGTTTTCAAATTCCGAAGTAGCATTCTCAAGACATAGTACAATCCTGCCAGTTTATCTGCTATAAATAAACTGTAAAACTAGTTGCTTTGTAATATTCTCCCATACATTCTTCAATTCAATTACAAGAAAAGCTGAGAGCCTTTTGAAAATGTTCGCTAGAATGCTAAACTGCCACTAACACAGTACTCTTCCAACTTCCCTACTCTAATCCAATTGTCCTTCTCTACCATATTCTGGGGCCAAGGCGCTTGAACAAGTTATAGATGTTTCGGGATAAGAATGTAAGAAGCAAAATTGGGTAGATCGTCCCTGCCTGTATTGAACTTGTCTTTCCAGAAGTGTGAGTATTATGCAGCAGCTATGAATATATATTCAGCCACTGAAACAACCACAGTTGCTGGCTTACAGAAAGGCTGAGGCTTTGGCTGGCACCCTGACCAGAAGGTTGGCTTTTTCCCCGTAAACAGGTTGAGTGTGGCCTCAACATCGATGAAGTGGGGCTGGATATACGTCAACTGGTTGATATCTCAAATTGTCACTATGTGGCAATTCTCCCTCCTGATTACACCAAAAAAAAGGTTGTCAGTACAAGCAAAGGTTAAGTCAGCACTCAGCCGTGGACAGAAGCAGGCAGAGCACCTCATTCACATTGATCTGGTATGGCTTGACGAAATCCTCAAACATTACTGGAGAAAGGCCTTTCATCATCTCCTCAACCTCCTGGAAAGGTATTAATTAAGAAAAAAGCAGAACGAACAAGGGTTACAATGTGTCAGCATTATATTAGGGTGTAAAATGCAGCAGAAAGCATAGTGAATACCAATCCAGTTATCCTCGACTTATCCAAGAGTTCCTTGACAATCATGTCCAGTATATGCATGTTGTCTCTTAATCCTTTTATAGCAAGTTCCTCTGTTTCTTCAATATACTGCATCGACATCAAAACCTTAGTAGTCTACCAGCAAAAAGTCATCTTCCTTCAAGATATTGAAAATTAATTGAGCACATACCCTGGTCAACTCGCGAGTGAATAGCTCGGATTCTTCAAGAGTCACGTTGGCAGGGATCACATAAGGGTCGTCCCACTAATATCATGAAGAAGCAGAACACAGTTAATAACAACAATCTCTTGTAAAGAGTGGGATAAGCAGAAGTGATTATCTGAGAATATAACTTGCCTTGTACTTTATCAATCCGCCGTCTGGGCTATCAGGTCGATCCATTAACCCCACTCTTCTTGTTAAAGCAGTAAGCCCCAACTTTGCATTTTGAGGGCTAATCACCATCTCTCTGGCAATCTGAAAAGAAATCAAGTGGCTCAGTCAGTTGTTTTCCAATTCAAACCAAGTTCCTTATTATTGGAAGAAACCTTAACAATTGATTCTACATGAGATTTTCCAACTGTTGTTACCTTTGTTATTTTCTCAAGATCATCACTTCCGCCATCTGTGATGTCATTCCCTAGCACAAGTCGCTCAGCACATCGGCCTCCATGAGACACCACCATTTGCATCTTCATATACCCAAATGTAGTGTAACCTTGGTCCATCATATCTTCCCTCGGGTAGAACACAGATATTGCAGTTTCCTGGTTATCACGAACCATGTCAAGAAGGAAAGCAAGGTGTAAGAGTAATTATCGAGAGGGAAATAATAAATGCTATAACTCCGGCACTCACCTTACCACCTGGCAGAAGCTGAGAAAATGCATGCCAATCAAAGCGAGGGAACAAGTGGGCTAAAACAATGTGGCCAGCTTCATGTACAGCGAGAAGTCTCTTCTTTTCCAATGAGACCTATATGCAAGAAAATGCATATTTGAATTCAATAATTAGCTGGAGAACCAGCAAGATTCTGTGAACTTAACAACCATTAAAAACATACATTTTCTTCACACTTTTGTTGCTCTTCTTCAGTCAGAAGCACTCCCATGCCCTCAAGCAATTGCTTATCCAACACATCAACAATGTCTTGCTGATAAATCTTAGAATGCCCTTTCCTGACCTGAAACATAAATTGGGCCATAACTACACATTTACTTGGGAGACGGACCATGATTCACAACTATGGAGAATGTATAAATGGCTAAATATCTACATATGACAATAAATTTATTTAGAATGGTGACTTACAGACATGATTGCAGCTTCATTCACAAGATTTCGAATATCTGCTCCAGAGAATCCAACAGTACGGAACACAAGCTGAAGACAGAAAGGAGGAGGCAACCATATTAAGCAAACACCAAATCGCTTCATTTATAGCAAGTGAGAATATTACAGAACGGCACTTTCTAATTTGGCATCACAGAATCAGTAAAACTACGGAAAGGAGATGAACAAGGCAGAACTTACCTTTCTAAAGTCTACATCTTCTGCAAGTTGCTTTCCAGAACTATGCACGCTGAAAATCTGCACTCGTTGGTTTGCGTCGGGCACACCAATATACAAGCGCCGGTCTATGCGTCCTGGACGAACAAATTCCAAGTCCAATTCATCTGGCCTATTTGTTGCACAGATGAAAATCACAGCTTGCCTGAGAGAAAAACGATCCACTCCTGTTCGTTCTTTCCTTCATAAGACAAATGCAATGTCATGTCATCTAGTGAAGTAGATAATAATAAAAAAAAAAAAAAGATTGATCAATAATCAGTAGAAACAGAATCAATATCCATTTCTTGGGCCAATGTAATGAAATTGAAATAACAAGAGAAACACAAAGGGATAGGATCATAGGACAAATGAAAGCTCCTAACTCTCCGTCAAGTTGTGCAATCAAAGCTTCAAAAGTTGCTCTTCTTCGTGGGTCCTTTCTTGCATGCCTTCCAGCAATGGCATCAATTTCGTCAACAAAAACAAATGATGGAGCCTGCATCAAGAGAATGAATGGTAAAGAAACGTCTTATTATATGTTTGCAGGATTGGAGCAAACAAACCAGGTGGAGCTTACATTTCTTCTGGCAATGGAAAACATTTCATTGATCCTTGCAGCACCACTCTTCTCACTATCAGTGAACTCTGCACCTGAAGCGAAAACAAAAGGCAATCCACTTTCCTTTGAAAGAGTCCGGGCAAATAGGGTCTTTCCTGTTCCAGGAGGTCCCGACAGAAGAATACCCTGTCATGCATATAGCTATCAGAAAATGATAATTCATCACAACGTTCACAAAAACCTAGTTGCACTAGTGTTCATTTAAAGCTGTAGATCATGTATTACCCTAACAAATTTCACCCCTTTCTCATAATACTGCATGGGATTGCCCATATAGATCATTATTTCATCAAGAAGATCCCAAACATCACCACCAAGCACCACTTCTTTGTACTTCGACCTTGTTTCACTTACATCGCCAACATCACCAACCGGCTGAAGAGAAGAAAGACAACAGCATCATGTGCAGAACAAGTAATTGGAAGGATAAACTTAATAATGAGAGCTTCAAGCTAGGAATTACCATGATAAAATTTTCTGCATATGCCATGTCAAAAAGTTGATTATACTTCTTGTAAAGGAAACGACTTGAGGTTATATGTAATAGCATCACTGACTCCCTAATTAGCCACAGGATCAGCAATCCAGGTAGCAAAGCAATCACAAGTTTCAAAATGTAATGAATCTGCTGTTTCTGAAGAAGATCCACTTCGACTCCAGAACTTGAGATAATCTCAAACAAATATGGATCAAGAGGAATATTAACCTTGCATACACAAAAAGCGCAGAAGTGAGTCTAAGTGATTAAGAAAACATCGTTCAATCTCTCTCCCAGCAAGAACATAAATACTTACAACATATTCCAACGGAAAACCTTCTTTCATAGTTACATATACCCTTTTCAAGTCCTCTGTGAAGACAACTGCAGCAACCTAATACAAAGAACAACAGTCTGCTGCTCAGTTAGGAAAACAAGGAAGATCTTATTCGTTCAACCGATACCAAGATATAGCATTTGGCTTCCTTTCATCCTAATTCCATTATATTTTTGCGTACAAAGAACAATAGCCTGCTGCTCAGTTAGGGAAAACAACAAGGAATATCTTATTCATTCAGCCAATATGAAGATAAACATTTGGCGTCTTTCATCCTAATTTCATTTTATTTTTGCACCCAACCACCACAGTATGCTCAGAAGTGATTACATATCTGCTGTCAGATACTAGTATCAAGAAGAGTAGAATGGGGTACATACAAGACATTGGTAGAAGAAAAGAGTTAGTCGCCCTTTTTTCATGTGTTTACCCGCAAGGTAAGGAACTCCAACAATGAAAACTGAAATTAACAACTCAAAGCTAATGGAAAAGGCGAACACTTGCCTCTGAGGAATCAAGCTTCTGAAGAAAGTAAGTGTAGGGGATTGTTGGACGGTAGCGCCACCATCTTTTAGATATCCACAGAGCTCTTGCTCCATTGCTTTCTGATACCTTTTCTACCACATCCTTTCTAAGACTATTTTCAACCTCCTTCATGTCAAATTCAACAGCGTACTTGGCATTTGAAGCATCTAACTGTTCAGCCAATTTCTCCTTATTGAGGATTTCCTTCCATAATTGGACCCTTTCACGCCATGATCCTACACTTTGTTGCTCTTTATTTCCTAAGCAAGCATCAAGACAAAAGAGAGGAGAGTTAATGAGCAACATATCATAGTGAATAGCTACAACCACCAAGAACACATGTTTATCATCCCACCATCATCACACAAATAAACACTTTGTCAACTTAACTGACTTAGATAATTCTCTTTGCTATTCTTCACATGTACTTATAGACAAAGCCCTTCTCTATCTATAACTTCAGTATGAGTTACCTGTAGTCTATACAGTCTGCAGGTTCTCTTTATTCACGCTCTAGCTTAAGAAGAATGCTTTTAAGGAAATAAATAAAGGGACTTCATTGTCGGGGGTCATAAAACACAAGGTAAGTTGCATTGAAATCTCAAACTAGGGACTTTGTGAGGAACTATATACACTTAAGTAGAGCAACTGACACTCAAATAATGAAATCCTCAATATATTTTGACTGCACATGTGCAACTCGGAGCACTAAAGGAAAAATTCATAGTTATGGAGAATTCAAGGCAGAAGGAGAAGGGACAATATGGACGCATGCATAATATTTTTACCTACATGCCAATAAAGTTAGCAACTGACCTGAAATCCCCAAATCTTCTTCCAGTTCCTTCTTCTCTTCTCTATTCAGTCTTTTATCGTTTTCAATAATTTGCTTCACATTGTCCTGCGGTGGCATTGCATCATCATCCCATGCATCTTCTCCAACATAAGAGGTATCACGAATAAGTGTTCCGTCAGGCGATTCAATGAATTTCTTCATCTTCAAACCCTTTGGAACTGTCTTCCTCCATATGCCCTTCTTAAACCTGTCCACTCGGAGAGAAATGTCTTCAGCTATAAAGTTTTCTACCGTAAAGCCTCCACAAGCTGTTCTTGTTGAGCCAAACGGATATTCTAGACTAGTGCATGTTCAACTTTAAAAAAAAAAAAGTATTCTTCAGACAGGTACTGTTTATGCTGGTGCATTGTGGTGATTCTCGATTGTCCAAGCATTCATGAGGCATTCATGGCATGCCACATACCTGGTTTACTCAACCTAATGTCAAACAAACAGTGTTCTGAGTGATTTTCAGCGTCCAGAGATACGAGTGAGCAATTGCACTTACTTTCTAACATTAATGGGAGTTGGTTCAGGAATCAGTGCCTCCATGAAAGCCTCTGTCACTTCTTTCTTTTGTCGTGCAATGAAAGGTGCTCGAACAGCAACATACACCCTTTGGAAAGAAAACAAGACCACAAAAGCGTAGAGAATCAGGGCAGCTACTCGTTTCCGCTCCCAATGCTTGACATCCTGAGAAATTTAAAAAGCAATCTCAGAGTTATTCTTTCATAGCAAACATTCAGCCTTCTGTCCCCAAAAGGAAACAGTGATACAGTTTATGATACACCACCAATTCAACTAAGCTTTCTCAGCAAACCAACCAAACAATGGAGAAAGAGTTCTAGGAGGGAAAATTCGTCTACCTTCCAATGCTCCCAACTATTCCAATCCAGAAACTCGGGCAACACGACGGTCCTGAATCGATTCAACTCGGCTTCGCCCTTACTGACCTCAACCTTAGCTCTCTCCAGCAGCTCACCCGCCTCGGCATTGACTCTTCCAAAATCAAACCCGGTTTCCTCCTTCACGGACTCGCTGAACTTCAGCAACAGCTTCTCCGAACCACGCCGGAGAGATTCCGACACATCCCGCCAAGAAAATCCGCCCGACCCATTCGCATTTCCAGAAGAAGACGACCTTATCACAAGAGCCGTTCTCCTCCTTCGTGAAGTCCTGAAATTCTGCGCCCCGAAGAAATGTAAAGCGGGAAACCGGCAAACTGGGAGAGTCGAGTGGTGGAAGAGCGGGTTATGATGATGCTTGTGAGAAACCGTAGAGTTCATTTCTTTGGAGCTGCCGAACCAGAGAGCATCTGGTTGTTTCAATTTTCATCAGCTACTGGGAAGAGGCTTTGTGGAGGTTTTATCGAAAATTTGAGGGAAATTGTAAAAAGAAAGGTAAAAATAAAAATGAGATGGTTCCGTTTAGAATCCGATCTTATGAGCCATGTTGGGCCGGGTCGGCACTAACCCGCTATCCTTCCACTGCGAAGAGCGGGAGATACTCGATGCTCTGTGAAACCAGCCTGTCGCATTACCCTCCACTTTAAGGACCCTTGATCCAGACCTTCGACTGGACCAACACAAGGCCCACTACAGATCACTTGGAACGGGCAGGTCGGTTAAAGCCTCAGCGAGCCCGGCCCACAGAATCAGATTACAGTTCCATCTCATTGATGCCCCCACTTGGGTGATAAGCTCTTGTTAGTGAGCCCAACGATTAAATAACATTCTAAAACTTATTATTAACTACTAAAGATATATTACCCTCACGATGTGGAATTATCGGATAGATATTCAAGCTACTCATTTGGCAAAACTATATTTCACTTCATTTTTGTGATGGCAACACATGAATTTAGTCTGGATCTGGAGAAAACAAGCAAAGATGGTTGAAGTATCGGCTCCAGGGGTCTCTCTCAAAAATGCAGTTCTTCTATGATAATTACACAAAGCAATCAATGTTTTTTAGTACACTATAAGCTCAAGGATGTGACGGCAATTTGTCATTTTGAGGCTTTGAGCTGTGAATGCTTAAACTAGTCTCCAATGCAAAACACGAGACTTTAAAAGTGGTACTCATTTTGTACAACTCTGAGTACATTCTGCAGCTTCATATAGATGCTGGATATCCTATAACATTTATCAATCTCGTGATCTATTGCCACTGGTTGCACCAATCTCTTCTTCTTCAGCATTGACCTCAACATATGCACATTTATGCTGCTCTTCCGATTACAGCATCTTGTAGAAACAAATGAAGTCTACTGCAAGATGCTCCAGTTGCTGGTGTTGCTTGCCTTGCGCTTCCTGTGTCAAATGCACGATCGAGTATTACTCATAGCAACAGCTAATTTAGCCATAATGACACATGACGGTAAGATGAGAAAGGAAGTTGTCCAAACTACTAGATTTTTACCTCGAAGGAGATATATATTAGTTATGGGCAGTAAAAGCACAATGATGTTGAATTTCTAGTATATGTCATCTATTGAAACTGATAGCTTCCTCGATTCTCCTGATCACAACACTCAGACTCCCTCCACTTTCCATTGCCTTAAAAGCGGCTGTGTGAGCTTCCTTGTGCCATTTCAGCATATTGTAAGCCTGCAGTACTGCCCATCTAGCTTGATTCGACATCTGTACAATGGCAGAAGTTGAAAAACAACGTCTGCAATTTCAAGAGAGAATTTCAAATAAGCATGAACGTATTTCGATAGTATGAAAGATTACCTGTGCTACAGATAGTGGGGGTTCGAGAAGAATGGAAATGCTCCTAAACAGATTCTCATCGTTTTCTCCCCCTTCTGCCTCACCATAAACAAGAGCTTCAGCTGCAATGCCGGCAAAAAGCACCATAGAGTATCTGCAAAAGTAGGTTACCAAGAACCAGATTAGGTTAAGAACATGAAAGGATAACCAATTTTGATTAAAGGAAATTTCTTGCTTTTATCGTCCTCCTCTAGTAACAACTCTCAGTTTTCTCTGTATTGAACAGACTATGATGATTTGAACTACCTGTCAAAGGCAGCGCCACTAAGCTGGCCTTCAGCAAGCTCATTACTCATTTTTTCATCCCAGAACTGAGTTCCCGCCTGTAGAAATGTGAAGGCATGAATTTACATGTTATAGCAACCATTAGAATGAATATGGCTTCTCATGGACTCAATGTCTGACATCGATAAGATACAATAAGTTTGAAGAGATTGAATTTCCATTCCAACACCAAGAATCCTTTTGAAACAGTGGATAAAAAGCTTAAATGGTTATATGCACCAAAGTCCAAGACCAGGAGCCCGAATCTTTTGGTAATAGCAAGTTAGCAACAGTAGCACAAAATAAGGGAATGAGTACAGGACCAGAGACCAAGTTGTACCTGCCCTTGAATGCCCATTTGCACAGCAACTATAGGATCTAAAATCACGCCACGAATGGGACAACCCATAAGGTATGCTGCACATTAAATGAGTTTGGAGATTAACAAAGCAAAGTCACTAAGGAGTGCAGAAGCACACTGCAAGCAGTAGCATTGAAGTAAATAAGTACGCACCTACCAGAAGATGGCCTGCTTCATGAACAAGGATTCTACGCCTGTATGGAGGCCAGTAACTTGAGATTTGAGCTAAGCAGGTTCCACCTAAGAAGATGTTATCGAGAAGGGCTAAACCCAATACTGCAGAAAGGTTGGTTCTAACATCGATTCCTTTCCACTGCAGTAAACAAGTTGCCCCTAGAAAAGCAGCCACTGCGATGTTTGACGATCCAGAAATCCCCCATTTTTTAGGAGCCAATTTGGTCACTGAAATTGGTGCTCACACAAGTCAAAACCAGAACTTGAAATTACGCAATGGCATTGGCATAGACAGAGTAGCGACGAAGCACACCTTCTAGTCCAGTGGCAGACTTCAAAACAGTGGGCGTGACATCTCTAGGTCCCTCCAAAACTGAGAAATTAAGAGCAATACTCGATCAATCGAAACCTTATCAAATGGAAAAACTAGGGTTACCAAGAAGCGCCGCAGAATTGAATTTTGAAGCCTGATCAGTGGATGTGAGCTAAGCTAGACGAATATGAGCCTGTGGGAGGAAATTGCCATTATACCAATGCTGCTGAACTTTCCAAAATTGGGGAGGAAGCCTCTGTGCTTGAGGAATTTGTAAGCAGCGGCGACGAGCTTCATGTCGTCTGCGTTCATACAAGTATCCAGAACCTCCCAATCCCGCTGCAATCCATCAATGGAACCCAACCCGGAGCCGAAACCGTCGATTTCGGACGGAGAAGAGTCGGCGGGGGAGGGATACGGACGGCGAGTGGTTGAGTTGGGCTGCAAGGATGTCAGGAACCTGAGGGCCCTGGCGAGGTCCTTTCGCTTCACGGCCTCCTCGTACTCTTGCCATTCTCCTACGGCTCTGGGAAGGAACTTGGAGGAGAAGCGGGAGGGTTTTGGAGAGGAGAGTAATGGAAATTGAGCGGGAATTTTGGGGAGTAACCGAGGAGGAGGAAGAAAAGGTGAGAGCGCCATCGCCATGGCGGGGAAAGGAGAAGGAAGGGAGAGCTGGAGATGGGAGATTACCAGTGGAGATTAATCAGTGGCGGAAAAATTAGAAGGGATGTGGGCTCATGGGCTGGGTTGGCGGGAAAATAACTGGATATTGGGCTTGTTGGGCTTGCGTTGAGACCCATCTAATCACTTAACTGCAATAAAAATAAGTGGAAATTGGAGGAGAAAATAGAGTAGAAGGAAGAGCATCGAACATCTTGAGCCTCTCGTCAGAGATAAGAGAACAATCTGAAGCAGGGGCTTCGATTTTCTCCTCATCGCAGATTCTCAGCTCGCCATTAGCTCATCTTCCCTTTGTTTTCTTATCCTTCCCTATCGTCCTTTTCATTCCTATCATCGTCAATTCATCACTCTGCCACCACTCGCTCGCTCACTCCAGTTTCGTTGTACCACTGCCACCTCCCCTTTCAAAATCTTCCGACTCCGGCAATCAATGGCGTCCGCCACCGCCCCGACCTCACTTTCCCTCCTCAAAACAACAGTTTCATCTTCATCCGCTTCCCGTTCACGCGCCGCCGTTCTCCCCTTTTCCTACTCTGGCCTCCGCTCGTCCTCTTCTTCTGGCCTCCGCAGCCTCGCATTCTCCGCCGCTGACCCTCTAACCATCCGATCCCTCTCCTCTTCTTCCTCCTCCCGCGCCAAGTCCCACAGGGGATTGGTCGTGTCTGCCGTCAAGAAGAGCGTTGGGGATTTGAGCGCAGCTGATTTGAAGGGGAAGAAGGTTTTCGTGAGAGCTGATTTGAATGTGCCGCTCGATGACAACCAGAATATCACCGATGATACCAGAATCAGAGCTGCAATCCCTACCATTAAGCATTTGATGCAAAATGGAGCTAAAGTCATCCTCTCCAGTCACTTGGTATTTCCCCTCCCGCCTACCCACCTTCTTCAGTTGCATTTTAGCTCTTTATTCAGCTGCAAGTACAGTTCTTTTGCTTCTCCGTCTTAATTTTGCCTCATTTAATTGGACCAATGGGTTTCCAATGAGCTGGAAATCAAACCTTTTCATGTTGATTGTTGGTACTGTTCCACTCTTTCTTCAAAGTTTTTTTTGCATATGGGCTTAAATCAGTTCTTAGCATAATTGTCTATGGCGGAATGCATCTGCTGTTCAGTGTTTATCTGAATTGTTGTTTCAACAACTTTCTGCAGGGTAGACCGAAGGGTGTTACCCCAAAGTTCAGTTTGGCGCCTCTGGTTCCCAGATTATCTGAACTCCTTGGTATCGAGGTGCTTATTCCTCTTCTTCTTGTGATGTTTATGACTATGGAATAACTTTGACTTGGAGATGGAATCAATGACCAGTCTTTTGCTAACTTGTGCAGGTTGTGAAGGCTGAAGATTGCATTGGCCCAGAGGTGGAGAAAGCAGTTGCTGCGCTCCCCGAGGGTGGAGTTCTTCTCCTTGAGAATGTGAGGTTTTACAAGGAGGAAGAAAAGAACGAACCTGAATTCGCCAAGAAGCTTGCCTCCATTGCTGATCTGTTTGTGAACGATGCTTTTGGTACTGCGCACAGAGCTCATGCTTCGACCGAGGGAGTCACAAAATTCTTGAAGCCTTCAGTTGCTGGGTTCCTCTTGCAAAAGGTTTCCCTCTTTTGCTGGCTGGACTATGGCTAATAATTGATGGCGTGGGTTACTGAATCTCTTCATTTTTCTATGTTCACAGGAGCTGGATTATCTTGTAGGTGCTGTTTCGAGTCCAAAGAGGCCGTTTGCTGCCATAGTCGGTGGTTCTAAGGTCTCATCCAAGATTGGAGTCATCGAGTCCCTATTGGAGAAGTGTGACATCCTTCTCTTGGGTGGAGGAATGATCTTCACCTTCTACAAGGCTCAAGGTCTTTCGGTGGGGTCATCGTTGGTCGAGGAAGATAAGCTTGAGCTTGCAACCTCTCTCATGGCCAAGGCCAAGGAAAAGGGAGTTTCATTGTTGCTGCCTACTGATGTAGTCATTGCGGACAAATTTGCTCCTGATGCTAACAGCCAGGTTTGTTGCTTAATGTGTTATGTTTTAAGCCCATGTTTGAGTGTACACTTTGTAGAGGAGGAAATGATTTTGAAATATTTTCTCCACGACAGATTGTGCCGTCATCAGCCATTCCTGATGGCTGGATGGGGCTTGACATTGGTCCAGATTCTATCAAGACGTTCAACGAAGCATTGGAAACTACCCAAACTGTTATTTGGAATGGACCTATGGGAGTTTTCGAGTTTGAGAAGTTTGCCGCCGGAACTGAGGTATTTAATAGCTGCATTAGTGCATGCTTTTCATCTTCTTGGAGTCGGTAGCCTTTAAGGGGTCCAAAGTGTTGTTTGGATGACAGAATTTGACCATGGAATATGGCTTACTTTCCCTAGATGACCATTTTAAGACCAGTGACCTATGCTGTTCATGTTATGTTGGAATGTAAATTCCATATCCACTTTCATGACCCTTTTTACCGGAATTCCCCTTTAGAAAGCCTCATACTAACCTTATATATAAGGCATTTGTAAGAAGATAAGAAAGGTAAAATTGTACCTTTCTCTTTGAAGGTAAATTCCATCCGCAACATTCCTCTTTCAAAAAAGTGCATCCAACCTATCACATATCCACACAATTCATATACTATGAAATGTCAAACAACCATATAAATAGAAGCATGGTGTAAGTTTTGTGGACGGAACTTGGTGGTGTGGTTCGTGTATATGATGAGAACGAGCTGTTTGGGTATGGTTTTGCAGTCTGTGGCAAAGAAGCTAGCAGACCTGAGCGCCAAGGGTGTGACAACAATCATCGGAGGAGGAGACTCAGTTGCAGCTGTGGAGAAGGTAGGAGTTGCAAGTGCAATGAGCCACATTTCCACCGGTGGAGGTGCCAGCCTGGAGCTATTGGAAGGGAAAGAGCTTCCAGGAGTCCTTGCGTTGGATGAAGCCACACCAGTTGCCGTGTAAGATAAATTATTTTTTCCCGGGCAGCCATTATGATGCTATTGTCAACGAGAGTTGTGATTATGTAGAGATATAAGATATGAGCTGCTGTTGTACAATCTCCATGTTTGCCTGCCTGCAATATAAAGAGGTCCAATAGCACCTTTGTTTTCATAATGTTTGGTTCAAGATTACCACAAAATAGGGACAAGAGAAGCTTGATGTTGGTGGCATTGAGAAGCCATCTTGTTATCAAATAAATGGATCGTTTTATCTTTTGAATGGATTTCTGTTGATGGGTTGCTGAGTTCTGCTTCATATCTGTTTGGTATATTCTCCAGTGAATTGAGGTGCACTTGTCCAACTTTGGTTGGTTGGTGTAGGATGGGATAGGGTATATTGGGGATAATGGTGGAGATTGGGAAGAGATGGGACACATAAAAGGTTTCAGTTCCCACCACCAATTTTTCTTTTTGGCTAAGCTTGATTTCTAGTATTTATTTTTGTGGAGGAGGTTGATGAATATGCATGGCCTACTGATATATGAGATTCCCACTCAATGAGGTTGGAGATGGATCATGGAGGGAGATCAATGTCGATGAACCGTGGCATGTTATATCACAGAAACTCCCTCTTGTGACTTGTGTTGTGGGTTGGCTGTGTCTTTATGGGTCGTTTCAAGAAAAGTCAACTAAGTGGGCTTCATTTGGGCCTGACACTCACTCGTCGCACTTGCATCCATCCATCTCGTTTCTCCAAAAGCCCATTTGTTAAGTAGCCATCGAGTGATTAGAAGCTGAACTATTGGAATGTTCTAGTTAATCAAATGGAATATTCGTCACCGGAAGATGGAAAAGCAGCAAAAATCACGGCCAAAGTCCATATGCGATCACATGAAATGGCAAGGCCCGCCGGCCACAAGACGGACCAAGAATGAAACTATTAAGCGTACGAAACGGCTCCCGGCAGTCCCCAAGTCCCGGCCCAAGGTTTTTACTTTTTACCGCGGTATGGACCCGCCCAAAAAATGCAGTGTGCTCCCCAAGAAAACCCGACCCAACCCTATCTTTCCAACCGAAAGGGAAGACGCTTCTCATCTCGCTTTTCCTATATAAACTTCCCCTTCTCCATCCTTCAACCAAAACCTCAATTGTAGCTCCACCTGTCGTCTTCTGCATCACACAGAGCACTATTTGCGATCTGTAAGCTCCCTTTCTTTTTCACAATCACCGGTTGCACTCTCAGCTTTTTACGATCTGGGCATTAGTTAATTGCTCGACTCTTATGTTTCTTTGATTGCTGAATCCGCAGTGCTTTTAAGATATGGCTGCCAAGAAGAGCGTTGGGTCTCTGAAGGAGGCTGATTTGAAAGGGAAGAGAGTGTTTGTCAGGGTGGATCTCAATGTTCCTCTCGACGACAACCTCAAGATCACCGACGATACCAGGGTTCGCGCCGCTGTTCCCACCATCAAGTACTTGATGGATCACGGCGCCAGAGTCATCCTCTCCTCTCACTTGGTATTTGATCTTCTCCCATTCTCAGCTTCGAATGAATCTATTTTTTATTAGTTTATCTAGGTTTTTGCGTCTGTATACCATCCGTGTCCTTCCACACCCAGTGATCTTTCTGATCTCCTTGTGATCGTTGACCAATAAATGGCTTTCCTGTTACAGTGATAAGCGTTTAAGATTGGATATCATTTGATTCAAATGTTACAGTCATTTGTGTCGCTGGTTTTCCATATTGTAGGTGGACTTTGATCCATTTTGACTCCCCTTTTTTGTAAAATATTCGTGGTTGATCGAAGCCAGTCTTTTGATCTGCATCAGAAGAAAGTTAGGTTATATTGTTTTATCTAAAGTTCAAATGTTGAACTGCATGTTTGTATAGGATTCTCTATTAGCATTTATCATAGTACCTAGAACCTCTTTCTGGGTTCCCCCGCTTTAGCAGCCTTTCTTTGTTCTTTCCATCACCCCTGCTTGTACTGCCTGGATCATAGCCACTAGCTTCAACTGCTCTTTGAGGCGTATCTCATCATTTACCTTCTTGAGCATGGATTTCGCCACTCTAGGAGCGCTGTACTCCTTAGCTTCAACTGCTCTTTTAGCTTTTACCATAGTAGCTAGAACCTCTTTCTCGAGTGGCTGTCCTTTCACGTTTGGTGTGTTACTGCTCCGTTTAGTTATGTACAGAAGGAAAGTTCTCTTATTTATCATGAAGTTCCAATAGTGGTGAAAGCTGAAGGTCCTGTGTTCATTGTTCAGTCTCCTACTCTTTGTAACATTATAGTATGCACAAGAAAATGTTCACATTGAAGTGATGCTGTTGAGCTCAATACAATCCCGTTAGAAACTTATTCTGCTTAATTCTCCGATTATGATTTCCAGGGTCGCCCAAAGGGTGTTACTCCTAAGTACAGCTTGAAGCCTCTGGTGCCAAGGCTGTCTGAACTGCTTGGAGTCGAGGTTCGCTTCCTTGGAATGAGTTTTAATCTTGCTGTCCTCTATCCATTGGAATTGTTTTGAGTTTTAATCTTTCTTTTTTTCTGGTTTAATAGGTTAAGATGGCTAATGACTGTGTTGGTGAGGAAGTTGAGAAATTGGTTGCCGAAACCCAAAATGGAGGTGTGCTGCTCCTTGAGAATGTGAGATTCTACAAGGAGGAGGAGAAGAACGATCCCGAGTTTGCTAAGAAGCTTGCTTCTCTTGCTGATGTCTATGTCAATGATGCCTTCGGTACTGCCCATAGGGCCCATGCTTCCACCGAAGGAGTTGCCAAATTCGTGAAGCCTGCTGTTGCTGGCTTCCTCATGCAGAAGGTATGGTGGAATCTACTGCTGTATTCTGAGATTGTTTGGCTGATGGATATTGAGTTGATGGATTGATTCAACAGCATTTGTTGGCTCACAAAAAGAAAACTGATGGATTTGTAAATCATGTCTATGTAGAAAAATGTCAAAAGTATTGACATTTTAATTCTTTCTCATTTAGTTATGAGACCCACACACAATCCTGAATTCATTCTACCTCTCAAAATCAATCGATTTTGAAATCCATCCGCCAAACTCCCTCATGTCCTTGTGAGAAGATTGCTGCATTGCTTAATGCATGGGTCATTGCTTTCTTTAGGAACTTGATTATCTTGATGGAGCTGTTTCGAACCCCAAGAAGCCATTTGCTGCAATTGTTGGGGGGTCGAAGGTGTCATCCAAGATTGGCGTGATCGAATCTCTATTGGAGAAGGTCGATGTGCTGTTGCTGGGTGGAGGAATGATCTTTACATTCTACAAGGCCCAAGGAAAGGCAGTGGGGTCATCCCTTGTGGAGGTAGACAAGCTCGAGCTGGCTACTACACTCTTTGAGAAAGCAAAGTCCAAGGGCGTGTCCCTATTGTTGCCTACTGATGTGGTCATTGCTGACAAATTTGCTGCTGATGCCAACAGCAAGGTCTGTTTCAGTCAAGAGAAACTTGTTTCTGTTTGGGTTGTTGGTTTGAATGGTTTGGCTCAAACTGTCGGTTTGTTTGGTTCAGGTGGTGCCAGCATCGGAGATCCCTGATGGGTGGATGGGTTTGGATATCGGGCCAGATTCCATCAAGACGTTCAGCGAGGCATTGGATACCACCAAGACCGTCATCTGGAATGGACCAATGGGTGTGTTCGAGATGGATAAGTTTGCAGTGGGAACCGAGGTATGCATTAGTGTTTATGGTATGGTTTTGAACTTTGGCGAATTTCAAGATTTGAGTGGAATGTGACTTCATTGTGGTGTGTTCAATATTTCAGGCAATTGCCAAGAAGTTGGCTGAGTTGAGTGGGAAGGGTGTGACAACGATCATTGGAGGAGGAGACTCGGTTGCTGCAGTGGAGAAAGTTGGGTTGGCTGACAAGATGAGCCATATATCCACTGGAGGAGGTGCAAGTTTGGAGCTTCTGGAGGGGAAGCCACTCCCTGGAGTCCTTGCTCTTGATGAGGCATGAAGCAGCTCTAAGCTGTAAGGGGTATGTGGGATGGACCTTGGAGGGGAATGGTTGTTGTCTGCAATTTTTGTGTCTTTTGGTGGATTCTGCATAGTCTATGGAGAGGGTTGGTTTTATAACCCCATTGAGTGGATGAACTCTTTATGATATCCTTTTGTAGAGTGATGAGAGCGAGGCTGTAGAGGGATATATGATGCTTTAAATAAGCGGGCTTTCTTTCTTTGAATGAAAGGAATGCATCATGATTGATGCCTAATCCCAATATGTGCTTGAGTCCTTGAATTTCGTTTATTCGGAGCTCCCATTTTAAGCGAGCTTAGCAACACATTGGCTTTGAAAGTTTAGTTAAGCAAGTTACTGGATAACCAAAATCTCTTGATGTGGCCTATTGTAAGGTAGTTAAAATTGTGCTTAAAAAGTTTACGCTTTAACATTTCTAATTTTCTATGTTAGTAATATGCTTCTACATAAAATAGTGTGATTTTCACTTACAATATGTGTTTTAGACGATTTTGACTGCAAACAGACGGCACATGCAATTAACTTGCTTAGCTACGAAATGGATGAAGGGCGACCAAGAATAGGTCTATCGCTAGTTTCGGCATTTAACTTGCTTAGCCACTTGCCAAAGCTCTGTGCCAAGTTGGATGAGCCGGCCGCTGAGTCTCTCACTTGCACACAACACAGAAACAGAAAAGGCCAGCAGAGAGTTTGGAGCAGCTGAAATTGCTGGCCTGAGAATGTACGGCCAATTCCCCCGCCTTATAATAAAAAAACTATTATGGTGTCATTACTTTAAAACATCCACCAGCGTTCAAACAAATGGGTCAATTCGGAAGTCCTTACACGACAGAATTGAGTCTTTCTCCACCAATCTCATATCAATATAGTGTGTTATGCTCTCTCTTTCTGCTCTCCATTGGAATGCTCGCCCTCCTCAGCTTATTACTTAATTCAAATCAGTGTGTAATCTTTGTATCATCCACCCGGGAACTACTTAGTTTAAACAAGTTTAAACATGGAGGGAACAGAAAGAACAAGATCCATATTCTCTTCGTAAGTTGGACTTGGAGATCACCATTCATCAATCACTACATAAACCGCTAATCACCTGCCCAAACTTCTTGTCCCCTCCAGCCCTCCAGCAAAATATGGCACTTTGCAAGAGTAGTATTAATGGTGCTGCTGTAAATCTGTTGCTGCTTGTGCTGCTTCTGTGTAGCTATTGTTCTCAACTTGAAGCGAAGACCCATTTGCACAAATGGGATGTAAGGTACGAGTACAAGTCGCCAGATTGCTACAGAAAGCTGGTCATGACCATCAATGGGAGGACTCCTGGACCCACGATCACCGCCGAACAGGGAGACACCATCGTCGTCGTCCTAAAGAACAGCCTCGGCACAGAGAACACCGCCATTCACTGGCATGGCATCCGCCAGTTTGGTACACCGTGGAGCGACGGTGCTGAAGGCGTCACCCAGTGCCCCATCTTGCCTGGCGAATCCTTCACTTACAGATTCGTCGTCGACAAGGTGAAACAAACAAACAAACAAACAAACAAGCAATCTAACTACTCTGTGCACTGACCAATGCATAGAGTTTGTTCACCTTAGTTGATGGTAATGACATGATTATATTACTCTTTAAATCTGTGATCCTGCTTCAGGCGGGGACTTTCATGTACCACGGGCACTACGGGATGCAGAGGGCGGCTGGTCTGAATGGGTTGATCATCGTCTCGCCGCGGCTCGGCCTTCCTGAGCCGTTCACGTATCATCACGATCGGTCAATACTATTGACAGACTGGTACCACGCCAGCACTTTCGATCAAGCTGTCGGCCTCTCCTCCGTACCCTTCGTTTTCGTCGGGGAGCCGCAGGTAAATTAATTACCCAATGAATTAAATTAAAGCTCAATTCAGTTACTTACTAGGCTAATAATCACCACAACTGTCTATATTCACCTATGTTTGAAACACAAGTACAGTCGCTTCTTATCAACGGAAGAGGGGAGTACAATTGCTCGCTGGTGGCGAAGACGCCGGCGCCGGGAACCGGGAATGGGTCCATCCCCACCTGCAATTCAAACAGTCCTGAATGCGCTCCGTTTTCGTTAACTGTTGTCCATGGCCGCACCTATCGCCTCAGGATCGGCAGCTTAGCTTCACTGTCGACTATTAGTTTCCAAATAGAGGTAAAATTTTACAACACTAAAGACATCCACTAGATTACTCGATGATCATTCGTAGCTCTAATCGGAACTGAACGGATACTTGCCAAAATTTGCGAGCAGGGCCACGAGATGACGGTGGTGGAAGCGGATGGGAGCTACGTGGAACCGTTTGTGACGAAGAACCTCATCATCTACTCCGGCGAGACGTACTCGGTCTTGGTGAAAGCGGACCAACCGCCGACGAGGAATTACTGGCTCGTGACCAGCGTCGTTGCCCGGAAACCCGCGACGCCAAACGGTTTGGCGATCTTCAACTACTATCCGAACCACCCGCGCCGGAATCCTCGCACTTCCCCGCCAGCGGGGCCTCAGTGGAACGACACCGCATCGCGTTTGTCTCAAAGTCGGGCCATTAAGGCCCGGAAAGGCTACTTCGAGAGTCCGCCTCAAAAACCGGATCGGGTCATCGAGCTGCTCAATACCCAAAACAAGATCAACGGCCAATTTAAATGGTCGTTAAACAACCTATCCCTCGCCCTTCCCTCCACTCCTTATCTGGTCGCGCTGAAGAAAAAGTTGAAGGGAGTTTTCGATGCAGAGCAGCCACCGGATCAGGTAAACCTTGACAGCTACGATATCTATGATGTGGCGAAGAACGTTAATGCAACATCTAGTAGCAGAATTTATAGTTTGGAGTTCAATTCAACTGTCGACATTGTGCTCCAGAACGCCAACACCATGACTCCAAACAATAGTGAATCGCACCCCTGGCATCTCCACGGGCATGATTTCTGGGTTCTGGGGTATGGGGAAGGGACGTATGATTCGAATCGGGATCCTCAATACTACAATCTCGTGGACCCGATCATGAAGAATACGGTGCCGCTGCATCCCTACGGATGGACAGCTATCAGGTTTCGAGCTGACAACCCAGGAGCGTGGTTCTTCCATTGCCACATTGAGTCTCATTTCTTCATGGGAATGGCAGTGGTGTTTGAAGAAGGGATCGGAATGGTTGGACGTCTGCCTTCCTCCGTTATGGGCTGTGGCAAAACCAAGCCCCATCGCAGCCTGGGATAAGATAACTACTGGCCAATTTCCTATGTTGTGCACTATGCTTTGCCTTCTCTGGATTGCAGATTTAGACTAGGTATCCTGAAAACCTGACAGATGAGATCCTTATGTAAGTTATAGCGGAAATAAACTTTTCACATGTAACAGGCAGCCAGCTGCAGCTGCTGATTGCTGAGTTCAGACTGCATCTCTAGCTCTCCATGTTTGAGTAGAGGGATCATTCTCAATAGCAAATAGCATTCCCTTCACAACTTTCGGAAATGATTACTTCAACTCATCAAGACGAAAGAGAATGATACAAAAGTAATAACATAATGAAAAAAATAAAACAATTACAACATTCAACCTCAAACTACAAACTCCTCGAGTGAGGATCATCCAACTCCCGAGCCATTGGTGAGCTTACAAGATGCTGCAGCTGGTGGTATCCCTAGTTTGGAATTAAAGAGAGGGAGAACAGAATATTAATGCACTTGGATACAAACATTCACAAAGGCAAACCACAGGCTCAAATATACTTGTAGTTGCAGTCTTGCAGATGATGTTTTAGTTTGTTTGTAACTTACTTCCATTCACTCAAGTAAGGAAAGAACAGCATGGAACCATGTCTAGTTGTTCGAGTGCCTACCTCTTCATGTCCTCGTAGTTCCCCAATGCTTGCTCAAATTTAAGCCAAAGAGGTCCCGTCTCTTGAAGACGCACGTTCTGTGGCCCTGCAAGATATGCTTGCACGACGAACTGCGGAGTTCTTTCCCTATTATAGGCGAACATTCAGGAAAGAAGAGGAAAACCTAATCACTTCACCACCTTCTCTAATTGAAAGGATCCAACAAAAGATGCTAGATGTCAAATCTTACCTTCGCTCATATTCTGACAGCCATGCCATATAAGCTGCGCCAAAGTACATTGACAGAAATGGCTTTGTCATGTCGTCGACTGAATCAACTCTATATGCCCGATACCCCAACTCCCTACATATATCCAGTGAACAAAAATGTTGCAAGAATATATCAGCTTCAGGATATTCAAAAACCATGCATTGGATTTGACAATAAATAGACGTCTACACTCAAATTTTATAGTTATGGCCTCATAGTGGCAAGTATAACCCTTGAACTGCGTACATAATCACGATTTACAATAAGTCCATACGTGTAAAGCCAAAAGGCTGTAGAGTAATCAATGCCCATTATTCCAGTTCGATGTCCAATCCCATTTAGAAAACGCATGCTAACCATCTCAGCAAGGGCGCAAAGGACCGACTATTGCAAGAAAAAGAAACAAATATCAGCTCATAACAGATTCCAATTCCAACTTCTAATAAAAAAAAATTGTATTCACTTACTGGCCTAACCCCCCTTGTACTGAAATGTTTCGAGAGAATTATGCTTGCGACAGCCTGCATGAAGACATTATTCATCAATATATATGGTTCACGAATTCCTTCTTGTTGTTTGAAACGAAGAGATGACTAAGTTCTTTGAAACTTTGTCTTACCTTAATTTCTACTCGGGACAAGTAGGGTCTCTTCTCCTTATCCAGCGAAAATCGCACTTTCCCACGCCTTTCCCCTGATTTTGACCATTCCCTAGCAACATCAGGCTGATTCCACATCTCTGACATATCTTCCGGAGAAGCTCTAGAGTCCCAGTACAAATGATCACCGCCTGTTCCGCCAGCAAAACAGCTAGTGAATTAGGTGGGAAAAATCTAGAGCTACTGGGAATGACATTGATTTAAGACAGACAAAGGGATTGACTATCAAGAATGAAGGGAAGAAATCTTGTATTATAGAAGAACGGACTACCCGAGCCGTATGAAGAAGGTGAAGCTACATGTGCAGCAGATGCTGATGGCCTAGGGGAAGTACAATCAGCACTTCCTGAGATCCCTTCATTTGAAAATCTTCTGCAAGATGGTGAGAGTATTAAGGTTGTCAAATTCACTACCCCACTAACTATATACTCTTAGAATAATGCAATTTTTGTGGATTATTGGACACTTCAATTTGTACCAGGAAGACTAAGAAGGATGAAGACAAGAAAATAGTCCAGTTAGCTCTGACTAGGGCATTTCAAGTAAAACTAATCTCCTATACCACCATATCATACCAAGAAATCATATTTCCTATGACAGACAAAGTTTGTTACTCTATCAGCAAGTGAGAGCAAACAAACACCTGGAAGGCAGACTTTCTTTCACCGAGAGGTACCGCTTCCAATGTTGCAAAGTCGATTTATGTGTTGCCTTTTTCGTGCCACCATGATATGCCCTAACAACAAACTCTTCACTTCTTTCTCTGCAACAGAGTTACTAAAAGTTAGCATTGATCAGGGATAGAAAGACGATATTGATCCATCACAGCTTACTTGTGCTCGAATTTGGATAACCATTTAAGGTATGCAGCACCAAAGTATACACTAACGAAAGGCTTATAAAGGACGTCTGGGTTTTCTCCAACTCCGTAAGTCCGGTAGCCAAAATCTCTATGAGCAGGTAGCAGTTATTACTTCAGGGAGCCAAAAGGTTAAGATTAAAGCATTCTTAATCAATCAGGTATGTTGCTCTGTTCTGAAAGAGAGACTATGAAACATCACTTTAGTTGCTTACCTCTCCAACCACTGTGCAGTTTTTGGTAAAATTTGCATGATTCCTACGGTGATCTCCTTAGTTTTCTTTTGATATTGCCTAGCAAGGAGTTGCCTGTCACTAGCAAGTTCAGCAATAGCACATATCATGTCCTGCAAAAAAAAAGGTATGAAGCAGCGTTGTTAGCAATAAAACAGCGTTCAACATGTTCAATTTCACTACGACGAAGAACATACCGGAGATATCTGTAAATCAAAGTGTCTGCGGACAATTATATCAGCTACTGCCTGAAGAACAAAACATAACAGAATAGGAAATGGTATGCAGATAAGATTCCAGAGGAAGGCATGTTTCCAATTCATTTAATGAGATGAAGCTTCAACAGCTTTTTATTCACCTTCATCTCAGTCTGTGTTAAATAGGGCTCGCCATCAGGATCCCGCGAAATATGAACCTTCTGACCTCTAGTTTCACCTGCGTCCAGCCATTCTGTGCTGACCGCTGGTTCTCTCCACATTGCCTCCAAGTCATTTGGATCAACACAATCATCCCAATACTTGAAGCTAATTGACATCCTTTGTGAAATCTATAACAGATTGCTCCACCTAAACAAGCGACATCATATCAGTTGACTACGAAAATGTTGAATGGTAATTTGCAATCAACGCTATCATCATTTAACATCACACAAGGTAGGACTCTAATCAATCAATATGGATTAATTATCAACTTCAAATCTTTATTATTATTATGGAGTGTCAAATAGAACATGTTGTGTTCTTCACTCTGCCGCTAGCTCATGTAAAGGAGGCAAAATAATGTTTGAAGACAAAGTGATCAATGCATGGAGTAATTGCATGGGACAAAAAAAAACAAAAAACAAAAATTGTACATTTTTTTGCAGGTTTACATCAAGAAAATTCAAGTTAGTCTTCAGACTCGCCACCAAGAAGAACAAAGGTCATTGGCAGAAAATTTACGAGTGCAACACTGTCGTGAAAGAGGAGCTAAAAACAATCAAACGAAGAAGAAGAAGAAAAAGAAAAAATCTACCGGCGCCAAGAACAAACAATGAAGTCATTGGTAAGATCGAGACAGTTCGAATTGACGAATTAACTTCAAGGAGGAGTGTTGAAATGTGAGGTTAATTCTAGAAAATTATCCAAAATAAATCATCTAATAAAAACAATAAACAAATAAGTGGTGTGGAATGTGATAGTTGGAGATATGAGACAAGAACAAACCAGAAACTCAGTGAAATGAGCTGTGTGAATTAATGGTTAAACAAAAGAAAAACGAATAGAGCCACAAACTTATGGCTGTGGACAAATACCAAATTATTAGGCTCTAGTTATTTCATTTTACTGAAGGCTTATATAAAGCCTTGAAGTGTATGAAGTGTGGTGAAATACCCACCAAAAGAAAGAAAGAAAGGGTATCATGAACCCTTTACAAGAAGAAGAAGAAGAAGAAGAAGAAGAAGAAGAAGAAAAAAAAAGGTTTCTTTGTTCAATTACTCATATCTCTGCAGCTGCTTTCCATTATTACAAATTAAACCTCAAACTTCCACTTAAAATAAACACTCAAAAATTACAACATGGTATCAGAGTACACCGAAAATTTCAACAGAAAAATCGCCTTATCATCACAAGGGGAAAAACAAATTGCCCAAATGAGCGAAAGAAAACTATGATCTTAACTCGCCAACAGACATGCATGCTAAAACTAACAACCAAATAGAAACCAGCAATGTGCTCATAACAAGCAAGTCGCGGAGGAATCGTATCAGACGAACGAGTGAATCCGCGGGAACGGAGAGATGGAAACCGTTCGCATGCGTTCGGTGCATTCATTTTGAAATCATAAACGACGTGACTCAAAGAAGGAATGATGCGATTGCACGCTTGAAATGGATTTTGTGAAAAATTACCAGATAGAGAGATTGCCTTGGAATGTGGAAACGAGCTTTAATTTCGCGCGCTCTCCTCTAAAGGTGATGTTGAGAAGCGAGAGAAATGGCGACCTCCGTCGCTCTCTCCGGATTTTCGTTGTTGTTGATCCTCCTCTAGCGACCACGAAGACGACCAGCAAGAAGAATGGCAGATGGTGAGACCTCTTGGTGGAAGAAACGATAATTGGAGAGGAAAAAGAAAAGAGAGAACGAGAAGAGAGGAGAGGGAAATGAAGGGGAGAGAGACGGAAACCAGGGTTGGCGGTTGTAAAACAATTTTCAGAGGGGAGCGGAAATTGGGGAGCCGAAGCCAGGTGGTAGTCCTGTGGAAATGGAAAGCTACGCCTACCACTTGGTTGAGATGGCAGTCTCATGTACGCCGACCAATCGCTGATTGCAGCTGTGCACCATCCAAGAATGAATACAGCACACAGTGTGGGCTTGGACCCAAAACTGTGATGGGCTCTTTCCATTTCAACCCTTCAATTTGGTCGACGGTTGGGTGGGTTCATTGTGTTAAGAATATGTGCCTCTTCTCAGTTTCTCACTCTGCCTTTCATTTTTCCTTTTCCTTTACGATAGCAAAATTCTTCTAAATTTACCAAAAAAAGGATTTTATTCAATTGGTCCTAAAAATCAACTAGACTATGTTGCTCATACCATTATTAGTGAGCATGTGCTCGTACGGTGGGATTGCAGGCGGAGCTAAAGCCAACGGTCCATTTCAAGTGGCTCTAGGAATGACTTCTTATAGAGAGAACCTGATGCTTGGAAGCTGGAAGTCAGTCAGCCAAGGAAGAAGGACCCACTAACTAGCCCTTTTTTTTACAAGAAGATTCATATAATTCAAAACAAGAGTGAAGCTCAACGAGTTACAAAAACGGCCTAATAACATTGATAATGGTAATCCAATCCACAGGGTGTTTGTTACATACGCCGGATCAGGCAACCCTATTAGCCTTTGTATTAAGGTGTCAGCGGAAGAATTTGACACTCATCATCAAGTGATCCCTGAAAATATTCAGCATCATGTCAACCCATGTTGCCACTCTCCATGGCCACTAGCCTTGCTTTTGGTGGGCAACTTTTCTTTCACTTCATCAATCTCTTCTCTTCATCAATCTCCACCAACTTTTTCTCACTCGCTCACTCCATCAATCTCTTCTCTCTTTCTTTTTCTATTCCAAGAAAGATATCGCTTCCTCTTCCCTTCTCATCTCCCATCCTCGCCATCCAAGAGTGGGATACTTGTTGCAAGATTATTGATAATAGTTCGTTTACATGTAATATTTGGTCATCTCATAGTTCAATACTTATTTGACGTTTTCGAATATTTGCAGGGTCGTCCCATGATATTCTGAGGCCCTGTTCAAAAATTTAAAATGTAGCCCAGATTTTTTTCTTGCAAATTTGTTAAATAATAATAAAAACTACATAAGATCAAAAAATTGTTGCAAAAGTATTAAAATTATCTATTATTGTTCAAAAAGTAACATTAATAAGCATATCCTCGATTAGCCTTTCCATCTTATCTATATCTTTTGAGAAATGAAATCAATCCATATATTCTAAAATAGAATCATTAATAAGCATATCTTTGGATTGTAAATGTTTACTAACCGAATTTGATGAGTGCAATATTTCATACCAAATAACTAATGAAACAATAAACTCAAAATCACCAAGTTCATTTGTTCCAAAGATTTAGCTTCACTTCTTATTTTCTAATCGCCATTACTAGTATCCAGGCTCCTCAATTTCTCTATATTCTTTTAAGTTTAGAACTACCTTTTTCAATTTTTTTGGGCTGACATAATTAAAAATTATAAGCAAAGATTAAATGATTCCAAATTTTCAATCAATAAGTTCTCTGCAAAAGAGAGATTGGAGCTTCTTCTTCAAGGTTTAGAGAGAGAGAGACATGTGCTAAAGAAGAAGGAAAGAGAATTTCACCTACCCAAAGCTAGAGGAAGGCTGATTTCTTCTCCAAAGGGTTAATCAAGCATCTAATAAGAAGGAAGATCATCTTGCTGTGAGTTTTTCTTCTCTCTTATTTGTATTTTCTCCTCTAGCTATGGAGTAGTCTCCCATTTCACTTGGATGAACCCCTAGTCTAGGATGTGTTAGATTGTAGGAATTGAATTTATGTGTATTGGTTTGTGATTATTATAATGCTTGAGGTATTATTCATGAAATTTGGGTTTTGATTGTTCATATCTCAATTTTGGGACTAGCTGACCTAGAAGGTGGAAATTCCCTTATAACTCAATCTTGACAATTTGGGTAACCTACTCTAGGTCAATTTGAAACATTCCTCATTCATCGAATTAGTGTCATGATATCGTCTAATGTAAACCTTATTTGATCGGTTAAGAGGCTTAGGGTTTCCTAACTAATTGTGACAGTACTTACTCGATCGATTGAGAGGATTGGTGTTTCCCTAGCTAATTGTGATCTCCTACCAATATATGATCCTACCTATCACACTAGAGTTTTGTTTGTTGTATCTTGACACGAGGTTGGGGGAGCAATATCTGAGTGATTCTTTCTCAATCGAACTCACCAAAGTTTACTTGCTTGTTTAATTTGTTTAGTATTCTTAGCTTTAACTACAATCCAATCGCTAGATAATTTGTGAACAATCAAAGTAAGGGTAGATAGACCGCCCATATTGATATTGAAGTACTTACCCTATCTTACACCCTCTATAGGTTGCACTTGACCTATAATTGGGATTAAGTGTAGTGATAGCTCGAGTTAGACGGGCGTAAATAGGTTAATAGGGTTAATTAGGATAGTTTTTAAATTAATTATAATTCTTTAAATATCCTTAATAACTACTTAACATTTAACTTGCCAAAAACTAACTAAAACTCCGACAATCAATAGAAAGGCTTTAAGGTTCTCCTTAATGAATGAGGCTCAAGGATGGGAACTCAAGCCCAGCTAGTGGGGATGTGGCTAGCATCTCAACCATGTAAGCACGTGCTCACTATTCCATTGTGAGTACCATAATCGGATTGTCCAACAACGAGTGTATATTATAGTTAATTACATTAGAGTCCAAAAAATAAATTAAATAAACAAAAACAATGAGGAAGTGTGATAGACCATTATTTGCACATGTTTTGACCAACATTTTTGAACCGTTTAAGAGTCGATTCTCGTGTTTTAAGCCGATTTCACGCTAGATTGTTAGTTTATGTCATACTTCAGGACTTGGTGTGAACATGGAGGCTTGGAAGCGAGTTTCCGGTCGTAAAGTGGAAAGTTGGAGCTAGAGGAGTTGCCAGGCAAAAATACCCGACCGGGTAAGTGAGAAGGAGGCGACCGGGTAAAACTGTTTTGGAGGCCAAAGAAGCAGAAGGGGTCTCGGCCAGGAAGCTTAAATACCCGATCGGGTATTCTAATCCTCGACCGGGTATTTCCCCCCTTCCAGTGCGCTGCATTTTACTAATACCCGGCCGACCCCCAGGAATACCCGACCGTGTATTTAGGCAGGGTATCGCGATCTGCTGTTTTTAAAAGCAAAGTTGGCCTCTTTTGAGAGGGATCCAAGTTTTAGAGAAAGAAAGCAGAAACTTAGAGAGAGCGATGAACAGAACTTCCAAGTGCCCTAGATCGAGAATCAACACCATTGGAGCTCGGTTGAAGCTTGGAGAAGTGTCGATTGATTACCAGAAGCTGATTTTCATCCTTCACATAATGATTTCCGCATCTGAAGCTGATTTCTCTTCTCTCTCTATGGAGTAAACTCTCTCACTCACCTGGGTATGAAGAACCCTAGATTTGTATGTTAGGTTTGGTTGTATGAACCAAAGTACATGTTCTTTGATATCGATTATATTCAATTGAGGCATGGTTTTCTGAATTGCATGAATCCTGATCAAATTCATGTAGTTCTTGCTTTGACCTAGAAAGAGAATATCTGCCTAGTTTGATAGAGCACCTTTAATTGAAGGTAGTGAATTGACGACTTTAGTCGAGGAGTCAATTCACTATTCCGTACTGGATTTACTCCAGTAGAGGAGGTTTGGCACGTTAGGGCCTCCGTTTGTTTACTCCAGTGGAGGTTAGTCGCCCGCTAGGTATTCAGATTGAGGGGGTCTAGAGACCTTTAGTCAAGATAATGCCAATTCCTATCTTGTAGTAATCCGGAAAGTCCGGGTATCGTCTCTCAGGGACTGGTACAACCTTATGATTTATCAATTCTTTCGAGCAAACTATATGTGAAAATGTTTAAGAGATGAAATTATTAACTAAAAGCAAAATTAACTAAACAAATTAAGCAAGTGAAAACTGTCGGGTTTAATTCAATGGGAGAAAGCTCTGGGAGAAACACCGGGATTCACTACCTATCCTATCCAGATTAATTCACATATTCCAATCAATTTAATCCATACCTCTACAGCCAGGATATCACTACTGTGCTAGCTATCCCTGTCGGGAATTACTACGTACTAAATAATCAATTCAAATCCTACTGTCGTAGCTCAATGAATTAACTATATAGCCTGAAGATCGATATCCTATTTAAGACCGCATAGCACCTTATTTAATCCACTGTCGCTTCGATAAGTTACTATGTCACATGAAATAGGCTCGGTTAATAGGGTTTCACTGTCGCTAATAACCTAATTAACTACAAATCGTTGTATTGGTGGCCAGTCAACACAAAGCATTAAGCAATTTCATGCAATAGAGATTGGAAGAAAAGAATCATAAATCAATCCATCAAATCAAGAAATAGCTACATCCTATGGTGTTTCCCCCAGAAATTGGGGTTTAGTTCATGACGAAATTAAGATAAATCATTAGGGTTTTGTTCATCATGTTCTAAATCAACAAGAAACAACTAATTAGGTTCAGAAAATCCAACCAACTAATCGCTCTCGTTGCACTCAGCTCAGGTAACCTTGGAAATCTCAATCGCCAATTGAGAATCGCCCGGTTGCGTTTGCTCTGCTGCTCCGTGCGCTGCCTTCGCTTTCTCTCCTTTCTTTTTTTTCTCCTGTGTTCTCCGCCTTTTTTTTTTTTCCCTGCTGCCTTCCCTCCCTTTGATTCCGCCTCCCCTCTCTTTAATTAATTGCTTCTCCTCCCATAAAATTCTGTCCGCCTCCTCCAAAATAATTGCCTGTCTGCCCTTTTCCAATTACCAAGGAGTTTCGCCTCCAACCCAACAGCCAAGTCCAAATCGTCCAGCCCAAGCCCAATCTCGGTTCAACTCCTCAGTAAGTTTCGGTCCAATGTACATCCAGTCCACTTGAATTATTCTATCCACCAATGCAAATTTCTCGTTTCATTTACCTGAAATATATAAAACATTTGGCACTTGATGGTAATGGTTTTATAACCATTCCAGGCTTAGTTGGACCTCAAACAAGTATTATAGGTCTCAAACATATGATGAAAAAATCACATTAAGCACGCAAAATCAATATGTTTTCGACAATTATCACAACCCCACACTCAATACTTGCTTGTCCCTAAGCAACAATTCAGACAAGAGAACGATAATTGGAGAAAACACATCACAGACCAGGGATACACAACCTAACTCAAAACACAAGACACACGACACACAAAACATAACATCAACACCAGAAATTTATCATTGTACTCTTGTGATAATCAGTAGTTTCTTTCTCAATGGACAAGTTGTGCTTTAATGGTCATACCTTTCACCCCACACTCAAGTTCTTTGCAACCATTACCATTGACTGACTCAAATCCATCAAAAACTCAAATAGCAACACTCAATTTTGATCGTCGGTAGTGGGTGATTAACAACTTATGGTGCAACAATTATTAGGAGAATCTAACCACATCAGTGAGGTGCATATCTCGTGAGGACAATCTGGCTTACTCACACCAATCATAAGCAATTAATTAAGCATGAGTCTCAAAAACTAATGGGGGAAGCCTTTCGCAAACATGATTTTAACTTTAAGCACATCACTACCTTTTATGACAAGGAGAGGCTTTCTCTCTTTCTGTTTTTGCTTGCCGAGAAGTCGTATTTAGTACAAGTGAGATTTGTTTCTTACTACCGGTGACCGAGCAAGAGCAATTTCTGCTTCTTAGCACTCGCATAAGGGCTTCTTTCAACTCCTTTTCCTCGGTCCGTGTGGAGGGTCATTGTTCATCCTCTAATGGCACTTCACTCAACTGGGGATCGTACTTGATAAGCAACATCGTACGGTCGCGAACCGATTCTCAATTGAATCTTTCCTAATCCCCATGTGCAATGAGTGATTGCCTCACACGATTTTGGCATTTTTACCCACACTTTAATTGTTATGGCAACTTTCTTATATTTTACTTGTCAGGTAGTGTTTTCTTTTATGAAGATACAGTTCGCCCCATCATAAAACATTCAAAACAGAGAGACTCATTGCAAAATCAAAAGTTCACAATTGATGCAAGTAAGCACGGTATCCAAACATATCGAATGGTCAATGTTCTCCACCTAACTACTTCACCAAAAGTCGTTACACTATCCTCACAAAAGAGAATGTTGCTAAAAGAGTTGCTCATTCAAAGCATATCAAGTCAGTCAAAACATTCAAGCTCATTGTGAAGAACTATGCAATTCAACACTAGTGGGGTGATTTTGATGATTTCATTCAAGCAAAAACTCATTTTCAAGGCATCACGGTCATTTACATCATGTTACCACAAGAGTACAAGGTTTTGTTTTTGATTTTTCTGATTTTTAGGTGTTTTTTTTTAGCCATTAGATTAACACAGGCAGACTGCTTTTTACACAGGCAGACTGCTTTTTACACAGGCAAACTGCTTTTTACACAGGCAAACTGCTTTTTACACAGGCAGACTGCTTTTTACACAGGCAAACTGCATGCAGTTTGGCTGTGCTCAACCTAATGGCAATTTTTTTGTTTTTTTTTTTTTTGTTTTTTTTTTGTTTTTGAATTTTTTGTTTTTTGTTTTTGAATTTTTTGTTTTTTTTTTTTTTTACCACATGCAACATGGACAAACAACACTAAGACTCACCACCCCACACTCAGGATGGAACATTGTCTCTAATGTTCAACTCCTAATCTAAACATGCACGGGTTTGACACAACTAAAAAGAAAATTAAACAAAAGAAAACTTACCTTGGGTTGCCTCCCAAGAAGCGCTTGTTTAACGTCCTCAGCCTGACGTTCATGGAGCTTTCAACCAATGGGTATGGAAAGGTATCCAGCATACCCTCCCGAGCAATGATAGAATGCATAACCTCCATCCAGCATATGAGTCACCTCTGCAGGGCCAGGTGTGCGAAAATTGGGTATGACCTTCTTAGCTGGCATGTTAGACCCTTTAGTGAGGCGTAGGTGGTACTGCAGCGCCTCAAGCAGGTACTCTTCCTGTTTCAATGTCAGTGAAGAAGGAATAATAACAGGAAGATTGAAATCCTTACCCAAATATATATACTTGAGGTGACCTGGTAAGGATTTCTGTCCTTGCTTTGATTTCAGAATCTGAGCTGATAGGACAAGTGATTCTTCAACTGATCCACTATCACAGGAAGAGGAATTTTTCCTTTCTCGAGCTCCACTTTCAAGGTCATCAATTGCATCGTGATTATGATCAACTTGGAAGACATTAAAAATTTCCTCCTCCTTACCTACTCGGAATGTCAACTTGCCTCTCCCAACATCGATGAGTGCATCACCAGTTGCTAGAAAAGGTCTGCCGAGAATTAGAGGCACTCCCTGATCTTCTTCCATCTCCAGAATCACAAAATCTGTAGGGAGAATAAACTTCCCCACCTTCACCAATACATTCTCCACCACTCCCTTTGGGATTTTTACTGATCGATCAGCCAATTGGAGTGTGATCCGAGTAGGTTTAAGAACATCTCCCAATCCCAATTTCTTGTAGACTGAGTATGGCATCAAATTAATTCCTGCTCCAAGATCACAAATTGATTTATCGAACTCTCTACCTCCAATAACACATGGAATGGTGAAACTGCCCGGATCATCCCTCTTCTTTGGTAATTTATTCTGAATCACAGCACTACATTCAGAAGTAAGGGTTACCTTCTCCAGATCAGCCCATTTGCGCTTCTTAGTCAGCAACTCCTTTAAAAATTTAGCATATGTAGGCATCTGTTCAAGTGCCTCCGCCAAGGGTATGTTAATCTGAAGTTGCTTGAAGATATTCACAAATTTCTTGAAGTTTGGGTCTTCCATGGGCTTCATTAACCTTTGAGGGAATGGTGCGGGAGGTTCATAAGGTTTTACCTCTTCATTCTTCAATTTTTCCACTTTTTGAGGTACACGGGCAGCATGCTTTTGCACAGGCAAACCGCTTTCATTTTGCCTGTGCAAGGCTGATTCTTCATTTTCTGCACAAGATCTTTCTCCCGGTGCTTCCTCTTCTGCCTCTGGTACCTCTTTCGAGCTGCTAGGGTCTTCCAAGGCCTTTCCACTCCTCAATGTCACTGCTACAACCATGGCATCCTTCGGATTCCTCTCAGTATTTGCTGGTAATGTCCCAGGAATCCTGCCTTGCATATCTGCCAAAGTTTGAGCCATCTGTCCCATCTGCCTCTCCATAGCTAGCATAGACGATTGTAAATTATTGTTGATGGCTAGCTGTTGAGTGACAAATTGATCCAGGCCCTTGAAATTATTGTCTGTTTTCTGCATATGAGCCAAAATCAACTCCTCCAGCTGAGGCTTCTTCTCTGGTTGAGGCTGCTGCTGTTGAAAACCAGGAGGTGGGATGTTTCGAACACCAGTTGGGTTGTTGTTTGCCCAGGAAAAGTTAGGATGCTTCATCCATTGCGGGTTGTAGGTATTTGAATACATACCACCCTGGCCTTGATTTTGCTGATTGTTGATATAGTGCACATTTTCCAACTGATCAGACACCAGTGGACATAGATCCCTATGATGAGCACCTTCACATAATTCACAATAAGCAACCTCCTCTTGTCTACCAAGAGCCAACTTAGCCAGCCTTCGTTCGAGTGCATCGAACTTGGAATCCAACTTAGCATCAATCTTTGCTTCTAAGCTTGCAACTCTGTCTATCTCATGCAAGTCTCCTCTCCTTCGAATGCCGGTCTCAATCCCCCATTCAGTATCTTCAGAGCATATCTTCTCCACCAGTTCATATGCTTCTGGTGCTTCCATTCTTGTGAAACCATTTCGGGAAGCATTATTCAGAGCATCTCGAAATTGTCTTCTGATTCCGTTGAAGAAGATGGAGATCACATTCCAATCTTCGAGACCGTGGCTCGGGCATCTCATTAGAAGCTCCTTATAGCGCTCCCATGCCTCGGTCAGACTTTCATCTTCAGCTTGTTTAAAAGTGACTATTTCCTCTTGCCTCTTCATTGCCTTGGCAGGAGGAAAGTACTTATCCAAAAAGGTCTTCTCAAGCTGACCCCATGTTGTGATGGAACGGGGTGTCAAGTTCTGGAACCAGTGTGATGCATTCCCAAGCAGAGAAAATGAGAACATCCGAAGACGGATGGCATCATCAGACACAGCCGGGCTCTTCATAGTGTCACAAATGTTTGCAAACCGGCGGAGATGTTCATGAGGATCCTCGGTGCTGGCCCCTGAGAAGGTGTACCCATTCGTGATCATATTGATGAAGGCTGGGGCAATCTCCATGTTTGCATCCCCAGCCGGAATGACAACACATGAAGCTCGGGCTCCAGTCCTCCGATTCAGACGAGCCCTGATCGACCGATCTTGTTCAGCCATGATGACAGGCTCGATGACGCGCGGCGGTGGTGTAGGTGGTGTAGGGATGACAGGTGGTGTCACCTGCCTTCTCGGTTGACGATTCTGAGTTAGGGAAGGCCTAGGAGTTGTGGATGTGGTAGGCTGCTTCCCTAACTTGACCTGCTTCCTGTTCTGTCGGCAGGTCCTCTCGATCTCGGGATCTAGTGGCAGTAAATTGCCAGTCGTCCTCCTTGGCATGCACGAGGAGGATTAGCCTGAAAAATTCACCTGCACACTAACACCCAGATCAAAACAGTTCACTCACAAAAATCAATAAAAATAAGGTATGGCAGTCCCCGGCAACGGCGCCAAAAACTTGATAGGGCAAAAGCGTAATGCCAATTCCTATCTTGTAGTAATCCGGAAAGTCCGGGTATCGTCTCTCAGGGACTGGTACAACCTTATGATTTATCAATTCTTTCGAGCAAACTATATGTGAAAATGTTTAAGAGATGAAATTATTAACTAAAAGCAAAATTAACTAAACAAATTAAGCAAGTGAAAACTGTCGGGTTTAATTCAATGGGAGAAAGCTCTGGGAGAAACACCGGGATTCACTACCTATCCTATCCAGATTAATTCACATATTCCAATCAATTTAATCCATACCTCTACAGCCAGGATATCACTACTGTGCTAGCTATCCCTGTCGGGAATTACTACGTACTAAATAATCAATTCAAATCCTACTGTCGTAGCTCAATGAATTAACTATATAGCCTGAAGATCGATATCCTATTTAAGACCGCATAGCACCTTATTTAATCCACTGTCGCTTCGATAAGTTACTATGTCACATGAAATAGGCTCGGTTAATAGGGTTTCACTGTCGCTAATAACCTAATTAACTACAAATCGTTGTATTGGTGGCCAGTCAACACAAAGCATTAAGCAATTTCATGCAATAGAGATTGGAAGAAAAGAATCATAAATCAATCCATCAAATCAAGAAATAGCTACATCCTATGGTGTTTCCCCCAGAAATTGGGGTTTAGTTCATGACGAAATTAAGATAAATCATTAGGGTTTTGTTCATCATGTTCTAAATCAACAAGAAACAACTAATTAGGTTCAGAAAATCCAACCAACTAATCGCTCTCGTTGCACTCAGCTCAGGTAACCTTGGAAATCTCAATCGCCAATTGAGAATCGCCCGGTTGCGTTTGCTCTGCTGCTCCGTGCGCTGCCTTCGCTTTCTCTCCTTTCTTTTTTTTCTCCTGTGTTCTCCGCCTTTTTTTTTTTCCCTGCTGCCTTCCCTCCCTTTGATTCCGCCTCCCCTCTCTTTAATTAATTGCTTCTCCTCCCATAAAATTCTGTCCGCCTCCTCCAAAATAATTGCCTGTCTGCCCTTTTCCAATTACCAAGGAGTTTCGCCTCCAACCCAACAGCCAAGTCCAAATCGTCCAGCCCAAGCCCAATCTCGGTTCAACTCCTCAGTAAGTTTCGGTCCAATGTACATCCAGTCCACTTGAATTATTCTATCCACCAATGCAAATTTCTCGTTTCATTTACCTGAAATATATAAAACATTTGGCACTTGATGGTAATGGTTTTATAACCATTCCAGGCTTAGTTGGACCTCAAACAAGTATTATAGGTCTCAAACATATGATGAAAAAATCACATTAAGCACGCAAAATCAATATGTTTTCGACAATTATCACAAGACTTCAGACTGTTTGAGAACCTTCCGCATTATAATTATCATTGAATCTTGACTTGGTGAATTACAACTTGGCTTAACTGCAATCTAGGTGGAACCATATCTGGGTGACCTCTCTCAAACTTGAATCGCAACCTTTACTGCTTTTGCTTGCTAGTTTAGGTGAAACTTCACAACAGTTGAACCGCTAATAACAAGAACTTCACAGAGTAGCCATCACACCTAGGACTCGGGTTGACAATTAAATCTAAACCCGCTATACTACGCATTAATAGGTGGTTACACTTGGCCACTTTCTAGTGTGACAGTACAAGCGAGTCAAAGTGTTTACTCATAAAAAATCAGCTTGTATCACATCGATGAATTACAAGAGAATCAATGGATTTATAAGGCCAGCTCAACATTAAACATTAAATGAGCTAGTTGGGCCTTATTGGTCGGGTTTTTTGGCCCAAGTGGCCAAGCGGTCGGCCGCCCCATAGCCGGACGATGTCTCCACCTCCTTAGTATGAAATTCGGCTCCCAAAAAACTATGTCTGGAAATAAGGCGTCAAAACAGGGTGTCAAGCCGACGAAAGAGGCTTGGTAGGTTAAGGGTACCAAGCTGGCAAGACAACCCTGGTATCCAAACATGAAATTTGGCTAAGTAAAGAGCCAAGACGGTGACAAGCCTGTAAGGCAAGGCCTGGTACCAAGACACCAAGGGGGTACTAAGCTGGCAAGGCAGAGCTTGGTGCCAAGATATAAAATTTGGCTAAGTATGGAGTCAAGAAGGCACCAAGGCAGCAAGACAGGTTTTGTAGAAAGGCGGCAGGGTACCAAAGAGCTGACATGGTATCAACTTGATCGGGAATTGTTGTATAGCCTCTTAGGAGGCAATATGGAGATTAAGTCCCAAGACGAGCTTGGTGGCCCCCTAAATAAGGTACCAAGTCGGCAAGGTACCAACTAGATGAAATTCTGAAAACGAAGTATGAAGATCAAGCCGGCAAGGCTAGCTTGGTGGCAGGGGCCGACATGACTGACTTGGTAGCCGGGGGTATCAAGTCGTAGAAGTAGTTGGAATGGACTTGCTAGCAAGATGGTAAGAGTGACTTACCAACACATCAAGGCAATAAGGTATAAAGCTAACAAGACGAGACATGGTGAGTAAAGATGCCAAGTTTTAATCCTGTCTAGGTGGGTAACAAGGCTTAGCTAACAAGACGAGGATGGCAAGCCGAGAGACGGGTTAGGTAACAAGACGAAGATGGTACTAAGTCGGCATCAAAGGAGCTAAGTATGGAACAAGACGAAGATGGTACTAAGTCGACATCATAGGAGCTAAGCATGGAATCATCAAGGTGTCGGGGGTCGTCAAGGAGTCCTGATGGGAGGGTCGATGTGATGGAGGCAAGACAATGAGGCTCCGACCCTTTCTAGTCAAGACGAGGCGGCAAGATAGACCTCCACTCATCAAGCCTGATGCCAAACCAATCAGATGACAGTTACCAACCAGTCAACAAGACAAGGTAAGGGGCTCAAGGTGATGGAAGTGAGCACCAAGGCGACGGCTCGTTAGCAGTTACCAAGATGGGGAGGGGTCCCTAAGGCGATTGGAGCAACAGGCCAGTCAGCGATTACCAAGACAGTTACACTTGGTGTCTATAAATAGGAGAAACGAAGATTGTAAAAGGGTTCCACAACCAATCATTTGACACACCATGTCAAACTTTTATCTTTTCTCTGCAAATTAGTTGTAGCCTTTAGTTTTCGTAGCTCTCACTGAACTTTCATTGGAGTAGGTGTGATTAACTTAGCTTGTTCCCAAAAAATCATCTACACATCAAACACTCTCGTTCGAACATTGTTCGGAGTGGTGTGAACCGTTTTAGTTTTGTTGTTCAAGAAGTCAAAGGTGCAAATCATTAAATTCAAACACCAGATTTTCCTCGTCGGAAAATAGGAAGCCAACTAGGGGTAGGCATCAGTCGATTCGGTCCAGAACCAAATTGAATTGTGATAGGACCGATAAACATAGAAAGAAATGATGACTAGAACAAGACCAAACGCATGTTGGTTCATTTGATTCAATCGGTCTGGTCCAAATTGATCCATTTTTTCATACTTAAAATAATTTATAGAATCCAAATTGAATAGAAATATATTTGATCCGATTCAATTCTCGTTGGTGATCCACATATCGAGTTCGGTCCAGTGCGAAGGAGATGGTTGCCCTGCCCACCCCTGGAGCCAACGACGTAGAGACTAGACAAACTGTTTGTAAGGAAATGTAAGGCACGTGAGAGGAAAAAGTGGTGGGATGGTAATGGAACCTTTGTTTTCTCAATCGGAGCATAAGGAATATACCCTCCGATTCCCTGACGGGATCCGAGCGTCGTCTTGATAGATGGCTGTTCGAACTTCGACGTAATTATCAAACCTTAACCATGCAACCGCAACAGTTATTAAGAGATTGCCGGCACCCGGCGGGATACTTCCGTCGGTCCGACCAATGACTTTAGTAGTACTTTTTGCTTCATCATTATTATATTTACTACAAGCCTCTCAAGTTGTTTTTGTTTTTATGGAAATGCCCAGGCCCAGCCATCCGAAGTCCAGACTAAATAAAAAACTAACGAGAGAATATATGGGAAATTTCTCTGGCCGTCAACGTGACGGAGGACGGCGACGGCGGGTACCCGCTCCAGCCAAAAAAAATCTTGGCGGATATTCAAAAAAGGCACAAGAAAAGGGACCCGAAAAGGGCAGTGTTTGGTCCAACGTGGCAAACGAGGTGTGCGTGCTCCCCCATAGATTACTCAGCTCACCCACCTCACGACGAAAAAGAAACGATCTCCCTAACGTGACTCCTTCAGTCATATCTTTCCATTGAAATAATGTTTCCATGCCGGCCACCTCACGGTTCTACCATGCGGCCCTCTTTTCTTACCCGTCTGATCTCCAACAACAAATAATGGTCTTATTTAATTAACAAGAAGGGGCAGTGGACCGTTTGCAAGGTAAGGATGGTCAAGTAACGAAGAATTAAACATTTGAAGGTGGCTATTGATGTGCAAATGTGGCCTACACCAACAAGTATATTATAATTGGAGCCATATTGGTCCTAAGAATGATTTGGGTAAATGGATTAATTGTTAATTTCTGTGTTTGTAGAGTTAAATAACTCAAAGTTTAAGTTTATTCCGATGAAAATAATTTTAGATGAATTCTTTTTTTATCTAAACAACTTCAACTTACAATGTGTTTGGGTCAAATTAACTCACTTGGAGTTCTTTGGGCCGTAAGTTAATTGAAAGTAATTTTGTTACCCCTATATTATTGTCAAATACCACATGTCAAATACTAAATGTAAACGATTAAGCCAAACGAAATATTTTTATACTGCATGTTAAATTACCACCTAAATCGACTCACGAACAAACTATGTAATGTCTAAGAGCATATAATTAATTCAATGACTTTCCCACTGTTTTGCTACTTAGATCCCATATGCTCAAGGCTTAAAAACAAAATCCCATAAACTCAAAATCACAACACTAAAGATAAGATAGGCTAACGGTAAGCTGCCGCGATAGTGAAGGCTTGAGAGTTATACACCTCAGGTTCGAATCCAAGTGAAACCCGTTGAATGCGAAAAGCCACAAATTTAATAAGACCCACTGTTACAAAGTGGCACGTGAGGCAGAGATATGTACGGTAGCACAAGTGGAGCTCACGTGAAGTATGGTAGGGCGAGCATCACAGAATAACAAGTGGCCAGCTATTAGCAAGCTGGGCGCCCCGGAGTTTGAGTTCCTCAGCCTGCCCGCCGGTTTTCTTGGTTGGCTTGGCTGGCTCGCCATTGCCTCGTACCAGCATCAAACATAAAGAACTCCGCTAACCTTCCTGCCAAAAATTTTATTTTCATTTTAATCTATTAAATATTGGAATTTCCATTTCCGTTTGCTTCATTGCTTTTATAAAACGCATTTCTCCTCAGCTTACCTATCCTCGCAGCCGCAACAGCACAGTTCCTTTCTCCCCCTCGTTTTTTTGCTCCTTCGCCATCACCAACCGACGTCTCCTGATTCCAGTTGACTCTCCTGGGAAGGTGCTTTCCAGGGTTTTAGGCTGCTGTGCCCGGCCACCAAACAAGAAGAATGGCTTTCTCCAGTCTCGTCAGATCCGCCGCCGCACCTCTCGCCGATGCGGCTTCCCGATCCACCCTCTCCCCTTCCTTCTCCTGCGATCGGTTCAAGGTACGAATCTAATGTCGTTTGCGCTTTTCCCCCCACTTGGGTTCTACTTCTTTCTTCATTTATCATATTGGGTGCAATTTGTATTTTTGACTGGTAAGAAAAACGGAAGTAAGCTAGGATACTCTGGTTATGTAACGACGAGCGCTTTCAATCTGTGGTGCGAGCTAGAATACGATAATTCTACCATTCTGCTTATAATTGGTGACTGTTTTTTATTCAGGTTTCTAGCGTTGGCTTCTCTTCAAAGGGCGTCTTCGGTACCCCGGTTCCAACTACCTCTTCTTCATTCCAGTTGAGTCATTTTTATTTGCGTTAATGCTCTCTGCAGACGTTTATTTACTCAATGAGTTGTAGCTCAGTCGCTGTGTTCGTCTTTTCCAGGACTCGCAGTGCAAGAAGTATTCGGCCCATCAAGGCCACAGCTACTGAAATTCCTCCCACTGTTCTGAGTAAGATTGCGGCCTGTCCTTGTGGCATTTCACTTCTTTTTTCAAATCTGGGATCAGGTGCTCACGTTGTTCATTTCATTGTCTGGCTCATTTGAGCTTTTCCCAGAATCGCGGACTGCCGGGAAGACAAAGATTGGGATCAATGGTATGTACCTGTGCTTATGTTTTGAACTTACCGATATCTTATTGCCTTTTGACCTCGAGCTATTGCTTTGTTCTGCACCCAACGAGTACATATACAGATTGCTGCCATGTGCGATGATTTCTGTTAAAGCTTAGAATAGAATAAGGTTATCTATGAAATCTAATGCTGGAACAAAGGCATATAACGTTAATTGCTTCTGTTTATGAGTATAAGCTCCAAAACTGTCAATGTCGTGATACTTTTGTGGTCTATCCCTTATGAAAGAACTAAGCCCTCTTGTAAGTGAACATAGAAGGATTGTCTGACTTAGCATAAATGAAGGGCTTCTACCGGATGGCTTCTAGTAATGTGTCTCCTGGATATAGTTATCTGGATTCCGACTAATAGCATGACTGGGCTAATGCAGGGTTTGGCCGAATAGGAAGATTGGTTTTGCGTATTGCCACGTCTAGGGACGATGTGGAAGTTGTGGCAGTCAATGATCCTTTCATTGATGCTAAGTACATGGTAAGAATTGGCTTGGTAACTAATAACGTTTATTTTCTCTACACTCGAAGTGAAAAAGCTCTTCGGTGATGGATAAGTTGATTAATTGTACTGGATTGTTCTCTAAAGTGTTATTCAAAATGTTTCATTTGAAATTTGAGGATATACTTGTTCCTGCACTGAAATCAGAAAGCAAAGGACATCTTTTCATTTGATTCGAAAATAAATTCTCCTTCACTGTATTTATTTCATTGTGTGCAGGCTTACATGCTCAAGTATGATTCTACTCATGGAGTTTTCAACGGATCCATCAGTGTTGTGGATGAGTCTACCTTGGAAATAAATGGAAAGCAACTCAAAATCTCTAGTAAGAGGTATTAGGCTGGCACCTTACTCACCATTAGTTATAGGATTTCCTTAATTTACATAGTTTCATCCGGAAGAAGATCACCTTGAACGGTGAAAAGCTTTTGTTTTGTTTCAAATGTGGGTTCACCCAGTTAACCTTCAAAAGTGTTTTATCTGTTCAGGGACCCTGCAGATATCCCATGGGGGGATTATGGGGCTGAATATGTAGTTGAATCTTCTGGTGTCTTCACAACTATTGACAAGGCTGCATCTCACAAAAAGGTTTGTAGTTTTTATCTGTCTGAATCTTCCAAAATTTTAGTGGGCTAACTTGCTTTGTGTTCTACATTTTATAAAGGGAGGTGCTAAGAAAGTGGTCATATCAGCTCCCTCCGCTGATGCACCAATGTTTGTGGTTGGAGTAAATGAGAAGACATACCAGCCTAACATGGATGTTGTTTCTAATGCCAGCTGCACGACAAACTGTCTTGCTCCTCTTGCCAAGGTAGTGTCTTGCCCTCCTAAAACTTCTGCGCTTAATTTTGGGGGTGTCGAGGATGTGATGTGATGCTTCTGGGACGGGAAAAGATTGGATGAGAAGGTTTGATTGTCGAAGCTAATTTTGGATTGCTTGAATGTCTTGTAGGTTGTTCATGAGGAGTTTGGTATTCTTGAAGGGCTAATGACAACTGTACATGCAACTACAGGTCTCTCTTCAACTCTGTGCTTCTCTCTCTTGTTCTACTGCATATGCATGCATGGATGTCAATCAACTATATGAATCATGATGCTAACACTTAAGTTCTCCTTGCAGCAACCCAAAAGACAGTAGATGGTCCGTCGATGAAAGATTGGCGTGGGGGCCGTGGAGCTGGTCAAAATATCATTCCCAGTTCTACTGGTGCAGCAAAGGTATTGGTCCTCTGATTTTGAGGATGGGTAGAAGAAAAGCCTGAATCCTTTTAGACAAAAATAAGAGAACAGCTGTGACTAATTGTGTTCATTGTCTGGTAGGCTGTTGGAAAGGTACTTCCAGAGCTCAACGGAAAGCTTACTGGAATGGCTTTCCGTGTACCAACACCTAATGTCTCTGTTGTGGACTTGACTTGTCGGCTTGAGAAGGGTGCGTCATATGAAGATGTGAAAGCTGCTATTAAGTATGACCCAGTTGACTTGATTTGTACTATGCTATTTTATCTGGTCTCTGATGCTATTTGGAAGGACTAAGTTTTGATTCTAACTTCTTAAAAGGTATGCATCTGAGGGGCCATTGAAGGGCATTCTTGGATATACTGATGAGGATGTCGTTTCCAATGATTTTGTTGGTGACTCAAGGTCTGTTCTCTCTCTCTCTATCTCTCTCTCTCTCTCTCTCTCTCTCTCTCTCTCTCTCAGTTTGATGTAGACAGGATGAAGTGGTATGTTTGTTTGCTGCTTTTTTTTTTTAAACTCTCCTTGTTAGAGGTCAGAGGAGAATGGTTGTCACGCGTGCCACCGGTTGTACCGGGTTCTACCGGTACCGGTCATAAAACCGGCGTGACACCACCGTCCACCGGTATGACCAGCATGATCGATATACGAGTCTCTAAGTAAAATGACTTTATTTTAGAGAATTTAATTAATAAAATTTATTTTATTATTTATTTTATGAGTATAAAAGTTAAATATTGATGTTATTTGTTGGATTCAAGTATAAATGCTTAGGTATTGACGTTAAATGTCATGTTTAAATATGAGTATTTATAATTTTATTTGTAATATTGGCCGGCATGAACCGGCACAAACCGGTATGTGCCACCGGTTGAAGTTGAAGTGTTGAACCATTCCACTTGCTAAACCGGCACACTGGCATAAACCGGTTTGACAACCTTGCCAGTAGATGGTACTTTTCGTCGTTACTATCGTTGGGACTCTGAAGGTGTATGTATTTTTCAGATCAAGTATATTCGATGCGAAGGCTGGGATAGGGTTGAGCAATTCCTTCATGAAGCTGGTGTCTTGGTACGACAATGAGTGGGGATACAGGTACCGAACCTCTCTCTTGCTCTGTCTGTGTTTCTTGTTTGTGCTTATCTATTTTCACAAGTTGGCAATGATGTGGTGCTTTCTGTTTTTCCCCAGCAACCGTGTGCTGGACCTCATAGAGCACATGGCAATGGTGGCAGCACAGAAGTGAGATGGTGTTAGAGAGGGGAGCTTCTCTGCTGCAATTGCTCATGCTGCCATGTTGGTCGAGAAGGATAGTAGTTTGGAATTTGGTAGTTGTTTTTTTTCCCTTTCCCCTGTTGGCGTGAGAGTTTTCTTTTTGTTGTTGATTTGAATGTCAAAAGGCAAGAATAATTGTGTTGAATTGAACACATTGACGTCAGCCAAGTTAGGACTGGCACGTACCCTCTCGATGTAGGAGAAATGGAGAATTGAAGCATGGTGAACTGAGTGGCCTTGCTTCGGTCTAGTTTGCTCTACAACTTATATTATTATATGTAGGGGTGTCAAATCGGTTTTGGGTTTTTGGTTTAACCCGAACCGATAGTGAGGCTTGTCGGGTTCGGGTTCTCGGTTTCAGCTCTCAAGCGGTTTTTCCGGTTTCGGTTTCAGTGGAATTCGAAAAACCGATATGGACTCGAATGACTCGAAATTTTACACGGTGACGTTTTGGTTTCTTTTTGTGGATCCCCTTCACTTCTCATTTCTCAATGGACAATCTCTTTGCCAACCGTACCCTGAAGCGCAGCCGCACACATCGCGAACCCTACCTGCAGGCCGCAGCGCTTCGCCATTCCTTCGTCGGCGAACTCTTCCTTCCCCTCAATATCGAAGCTTTCCCAATCACTGCATATGGGTAGTGCAACCCTTCTTCGATATTGTTTTAGGGTTTCCTGGCTTCATCAATTGCTCACCTGGATTCATCGCCTCAGTTTCTGGCTTCATCGATTTCTCCCCTTCAATCTTCATTGATTCGAAATCAAGCAGCTCCTGTTACTCTGTTTTCTAACCTCGGCTATGGCTTCCCAAAAGTATTAATAATGAACTAATATTTTAATAATAAACTAATGGTGGCGTCTTCGGTGCACTCACTTTTTTGGGTGCATTCAGTGCACTCGCTTCATAATCGTCATTTAAAACATGAGATTTATGTCAAAATGATGTCAATCATCACTTATGTTGTGATGAACAATAACGCACATGAATTTGCACAAAAACCATGAAAGATTTGCTTTAATTTGAAGGATTTAGAGTTTAAAGATCTAGGGTTAGGGTTTACAGTTTGGGGTTTAGTGATAGAACTCAAAATTGGAGGTCTAGGGCTTAGGGTAATCCGCTAATTAGTTGTTATTATATGTTATATCATCATATTATACTAATTCTACAAATTAAAATTCAAAATCCGACTCCTTAAGACTAGTTTTTGAGTTGGGTGCACTGAACGCACTCATTTTTGTGAGTGCGCCGAAGTAGTCACCATAAACTAATATATACTATTAATTTTATATTGTCCACGTCCCATAAATTTAAACATAATATTTTAATAAGAATAAAATTGTTTGTACAAGCAAAAGAATCTATAGTTCAAATAAAAAAAGTAAAAAAAAAATCACAACGGTTCGGTTTCGGGTTCACCCGACCCGATCCGAAACCGCCAGCATATTTTTCGGGTTTCTGTACCCGAAACCCGCAAGGTATATGTTCGGGTTCGGTTTGTGTGGTCTCGGTTTTGGTTTTTTGGGTTTTCCCGGGTTTCAAGTTCGGCTACCCGAACCGACAGGCCTAATTATATGAAATGCCAGTCTAATTCAGGAGCTTAATTTATTCACGTTACTATATTTGGGCCCGGCCATTGGCGGATGAATCACATCAATATATACAAAATAATAATAGTTATTATTTGAATAATTTATTTAATATTATAAAAAGAATGCAGGTTATTCAATTACTAAAAATATAAGAAAAACAATATGCATCAAAGTTTAAACAATAAAACTCATGCAAGTAACTAATTCCTAAAAACTTAATATTAAAACGCACTTTAATTTTCTCTTTGATGTTACATGTTACAAAAAACTAAATTTTCTTTTGGATTTATTTTTATATTCATCATCAATAGTCTCATCCTTCTTCTCTTGTATTTCATCGAAAAACCAAATTTTAATGATAAAATGTTTTGAACTGTGAAACATCTATTCACGATGTAGAATTTCACCTCATCCAAATCATAAATATTATCAAATTCGCTATTTCCTCTCATCATTAAAATTTATATATCCACAATCAATAATCTCTTTCTTTATCTCAATAACGTCATTATATCTATCATTGAATTCGCTACCTTTGCTATTAGCATACTCTTCCTTCTTCTTCTCCATTTCACTGAATACAAAAATTTAATGAAAAAACTTTTAGAATGGTGAAAACTCCATTTTAAATAACTTAAATTTACCCATTAAATATCATAAATTTTGTTTGAGATTGCTCTTTTTCATCCTTCAGTATATTCAAAACTGTGTAATCACTTAAGGGGTTCGTGATGTTGGAACATATGAGCTTGATATGAAAATTGGACTTCATGCTCTTAGTTTGTATGGGATGAGGAAGTAAATGTTCCTCATTTTGTCACTATTTTTGAAGTAGACATTACAATATAGATAACAATGTTGTCTACAACTCGCATCTAATCTCGAATCTATAAAATTACAACAATTGAGATATACTATTTGGTCCAAAACTTTATGTTTTAGTAGGTATATTGCTTTCTCTCAAATGAATGAACTTGAAGTTAAAAACAATAAAAGAGTAAAGGTAGGTTGCTACCTAACTACTATTGTCTTTGATGTTGTATAATTCTTATAAAATTACTCATTGTAATCTTTTTCAACTTTTCTTTGGAAAATTTCAAATAGTATGGCTTTTATAATCCAACATTTTTTAAATAAAAGTTGAAACGAATGAGTTATAGTTCACTGAATTTACGGGAAATTGAAAAACCCTTAACTATAGCTCTTGAGATTTATGTCAGTTGTAAGTAAAGGAGGATAGCAAGAAAATAAAGAAATCACATATTTACATAGTTCACTAACACAACAAGTGTATGAGAAATATATAATACATCTCCAAACGGATTAATCCTAATCCAATCCGTGACTTCTAGTTGACAACAAATAATCCGAGTTATAATAAAGAGGGATAATGAATACCTCAAAACCTCACAATAAAAAAAAAATAATATGAACACACCAATCTATATACACACGTCAGAACCCTCGGCTAAATTTTACAAAATCATATTTCCTACCTAAAAATAATATAATAATTGGTTTAATAATGTTTTCCTAATAAATCTCGTTTTCCATTCATATAATTAACAAAAGTGTTCGGCTTAAAGGAGAAAAATATCCTTCCTAAAAATTATTCAGAAGGCTCGAAATTGAGAATTAAACACCTTCTAGTGGAAAGGCAAAGTAGGTTAGCTGTTTTAGGGCGTTAATTTCAAATATTTAAGGCGTTAAATAAAAATTCAAGTTGCTTATTGGTCTGTTAAAGTCGGTTTGGTCTTTCCACAAAGCCACATCTCGGCCGTAGAAATTGATATCCAAGGGCGGGTAAAACATGGCACAAATAAATAAACTAAACTAAAAAATTGTTAAAACCGAATGCGTTTTCTGACAGCAACTAACCGGCTCTTTATTTCCGTCCGTACCCGCAAACGAAGAGCTCCGCTTCTTCTCTCTCGTTCCCCCCTCCTTTACCCTACTTCCGCAGTCTACTCGATTTCCCGCTCGAACATCGCGGTTTCCGGTTGATTTGTCTGGAGCAACTCCGCAGTCGTTCGAATTTTTCACCCTCCGGATTGAGATTCTCGTTGCGGCCGAGGTCCTTGCCTTACGCTTCGGTAATCTGCGGTCCCGGTCAGGTGAGTTGCTTTGCTCCAAGCGAGTAGCGTAGGAAGGTTTCTAGATCTCGTTATTCCATAGTTTTCCGAAGAGCATATTATGGAATTCTTAGTCGAATCGTGCTTCGTGCCTTAGATTTTCGTCTGTGCATGCCGGTGATCCTGCTCTTGATTTGTGTTTACCGTAATTTAGGTTTAGAGTTAACTGGTTGCTTCTGCTCTTAACTCTACATTGTGTTAATTCTTGGGTCTTCTTTTCCCTTGAAGTTGCGCCTTCGTTCGCTGGTATATGTACTCGGGAGTTTCTGCAGTACAGGAGAAAGAGAACAGCCTAAGCGTAAGTTCCAACTCCCTCAATGTCTTAGTTAAGCTCCGTTTATATGAATATGTGATGCTTACTATATCAATACACTCTGTATGCGAGATTATGAAAAACTTATTTGCATTGCTGCGATAAGACCTTCATCTCTCTGTTTCTTAATTTGGCTTCGTGTAATTGAGTTTTCGATTTCTGTTACTAGGTTGTCTAATATCAGTTGAGTTGAAATGGGGCTTGAGGCTGCCAAAGAGGCTGAACCACTGGAAAGAGGTGGTCTTCAATCCAGCTATTCTTGAGCTAGTAACTTGCATTCTTCATCTCTTATATTCAGGTAGGTGGAGAATGTATTCTGGAATCTGTTTTTTGTGAGGAAGGTTGGATTAAATATGCTTGCATCCATCAGATTGATTCTGATGGATGAATTGATCGAGTCTTAGAGCCATGTTAGTGTGTGGATGGTGTGACTCGAGAGATAAATGTATTGTAGAAAGTGAATCACATTTTTGTGAGGTTGTCTTTTGGTGTCCTCATATCTGAGTTTTGTTTCCTATTTAGTTGAATTTTATCTGTGCAAGCGTACTGATTCTATGGCTCTTCAATAAAGTAGTTGCCACCACTCATTCGTTATTCTTTTTCCTTCTAGTCTAGCTTTTGTTTTGTGTTTTTGATGATGCTTTCGTTGTTTTAAGTTCATAGACGGCATTCATCTCCTATGAATATTGCTCACTCTTGACAGTTTTCTTTTCTGCAGACCCACTGTTGGATCTTTTGTTGTTCCTCGACTTTCTTCCCATCATTGCTTCAGCAATTACTTCTCTCACAATACTTCATGGTAGGTCACTGTTCACTGGAGAATCCATTCTTAATTTGAATAGATACCAAAAAGAGGATTGGAAAGGCTGGATACACGTTTGCTTGCTATGGTTGCAATGTTTTTCAACTTGTGATATGATGGCAGAACTTCCTATAGATTGTATATTAGATTGTAACAGTTGCCATTTATTACTTCTGTATATTATCACAAAAAACTCTTTAAGCATTGCCAGTAAGAATTATTCTTCCTATCATTGGTGTCAGGTGCTGTTTTTTATGTATCATTACTTTGCTGCAATATGATGCCATCAGAGTGTTTATTGCTGCATATGTCTGGATGACTGGATTTGGTAACATCTTGTATTACTATTTGCACGAGTGATATGGCTTTGTCACTTGTGTACAGGTAAGATATCTAAATTCTAAGGTACCGTAAAACTCACCTAAACAAACAATCTCACTTCAGGATAACTTTTTAACAATTATAGCCTAATGTTTTCAATCAAACCTTATACTCCTAAAAGTTAAGTTTGAACTCCTAGAATATCTTCAGTTAAGAGTAAAGATCCAGCAATCGCACCCTCTTACATGTTAAATTTCATTTTACAAATGGGATACATGTTTGATTATTTTGGTACATAGCAGATTCATACCTCCTGCCTACCCTCTCATCAGCAAAGTATCATTGATATCATACCAGTTGTAATTTAAGCATAGAGCACTTTTGCACTCTCAGCTTTTGACGATCTGGGCATTAGTTAATTACTCGACTCTCTGCTTCTTTCAATACACAGTGTTTTTAATTCGAAGGAAACATGGCTGCCAAAAAGTGTGTTATTTCTCTGGAGTAGGCTGATTTGAAGGGGAAGAGAGTGTTCGGCAGCGTGGATCTCAATGTTCCTCTCGACGAAAATCAAGAATGCTGACGACACCAGGGTGCGCGCCGCCCTTCCCTTCATCAAGTACTTGATGAATCACGCTGCCAGAGTCATCCTCTTCCTCTCACTTGGTATTTGATCTTTTCCCATCTCAGCATCAAATCAATCTGTTTCTGTTAGTTGATCTGGGTATTTGCTTCTGTATACCATTTGTGTCCTTCCACTCTCCATGATCCTTCTGATCGTTGACCAGTAAACTTTTTTTCTGTTATAGTGCTTGTGTGTGTAAGATTTGATATCACTTATTTGAATGTTCCACGAATTAGTGTCGTTGGTTTTCCATATTGGATATCACTTACTATGTGCGCAAGTGATATGGCTTTGTCAGGTCTGTACTGGTATTCTGGTAAGATATCTAAGGTACCCTAAAACTCACCTAAACAATCACTTCAGGATAGTTTTTTTTACCAATTATAGCCTAATGTTTTCAATCAAAGCTTATAATCCTAAAAATTAAATTTGAACTCCTAGAATATCTTAAGAGTAAAGATCCATCAATCGGTGCCTCCTACATTTTAAATTTCTTTTTACAAATGGGATACATGTTTGTTTAGTTTGGTAGCTAGCAGATTCATACCTCCTGCCTACTTTTCATCAGCAAAGATATCGTTGATATCATACTAGTTGTAATTTAAGCACAGAGCACTGTTTGCACTCTCAGCTTTTGATGATCTGGGCATTAGTTAATTACTCGAGTCTCTGCTTCTTTCAATACCCAGTGTTTTTAATTCTAAAGAAACATGGTTGTCAAGGAGGGCGTTATTTCTCTGGAGTACGCTGATTTGAAGGGGAAGAGAGTGTTCGTCAGGCTGGACCTCAATGTTCATCTCGACAAAAATCAAGATCTAGGACGGTACCAGGGTGCGCGCCGCTCTTCCCTCCATCAAGTACTTGATGTTCACGCCGCCAGAGTCATCCTCTCCTTTCTCTTGGTATTTGATCTTTTCCCATCTCAGCTTCAAATCAATCTGTTTCTATTAGTTGATCTGGGTATTTGCTTCTGTATACCATTCGTGTCCTTCCATTCTCAATGATCCTTCTGATCGCCTGACCAGTAAATTGTTTTCTTGTTATAGTGCTTATGTGTATAAGATTGGATATCACTTATTTTGAATGTTCCACGAATTAGTGTCGTTAGTTTTCCATATTGGATGTAGATTTTGAGCCATTTTGACTTCCCGTTTTTGTTAAATGTTCGTGGTTTATTGAAGCCAGTCATTAGATTTGTATCAGAATAAGATAGGTTATATTGTTGTCTAAAATTCAAATGCTGAAATGCATGTGTGTATTGGATTCTCTGCCAGCATTGCCCATAGTAGTTAAAACCTCTTTCTGGATTCCCCTGCTTCAGCAGCCCTTCACTCTATCACCCCTGCTTATATTTTTTTTTTGATAATGGTGAAAACTTACATTAAAGAAAACCCAGAAAATAGAGTCAATAAACAGAGACAGAACAGGGATCAAGAGATCAAGAGGAATGATCTCAACCATCCCTGCTTATATTACATGGATCACAGCCACAGGGCTCCAACAATTGCACTCGTACGTGTTAAATTTCTTTTTACAAATGAAATACATGTTGGTTTAGTTTGGTATTCAGCAGATTCATACCTCCTACATACTTTCTCATCAGAAAAGATACCATTGATATCATACTAGTTGTAATTTAAGCACATAGCACTATTTGCGATCTGTAGGTTCCCTTTCTTTTACACAAACACCTTTTGCACTCTCCGCTATATGACGATCTGGGCATTAGTTAATTACTGGACTCCCTGATTATTTTAATAGTAGTGTTTTAATTCGAAGGAAACATGGCTGCCAAGAAGTACGTTGGGTCTCTGAAGGAGGCTGATTTGAAGGGGAAGAGAGTGTTCGTCGATGTGGATCTCAATGTTCCTCTCGACGACAACCACAAGATCACCGACGATACCAGGGTTTACTCTGCTGTTCCCACCATCAAGTACTCGACTCCTCTCCTCTCACGTGGTATTTGATCTTTTCCCACTCTCATCTTCGTTTCAATCTGTTTCTAGTAGTTGATCGGGGTTTTTGCTTCTGTATACCATCTATGTCCCTCCACTCTCAATGATCCTTCTGATCTCCTTGTGATCATTGACCAGTAAATGATTTTCCTGCTATAGTGATATGTGTTCAAAATTGGATATCACTTGATTCAAATGTTCCAGGCATTTGTGTCATTGGTTTTCCATATTGGATGTAGATTTTGAGCCATTTTGACTTCACTTTTTTGTAAAATGTTTGTTGTTGATCGAAGGCGGTTTTTAGATCTGCATCAGGGGCAAGTTATTTTCAGTGTTCAAGAAGATGCGCCTAGGCGCTGGGCAAGGGAAAATCGTGGAGTCTAGCTTTGGGCGAAGTGGCTGGGCGTGCAAAACGCAGAATCGTGTTGAAAAACTCTGAGGCGGCGACTAGTAGCTCGAAGTCGCGATTCCTTGCTGTTGGGCGACGCCCAGAACATGAGAAGGGGGAGGAGATGCTGCTGCGTTTGGCCCGAAAAAACCCTAATCCCTTTCATTTCCAATCGGGTAGCTGACGAGCAGCTCTCCCTCCCCCACAGCAGCCGTTGTAGCTCTCCCTCCTCTCTAACCAACCGCCGCCATTGTCCCTCCTCTCCAGCAGACCGTCACTGCCGTCTCCAGCATCGCAACAGGGTCCTCATCGCAAGCATCTATTGCGCCTCGTCCTCGCCGTCATCGCACAGTCTTCCTCCATAGCTGTCATCGCCGGTCTTCATAGCTGTCGTCGCCGATCGCCATCATCTAGTTGTAGAAGGTTTGTGACTCACTCGTCATTCCATCTCTCGTTTGGTGGGTTGACGAATGATGAATAATGAATTAATGATAAAGGGTAGTAGGGTATGCTGCTGATTTAAGCTGAAAGGGGTAATGGTATGGTGGATTAAGGGCTTCTTAGTTCATTTTTTTTTAACGTTTAATTTCGCGTAGGCGATGATTAATTGCCCTCGGCGCTGGGCCGTGCCTCCCCTCCGCCTAGTTGATGCCTAGCGTCTTTTTGAAAATTGGTTATTTTATATTCTTTTTATCTGAGTTCAAATGTTGAAATGCATATATTTATCGGATTCTCTGTTAGCATTTACCACAGTAGCTAGAACCTCTTTCATGGTTCCCCCGCTTTAGCAGCCCTTATTTCATATTCTTTTTATCTGAGTTCAAGTGTTGAAATGCATATATTTATCGGATTCTTTGTTAGCATTTACCACAGTAGCTAGAACCTCTTTCGGTGTTCCCCCAAGTTTGGTACATAGCAGATTCATCATTGAAATTTGTTGGTAACGAATTTTCAGATCAGGCATTCCAGATCAACTAAAATTATTGTTATCTCTGATCTATCTCAGACTACCCACTGCTGAACCTCATTCTACCAGTGTCATATTTGTTGTAGTAAGTATATAATGTGCTACGCTTCCTGATGGTTATTATGGGTAATCTGAAACATGTTTTTGTTGCTTCCTCTGTAGGTTCCTACAAGATTCTTTGAGCTGGCAAATAAGTGGCTGATGCACAACATTATAACTACATCACTCACTATCTGAATATATTGTGTACCTTCTTGCGTGCGATCTTTCTTATAGACAAAGTCCAGCTACTAATACTCAACTTTTGAAGGGTGCAGCTAGACGGTTACGTAGATGCGAGTTCTACTTGGTCAGAAAAGCTTTGCTGGTAGAAGGCGAATTCTACCTACAACTTTTTCTTGTAGTGTTATCACAACCTTTGTTACTCAACATTGATCCATGCTATTCAAATAAGGTGGTTGTGATAACTCTGCATTCAAAAGTTGCAAGTACTATTTGCCTTCTACAGGTAAAGCTCTCAGTTATTCGGACTTTTTTTTAATTTATTACAATTGATCATCTGAACAATATATCTTTAAGCCATTAAGCTTAATTCTCGTAAACTTCTTTTGTTGAAGGAATTTACTTGTAGATGGCTAGAGTGCATCTAACCATGCATGAAACAATATGGCAAAATTATGATTATAAATGGTTCTTGGACTTCAGATTTGGGAGGATATTGGCTGCTCTTGAATGGCGGGTGGACCTGAAAATAGTTTTCTCATCTATAACTTTTAAGGCTACCCATTATAAGTTTGTCATTTTTGCATTATTATTTTTCACTGATTTATAGGCTATCTATTATAATTTTCGCTTGATTCAATTATTCACTTATTTGAAACCTATTCATCACATTTTTTGGTAGATAAATTTGAAGGCTATTTCCCATTGCTTTTTACAGCTATTTATTACAAATTTGCCAATATTTCAAGGCTATTTCACATATTTTTAAATTTTTTGAAGATTATTCTTCATCGGTTTCAAAACTATCCATCCCATATTTTTGTCAACTTTTTAATGTTATTTTTTACTGTGTAGTGTGTAGTCTATCGTTTATAGATTTTGACCTTTTATTTAGGTTAGTATTAAGCTATTTTCAAGCCTATTCACAAAAAGTTTTGAAACTTTTTTTTAATATGATTTGTTCACCGTTTCGATGGCTAAACATCATAGATTTTGCCCGGATTTTCTTGATAGCTGTCTTCACAAAATTTTAAGGTTATATTCATCTTAGATTTTGGTCGATTCTTTTGAATACTATTTATTATCCATTTTGAAGCCGACATCACATTTTTGTCAATTTTTTGGAATGCTATCTTTAAAAGTCAGATATATCAAAGTTTGATCGATTTGTTGGAATGCTAATTTTTTCGATACTGAAGGCTATCCATTATAAATTTTGGTCGATTTTTGGAAATAGTAGCATTGAAATATTTTTAAGGTTATCCATCACATATTTTATCTGGTTCTCTTGAATGTTATTATTTGTTCATTTTGAATGTTATTCATCATGGATTTGGTGCTTAACAAACTTAATCATCAGTGAAGAATATACTCAGGTGAGATCCGAGATTCGTAGCCTTCAAAATTCAAGAAAAATGACCTTTCGAAAAAATCTCCATGACACCACTTTGGAATCTGCAAAAAATGACTTCGGAAAAAATTTGCATAAATAGGGGTTTGATGGACTTAATCATCTGTGAATAGCCTTGAAAATCTAAGGAACTTAACATTTTGAAAATCACCCGAATTTATGATCTGTAACCATTACAAATGGGTACTATTAAAGATTTCGGCCGTGGGCTTATCTTGGATAAAAAAAGAGATTTCGGGCGATTTTTTGGAAATGCAACTTTCTTTCGATTTTGGAGGCTACTGAACATGGATTCAACATGATGACTTTTCTTCATCGATAATGTTGTATATTCGTCCTATTCTCCACCGATGATTTGGTTTATTGATTCAAACAAATTTTCAAAATTTTATTTTCTTTCGATTTTGATGTTACAAATCAAGGATTTAGTCGAGATTATTCTTTACCAATAATGTAGTGTATTGATCCTATTCCCCACCGATGATGAGGACTTTAAGCACCGATTTGTGCAAATCTATTTTCAGGTCAAACTTTCATAATTTTTTGGGCGATTTTTTACGAAAAAGGCCAATGTTCCTTGGATTTTGAAGGCTATAGATCACGGATTCATCCTGAGTATATTCTTCAACTATTATTAAAGTACATTAAGCACCGATTTGGGTAAATTTATTTCGGGTCCATTTTTGGCAGATTTCAAATGGGTCATACCAAATTCGGGTGATTTTTCGAATTTAAATTTTCTTTCGATTTTGGAGGCTATAGAAGACGGATTCAACCTGTTGCTTTTCTCCACCTATAATGTTGACTATTGATTCTATTCCCTACCGAAGATTGAGTCCATTAAGCACCATTTTGAGCGCATTTATTATTAGATGGTAATTTCGTAATTTTTAGACGTTTTTACTCATACTATAAAATGACTAAAAATTTGTCAAGTACGAAATAAACTATGTAAAATATGAGTGCACAAAATTTATATAAGTTAATAAATACATTCAATTCATATTTAGAGTAGAACAACTCATAGTATTTTAACAATAAGTTCGTAAATATAGGTTTTAACATTAAGCCACCATCCACTCTATGCTAATGAATTTTTGAACTATTGAATTATATCATTTTTGGCGATTTACCTTTAAAATATACTTTTATAATTAATTTCATGGAAAGAACACCCACTTAGTGAAATAGAAGCGTAAAAGCGTAAAGCGTTTTGGTATACTAGAAGCGTAAAAGCGTAAGCTTTAGTTTTAAAACACAATTTAGTATGATTTTTAACACTAAAGATTTCATATGGAAACGAAAGCGTTTTGGTGATCTAGAAGAGTAAAATCGTATGTTTTTAAATTTTAAAGGCTCGATGCAATTTTCTTCTGATTTTGGAGGCTACAGATAACGGATTGAGCCCGAGGCTATTCTCCACCGACAATGAAGTCTATTGATCCTATTCTCCACCAATGATTAAGTCCATTAGGCATAGAATTGAGCTAATTTATTTTGGGATGGCGTTTTAGTAATTCTTTGTGCGAATTTTGCATTGAAAAGCCATTTCCATGGATTTTGAAGGCTACAGATTACGGATTCGGCCTGAGGCTATTCTTCAACAACGAGTAAGTCCATTAAGCACGGATTTGGGAGGATTTCTTCCGGGTCCATTTTTGGCACATCCCAAAGGTAACCATCACAAATTTCGGGTGATTTTTCTGAAATGCTATTTTCTTTCGATTTTGGAAGCTACAGATCACGAATTCAGCCCGAGCCTATTCACCACCGATAATGAAGTCTATTGATCCTATTCTCCACCAATAATTAAGTCCAATAGGCATAAAATTGAGCCAATTTATTTTGGGATAACGTTTTCGTAATTCTACGGCGATTTTTGGATTGAAAGGCCATTTTCCATGGATTTTGAAGGCTACAGATTACGGATTCGGCCTGAGGCTATTATTCAATGACGAGTAAGTCAATTAAGCACAGATTTGGGCAGATTTCTTCCAGGTCCATTTTTGGTAGATACTAAAGGGGTACCATCATAGATTTCAGGAGATTTTTCCGAAATGCTATTTTCTTTCGATTTTGGAGGCTACAGATCACGGATTCAGCACGAGGCTATTCTCCACTGAAAATAAAGTATATTGATCCTATTCTCCACCAATGATTAAGTCCATTATGCATAGAATTGAGCCAATTTATTTTGGGTTGACATTTTCGTAATTCTTTGAGCTATTTTCGATTGAAAAGCCATTTTCCATAGATTTTGAAGGCTATAGATTACGACTTCTACCCGAGGCTATTATTTAGCGACGAGTAAGTCCATTAAGCACGGATTTGGGCGAATTTGTTCCGGGTCCATTTTTGGCAGATCCCAAAGGGGTACCATCACAGATTTCGGGCGATTTTCCGAAATGCTATTTTCTTTCGATTTTGGAGGCTACAGATCACGGATTCAGCCCGAGGCTATTCTCCACCGATAATGAAGTCTATTGATCATATTCTCCACCAATAATTAAGTCCACTAGGCATAGAATTGAGCCAATTTATTTTGGAATAACATTTTCGTAATTCTCTGGCGATTTTTGGATTGAAAGGCCATTTCCATTGATTTTGAAGGCAACAAATTATGGATTCAGCATGAGGCGATTCTTCAACGACGAGTAAGTCCAATAAGCACGGATTTGTGCGGATTTATTCCTGGTCCATTTTTGGCAGATCCCAAAGGGGTACCATCACAGATTTTCGACGATTTTTCCTAAATGCAATTTTTTTCAATTTTGGAGGCTACAAATCAGGAATTCAGCCCGAGGCTATTCTCCACCGATAATGAAGTCTATTGATCCTATTCTCCACCAATGATTAAGTTCACTAGGCATAGAATTGAGCCAATTTATTTTGGGATGACATTTTCGTTATTCTTTGGGCTATTTTTGGATTGCAAGGCCATATTCTATGGATTTTGAAGGCTACAGATCACGGATTCGGCCTGAGGCTATTCTTCAAGGACGAGTAAATCCATTAAGCACGAATTTAGGCGGATTTCTTCTGGGTCCATTTTTTGCAGATCCCAAAGGGGTACCATCACATATTTCGGGCGATTTTTCTAAATGCTATTTTCTTTTGGTTTTGGAGGCTACAAATCACAGATTCAGTCTGAGGCTATTCTCCACAGATAATGAAGTCTATTGATCCTATTCTCCATGATTGATTAAGTCCATTGGGCATAGAATCGAGACATTTATTTTAAGATGGCATTTTCGTAATTCTTTCGGTGATTTTTGGATTGAAAGGTCTTTTTCCATGGATTTTGAAGGCTATAGATTACGGATTCGACTTGAGGCTATTATTTAGCGACGAGTAAGTCCATTAAGCACGGATTTAGGCGGATTTCTTCCGGGTCCATTTTTGGAAGATCCCAAAGGGGTACCATCACAGATTTTGGGCAATTTTTCCAAAATGCTATTTTCTTTCGATTTTGGAGGCTACAGATCACGGATTAAGCCCAAGGCTATTCTCCACCGATAATGAAGTCTATTGATCCTATTCTCCCCCAATAATTAAGTCCACTAGGCATAAAATTGAGCCAATTTATTTTTGGATGACATTTTCGTAATTCTCTGACAATTTTTGGATTGAAAAGCCATTTTCCATGGATTTTGAGGCTACAGATTACGGATTCGGCCTGAGGCTATTATTCAATGACGAGTAAGTCCATTAAGAATGGATTTGGGCGGATTTCTTCCAGGTCCATTTTTGGCAGATCCTAAAGGGGTACCATCATAGATTTCAGGGAATTTTTCCGAAATGCTATTTTCTTTCGATTTTGGAGGCTACAGATCACAGATTTAGCACGAGGCTATTCTCCACCGATAATGAAGTCTATTGATCCTATTCTCCACCAATGATTAAGTCCATTAGGCATAGAATTGAGTCAATTTATTTTGGGATGGCATTTTCGTATTTCTTTGTGCTATTTTTGATTGAAAGGCCATTTTCCATAGATTTTGAAGGCTACAGAGTACGGATTCGGCCTGAGGCTATTATTTAATGACGAGTAAGTCCATTAAGCACGGATTTGGGAGCATTTCTTCCCGGTCCATTTTTGGCAGATCCAAAAGGGGTACCATCACAGATTTCGGGCGGGTTTTCCGAAATGCTATTTTCTTTCGATTTTGGAGGCTACAGATCACAGATTCAGCTTGAGGCTATTCTCCACAGATAATGAAGTCTATTGATCATATTCTCCACCAATAATTAAGTCCACTAGGCATAGAATTGAGCCAATTTATTTTGGGATGACAGTTTCGTAATTCTCTGGCGATTTTTGGATTGAAAGACCATTTTCCATTGATTTTGAAGGCTACAGATTACGGATTCGGCATGAGGCACTTATTTAATGACGAGTATGTCCATTAAGCACGAATTTGGGTGGATTTCTTCAGGGACTATTTTTGGCAGATCCCAAAGGGTATCACAGATTTCAGGCAATTTTTCCGAAATGCTATTTTCTTTCGATTTTGGAGGCTACAGATCACAGATTCAGCCCGAGGTTATTCTCCAACGATAACGAAGTCTATTGATCCTATTCCACCAATGATTAGTCCATTAGGCATAGAATTGAGCAAATTTATTTTGGGATGACATTTTCGTAATTATGTGGGTGATTTTTGGATTGAAATGCATTTTTCCTTGGATTTTGAAGGCTACAGATTACGGATTCAACCTGAGTCTATTCTTCAACGACGAGTAAGTCCATTAAGCACGGATTTGAGCATATTTCTTCCTGGTCCATTTTTGGCAGATCACAAAGGGGTACCATCACAAATTTCGGCCAATTTTTCCTAAATGCTATTTCCTTTCGATTTTGGAGGCTACAGATCAAGGATTCAGCCCGAGGCTATTCTCCACTGATAATGAAGTCTATTGATCCTATTCTCCACCAATGAATAAGTCCATTAGGCATAGAATTGAGCTAAATTATTTTGCGATGACATTTTCGTAATTCTTTGGGCGAAATTTGGATTGAAAGGCCATTTTCCATGGATTTTGAAGGCTACAGATCACGGATTCGCCCTGATGCTATTCTTCAACGACGAGTAAGTCCATTAAGCACCGATTTGTGCGGATTTTTTCCGGGTCAATTTTTAGTAGATTGCAAAGGGGTACCATCACAGATTCTGTGCTAGATTTCCGAAATGCCATTTTCTTTCGATTCTTGAGGCTACAGATCACGGAATTAGGTCGAGGCTATTCTCCACCAATAATGAAGTCTATTGATCCTATTCTCCACGGATGATAAGTCCATTAAGCAGCGATTTTGGCCAATTTATTTTTGGATGACATTTTCGTAATTTTGTGGGCGTCGAAAGGCCATTTTTACCTATTTGGGCCAATTTATTTTCAGATGGCATTTTTGTAATTTTGTGTGCGTCAAAAAGCCATTTTCTTTGAATTTTGAAGCCTAAAGATCACGGATTCGGCCTGAGCCTATTCTTCAATGATGATTAAGTCCATTAAGCACCGATTTGGGCGGATTTATTCCAGGTCAATTTTTGGCAGATTGCAAAGGTGTACCATCACAGATTTTGGGCGATTTTTCTAAAATGATATTTTATTTCGATTCTAGATGCTACAGATCACGGAATCAGGCCGAGGCTATTCTCCATTGATAATGAAGTCTATTGATCCTATTCTCAACGGATGATAAGTCCATTAAGCAGCGATTTGGGCCAATTTATTTTCCAATGACATTTTCGTAATTTTGTGGGCGTCGAAAAACTATTTTCTTTGGATTTTGAAGCCTACAGACCACGGATTCGGCCTAAGGCTATTCTTCAATGATTATTAAGTCCATTAAGCACCGATTTTGGTGGATTTATTACGGGTCAATTTTTGGTAGATTGCAAAGGGGTACCATCACAGATTTTGGGCGATTT